TATATTTCTAAGGTACCTACTTCTGGCTATATTAATCTTGCTTAAATAGTTATACGAAATAATATATCTTTTTTATTATAGCCAAAATTATTAATATTTAAGATTTAGCCTTTCCTTTTCCCTATTCCTTAGGAGGGTCTTTTCTAGAGCGCTTCTCTATAGTAATAGTATTGACCTGCTTCTATAAATGCCTTGACTCTTCTATGGTTTTGGCCTTATCAGGGTTCTACCGAGCCTATTTGGTATACTTGGAATACTTCACACTTCCTGAGAAGTATTCTTTCTATCTACAAGTCTAATAAACCATACCTGAAGTAGAACTAGTACTCTATTAAGGCCTTAAAGAGGCCAAAGTATTACCTGAGGATTTCTTACGTGATTTTCGGAACTTATCCTTCCTTTTTCAATAGCCTTGCAAATCAGAATTTGCTAAGTCAGAGTCCTTGGGGGCAGAATTGCCCTTGCTAGACTCCCCCGCCTTTGCTTTTCTTAATTTGGGATAAGTAATATATTCTGCTTTCTGAGCTTTCTCAAGCTACTCGGAAATAAATACCGCCTTATCTCCTGAGAGAATAGATACAAGTATCTAACGAGTCTTATAGTTAGATAAAGCAGTATTGAGAGTCCGGACCCGGTTCCTCTTAGGGTATAGGTCCTAATTAACTTCGAGACTAATTATCCGAGTATATAACTCGGTAACTATCTTACTATTCTTCTAATAAAGATCTCGGAGTTCCTTAAAGGTATCTTATTAACGGGTTTGAGGTGCTTGGAGTATATTAGCCAAGTAGGCCTTAAATCGCTTCTAATAAACCTTATATAATAGTAGGTTTTGCTTTATTATAGCCTTCCAAGTATTATAAGGTTCGTCCCTAAGGGCACTTATAATAGAGTTAACTCTAGAAGAGTATCTATTATAAGTCTAAGGCTAGGTTCTAAAGACCGTCTTCCAGGAGAATACAAATATCCTCTATTCCTTAAGGGACTTTCCATAATATAAGTCAGGCGTCCGGACCTTAAGAAGCTTCTCTCAATCCAAATATATCTTTAGGATATTATATAGTAGCTCCTAATAAATAGTATCGAGATTACTTTCAAAGCTTATTATATTAGGAAAGGAGATAGGTTCTAACCCTATTTCAGGAAGTTCCCTGATAGGAATTACCGAGGAAAAGGAAGTAGACTTATAAATAGAGTTTCTACGAGATATAGTAAACCGCAAGGTATCCCTGAGGGTATCCTTATATTACTCTAACTATAAGATATACTAGTTAATTATATTTACTAATTCTTGCTTTTGTTAGAGTACTTCGACTTCAGTATATAAGCCCTATTCCGCAGCTTGGGCGGCAGTGACTCGGGCATTAATCTCGGTATCTTAATTATTACCGGAATTATTTCCGTTATTATTACTAGCTCTCGGAGGCTCCTAAGGGGCCCCGTTAAAAGTATTAGACAAGCCTTTGCCATTACCCATATTAGGGTTAATCTGGTCGACTTCCTCTATAGGAATAGCTTTAGTAAGGGGTTATACATTTCGCAGATTTCGAGATATGATTACTTATTAAACTACCTCCTTTAAGGGTAGAGAGATTAGCTTATAAGGTATTTATTAGTAGGCAATAAAATAATAGAATGAATTAGTATATTATAAAACCATAGTATTAAATTCAGTATAGAACTAATCTTTATTCCTCCTATAAGGTCCAGGGAAGCCCCCTCTAAATAGGAGGCCCCGATAGCATATATATAATTAGTAATTTATAAGCCTAATACATATAATATAAATAGTAGTTAGTTAGAATATTAAAGGGCTGCCAAACTCCCTAATTAATACCCGCAATATCCGAGGTTCGTTATATGCCCTTAAGTTACGTGCGACCCTATATACATTATAATATCTAGTATTTAAATATTTAATATTAGACCGGATTAGGAAATATAAATATATAAGATAAGAGAATATTATAAGAAAAGAAGTCATATATAAAAGGCTATAGCCTTTAGTATATAACTAAAATCTTAAAAGTAATATAAATATATAAAAGTATTTAGGAAATCTAATATTAGACTAAATTAGAGAATTTATATATAATTAAAAAAAAAACCATTTTTTGCGTTTTTTAAAAAGGTTCTAATATTAGTATAACTATAGTTATTAATAGTTATATAATATAATTATATAATATAAAAGTAACTAGAGATAATAAAATATAAATAATAAATAATAATTATATAATCTTATATTATATAAGTAACTTAACTAGTAATTAGTTTTTATTAGATTTAATAAATTTGGAAATTATATATTAATACTATAATATTATAATTCTTATTTCTAAATAATAACTATTTTACTAATTTATATAAATAGTATTTTATAACTATATAATAATATTATATATTTCTAGTAAACTAATAATTTATAATTATAATAATTTTATTTATTTATATTTTTTTAATACTAGTTATTTTTTCTAGATTTTAAGTTCTTATATATAATAATTAAAAGTTTATTTTAATTCTTTTTTTAGACTAATTATTTAGCTAAATTAATTTTCTATTTTTATAATTAATTAGAATACTAATATTTATAAATTATTATTATTTTAAAATTATATTATATTTATCTAGTTTTATAACTAATATAAATACTAGAACTTTTCGTTTATTAATTAAAAATATAAGCTTAATATAATAAATAATAAATATTATTTATTTATTATTTAAAAAATTTATATTATAAAATAATATTAATTAAATAAGCTTAATATCTAAAAATTATTTAATTATTTTTATAAACTTGAAATTAATAAAAATTTATTTATTTATTTTAGTATTAATAAAAAAAGAATTTTTAATATCTAATTTATTATTATTAATTATATAAAAAAATATAAATACTTTATTTTCTAGTAATTAGCTTAAATTAACTTCTATTATATTAATATAATATAGTTCTTAAAAAAGACTTTTTTTTAGGAATTCTTATTTTTCTATTTTTTATTTTTAAATAATTTATTTATAATAAATACTATTAACTTAATTACTAAAACTTATTTTATATATTTTATTTTAAGCTTTAAATAATTTCTAAATATATAATACTTGAAATTAAAGAATTCGGGCTTTAAAATAATAAATTTATTTATTACTAGAATCTTAAAAACAGGCTTTATATAAGAAATATTTCTTGAATTTAGCTTATTTATATTTTTATTAACTTTTTTAAATACCTGGGTTTTTTTAATAATAAGTTTAAATTTACTAATTATTTATAATATAATATTATATAAATTCTATAATATAATATTATATAAACTTTATAATATAAATAATAGAATTATTATAATATATAACTATAATTTTTTAAAGCTTTTAGGTAAGCTTATTATTTAGGTTATTTTTAAAGTCTTATAAATTAATATTTTTATTTATTATATATTTTGAAAATAAAATATAAAACTTTTAGAAAATCTAGCTCTTTTTTATAAATAGTTTCTTAAATATTTATAAAGTATTATATTTCTTATTTTAATTACTATATAGCTTTTTTAAATAAATATATAGTTTTTTAATAATTTTATATATATATTAATAATTTTAATTTAGATAAAGAAAAATTAATATAAAAATATAGCTATTTATATAATTAAATATATAACTAATCTTAAGATTCTTTATTTAGTAAATATTAGAATTACTATAAAGCTTATTCTTAATCTAAACTAATTAATTATTAAAGGTAATATTATTCTTGTTATATTTTTAAAAATAAAAGAATTAGAGAATTTAATTAAATATCTATTTTCTAGAATAAGAAAACTAGTTATTTTAATAGATTATATAATAAGCTTTTTAATAATAGCTTTATTCTTTTATCTCTTCGTCCGGTAGAAACTGTTTACACTAGCAGGGGGGCCTGGCTCAGAGCGAAAAGGCAATAGATAACTAATAGGTTTCTAAGCAAAGGCACACGTTTTCGCCCTGAGCCAGGCCCCCCTTGCTAGCGTGGACAGTTTCTACCGGACGAAGGGATAGGGCTTGCTTAGTTTCTCTTAGCTAATTATAATAATTCTCGCTATAGGCGAGAATATTATACGTTTTTAGAATCAGCTTAATAACTTCTTTATATAAAGCTTCGGGATTCCGGAATAACTCTTGAAACTCTGCCTTTAATAGAACAGATCTCTCTTCTTTCTCTGCTCTCTAAAAGAGAGTATCTCTTCTATTATAAGTATTAACGGGATACTCGGACCTCTCAGGAGACTTAATAAGAGACTTTGGTTTACCTTCTAGTAGCGTACTAGTAGCGTCTCGCGCCATAGCTCCTTCTGACTTGCCTAGTTATTCCGGGACTTGCTTTCTTGTATCTTCTTTAGTAGTGAGGTTACCGGCCTATCGGCTTGCCTGGCCGGTCCAGGGCTTTCTTTCGTTCTGACGTTGGTTGACTGGTACGGGAATAGCCACGGCGCATTGCGTCTGCACTCGTCCAAAACTGATCGGGTAGATATTATTTAAATCCTCCGCAGGATTAAGAAGTAGGTGAGCTTTGAATTATGTCACGGGCACAAGATCTAGGGGCCTGGAAGGCAGAGTTAGACTATCTCTATTCCGACGATTCAAAGCTAAAGAGAGAAGAGGATCTCGAAGGAGCCTCGGATCTAAATAATCGCGAGCTACGCACGGGCCCACGTGCTAGCTTAAGCTCGAGGTCACGTGTAACCATCAGGTGACTACAGATGCCACGCTCAGATGCCAGATGCCTCGCTAGTCTAACCCCTACTAGTACCGTATATCGTAACAACCGTAACACAAAATAGGAAACCAAATCCACAACACCTGACGTCCGCCCATGCTCCGTCACGTGTGCCCATCACAGAACTACCAATAGGCTTTCGCCAAATGAGGCATGAGGCATCAAGGCATCAAGGCATCAAGGCACGAAGAATGAATAAGGCCAAGTAAGGGTAAAGGTAAAGGGAAGCTTCCAAAAAAGTGTGGCCTCAAGCTTGGGACAGGTGATATCTTGTTTCCTCACCCCCCTCCCTCGAGCTCCATCCAACCTTCCTCAAATTCCTTACCGTAGTCCGTGATCACGATTAAGTCCCGCTCCACGTCTGCTATCATCGAGATCTGCAAACTAAGCCAATTTTCTGGCCTCCGACAACGAACGGCACGCTCCAACTACACCCTGCAACTCCCATTGTGAGAATTCTGGTGGCGATAGTTACTGTTCTCTCGCGCCGCCATGGATATCGAAGCTCTCAAAGAGCAGGCAAGGAACATAAATGCTCAGCACACGGACGGGGCTGACAATCAAGCAGTGGTCAGAGGTCGAGGACCGAGATGGTGTACGTCTGAGTTGGAATGTCTTTCCCAGCTCTCGAATGGTATTCCCACCCACAAAGTCGAATTGCCTCCAGACTGCTTAAATACTGCAGGAAGCTTCACGGCTTGTTGTACCGATCGGCGCATTGTACACCCCTCTGAAGGAGAAGCCTGACACCCCTCTCCTGCAATTCGAGCCTGTAATCTGTAAACAGCCTTGCAGATCTGTCCTGAATCCTTTCTGGTATTGCCCAGAGAATTTTTCGGACTTGAGGCCATACTGACAGTATCTAGCCAAGTGGATGTCCGCGCACGTCTTTGGATCTGCCCTTTTTGCTTGTCAAGAAACCCCCTCCCCCCGCACTACAAGGACATTACAGCCAATGCGATACCTCCCGAGCTACACCCTTCAAATACCACGATTGAGTACAGGTTATCCAGACCAGCTCCAAGTCCGCCGATATTCCTGTATGTTGTAGATACCTGCCAGGAAGAAGACAGCTTGTCCGCGCTGAAGGAGTCGTTGATCTTGAGCTTGAGCCTCTTACCCGAAAATGCCTTGGTGGGCCTTGTAACTTTTGGTACTATGGTACGGCTCCCACATGCAAGGATTAGTTACATAGCGAGCTGACATGCACGAAGGCCCAAGTCCACGAAATTGGCTATACCGAATGTCCAAAGTCATATGTATTCCGAGGCAGCAAGGACTATTCTGCAAAGCAGGTTCAAGAAATGCTTGGGTTGACTTCCCCTGGTTTGCGACCTGGCATGCAGCAGCAACAGCCTGGACGACCAATGCCCCCAATGGGTCCGGCTGCCAGATTTTTGTTGCCAGTGCAGCAGTGCGAATTCCAGCTGACCAAGGCTCTGGAGCAGCTTCAAAAAGACCCTTGGCCAGTGGCCAGTGACAGGAGAAATCTTAGATGTACCGGAGTTGCTTTGAGCGTTGCTGTTGGACTTCTGGAATCCTCATTTCAGAACGCTGGTGGACGAATCATGCTTTTTGCTGGCGGGCCAGCCACCGAGGGACCAGGTTTAGTGGTTGGACCAGAGCTCAGAGAACCAATTAGATCGCATCACGACATTGATCGCGACAATATCAAGTACTACAAGAAAGCATTGAAGGTATGTCTTCCCCAACCTGGATGTAATGCCTCTAGGCCCCAAGGAATGCACTGATCAGTTAGTTCTATGACAATCTTGCTAAGAGGACGGCGCATAATGGACACATTATCGACATCTTCGCTGGTTGCTTGGATCAAGTGGGCCTTTTAGAAATGAAGGGTCTCTCGAACTCCACTGGCGGCCATATGGTGCTGACAGATAGCTTCACGGCATCTATGTTCAAGCAATCATTCGTTCGGATCTTTGAAAAGGACGCGGATGACAACCTTCTCATGGGGTTTAATGCTTCCCTGGAGGTTCTGACGACCAAAGAACTTAAGGTCACTGGGTTGATTGGACATGCAGTATCCATGAACAAGAAGTCGACATCTGTAGGGGAGACGGAATGCGGTATCGGCAACACGTGTTCGTGGAAGATGTGTGGTATCGATCCGAGTGCCAGTTATGGAATCTACTTCGAAATTGCCAGTCAAGGAGGCCCGACCCAACACCAGCAAACTCCACAAAAGGGCATGATGCAATTCTTAACCTATTATCAACACTCCTCTGGACAGTTTCACCTTCGAGTCACAACAGTCTCCCGAAACCTGAGCGGCCCGGCAGGTGATCCTGCAATCGCGCAGTCATTCGACCAAGAGGCCGCAGCTGTTCTCATGTCTAGGATAGCAGTTTTCAAGGCTGAAGTTGACGATGGCCCAGATGTTTTACGATGGGTGGATCGAATGCTCATTCGACTCTGTTCTCGATTTGCCGACTATCGTAAGGATGACCCATCGTCGTTCCGGCTCGAAAAGAACTTCACCCTCTATCCCCAATTCATGTTCCACTTGAGGCGGAGTCAGTTCCTCCAGGTTTTCAATAACTCGCCCGACGAAACTGCCTTTTACAGGCATGTTCTCAACCATGAAGATGTCAGCAACTCGCTCATAATGATCCAACCGACATTGGATTCATACACATTCGACCAAGATGGGAGCCAGCCAGTTCTTCTTGACTCAACATCTATTCAACCTACCCACATACTTCTCCTTGACACATTCTTCCACATCCTGATCTTCCATGGCGAAACTGTAGCAGAATGGAGGAAAGCCGGGTACCAAGAGCAGGAAGGTTATGAGAACTTCGCTTCACTACTAGAGCAACCAAAGGAGGATGCCAGGGTATCTTAGCAATTTCCATATTCAAGAACGCACTGACGTTGTCCAGGATCTCATAACGGATCGTTTCCCGCTCCCTCGGTTTATCGTTTGCGATGCTGGTGGATCGCAGGCACGTTTCTTACTCTCCAAGCTGAATCCATCGACAACACACACCACCGGTGCTTGGGGTGGTGTGGGGGCACAAACAGCGCAGACCATCTTCACCGACGATGTCTCATTGCAGACATTCATGGATCATTTGATGAAGTATGTATCGATGATCATGCACACTTTCCCAATTAACACGTGTTAGGTTGGCCGTGAGCGGAACGAATTAAATTTGGAGAGAATACAACGGGGCGTAGGACATTATCACTTGCAGCACTCAAGTGGAATTTGGACTCAAGATCTTTGAACAGGAGCCGTCTGCGTCGTGCGCATCAGTGTAGATTAGCACCCTGGCAGACAATAAACACTAGAGAGACCCAGCGTAGGGAAGCCAATTCAGAGTGAGAGAGAGAAATATCGCGAGAGATAGCGCCCCTGAATTATGATTTGCGCAGCTAGATTGAGGTGCTATGAATCACTCACATGCTGTCTACCCACAACTCTTGCCGTAGCCATGAGATTTGTTGGTCGCAGGCAAAACCAAATTGTACTGCCTCCCCATATATCCCATGGCTACCCCTATCACCATCCTCTTCTCTTCCCCTCCCCCGAAAGAATATGTATGGTGATTTAGCTTGGCGGGACAGTGAGACCAATAGGTAGCCTTGCCTGCAGCGGCCAAGAACGACCCTGATCTCTCGACTCAAGTTGAATCATTCCACCTATAAATGTCCCTCGAGTTATATAGTATATAAAACCCACCCCTTGGCAAATGTTGGAAATTCTAGACTACAGAATTTCTACAACGTCTAGCTTAATGTCCAACTTTGGGTTGGGACATTGAAAATCAATGCTGCCTTTTCTGCCTACGGCGAGCAAGGCTATCTTTCAGCCTTACCTTACCTTGCACATTTTAGCGCTTTCGCCTAACAGCCCAAACCCGCACTTTACATTTTTTTCGAATTTGTTCTTTTACATTTTTTGAGTCAACCACGTCGCGAGAACCTCTGTCAATTGCAATCATGCGTAAGTTATACTGCTTGCCAGCATTTGAATCCTTGCTAACAACGTCCTGCACAGCTCCAAAGCTTGACCCCAACGAGATCAAGGTGATGTACGTCGATACATTCCCCTACCCCTCTTCGCCAATAGATCCTGCGAGATTCCATGGGAGCAGCGTTTGCTAAAAGCTGGTCTCTAGCCACCTGCGAGCAACTGGTGGTGAAGTCGGTGCTTCATCCGCCCTTGCTCCAAAGATTGGTCCCCTTGGCCTTTCCCCGAAAAAGGTTGGAGAAGACATTGCGAAGGCGACGGGCGACTGGGTAGGCACACATTCCGTACATCAGTTCCAGGCTGGCATGCCAATAACGTTGTTTTTCACAGAAAGGCCTTCGTGTCACAGTAAAGCTCACCATCCAAAATCGACAAGCTGCCGTTTCCGTTGTCCCTTCGGCTTCCTCCCTGGTCATCAAAGCTCTGAAGGAACCTCCGCGAGACCGCAAGAAGGAAAAGAACATCAAGCATAGCAAGTCAATCACCTTAGATGAGGTTATCGAAATCGCCCGGACCATGCGATTCAAATCACTTTCAAAGGAGCTCAAGGGTGGTGTTAAGGAGATTCTCGGTACCGCTTTCAGCGTTGGCTGCCAGGTCGATGGAAGAAGTCCAAAGGACATCAGCGATGATATTGAGAGTGGGGAGATTGAGAGTAAGTTTTGCTGTGACCCGATATTAAACCATTAGCTGACTTGAATCCAGTTCCGGACGAATGAATGACCATGGTCTTCTTTCTTTTGCATGTATTGGGCTCCATACTTCACAATTTGTTGTGCAAGCAATGGCAATGATTCACCAAGAAACAAAAGTATTACGTCCGTGAAGTCCAATGCATCGAATTCAAATTCCAGCCATCTTACCAAACACTCTGGTCCTCACCCCCTTTCCCCTCGAGGACTGGTTCAATCTATGGTACTTAGTTTCGAAGCAAGGAGAATTAGCCGTGTACGCACTATGATACCCTCCTGGAATTCGTTTGCTGTTCCTTGATTTTCTGGACCATATCATATCTGCTTTCTAATTGATGCCCCTAACTTCGTGCAATCTCGACAGAATAACTTGGTACTGCATTCTCTGAATGAATACATGGGGTCAAGAATATGGTACCCTGGAAGCAGGGGCTTTTATTGCTCCATCAGCGTCAGCGCTTCGGGATTCCAATACTGTAAGACAAACTTGCAGTAATCCCACAGGCGGCAGAGAAAAATCTACAAGCCCAGTCTACAGGTCGCTGAAGTAGGCCCTTAGAAATTTGTACTCTTTCCCATTAAAATAAAGCCTGGCACAATCGGGGAAAATCTCACGGTCTATCATATGAAGACACGATTCTTGTTTGAACGGGCTGTTGAGTCAAGGCAGAACTGATAGGCGATTCGGCGCAGCGCCCCCTGCAAAGCAAAGCCGCCCTGCTTAGTACCACCTCGAGTCGACAAGCCAACTGTGTCGCCTTCTCCATCATTCTTCCCATATCTCGAGATTCTACCCTTTATCTACCATCTACCAGCCATCTCAACGACCGCCAGGTCCTTCATCCCGACCTTGGTGCGGTTCCTGCTCCCCTGCTCGGGATCCGATTTTAGTCGTTCCTTCCCGCCCCGCGCTCGACCTCACCTCGACTCTCTCGATCCCCGCGAAGCCTTATACTGGTTTGCTGTGTCTGAGGGAGAGGCAGAAGAGATCTCGAGACGCCCAATTTGGGCTGCCGGATTAGGGGCTCGAGATGATCAACAGAATCAACGCTGCCCTCCTTCGTGCAGGCATTGGCACTGATTGGTTCTGATGAATCTTCATTACGCCCTCTGAAGGTACCAACTTGGCCGCAGAACCCCTTTGCTATTCCGATATAGCTGCAAATCGAATGAACATGATTCCCCAAATTGCTCACCATCCTCGACATCTATCGCAGCAGTTCGGCAGCCCAGGATTTGCAACCCCTCCCTTCGAACCTCTTCCAACCCCACGACGAGCGGATCGGCTTGCGCCTCTTCCATTTCGAGGCTCGAGAAACCTCACAAATTCAACCCCGTTGGCACCGCCTCAGCGCGCATACCCAGTTGAGAATTATGGCGCTCTGCGTCACAGTCTTGTGAGAGGCAGTGCGGCTGGTCAAGGCCTTGGTGGGCAGTATGACGACCCCTCGGAGCACATGCTTCGAAGGAAAACACCAAATGGGACGCTCGCTGCTGGTTACGATGGGACGCCAGTGCAGTGGTCCAGTAAGGCGCCGGCACTGAAACATGTTGTGCTTCCTATGTCAGTAACAGCTACGGGCCAGAATGGCAGATACTCCACTTCAGCAGAGGATGATCCCCGGAACCAACGAAGATCTGGAGGCACAAGCTGGCATCAACTGCAACAAGTAACTCAAATGGGCGGATACAATGCCCCTGACGGAGGGATGCGGATGAATGGTGATCCTGTTAACTGGCCACAGCTTCCGCCCATATCCGATCCTTCTCAGAATGTTTGGGATCATATTCGAACACACCCAGCCGCTACATACTATCCCAATAATGACAATCAGATCCCGACTGTCCTACAGCCGGCATATCTACCGTCACCCGGCCCAACCGCATCGAACGGGGGGGGGTTTTACGGCCCATACTGGCCTGATGGAAAATTCGTTCCCTATCGGCCAGCGGCAATTCGAGAACAGGGCCATCACCACTCAAGCAATACATATGATTTCCCTCGAGGGCTGGAAACACATGTCAAGACTTCTGTGGAACAATTGCCCCCCCTTCGTCAATCGCCCTTCAATGGCCAGGTTCCTCCGCGCCCTGGACATGCTCCTCTATCTTCTTCAGATACTGTGCCGCGCTATTTGGAAGACCGATATCTGAACTTGTCTCATTCGCATTCTAACTTCCCAAATACAACCATCTATGCGTCATTTTTTGACGCGTCTCGTACACCTACTGCTCAATCGACCATCAGGTCTGGTAATCCGCGGTTCAAGGAGAAGACCCTTTCGTGGGCTCACAGCATATATGTTGATCTTCTTGCGTTTCTCCACCAATCAAAGAAAGAAAATAGACAGTCGAGGCAATCTCATGGATTTCGAACTTATTCAAAGAACGGTATATATCCTAAACCACCTCGTCAGCCCGCATCTTACATAGGATCTCCACAATGGGGCGGCTTTGATGCGGATGAAAGTGGTGGGACAAATCCAAGGAGCCGTGTTGGAAGCTCGACAGTGATTTCTGACCGTACTACAGGGAGTGATAACCTCGCCGGCTGGCAAGGCGCACACGGTCAGCTGGAACCACGGCACCACGGGAGGTCTTCCAATCAGGAAATTCCACACTATGTTTCACAGTTTCAAGCCGCTCAAACTCATGCTAGCTCTCCCCTTAACAAAGCGAAGGAAGCTTTAGACATGCTTACAAGCCTTTGCGATCAAAGTGGATGGTGTTGGATTGATGGGATGCTGCTTGGGGGATGTCTTGCGTATGGCCTCGAGGAGTACCAGAAAGCGCTTGATTGGTACTCCAAGATCGTTGCATTGGATCCGAAGTGAGTTACACCAACCCCTCCCATCCACGTTCTTGCCAAGGGTTGTTCTGATATGGATTGTAGGCATGTCGAGGCAATTTCGAATCTAGCAGCGACATTATTGTGCTTGAACAGGCGAGAGGAGGCTGAACATCATTGGCTACAGTCCGTGAAGCTTCGTCCAAGCTACTTCGAGGCTGTTGAGCATCTTATTGGACTCCTCTGCGGCGATCACCGAGGGAACGAAGCCGTCAATATTATCGAATTTGTTGAACGCTCTCTCCGGTTGCCAAGGTCTGATGACTCCCAGGACTACTTCAGCGAGACGTCAAGCAATGCCGATCGTGAATCATGTGCATCTTCAGAGACGGTTGCCCTCGACTACGAAGCTGATGGCGACAGAATATTCAGATCACCTCGAAGTCGGGAGAGTGAGGATTATTCCGCCCAAGCTGGCTTTGGATCGAGTGGCTTCTCCGTGCCCGCCTCGGAAAATGGACGTATTCTCGCTCTTGTCCATGCAAAAGGGAACATGCTATACGCTCTTGCAGATGTTGATGGCGCATCGAAGGCCTTCGAAGACGCTGTCTTGATCAGCACTGGCAGGAGCTTCCATGGAATCAAGGATCTCATTCGCAGAATAATCGATGTGCTATCTCTTGATGGCATTAATCCCTTGCGCTCAGATTTTCGTTCTCAGAGCACGAGATCAACTCCACTTCTTCTTCCTCCGGACAAGGCCTTGCAGACTGCCAACCTCGTTTTTGCCAAAAACGGCGACCTTCCAGGCCTCCGCCACGTTCCCGAGGGCATTGCCAAGAGAGCAGCCATCTCAACAACAAGCAATTCGCTCCTCTCTCTTGCGAAAATATTCCAAGATGCTATGTCGAACAGTAGCTCTAGACAGAGAATCTCGAGGATGCCTACAGGTGTTGGCGATATTCTAGCACTCTACTACCTATCATTGTCCTTGCAGCCAAGCCCGTCGACCGCTAACAATGTGGGTATATTGCTGGCAGGCATTCAGCAAGCTCCTGGACATCGCCACCACGTGCACAGTGAAAGCTCTGCACAGCCTGCTATTCCTGGCGTCGTCCCAGGGAGCGGAGTAGCTTTGGCTCTTGCATATTACAACTACGGCCTCAATTTGGACTCAAGACACGCCCACATCTACACGAACCTTGGCAGCCTTCTGAAAGACATTGGACAGCTTGCTGCCGCTATCACGATGTATGAAAAGGCCGTGTCCTGCGATAGCTCATTTGATATTGCTCTTGCGAACCTTGCCAATGCGGTCAAGGACCAGGGGCGTACAAGTGATGCCATCGAATATTATAGACGCGCAGTAGCATCAAGCCCAGACTTCGCAGAGGCGGTGTGCGGTCTCGCGAATGCCCTTAATTCTGTGTGCGACTGGGCTGGACGAGGTGGAGTCATACTTGACGGGAGTAAGCAGGACAGATGGCATGTGGACGAAACAGGAATGATCACGGATGCCAGATCAAATGGCATTGGTGGTGGTTGGATGAAGCGGGTTGTCGACATAGTCGCAAAACAACTTAAAGACGGCGCAACCTGGGGTCGTGGAACGCTGCAAAGCCCGGTTCTCCATAACTTTCTTCACCAATTGGAAGTCGCGGACTCTGGGGGCTTGTGGTCTCCAGAGAAAAGGACTAATATACAAGTAACGCTTGCTGGATGGGCCGGTCAGCGCTGGGAAGGTGCCCGCATCGTACGGATAATAGAGCGCGCCGTCAAACGAGCAATGCATCGATGGTATCATGACAAGCATGTCAAAAGGCGTGACCTCCCCTCATCACTATATCCACGACCACTGCTTCCGAGCAGCCTCACTGTCCCGTCTGCGCCAACGGTCCTTCCCTTCCACACATTTACTTGTCCTCTGTCGGCCAAGGATATACGCATGATCTCGCAACGAAATGCCCTTAGGATATCTTGCTCCACGTTGCGGGCTCCCTGGATGCAAGGGACAGTTTTCTCGCCGCCGCCGCCTCCTGCGCCACATTTGAATATTGGATACGTCTCGTCTGATTTTAACAATCACCCCTTGGCTCATCTGTGAGTTGCCTCTTCATGTCTCATCAAAGCCATTATTGACTGATTCCCAAGGATGCAATCTGTTTTTGGTCTCCATGACCCATCTCGAGCGAAAGCATTTTGCTATGCTACCACAGCTAGTGACAATTCGGTCCACAGGCAGCAGATCGAGCGCGAAGCGCCAGTATTTCGCGACGCCAGTTCGTGGTCGGCGGACCGTTTAGTGCAGCAGATCGTCGAAGATGGCATCCACATCCTTGTTAATCTTAATGGATATACCCGAGGCGCAAGAAACGAAATCTTCGCAGCTCGTCCAGCTCCCATTCAGATGTCTTTCATGGGATTTGCGGGGACACTTGGAGCTGAGTGGTGCGATTACATCTTGGCAGATGAGACTGCGATCCCCCCGGACACTTTGCGACCATGGCGTCGGAATCTTGATCTTGAGGACCAACTACTGGATCAGCAATCTCACGAAGAAGAAGATTGGATTTACTCGGAGAACGTAATATTTTGCCGGGATACCTTCTTCTGCTGTGACCATGCCCAGTCAGAACCTCGTGAAAACCAACTATCATGGGACGATGAGCAGTCCAGGAGATGGAAAATGAGAAAGGAACTATTTCCGAGCCTCTCTGATGACGCGATAATACTTGGAAACTTCAATCAGTTATACAAGGTATGTACCATTCTCCTGCATGCCGGCGAGATAGACTGCAACTCACCGCTTCAGATTGAACCAACCACCTTTCGAACTTGGTTGAGAATTTTGGACAAAGTCCCGAAAGCAATTCTATGGCTGCTTCGTTTCCCGGACTTAGGGGAGAGTAACCTGAAGCGTACCGCCCAAGAATGGGCAGGGGAGAGCGTTGCATCACGCATCTGGTTCACGGACGTGGCTCCAAAGCACCAGCACATTTCCCGCGCTCGAGTTTGCGACCTTTTTCTGGACACGCCCGAATGCAATGCCCACACAACAGCAGCGGATGTTTTGTGGTCCAGCACGCCCCTCCTGACGCTCCCTCGCTACAAGTATAAGATGTGCTCTCGCATGGCAGCGTCGATTCTGAAGGGGGCTCTACCTAAGAGTGAAGAGGGCCGTCAGGCGGCCGCTGAGCTTATTGCAAAAGACGATGATGAGTATGAAGAATTTGCAATCAGACTTGCTAATGAATTTTCCTACAAGACCAATCCTTCTGGTCGCGGGGAAGGCGTTGGGAGACTTGGCGAACTCCGTAAGATCTTGTTCAACAGCCGCTGGACTTGTGCATTGTTCGATACGAAGAGATGGGTTTCTGATTTAGAGGCTGCTTACGGCGAGGCCTGGCGAAGGTGGGTAGCAAATGAAGGGGGAGATATTTATCTATAAATACTTGGATCTTGCACTTATAGAACTAGAGGGGTTGGTTTGGATCACGGTGCGTCATTTGGTGCTGGAGCGATGGAGTCACAGGGAACATTAAGCGTATAAGATGGGGGAGTTTTGGATTTGCAGATATGTCGAGCGACTCCTCATCCAAATGAGCTAGATACCCATCAGTTGATCAAGATCGTCCGATCGTTTTCTTCGCATATCCCCTGCAGCACAAGATGGCAGCGAATCTTAGTTTTCGGGAAAAGAGGGCGTGAACCAAAGAACCTTATATCGGGCCGCCAAATGCAATGGCTACGAAAAGTCAGGTAAGCCGTCGGGGCTTTGAGGAGAAAAGGCAGTTATGGCCCACACGGAGCTCGTTTCGGTCAAACAAGGGTTAGGAAACGCCTCACCGTTGTTCTCTCGTGAGCGTCCTATTGCTAACGAGCATTTTTATCCAGAGATGATGGAAACACATATCAACATAATTTCAGAGTGCCGTTGAAATTAGGAGGACTCCGACTGAGATTGCTCCGTCCACTAGCAAACCTCGCCCGTAATGACCCCTAATGGTCGGCTGGCTGGGTTCGATTTCCTCCGGGACAAGTCATCTCGTTGATTTGAGTTTGCTGCAAGACACAGTTTCAGTGGTCATACGGGTTGAATGAAGTCTTTCCAAATACCAAATTTGTTTTATGCACCAAGATAGGCATTAGAAATGCACCCTTAGAGATAAGATCAGGTCAGAGCCTGATGCTATGCCGGCGAAGTACGGCTGCCTGCCGGACTTGTGAGAGGCAAGGGTTTTGCTCTCAGGTTAGCTTCGTCGTCAGCGGTTCCAAAAGGAAAGTATGGGATATTCAATGGCGGGTGCACCAGTCGCTCCGTTGTCGAGTCGAGTTCGCGTTCACTCCATAGTATATACGTGAAGTTTAAGCCGCAGGCTTGCCAGTGCAGCATATCATTCCACTCCTCTGCACCGTACAGCCATTGACCGTGAGACTAACCTACTAGACAATCGTGTTCTATTACGAGTTCCCTTGGTCGAGCCGTGCCTCTGGACCGACATAATCTTATGAGAAGGTATTGCAGGGTTGACGACTGTTCCGACAAAGACAAGGTCAACATGAGCAGAACACGAGGACAAGTAGTTTTTGGTGAGGCTAGGATATGCCCCAAAAAGGCAGGAGATAACCTTGCATTTCCCAATTGGTCATTAAAGTCAAAGGTATATACAGTCATGTTATGTTATGGCGGGTTTAAATGGGTATCTATATAACAAATGTACAAGCACTATTAAGGATTGGAATCCCGATTTCGTTACGACAAAAGGAGAGACGTTGCTCATTAATTTCCTGCACGCGGTCACCGCTTCCACACCAAGAAAGCCTTCGTGTGTCCCAAGTAGTGCAAATGAGGAGACCCAGACGAACAAGTCAACACCAAACCTCCTTTTTTAACCCCAGGGTTCCTAAAGTGGCGGTTGGTTCACCCCAGTAAAGAAGAGAGATGCATTCTCGAATCGCGTTCCGCCGAGTGGTCTCGTCGCTCCAATCGAGTACTTAATTGCAACGGCGGAAGCTGAACTGGAGTCGATGGGGCTGTCGGTAGTTGCGACCGAGAGTTGAAATGATAATCTCGTGGTGATGCCATCAAGTGCTGTTTCTCGGAACGATGCATCTGTGGCGAAGATGCTGTCAAGCCGTTGAGATTTGTATCGCTGGAGAAGCGCGAGGCAGAGCTGTACATGTCGACGTCCGAGAAGAAAGAATTCGGTCTGAAGGAGAGTGTTGGCAAGCTTGGTCTTCGGTTATCGCGACTAAAAGGATTCAGGGGAGGTAGCTCAACCCCAGGCGAGGAAGCTAGGCGAGGGGATATCGAGAAGGCGGAGCCATTATCTGACACCAGCGAAGGTGCTCCATCGACTGACTCTGCTCGTGAGCCTTCCGAGACCGCTGGAGAAGGAAGGGGTCCGTCCGGACCATGTCGACAAGGGAAGCCCGAAGGTGTGAGGTCGAGGGGACGACCAAGGGGTCTCGCGAATGATAGAGGTTGAGCACGCTCATCAAAGGTGGTGGTATGTTGAGAGGAAGGCCTTCGTCGTAGGACGAGACGTCGACGACGGTTCATGCTGCCGTTCCACCAATTCTTGACGGCATTGTCGCTTCGACCATGGAGTCGACGAGCAATCTCAGCCCATCGCTTCCCCATTTCTCCTACCATGCGCTCAATTTGCAGACCCTCATCGGGACTGATCGGCTCGTGATTCAGTGATGGCTTGAGGTTTTGGTGATACCGTTCTCGGCACTGTTTGGGGGACCGAGAGCCGATGAGTTGGGCTATCCGGACCCAATTCAATGCTCCCTGGGTGTGCACCAGCTGACACAAGTAGGCATCTTCTGCCTGGGACCAAGGCCCTCGCCGATGGGATGCCATGGCAGAGGATTATGAAAAGGTCGTATCTCTTTGGAAGGCTGCCGAAAACGTTTCTGAATGACCAGGATCTGAACAGAGCGGTTTGCCAACAAAACCCGAAATGCTATGGGCCGTGGAAGTGGAGAGGAGGACGTCTCGTAGGATTCTCGATAGGAAGAGATCAGAAAACGATCCAGGTATCAGGAGTATTGGAATTCAAGGATGATGAAATTGGGAATCCTCCGCGGAGGGGGGAGATATGGGCAAAGGGTTAGATGCCAGGTGAAGGGAGCGAAGGACGTGTTGACGAAATCAGGGCCCAAATGAAGTAGTGGATGAGGTGGTGACAGCTGAGGATATTGCTAGGAGTTTTGGTGTTGTAGTAGTGCAGCAGTGCCTGCTTTGAGATTGACAGAGGTGGCAGATGCGGGTGGGCTTTTGTTTGACAGGGAAAATCCAGCGATATAGAAATACCAGGCCAGGTGGATCCCGGTGTATATTGGCAGTCGACAGCTTTGCCAGGAGTCTCTCTCCCGAGAGCTATGTGGAAGCACCGGGAATGGGATCAGTGCTCCGGGTGGTGATGGTGGTGTGGACGATCAAGAATCGAGAGAGAGCGGTTGCCCGTCAATGGGAGAAGTTGGTTGGACTTGACCGGACGGAGGGGGCTTGATGTAGTGAGGCTGGTGTAAAACTGATCGTGGATGTTGTCAATGAGAAGGACTGAGCTACGAGCGAGGCGAGTGCTTCGTAGGTGTATGTGAAGGAAAGAGATTGAGCACTCGTTGGACGGGTGAGGGTCAATTATGAGGACGGCCAGTTACAAAAGGTGTTGTGGTGGGGGCTTAACATAAAAGAGGCAACGATCAGGCTTGTACCAGAGTGCCGGGGGCTCGTCCGGGGAGGGAATGATGGGCGACTGGGTTTAGTAGTATCCCAGGCAATATTGGGAGCGGCGTTGATGTTTGGAGATAATCTCGACTCGATTCGATTCTCGGGGGGGGGAGGGAGGGGCTCAAGGCTCGCCCATCTCAGTCGAGTACGGACGTACTGGGCTGGAGCGGCTGGGGAGGAGGAGTGAGTGGTGAGTATCACCAGCAGCCATGGCCCATGGGATGGGTCGTTTAGTGGGGAAATTCTGCGGTGACCACTGAGAGGGTCGTGGGTGTGTGAATGCTTGAGACATTGGGAGTGAGTCTCCGTACACCGGGCACGGTGTCAATGGCACAAATCCCTGGCTCGACGGGGTGGCTTTCCTCGACCTTTCAGCTGGGACCACCCGGTCTTTGCCCCATCCGGCGTAGGCGCTCCAAACACTTCCCCCTTCCGACGACCTCCCGCCGTGGTGACTGGTGAGACGTTATCAGAAGATGGAGTTTGGGCGCCAGGGTCCAAACAGCTCGCCGTATCGAGCGATTCGCGCCCCCGGCTACGGCATGGCGGATATCGATGGCGGAGACGGATTGACGAATTGGTGGACCTATTTTTGCTTCCCGCAATTAAAGCTGGTCTGTTGAATAATATGCTCCGCAGGCCGTCCTGGGGTCGTCGACTCTCAGCCATTATTGGAGCTACTGCCAACAAGCTTGCTGGTCTCAATTCCACCCCAGTGTCACAATGATGTCGACAATGGGCAACGGGCACCAAGAATACGGTCCTGACTGTCGGGTGCCCATGCAACGAGTACCGCGCTCTCGTCTCGTCTCGTCTCGTCTCCCGCCTCCAGGCCCACGTTAGGGACTGTGCTTTGCTGTGCTGTGCTGTGCTGTGCTGTGTTGCGTTGTGCTGCCTCTGGACTCACTGCTGGGTCGGAAGCAGTTGAGGAGAGCCGGGTCGAGATCTCCTGTGCCTGCCTGCCCTGCCCTGCCCTGCCCTGCCCTGCCCTGCCTTGCCTTGCCTTGCCTTGCCTTGCCTTGCCTTGCCTTGCTTTACACTGGCCCTGGCTCGAGGGCTTCAGTGCCTCTGGCTGATCAGTGGTCACGCCGTTTCCTCCTTCAGTCTCTCCCCTGTTGCTGGTCTCGATTCGGCGCGCACGGCTGGCGGTTTGGCAGACGGCCTGGCCCAGACAGGCGAAGCGTGTAGCGCACACGTCGAAACGGGGAGGCTGATCTGAAGATTATTTTGGCCGTGCACTCTGGGCCAGTGGCCCTCTCTTGTGGAGGGGAAGCTTAAGTTGCGGCAACCAGGAGCCCGGAGAAGAGAAGCAAGGCCCCCTGACTGGCCCAAGCTGGTACTGGACGACGAGGTATCCCGATGAACTGGGGGCCTGTGGCCTGGGGCCAGCAATGGAACTACTACTCCGTATTGTACAGTACAGTACAGTAGGGCCAGGATCATGGATCATGGATCACGGATGCGGTGATGTGATGTGATGTGATGGGTGTGATCGTCCATCGTTGCTACCGTCGTGGCTCCCGCTAGCTCTCAACCCCAGCCGCCACAGGAGCTTCGCCGACCTGTCCTCCTCTGCGTCTGCTTCTGTGTCTGCATCCGCCCTCCACCGCCTTTGCTTTTGCAGTGCGATCGACCAGCCTGCCGGGAAACTCCTTGGAGCAGCTGAGTGCTGGTGTCGTGTCGTGTCGTGTGTGCTGAAGTGGTGTGCAGCGAGATATGATGCACAGGACTGTTGCTACTGTTCTTGTAAGTAGAGATGCGAACAGAAGAAGTTCACTCTTCGCCCCGAAAAGACTCTCTGCTCGGGAGTCATCGAGTCGTCCAGTCGCCTCAGGCCACGCCGGTGCCTGCCTCTGCCTCTAAACTCAACGTCGACATCACAATTACGCAAAAACGCAACAACGCAACAACGCAACAACGCAACAAAGTTTCGGGCCAGAGCCAGGTACGAAGCAAAGTCTAATCCGAATTTCAAGCACGAGAAATGACGACTTTCCCCAACACGGGGGAGCATCGTTGGTCTGCTGTTCCTTTTGGCCTCTCCCCCTGTGCGGCGCCCCAGAGATCCAATCTCCAGCTTGGACCACCAACGTTGCGATCGCCCGGATTCTTGGGAGCGGAGAGAACCGTCGTTGTTCTCCGGACATGGCTCCCCGTTCTTCGCCTGGAAGCGCCCAAGGGGCTTGCCGGTTCGGTGCAAGCCGGATCTTTGCATTGGAGATGACTTCTTTCCCCTCCAGTCTTCAATTTCTGCCCCGCAAGTCCAGGTTGGGGTCTATTGTTGCTCATGCCATGCGTCTCGCAGTTATTGCTTTCGGGGACATGTGCCACGATCTTCTTCAGCATCCCATAAGATTGAAACGATATTCTTGGGCACTTGGCCTGGCAAGATAATGGATGGCCTTCTCCGTGCTCGGATGTCCGTTCTATGCTACGGATCGGCGCGGTAATCAGCAAATAAATCGAAGTACTTGCTGCCTGCTATCAAGAGGATCTGCACTTGTCAATAACCCCACGAGTCCACGACGAGCAGACAAGATAGAGTACCACGCCATCATGTGCTGGAAAATCTTCCGTTCAGCGCCCAGCCTAAGATCTCGAAAATCTACATTTTAAGGTTTATCATTGAGATCACGCGTTGGAGCACTAACAAAGCTCTGCTAGATTCGCAGAGCTTGATCGCATTCATTTTCCAATTCTAATCATCAGTTGTCAATCTTGGTGATTAATAGCGGCAGAAGTTACTGAGTAGGAGCGGACTCGGTAACATCATCTTCATATCCTTACTATTCTCGCCCCGAACCACTGCGTTGGATGCGGAAGCTTCCATGTTCTGTGCGACCACCAGCTCCTGGTGCTCATCATACTTTCCCCATTACATACCGTTGCATATGAGAATTGCGAGTTGAGGCCAACGTCGAGAGCAAATTAGCATTTAAACATTGCCCTACGTTAATCTCACCCAGTAGATATTCTTAGGGCCTGCCTTGACTTTCGAGCACTCCCAGCTCCTCGGATCTTGACATGCATAAGCTTTCGAATCGAGGGTCAAGATGTACAGCAGTCTGGACATGTCACGGACTTTTTCGATCAATAATAAAACGCATCAGGGGACGTTTGGTGGAGTAGTACTATAGTTGCTCATAGTTGGCATGCTTCGCTGCAGGGTAGGGGCTGGTCCAATAATGCTTGATGTTGTACAGAGGTCATGTCGTGTCTCGTCGTTGACCCATCTCACCGGATTTCAGGTCGGCGAGGTGAAAATCCTTGTTCACAGGCCCTTGTCGTTCATTCAATCTGTTGGGACTGATGAGCAGTCACCGTTCAGTCCAAGGCTTTCTAGTGTTGTCAACTTGTCGTAACCTGGCCTGCCTGCACCGTTTCTGTTTCTGTTGGCCAAGGGGCCGAGGAAATGAGCGCAGCGTGAAGGGCATGACAGACGGGGAATCCGAACTTTGCAGTACTGTACAATGCTGCTGTTGTTGATATGTCATTAGTGTACGCGGGGATATCGCAAGTCTCTGGAGACTGCGACGGCTATTTGAGATGAAGTCGTTGTCTCCGCGAATGACCGCCTTGCTATCCCTGAACCCGACCCTGGCCCTGCGGTGGCCCGACTCACCTATGCTCCACTCCACATCCTTGAAGCAATCCATGATTGCTCCCGCAGGTGATCTTCCAGATCGGACAAGGGTAAAGCGAGATGTTCATGGCTCAGGCTCAAGCTCAGGCTCAGGCTCAGGCTCAGGCTCAGGCTCAGGCTCAGGCTCACAAGCCCCCATAACAGCATGTCCATGTGCTGGACTGGAGTGTTGGAGAGCGAGGCTCACAGTTTCGCGCAGAATTGAAGCGCTGTCAACAGTACGCTTTCCTGCAATGGTCCTCGCTGTATTGGCTTTTGAGCCTTCCCGGGACCTGCCATTGAACGAACGACGTATTTAATTGCAAATTTGGAAGTGCGGCGGTGGGGAGATCTGCGATCTGGCGAAATTCGACGATGCACTGTATCTTGTCTTCTTCCTCTCGTTCGCCGCACCCATGTATGAACGTTCTCCGCATATCCAAAAAAGTAATTTGGCGTTGGCGCATAACGCTAATCAAGATGCACGGGAACCGATCAGCGACCCAACAGACAGCGATACATCACAAGTCAATCTAAAGCCGTTGAAGCCTGCGCGGAAACGCGGGTTTGATCAGGCCTGCCCAAAAGCAAGCAAAGCTGTAGCTGCTCAATGTGCCCTTTTATGAAGGTCCAAAGGACGCAAATGCAGGGGCTGGTCCTGGTTTTGTGGGAATAATGAATGGTCCAGTGGACCCAGCACTGGGGTTCAGAAACGTTGATGTGTTGAAGCAACATGGGCGGCTGCAGATGGCGACGAATAGTTCGCAGAATGAGCCAATCAAGGGGAATTTCAACAATAGGCCCTTGACTCGCGGTGATCTTTTCATCCTCTTTTCCGAAGAGTAGGTACTTGACGCATCTTTTAAAGAATCCTCTGAGAATAAAGACGCGACATTGTCCTGCAAACGGCAATGCCCTCCTTGGTACCTCACAGCTGCTCTGCTCCTCTGATCCCGCGAGTTTCTCTGCTGCTCTAGTAGTCACTGACTGTTCAGCTGGCCAGCATCTCGAGTCACGACTAAGGCGGTATTTGGAATTGGCGGGTGGAAGCTTGTTCCTTGTCAGTCGCCCGCCCGTCGCGATCCTCGAGATTCTGGTGGGGGACGGGGAGCGATCCCGCTCAGACTCTGTTGGCTAACGTTCACTAGCCCGCCCTGCTAACTGTCACACATGAGTGCGAGGAATCTAAAAGACGAACGAGCGACATGGGCATCACGCTCCGCATAAGCCACGGGGCCAAGGGTTCGAAAGGAGGGGCGAGCCGAGATTGTGTAGAGTGGTTGTGCTGCTTTCTGAGCGACCCGGAGAAGTGTAAACTAAGCAAGATCAGGCACGCAGGTTTCGTTGCAAGACTTGAAATTGCAGCTTCTCAGCTCCCAGGCTCAGGATTGGGGACTGGGAACATGCCTACTCCAGGGCCCTATTCCACTTCATTGTTTACCGGGGGAAGGGCATCTCCCGAGTCGATGGAGACTTTCGCTGGTCTACGCATCGTAATGGGGTTTGTTTTTCTGCCAGCTTGTTACAGTCAGAGGCGAAAGATTTGGATACAAGGACCGGGTCGGACCCTGGCCCAGAAGGAGATCAGTAGCGTATCATCGTGGATCACTCATCATCTAACGTGCTCTTGTACATGTACCCGGCTGCTGGTAACTTCTAGACCGAATTTGTTTCAAGCGCTGCAATCCTCACCAAGAGGCGGCATCTGACTTCAACCTTGCAGGCTCCTATCCTCCACAACCTGAGCATATCAAAACGCGCCCGAATTTGCGCAAATGCTGTAGTGCTTCCGGGGACTGTTCTCACACAAGTGTGGGGCCGCCGGAGCTGGAGGAGGAAACAGGGCTACAGAGCTATTCTTAGTGCTCCCCCAGTATGGAAAGTTCCCATTGCTCGGGTGGCCCTGGAAGCAATAGTAATATCACGGGCTTGATAAACTCCCAGGACTGCTGGTATGCTGGCCGCACATCAACGCCATGTTCGCATCTGCACAGCTGAGGATCCCCCTTCTTGCGGCTGGTGCTCACCAATGAGGGGGCAGTTCGGTTCTGTTTCAGGGTTTGCTGCTGGGTGGCCGCCGCCGCCGCTGCCGCGGCTGCCAAACAACTATCTCAAACGGAACTGCAAGCCTCGATGCTGTTGAAGAAAGGCCTCGTGCATGGTGTGGATCCGGCACAATGGAAAAGGGAGCGGGGTCACCGATGCGGGCCGTTGAAGCAGCGGCACTGCGGCAGGTTTGCAAATGCAAGACAAGCGTGAGCCAGGCGGTGGAAGTCTGAGAGGTGGAGGAGAAGGTTGTGTCTGTGTCCAGGAGGTCCTGAGTACTGTACTTAGTAAGTGCGTGCTGAGTGCTGAGTGCATTGTTGCAGTAGCGAACGGGAGCGCAGGACTCGTTGCAGAGCGCGGTGATTCGACGACGCAGCGAGAATCGAGTTCAGGCGAGTCAGTTCAGGGGTAGGGGAGAGGGGGAGGCGCCAGCCAAAACCAAAAGCCACACCTGGACACCCCCCCTGTCAGCCCCAGGCCTCATTTGGCGATATTTAACGACTGGTGGCGTGCGTTGGAGCCAGCCTTGTCCGCATCTGAGCATTCCCTCGATATGCGCGATCTTCATACTCCGTAGTTCACTCCAGGAATACCAAAAAATCCAAAATAGAGTCTTTTGCACTCCTGGCCCCTGAACTTCGTGCGTTCGATTGCCCCGAATCCCCGACCAGCTGAGGGCGCGAGATTGAGCAGGCCGTTGCCGTTGCCTGTTGCCGTTGCCGTGCTAGATATATTGAATGTACGGAGCATTGCTGGCCCGCTCCTGGCCACCACGGCCTGATCAGCACGCACATGAGAACAGTGAGCCTGCTATAGCTGCTGCTGCTCCTGCTGCTCCTGCTGCTCCTGCTCCTGCTGCTCTTGCTGCTCCAAGGCGTCGCTCTCTTTGTCAATCATGATCCATGATGAGCCCGTACAGAAGTCAGAGCGTGAGACGGACGGATCGGACCCCCCTGTCGGGCATATATCCAGAAGCAGGAGGACAACGGCGGCGGGAAGATCGCCATGATTTTCGGCCAACATCTCGCCAATCTCATAAACGGCCGCCAAGCTAGTCCCTCCAGAGCCAGCGCGACGGCTAGGAGGGATCAGGTGCAATACTGGTATCGATCGTCCTTACTGTACAGTACCGGTACAGCTCCCGGGGTCGCGACTTGCGCTGCTGCGCAGCTGTAGGGCCAGCAAGCCGCCTCACATACTGCAGTATCTGCTGTATCTCACCCGTTCAGCAACTAGCTGGCAGCTCAACGGGCCGAAGACTACTGTAATGACCGCGAGATCTGACGTCTCTTGCTTCCCTGTACGCACTAAAAAACCTTGCCCAATGTAGATCCGCAACGCGTACGGTACACCTCCCCTGGATCCTCACGAGTAAGTAATTTACTTGATGCGCCGAGTCAAGAAGCTGCGGGTGACAAGTCCAACTGCCCTCCTCCCCGCTCCGACGATCCGATCGGCAAGCCCTAATTCCACCAGACCACCGCTTTCAGGCCGTTGGTACTGTCCCGTACAGTACAATGCGACTTTTACCCCCCAACACCGTCTCCCGAATCTTGAGATGCCCTAGGTGGTCGCTCCCGGCAATAGCCTATGATTGGTCATCTTACGAGAACGCCTCTTGTCTGAGTTTGGACTTCCAGTGCCAGTGGTGTCTTCGGGGGTTTTGACGGCCCGCTGCTGGAAGGGAGCCAAAGAGCCCTGCTTGTGCAATCGAAATCGTGGCACGAACACTCAAACAAAGAGCCGCCGATGGGCACACATGAATGAATAGGCTTCGACCCATCATGGCGTTATTCGCGAGTGTGGCGCTGAGCCGCTCTCTGGAGGCAAAGGAAAGCTCAAGAGTCAAGACATGTTTCCAGCCCTGTGAGTCTGTCTTGGTGACCAGGCGGTGCGCGCTGTTTTGTTGGATCTGCATCGAGCTTCACAACGAGATAGTGTTGAGTTGGTGTCACACAAAGGCTCAAGTGTGTTGTTATATGAAACTTGCAATTGAGTCTGTTAAAGGTAACTTCAGACGGAAATCCACTTGATGCTGGAAGCTCCTGCATTCACCGCTTGACGAGAGAGAGCTTGGGAGATCGGCCATCAACCACCTCGATCGAATAAGAGACGTTTTGCTTCTGAAGCCAATAGCAGAACGAACCCATCTGCAGCCTCTGGCTTTTCATTTGCTCAAACTTGAAACCGGATCATTCGGGGCGCATCCTGACGATACGCTGTCTTGCAACCCACCACATCTGCATCGCGAGGTCTCGAATCACCTCAGACATTGACAAGTCCACAGCCCAACAAAAGCAATGTTGATCTGAGCCCACCACTTGAAGCCCTCATGAGATTGGTGCTTGCAAGTAGCAGCGCTGAGAAGCCACACATTCCCACATCGTCTTTGTTTCAAAACACGTTGCGATCCAATGCACGTCACGTATCGAGTTTCCTTCAAAGCTTCCACCAACCGTGATGCGGCTTTGCAACTGCCACTAAAACTTTCTCTTGTTCTTCCAGCTCCCTCTCCTGACAGTCCTCGATCGCCACGCCGTTCGCAAACTGCACCACGACAAAGTCGATTGGATTCCGGCCGATCACCACCATGGGGGCATGCCACGTCCCTGCCCCGTACGTGACAGCTTGGGCACCATTGGCCACGAAGGCGCGAATGTTCTTCAGATCTGGTAAGCCTCTTCCGGGCAAACGGCCGTTGGTTTGAGTCCGGGTTGGAATCGGAAGTCCTTCATCGGAGGATGATGGAGATAAACTTGGTGCAACAATGACGAGGTAACGAGCTTTGTGCGCTTCAGATGAGGACAACCCAAGTGGAATGAAAGTCTGAGTGGTAAAAGGATGCCGCTCAAGTATTTTGACTGGAAATTTGCCGGCTTCGCCCCCGTGCTGGCTCGGCAGCAGTGGCCTCGGGGCGCAAACAAACATGTTCATGACTGCCTTGGCTGGCTCATGACTTGGAGCAGAGCCATACAGGTCAACCATATGTGTGACATCCAGGTACTTGAGTGCGCTGCCTTGGTTTGCCTGTACAGCATTCGGCGGGAAACTGCTGATCTGCAAAGATGGGATGAGCGACGGGGCTGGGTTTTCTATAACTGTTCCGAAGTCCGCAAAAGGTTTTTGAGACAGGACTTCAGCTTCAATGGCCCGATGAGCGACTGGGATGGTGACAGGTAATCCCATTCTGCCGAGTTTGCCTCAAGCCGTAGGCTGAATTGTTGGGATGCCGAGTTCTCAACTCACGGCCTCACAATTTGGAGGTGTGCAGGCCACAATCCAGGTCACATGTGCAAAGAAGGGCAACCCACACACCACGCAACCGCTCAATCCCGAATTTAACCACAACAACACAGCAGTTTAGAGAGACTGGCATTATTTACAGGTTCTTCGGAGTATTCTTTTTGATCTGTGAGGTGTTCAGAACTTTCTGAGCGCTTTGAGGAAAACTCGATTTTTTGGTGTTAGACGTTTGTTTGGCTGCTGGCCTCCCATTGTCACCCCCTTTTTCCTCAAGCGAAGTATTGTTGTGTTGTACTATTGTGACCTTTGAAAGAGAATTGTGCATTTGGCACAATGCAGATCCACAATACCAACATCAGTCTTTGGCTTTCAATTATAACATCATGATGGCTCCTATTGTCAACATGAGCTACTCAATGATTCCCCTCGTTGCTTTCCATCCATCCTCCTCCTTCTTTTCCATTTACATTATTCAAGAAGTCTCTTCGTTCCACGCAGGCTGTCGAAGAAATCTTCTTTTGCTTGACGGAAAATTCTTCTTGTTCGCCCAATACATCTCGAATCTTGGCAGTCAACCAAGAAACTCTTTCGAAAATCTTTGTCTCTCGTGTTCCTGCGGCCAAGCAGTTCAAGATGTCTTCTCCAGGCCCTCCAAAACCTCCGGGTCAGCGCGGACATTGGCTCCTTCCTTCTACGATACGACCAGAAGATATTAGCGGTCTCGCAAACTTTGCCGAAGCAACTACTCATCCGCCGACGTCTGGTTGCTGGGGCAGAGTTCGCTGCGAGTGTCCTGTCAACCCGTATGACGAAACTCCAGAAGAGTGGGAAGAGCGCGTCTTCAATTGTCTTTGGGGACAAATCAATGAAGATACAGGTGTCCAGAGCAGGGAAGGCGATGATCTCTCTGGCCATGGTGTCTTGCCCAATTTCGGATTGTTCTCGGCAATGACCTACACTGATGAAACATATGAGGATGAGGAAGGATATGAGGAGGATTCGGCCGAGAGTCAAGCAGAAGCAGCTGGAGATGGGGAAACGTATAAAGAGGACTCGGTCGTGGCTCATGCAGCAGCAGAAGGAAATGAGGAAGCATCGGATTCGGAATGTGAGAGTGAGAAACCACAGCGAAGCTCGGCACCCAAGACCGGGGTTCAGCGAGTACACGCAAACAGGGATGTGGAGTCTGAGAGCGACAATTCGGCATACCACGAAGACGAATACGAAGCATTCGATTCAGACGAGGAGAGCAGGCCAACCATTCCAGCACAAGCAGCACCAGTTCAGCCTCAATCAACTGGTTCTGATAATGCAGATCAGATTAAAGACATAGCCCTCGCTTTGTTTGATGGTAATCAGCGGAAAGCAGCCGCATGGCTCAAATCTCAGGGGCAGTTTGAAAACGAGGCTTACTGGTCTCGATCAAACTCTAGTACCAAGAACTCTGGCACTGGCCCACCTGTTCCACCTTCCAAGAAAACCCAACGCGGGGAGGAACCTGCCTCAAAACAGCCACCCATTCGCAGATTCCAAGGCCCATCCCACGCCACCTTGCCCCCATCGACCCTATCTACGACGCACAAATCCATGGATAATTCAAACAAGAGAAAGAAAACCGCGGGAATCGATGACGATCTCGACGTTGACGTTTACCAGCCACCGTCCAAGAAAGGCAAGGGTATGTTTGGTCATGTCCCGAAATCACCAGCACAGGGCCTTGGCGATCTCGATGCTTCACACAAGAGAAAGAAAAACCCGGAATTCGAGGCCGATCTCGATGATAGCATCTATCAGCCACAGCCCAAGAGAGGCAAGGACATGTTCGGTGGTTTCACTAAGTTACCAGCAGAAGGGTTCGGCGGAGCAAACAGTGGTCCTAGCGCTAAACAATCAACCAAGAAAGCCCGTCGTGCTCCAGCGGCATCACAGAACGCTATGGAGACCATTCCAGGATCCACATGGCCAAAGTCGGAGGGAGACGAGTTGAACAGACTCCTCCGAGCCCGGAGAGATTTCGAGAGGACTCACAACATTGCCCCCTGGCTAGACGGAAAGCTTTTTGGGATGCTGAGCGAACGACTCCAACAGGTCACGCGCCGAGAGAAGCCTAGAACCTTGAATGCCTGCAAGAACTTCTGGAATAGGTACGGCAGATTCTACTACGATTGTGACGAGCGAGGTAAGAAGAAGAGGTCCGAATCGAAAGTGACATCGGCACAATCTTCGAAGAAGGTGCAGAAAGCAAAGCAGCATACGATGACCGCAAAGAGCAAGAGCAAGAGCAAGAGCAAGAGCAAGAAAAAGAGCAAGACCGAGACTGAGACCGAGACTAAGCAAGAGGAACGGGAAAGCGATGCTGAGGAGTCTGATCACTATGGGGGTGCAGATGAGGAGTGATGGGGTACATTAGGATCTGGAGAGAAGCAAAGATGATGAAACGTGGGAACGAGAAATGTTTGGAGGTGGGTTGGTTTCTTGACTGGGGCAGGGGGAGTAGGGTTTCCTGGAAGATGTGGCTGACTACGTAAGCCGCTAAGTGATGAGGCTGCTTGGGGGCAACTTCACTTGATACAACATCAGACTTGCTTTGTCACTTTTCATTCTCCAAGTTGATGCGATACAGACTATCACTTAGTTTCCATCAATCGAATCGAATTTCTTCATTGATACTTGTGCCCTTCTCAAAAGCGATGGCTGATATTTCGTCTGGAAATCTTTGAGCCACCTTCGGAACTCTGCCTTCCCACCCAGCCTAAACCCAACTTCGAGCCAATGCACAACCATCCTGCTCACCCATCCTTCAACCTCACCCGCTCACCCATTCACGATGGCTGACATGGATATTGAGATGGATCTCGACATCGGCTATACCGAAGAAGAGCTGGCCGTTCCTGACATTGAACTATCTGTCAGTCCCGGACCCGAATATTAGCATGCAGTTGAAGCTGACATCCACGCAGACCGTTGCGCATGAAGCTACACCGATATTGAGCACCCCTAATGACACCACAGATGCAAACGCTCTCGAGCCCAGCCCGCACAAGGTTCACGTTCGCGGACTCGACAATCTCACCACCAAAGATGTTAGAGCATTTGCATCGCAGTACTTTGATTCGCACACACCTTCACATATCGAATGGATCGATGACACCTCCGCGAATGTGGTTTACGAGACTCCAGAGATTGCCCAGGAAGCACTGGTTGCGTTTGCTGCTATCCAGGTTGCAGATTTATTACAAATTCCCGTCTTACAAACTATTCCGGCCAGAGCATTTCCTCTACATCCACAAACGAACCTGCAGGTGCGACTTGCAGTTGTGGGAGACCGGAAGCAGGCAGGTGCCCGTGACCGTAGCCGCTTCTACCTCTTCAACCCAGAATACGACCCGGCGGAACGCCGAAAGCGAGCAGATTATAGAGGGGGCAGAAGATACAGAGACAGGGAAGATGGTGGGTATCGTAGCCAGCGATACGACGATCGCGAGCAAAAAAAGCGCGAGCGGGAGGCTGATTTCGACGCGAGTTTGTACGATGACGACGAAGGTGCAGTCGCAAAACGTTCCGCCAGGGATGCCAAAAACCAAGGATCATCATCGGGTAGCGAATCAAGAGGTCGAGAGTCCCGGAGGGTACGATTTGGCGGGGCAGCTGGCAAGGAGTTATTTCCCGAGCGTGTTGATGGGAGCAGTGGCAGACTACGAGATCGGAGTGCTTCTCCACTTCGTGAAAGTGATGGGGATCAAGACATGCGAGAGTCGCACGGCGCTCTTAGCAGGCGACAAGATACGGCAGCGTCTGCGAATCGACTCAAAGCACAGATGATAAAAGCTCGATTGAATGAGGCGAGTTCCATGAAGGAGCTTTTCCCGCAGAAAACGACCAGCCATCGCCGTTCCGGAGCATTTGATGCTGCTGATGAGACCGTCGCCGACTTGTTTGCCAACAAGATGCCAGTACCGTTCATGGATGGGAGCGGAGATGGTGGCCCAAGGGATACTCCATCACTGGCATCTAGAATTACAGGTAGAAGCTCCGGGAACGACCCATCTGTATTCAATATCCGCGGAACTGCGAAAGTACTCCCTGCTTCTGTCTTTAGTATCAAAGGAGCAGCTACATCGGGGCCAAGAGTCAAGGAGTTGTTTCCTTCCACGCTGGGGGACAACGCTGGCAAGGAGCTGTTTTCGGAGAGACTAAACGGACGGGGGGCCCAGAGGCAGAAGGCATCGGACTTGTTTTATTGAACATTGCAAAGGTGCTAAAGTTGGAAATCATCGGATACCATGCAATTCAGCAGTTGCATTTGCACCACCACCGGGGTTTAGATACCCACTTGTTGCAATGGGCGGTAATATCCACCCATTCGGTCGGTGCATCACAACGGAGTCTACCAAGGACGTCGCTTTTCTGGCATACCGCAATGGATTTTCTGCGATAGATAGGTTGAGAGCACTATCAAATACAAGTTATTCAGCGAGCAGGGGGGGTTCATTGTTTCTGACATCAAAGCTTTGTGATTGCGTACTTTGCGTCGCTCTGCCATGATCATGCTGCCTACGAAGGTTGTCGGACATCGACAGCTTTAAAACGGGAATTCTAAAAGTAATTCACTGTTTGAGTCGATCCAAGTAGCTCGGCGGTTCGATCTTGAACCCGAAACCAATCAATTTTTTATGCCATCTTCTAGTTTGCATGCAGGAGCGAGCCGGCGCTCTTTCCTCTTCCTTCCACTTCTTTTCTCGAGAGGGAACGCGTGCACCTTCGGCCGGTCTGACTCTTCGTTGGCATTTCACTTTGAATGACAGAGAAGCAAGATGGCAGATTGGTTGAGACCTGTTTTCGCCAGGACCAAAACTCCTGTCCCAAACTTTACTGACCGACAAAGCAGCTTCTCCGCCGACGACAAGAGCGAAGATGGAGACATATCGAGGCTACGGCCAACGTCCCGAGTTTCTTCCTATATGAACATCCGATCCAGCACGCCACCTATTCCTCAGACACCAGATTCCTTTGCAAACATTCGAAGCCCCGAGAGCGTGTACCACAAACCTTCAGTCGATCACATGGCCGAGACTCTCAAGGTCGTTATGATGAATCAAAGCTCGATGGACCCTGTTCCTATCGCTTACAATGCTTGTATTCTTCACGTCTTGGAAGCATATCAAGATTTGAGCACGGAATTAGTCAAGAAGGAGAACTTTCTCGAGGATTTAAAGCTGAGCCATACGAAGGATATCCATGACTTCGACGCTCTGGCTACTCAGTGGGAAATGAAAGAACGGGATTACAAAATCGAGATGAAGAAGCTAGAAGTCCTGTTGAGTCGGACGGAAGGTGGGATGGAGAAGGTGACGCTGGCGAGGAGTAAGAGTGCAGTTCACGGCTCTGGAGCAGCCGAGAGGATCAAGAGGGGCATCGGCACCATCAAAGAAAGGAATTCCGACCGTAACCATGAAGGTCAGTGATGGTTTTCCGACATTCCCTAAATTTGTCCTGACCTGAGCCATCAATTAGACAGCAAGGAAGACTTCACTGCAGATAAGACAGTTGGTAGAGATGCCACTGGTAAGACATTCAAATATCTTCCGTACTACCTGGCAATGCCTTACTGATCTGTAGATGCAGTGAAACCGTCGTTCCATCCTAGATTCAATGTTAGACCCCAAATCAATACACAAACCTCATTACATGGTGCAGGAGTGCCGGGGAAGCGCCAGTTCCATACCAATCTTCTTCGCTCGCGAGGATCGAGTGCCAGTCAAGATTCACTCACAACATTCGACCGGCCAACCCCTGAAACGCTTTCGAATCTGACAAAGTCCGAACTTGATGTATTCCAGCGACAACAAGTAGAAGGAGAGTATGCAATGGCTTCTGATTCGTCTACCTCGGGCCCGGATTCAAGCGCTCAATTTTCTCATGACGACGAGAAACCTTACCTGCAATCGCGAGTTGGGCTTGGAATTGACATCGACGAGAAGCCTCTTCCGAAAATCCCCTCCAATCAAGAGCCAAACAGGGCTAGGCGTACGGTCAGCGATTTTTGTGCTGCCGGATATCCACAATTCGATTCTGGCGGCGAGAGTGCGGAAATGTCTCCATTGGGGTTCTCATTCAAACCGGGAGATGATACGGGTATTCTCATTCAGAAGACGACCAGAGATTTGAATACGAAAAGTGCAGTGGGCATCAGAACTTACCAGCCGCGCAGCGCTACTTCCAGGGAACAATCCGAGGAATCATACACAAGTGCTCAGAGCGTAGAAGGATCGCAGCCTCCCAGGTCAGCGCCATTTGTTCACAAGTCCAAACTCCCAAGCAAGCCTGGCCGAGACCTACAAGAATCTGAGGCGTTAAAACGAGACGATTCAACCAGCAGTATCATTACCGCAGTACGTGGAGATTCTCGACGCAGCAGCGTTGACGGCTCAAGACATAGTAGTCAAGGCGCGCGACAGAGGTTGAACAGAAACTCGGGGAGCAACGAGGCTGTTACTGCAGCGATCCGAGCACTAGCCATTGCATCCGCAGGAACAAGGGGCTCGCCGAGGAAGGGTTCGAGCTCCAGAACCAGGGAAGGGAGTCTGAGGGGGGAGGAAAGTCCCAGGATTGACGAGGAAGAAGAAGTTTTAAATAAGGAGAGTCAGAAGGCGAGTTCTGCTCGGAGCGAGGTCTGAATCGTGATAGGAGAGCATGCAAATCCCGAGCCAAAGTCTGTCCGTATCTGAAAGCGACGCTTGCTTAAGTTCTGGGAATACATGTTAGAGTCTTTGCGAAGGAGAGAGTAGCGCAACAAATAAGACATGGAAATGAGATGAAGCAGGACAAAAACTGTGGTACGGCTTGGATGCTGTAATTTGAATTCGAGTGTCATAAGCCATCAATCTTGTGATATTGTTGTAAGTTTCAATGTCCCATTTCATTCCCCAAACACCCGTCTATCAATAATCATACCATAGGGATGTGACCTCACCCCCCTAGTCAACCCCTCTCCTAAAGAAACGCATGAATCTGGACCTCTGCTTCTCCGGCTCTTGGTAGGGTTCCAAGGGATAATACCTTTTGATCGGAAATTGGCCCGAGTCAAGCATGGCCGGCCGAGCCCATTTGTGCTCTGGAATCTCACCCAACTTCGTGCTGTCAGTCGCGAAAGACCTGATGGAGTTTCTATTGTCTATCTTAGCATGGCCAACGGGCGTCCTCCGCGATTGCGTGGTCACTCTTCCAGAGCTCGGTGGCGATGTTCGCTGTGTGGAGGTTAATGGTTTGGGGGAATGAGTTTTTGGTGATGAACGACGCGGAGTAGAGGGGCCAGAGGTTCCGGAGAATTTTGAATCGGAGGACAGCTTTCTTCCAGACTTTGGACGCACCCAACCGTCCGTGTTTGCCGGTCCAAGGGGCGTCAGTGAAAGGTCGGGAGCACTTTTCGAACGCGAGTGCTTTGAATGTCCAGTCGTCGACGACGAGGTCTTCCTTCTTCGCTGATGTGTTCGATGCTTGGCTAGAGGCCCCTCGGTCCCAGAAGGTATTAGAGCTAAGGAGCGCGAACGTCTATGGGATAGCTGCTCAAAAGTGTTGATTGCCTCCATTCGAGAGGCATTGGACAGATTGAGAAGCGCTTGATAGTCCGTGGAGGTGCTGCGTCCTCTGGTAAAGCGCTCAATAACGGAAACGAAACCAGCATTGAGACGGAAGAGGATCGAAGATAGCGATGAGTGTGCTTCGACTAGCAAAGAAGTTAGCTCTGGGCTACCTGCCAAGTGTCGATGATCTATTTGGTCATAAATCCCAGAGGAAACTCCTCGCCAACTTCCAGGTACTGCGTATAGCCCGTCAATCTGCACCAATCGATTGACCCGAGAGTTGAAGGGGGTTGGCAATGATAAGGAAAAACCAAGATATCACTTTGCGTGTGGATGAACGCCTCAGGGGGAAGAATGCATGCAGGAAAAATGTCTCACCATCCCCAACTGCAAACTCAGGCCCATGACGGGCGAGATTTCGCCCGTAAGCTTCCTTTACAGCAATTCTGTTCTTCTTCAAGGACTTGTTGAGATGGCTTTCTGCATTTTTCTTCGTTGGCTCAATCGGCAACTGCTCCCTTTTCCGCTTGCCTCGTTGGCTTTTGATGATGTCTAACCCATGGCCAAAAGCTTGAAGCAGAGCGAAGACGGCCTCGTGGAATTCGCCCATCATGACACGAGGGCTTGTAGGTGGATATAGGCCCCAGAGAGGCCCCTCCTCGATATATAATCAGGTTCAGTAGGCTGGCAGAGTCACAGCCTTGCCGATGGCTCTGGTCCTTCTGCGTCCTCGGACTCTCCTTGCAATCCGGCAATTACATTAGCCTCATCCCAAATGCAAAGCAACACGAATATTTGTGACAACAGAAGAGACGACAAAAAAATTAAGGCTTGTTGAGCATGATCTCGGGCGATATGCCTCGAGGATTCTCAGACCTGCCAATTGAGTGCCGCGGCTGCCTCTAAGCGCCCTGAGGTTGGTGTGCAGGTCTAGCAGGCCAATCACTGCACTCGACGGGAGTCTAGATCATGTTGCGCAAGGCGCACTGGGCCGACGGTGGGGTAGCATCAGAAAGCTTGTTGCTCAGTGGGAGCCGTGGTCGAACTATCAATCAATCACAAGATCTTGAGACTTCACTCGACGCCATACGGTCCTGTGCATTGCAGTGAGCGTGTTCCCAAGCTACCTTATGTGCATCTGCTCCTGGGCGGCAGTACGGAGCGGTCTGCATCTTCCTCGCCGTCCTTGGCCTCTCAGCAGGAAATCGATGTCTGGAGTTCCAAGTGAGCTACCATACGAGAGAAGCTTTCCACAAGAAGCTTGAGCAAGTCAATTAACGAACATGGGGCGGTAGAGTTTCTTTGCTTTCCACAAACCATACCATCTCGGCCAGAGCCCTGGTTGTTCCATGCTCGTTGACTGGTCTCTTCCACGAGTGGTATGCAGGAGAGGAGAGCAGTTGAGGTGCGCTCGGTGAAGGTTTTTTTTTGTTTTTGGAAATCCTTTGCAGCTGAAAATGATTGAACTTGGGTTTATAGTCGGACTCCGCGTTGGAATGAGCTATCGGATTTCTAGGACGGGCGAGACACATCTTCCACTGATTGCAGCTGTATCTAGATACGAAGTACTCGAGGATGCAAGAGCAAAAAGCAATGCAGGGCGGCGGGAAGGATACGTCACGTGACCCAACTCGCAGCTCCCACACACTACAGTATTGTCCTGACGCCTTGCCGTGCGAGGCTATCTAGACGAGGAACATCATATTGCTTCTTCGTTGTAGGCTGTCTCTGCTCTTGAGCATCGAAGAGAGGCAGTCATGCAGAGCAGCAAGGCGATCACGTGCCGGTATATGCTCGGCGGAATTGGATGAGCAGCAGCAGAACCAGTGCGTCCGCCTTGCTGGGGCCAGACGGCGCCATCGGACGTCTGCTTGAAAGTTGAAGCACCAGAAGGAAGTTTGACCCCCCGTCGCCTCGCCAAACGACGTGGGGGCGCTTCTCGTGCCCCTTGCCGTTTGCCAATGATCACTATCGCGATCGGATCATCTCGCCCAGTTGCGACTCACACCGGGGCGTGCCTGGCCAGTGACCTCGCGCGCTGAAGCCAGGGCTGTGCAGTAAAAATTGTCCATGTACCGTACTGGAAGTAGTACAGACTTACAGTCCGTACTCCTATCGATATCTTCATTATCATTGGCTGACGAATTGCGACAATTTGCGCACAATGATCCCACGATCCCTCCCGACATCGTGCCATCCCAGACACCGACAGACACTTCCCAGGCAAGCGCCGAACACAGTCAGGGCACGGCGCGATGATGCAGGCATCCTGCTCCCGGGGAACATCGCAAGCATGCCGATCGGCTCTCGTCCCCCGGCTCCACGTTGACGTTATCTCGAACACGGCATCCTGATTTTCTGAGGACTTGTGAAGGAGAGATCAGCGCCAGCCTCAGCCTGAGATTGGCCTCGCCCCTGCCCCTCGCCCACCTCTGCCCGAAACCGTTATCCCACTCGATCGGAGGACCCGTCTGGGATGCTGCGCATTTCAACTTGCAAGTACGTACCGCATCTACCTCTCCCACGTACTTGTACCAAGAAGCCAGCTGAGTACTTAGCTCACTGCTTAGCTCTGTCTCCCGCCCCCGCCCTGCCGCCCTCCCGCCCGCCGGAAAAGCTGATCTGGCTCCGCGACCAAAGAAGCAATGACAGCCACTTACTGTAATAGCTATCCCACAGCTGTCGACACTATCAGCGCGGGACGCACATTGAAGTTTGGCCCTTGGGGTGAGGGTACAGTACATCCCAACCTTGCGTAAGAAGTGGATATCCTCCCGCGGGATGGTATAGTGCTTTGCAGCGCTCTCGGCCTTACTCCTGAACCATCGGAGCCAGTCACACCCCTCCCTGATTCCCTCCATCCTCCCACCGTCCACGGGCGATGGTTACTGCACACCGTGTCACCATCTTCCTGCGGTGGGACCGTGGGTGGTGATCAAGTGCCACCACGAGCACGTTTGCGTGATTCGAGAGGGAGATTGGCAAGGTTGCATGGGTGGCGCGGGAGGCGCTGGTTGGTCACGAATTTCGCTCTTGATTGCATGCGCAACACCACACCTCTTTCGCTCTCCAAGCTGTCGGTAAAGACAGGTAGGACAGGGAGGACAGGGAGGACAGGGAGGACAGGGAGGACGGGGAGGACAGGAGCGACTTTGTTGGACGTCCCTTATCTCTCCACGACGTCTCCTTGTTCGACACGCCCTCGTTCTGGTCTCGCTCCGTTCACATGTCAAGTGATAATGAGGTTTGAGCGAGGGTCCGTTGTCCCTCTACCTCAGGTGCTGTCATAATGACCTGGCCGTCTGTGGGGGCTAGAGTCACGCTCGTGCTAGTACGCCCCCAGTGCTCCATATACATACATGGTACAGTACGAAGGACGAGATATCAATAGCAGATCAGGATTCAGCGCCCAGCCAATTTTGAGATAGCGCCACACTTATCTTCGATGAGCGTTCCTCGTGTCACAGATTATCCTAGGGGTCCGGGAATTTATGCTGCCTACCATCCTAATCTGGACCCTCGGGACTTACACTGAATGCCGTTGCTGTTTCGTCCCAACTGCGCACTGTCTCCAATCGTGTTGGTCAGGTTCGTGTACTTGACTAGGTGCGGCACGATAGCATAGTCTGCTACTGCGGACTTGATAGGGCTATTTCAGCTGGGGAACTCTGGAGTGCAAAGTACCCAGGAGGGAGGAACAATGCGTCAATGAACTGCTGCTGCACGGTGAGGCATGTTGAAGCACGAAACGATTTCACGAATGGCGCTGGCTCGGAGATATGATGAGATAGGGTTGGAATCCGTCAGCCTCTCATGTGTAACTGTTGCTTCTGGACCGCGTCGTTCTAGTGTATCAGAGTCCAGATAGGCTTCCGGGACGTCCGTCAGCCCAGGGCCAAGCTACTTTGTACAACTGCGGCTCGCCCCGCTGCTGTTAGTTTGCAAGTTAAAGCTAGTTTGGCTGGGCCACTCCTGACTCACAGGAGGCGCCCCTCCCTCCCCTTTCCTCTTCTTTTTGGCACCGCTGCTGCGTGAGACTGCGATAACGGTGGCGTATGCTGGAGCGTAGGAGTGAGAAACGGTCACAGCGAGGAAGAGGGGATTCAAAAGCTCTGAAGAGCGGAGTCCCTCCCTGCTGAATACCCAGCGGGTTCTCACGGGTTCCAACTGCGCTGCTGGCTTTCGAGCTTGCTGCACCACATTGGAGGCCCAGACCTGGCGGCTCGCAAGTGCAAGTGCAAGTACCGAGGAATACCCAGCACTGGTATCAGCTGGTGCTGGGCTGGGCTGTGCTGTGCTGTGCTGTGCTGTGCTCTCCTGTGCTGACCCGTGGTGGTGCGGAGGGACTTGTATCATACTATCATTGTTGTGGTGTCGCAGGCCCAGGATCCGTTATCTCCAGCCAGTGTGGACCCTGCCATACTTACTCTCGCTGGCTGCGCTTGGGGTTGCTTTTGCGGCCTGCCTTGGCTTGCTTGGCCTGTGCAGCCCATTACTGATAAACTCGCATTTCACTTAAACAACGGCGGACCCCCTTCGCACGCCATGGACCACCAGGACCACCAGGACCACTCTGTTTCGACGAAGCCCCGTACCGACAACTCTCTCTCTCTTCAGACCGTCATCACCGCCATCGCCATCGCCAGCGCCGACCTAAAGCCCGTTGTTCGTCCATCTGGTGGCGGCAAGCAGGCCCGCGTCAGAGGCATTCCGACCCTCGGTCCGCGCAAATTTCAGCAGCGCCGCCTATCTGTGCCCCCCACCCCCCAAATCTGGCATTTACCAGAGACCTCCCAACACCTCGCGATTGACGACTCGAGCCTCCCCCAAGACTCCTCCAATCTCTGCCGATTGTCCCTTTATGCCTTCTATTGCCCTGTGGAGCCATCGATTCGGAAGACTTTGCCAACATGAGCAGCCTATTCTCCCCACCACGCCGTGAGAAGGCACGAGTAGACGACTCCCATCTGCCCAAAGGAGACTGTCGATACATCTTGCTGCACCCCGAGGTGAAGGGGTTGAGATGTGCCTGTGTAGGATTTGCCCTGAACCGATCCATACCGGGAAGCACCTGCGACTGCGGCCATCAGGCGTGCTACCATTCCCCGGACAAGGAGAATAGCTCGGTCGAACGGCAAGAGCTGGAAGCCTTGCGCGAAAAGGTCAACATGCTGGAAGAAGAGTTGGATAGGGAGAGACAAGGTGGAAGAGGCGGAATCGTTGACAGACTGGGTCGGTTGGAAGAGCTCGTTGATAACACCAAGACTGAAAATGACTCGCAGTTGAAGGGCGTCTATCGCAATATTGGTGGACTCTGGCAAAGCGTTGGTGCACTCTCGCAGAACGTTGGTGCCCTGAATAAGCGGACGTCAGACTACGAGGATCACCTTGAGTTGTTGGATGACGGTGTGGAAAGAATGAGACATCAACTCATGGAAATCGACGATGCGTCCATGCGAGTCGAGGACCGAGTCGACGCTCTTGAGAACTCAACGACTCCCATCTCGGCCGTCATCAGTCGACGGAGAAGGGCATCGACGCCTCCATCGCCGGAGCTGGATGATAACAGCGATTGCTCAGTTCGATCAGAAGAGACTGCAACCACGTCTCGTTCTGAGATTCGTTATTCATTGCAATTAGTGAGAGCTGACGAGAGAGAGGTTTCGACCATTCAATCCTTTCGAGAGAGAGTCGCCTCTGTAGGATCCGAACCCCAGGCTTGGACCGTACACATCTCCTTACTACCGAGTAGCTCACAACCTTTCCCTTTTGAGAAAGATACCGCAGCTTACAAACGTTGCCTCTCTCGCGGTTTGCACCAAATGATTGTTGTTCCCGACACAGATAGTCATTCGTTCAAAACTTCTGTTGACCGGGCTTTCATCGAGATCCTTTGCGGACGGCCCTGGGACCCGCTTGTCGCAAGAATTTGCGATGCCAAAAACCTACGAGGACTTCCAATGCTCCGTCAACTTCCTAAGAGCCTTGTGGGCAGTGACTACAACGCCGAATTCCTTCAACACAACTGCGCAGTTGTGGATGAATTCGGGAAGATCATAGATTTATATATCGCCATGTCGGAGGACACGATTTCGTGGGCTGAGCTCAGAGACGTTCGCGCCTTCATACCGGGATTGGAAGCGTCATGGACGTATGACCTATACCTTGATGGTACTGGCAGAGACGGGCCCGAGATGAGTCGCCCAGCCGCGGGCGATATTCTCACCGGATTACCGTCACTGAAACGCAACGCTTCCGAGATATCAAGGAGTCCCAGCTTCGGATCATCGTCAACAGACGGAGAAGCGAGAGCAAAGATCAGACGCCACGCCGCCCCTTACACTGGGCCCAGTGTGGAAGTTGTTGGAAGACGTACGGAGGCAGTTTGACATCGTTCGAAAGATTAGAGTGTGCAATAGGGTCGGAAGGATTAATTTTTCTGGGATTTGGCGTAAGGAGACTGGCGCTTAGATGGATATACAATACCTGAGAATGGTTGGATGGAGTTTGGGACATGTAGTCATTCACGACCAGAGAGTTCTCAATCTAGAGCCGCCTTGCTACTTTCAAGACTTGAGCTGTCTTCCCGCCTTGTGTTTACAGACGACCAGTTTTCAGTGATGTTGGATGAAGAAAATCGAATCTACCGCTATGAGACGACTCGACCTTGGTATATGAATCAAAGTACCGGCGGTACGTTACCAAGACGTCGGGAATAATGAATAGCTTGGACTTTCTGTAGTATATTGAAAATGCCTAAGGGATAAACTGCAGGAAGCTGGCGTTCCGGGAACTTTCAAGGACTTTTAACTCAACTAGAACTTAACACCCTCTGTGAATTGATATGAGCTGGCCAAAACAAGCAGGAGGACAGCCCTCCTATATGTAGCCGAACTTGGGCATTGCTGAAAGACTGTTGCTGCCAAAGACTGCGAAAGCGGCGGGTCACGTGATGGTACTTTAGCTTTGTTGACCCTGCCTTTGAAATTCTGCCCAAACTCAAACGCGAGAAAACACCAAACCCGCGTCATCCCAACTCCACTCCCACATATCATCACCGCAACAAAGTGCATTCGCAGCCTTGCATTGCATTGCATTACTCCTTTATCATCTTACTGCCGCTCGGCAGTCACCGACCCACTCTGCGCTTTGTCTCTTGCAGCCCCACCGCCTTCGCTTGGCGCACGTCCCTTCCGCTACGATGGATCCGGACAAGCGTGATGACGATGTCCAGTCAGTGGGGGTGGTTTCCTTTCCAGTCATCCCGATGGCTCTTCAACGACGCTCATTGGTCCCTGATGCCCCGCTCCAGATCCCGAAAGTGCGAACATCAGAATCACGACTTTCGCGCGAGTTCGATGACCATTTCAACCACGTTCGCCAGGTACCCGACACACAACCAGAACAACCATCCACCGAAGAACAAGAAGAAGGAGAAGAAGAAGAAGAAGACTCCACTATCATCGTTATTGCAGTGGAGCAGAGCCTTGCAGCCTCGACTCGGGATCGCTTCATCAAGGCTTTTCAAGCAAATCAGTTCTGGCTGCCCCTCAGTCAACGAGCCCCCTCCCCTCCACCACCGACTACTTCCACTCCCCCATCCAACGACCACCAAGTGAGTGCACGCGAGCGCCTGGGAGCCCGGCAAGTTGGTTACGATCCGAATGCACGCCCAGGTGTGACTGTCCAACACGGTGAAAACGAGCGCACCTTCACCTTCAACTCTTGGACTGGGGCCATTTACACTTGGACTGTTAAGGATACTTGCTCGAATCCATACCTCCCACCTCAACCAAAGCTCAAGAAACGGGGGCCTAAGGTCGTCTACGGCATCTGCAGAAAAGTAGCTGGTGTTAGAATGCCTGATGCCTCACAATCCCCATCCAAGCGTCGCAAGACAAAAGGCCCTTATATGAAGCCTCGGAAACCCAGTAAGTGAACTTGCTCCTCTTTGGTTGCTCATGTCGTCTACCTGGATCGTGCTAACCGCAGCCAAGTGTTAATATGGCCTGCTGGATTGCTCCCTGTCGAGATCTTTGCCCTAATCATAGATCACCTTCCCCGTTCGAGTATTCAAAGTCTGCGACTCGTCAACAAGGAGTTTGAAGATAAGGTATCGCCGGTCTTGTTCAAGGTGGTTGTTGTTCCTTTCCGACCCGAGATTTATGGAATCGCCCCCGAAACAACACCGACGAATGATGGCCCACAAAGCTCTGTCCTGCTGCAAGATAAAGGCATGAGAGTATTTGAAGGGTTAGTATTAAAAAAAATCTTCTCTGCATAATGGGTTGCTAAGTGGTCGCGTCACAGGTTCGGCAAATGGATCCAGAAGTTCGCCATGAGCTTCGAGATTGACCCTGAGAAGCTTGCAAGCCCTCCAGTCAAGTGTGACCAAGAGGCAATTGTCTCGTTCTGGGGTATCTACCGGTGGCCATACAAGAATTACAATCGCTATTCTCAGCTCGAGGGCCTGGAACAAACTGCAGATGAGACCAGAAGCATGGCAAAGGCATTGACGTTCATTAAAAACGCGAAGGAGCTTGGTTTGTCAATTGATGGCGGTTTGGGTTGGCTCGCAGGTCCCGACACCAATCAGCGAGTTCTTGACCGGGGACAGAATTTGTCGGTATTCGGCGAATCAAGATTCCTTCCCGAACTCAAGACTATTCCATCGAAACAACCTAGGGAGAAGCGTTCTGAATCAAGAGCTGCCCAGCCTGGTAGCATGCGAGCTGCTTTTGAGAGAATGTTGCAAGAGGCGGGTTACTTGGGTGAAAGCCTCGAGCCCTCTATCCGAATGATGTTGGAAAATGAGGCCTCAGACGAGAATAATCAATGGGAATCACGCCCCTGGGACAACTTTGCTGCTCGCACTGCAGGCAATGACAACCTTCCCGCCCGCGTCCCCGGAACGGAGAACTGGAGAGTCATGACGCGTCGCCGTGGACACGTTCTCGCTGAAATGGCTGCTGCTCTTGACGAAGATGCTGCGAGCCAATCTTACTCAGAGGATGACGAGGATGACGATGAACAACTCGTTCCTGCCCTTGCGTTCTCTTGCAAGGCCAAGGCCAAGACTGAAACCGTCCCTCTCAAGCCAAACGATCTCACCAACGCTCAGAAAGAGATGCTTCTCGAAATGGAGTGGGCCCAGGAGGCGTTCATGCAGTCGTACGTCATTGCTGTTATTGACAACCATAAGAGTTTTGAGAACATTCAGGTACTCAATATCGCGCGCCTGCCAAGTCGCCACTTAGCAATTCTTCGCCGTGAGGATTTCTGGGACAGCTTGGAACAAGTAAAAAAGTTGTCTTTGGGCATAATTCCTGACTGGCGCAAGGTTGTCAAGGAGGAGACGAGCTGGGTTCAGGACACAAGAATTGTTCCCTCTCTATCCATTGCTGGAATTTATCAGCTTCTCTCTCAACAGATTTCAGAGCGATCGAACATCACAGACCTTCACTTTGAATGGGTATGTGGAGGAGAGTATGATGTCGGACTTTTCGCACGAAATCAACATGTTATGGCCGCTCCATTGGTCTCCGAGACAATCCACATGGTTAACAGGGCCCACGAGCATCCGATTCTGACTCTTCCCCATATCCAACACCTATCTCTGAAGAACTGCTGGATCAGCCCACACATCATGATGAGATTTATGACGTCCTTGAGAGAGTCTTCTTTGCAGAGCCTCACTCTCGATTCGGTTTCGTTGACAGCTCCTCTTGCTCCGAATGCGCAGCCAGCTCCTCTTACTCAGGCCGGCATTGCACAGAATCCACCGAATCCGCAAAATGCACAAAATCAACAGATTCCTGGCGGCCTACCCGGTGCCAACGTAGTTTTGGTCAACGCACTGGCACCACCCGGAGGACCACCTGGACTGGCACAGAACGCGCAGAACGCTCCAGCACAACCTCTGCCAGCCCCGCATGTCAACAACCAACAGAATACCGCCAATGACTGGCTTCAACCTCCACGTCCGGGCTCTTGGGCTGAAATCATTGACTCATTGACCCCTGGTATCACGCTAGCAGATCTCCGTTACTCGAGGGATAATCTTGAGGAGCCCCCAGCCAAAGAGCCAACCGCATTCACAAAATTCACACTCGAGTCTTGTGGATATGTACGTCTTCCATTGGACTTTGACCAGGCGGTCATTGATCCACCACAAGTACATACTCCTCTCGGTGCTCTTGTTACAAAGCGAATCGCCGACCTCGATCCCTTCATGATGAAATCACATGATGCAAACCTGGGTGTTATAGTCAACCATATCAGTGCTGCTGAATCGGCCACTCTCCAGAATGCCTGGAACATGACCACGGATTGGGGCACTTCTCGTCAGGAACTTCTTTCGGATTCCCGGGCTGATGGTGTACAAAACCCTGGTCGCGGTCGCCTCTCCGGCTTGGTTGAAGCTACCCGTTCAGCGGCTTCGAATTCTTCTTCTAATTGACACCCTAGATCACCTTTTGCGTCTCTTGGATCGATTCATCAGCAGACCGTCGCTTGGCATCTTTTCCCGACCTTCTCGACCACACGGATATGCTTCATATGGAGAGTTTCCCATCTGCGCAACTCCCCCAAAAAGTTGATGTAATGTTAGATTATTGTTTTGTTTTGAAAAGCATAGCGCTGGTTTGGGCATACATTTCACGCTTCACCACGCATTCACTGGCCCAAACATTTTCCATTGCCATACAAGGCAAATCTGTATCATGAAGACCACGGCCTGCTGGAACGACCTGCTCACTTCCGTGGTCTAAGAGTCTAGGATTTGGGCTGAGGTCATCTCATGATTTGTAGGACTTCCAACACGACAACAAGACTAGATTAGACGAGAGAAACAATCTTTCATGTAGGACTAGCTCTCAATAAAAACACAGAAAACTCTATCTGAGCCTTGCACCGATTGTCAATTATTTGAACTCTGCCTTGAAATAATGTCTTTCCTCAAGAGTATATGTTGTAGAAGGTGTACAAATTCCGAGTCGTGTAGCAGAAACAAATGGAACCTGAGCACAAAGCATCGAGGTACAGTTGGAAACGTTTTGTCCGCAACTGAGTTTCAATCCAAAACTTGCTACAGCATCACTCGAAGTGGAACTGGACAAGTATTACTAATGAATGTTCTGTTTGTCACCCTCGGCAATGCAGGTGCGACCTGATAGTGATCAAGAAGGCAAGAACGACATCCTGAGGTGAGCAAAGACGACGAAGTACGTCGAGGCCTTTTAATTCTTCCGAATGCTGCGGTTGCAGATCTTTGAGAGCGGCTAATCTCAATGCTCTTTAAGAGACCACTCACCTGAGACTTTAATTGCACTCAATTGGACGGGTCCTCTGTCTGACTTTCTCATCACAAGTTGGTAGACCCGCATGTTGATTTCGATGTATCATTTTCGTATGCTAGGTGAGACCAGCAAATGCTACTGGAGTACAGTCCGATGAGAAGAGTCTCATCGTTGATCACATCATAATGCCCCTCGCAAACCCCAGATCATGTCAAGCCCAAACCGAAAAGGAATCATCTATGCAGCAGTGATGGCACGACGCTGACGAGCACCGCGTTGTCTTGAGCTCAGGTGGGCCACCTCACGACCAACGACCGCCTCCGACTTCTGAACAACCTCCTCGCCCTCGGTCAGGATCAACTCAATGTGGCACGGGTTCGACATGTACGGGTTGATCTACGTTTTCATCAGTTTCCAATCCAACCAGAGGAAAATAGACTGTATGTATGCTTACACGTCCGTGAGCACGATATGTTCGTCGGCGTTGCTTAGGGGCCTGGTTGACTTGGATGTGCTTGACGATCAGGTTGCCAGTATCGAGACCCTTGGTATCTGCGTTCGCCTCTGCGTTCTTGAGGAGACCGAGCAGGAACTCGGCGGACTTGACTGGCCATCTAGCTCGGGACACACCGAATGCCTTGCCTGTCATATCCCCGTCAATACATGTCTCCGCCCCAACTTCAACTTCCTCAGATCAAGAGATATCGTACCCTGTGCAGCACGTCCGGTTCCTCCAGCGTATCTTCTCATCGGGACGGCCTCCTTGTGTTCTTGGACATTCTCCAAAAACTTGATGGCGCGCTGCAGCTTCCAGCCGTTGATCGCTTGACTACAATGTGTTAGACTGCACCTGAACAGATCCCTAGTGGCACGAACGCTGTCTCTCTTGTATTCTTGAAGCTGACACGGAGATATGCACCCCGCGCGCGGGCAGACTTCGCTGAGGAAACCTCAGTTGCGGCGTAACGAACCTGGGAAGAAAGTTCAAGTTAGCAGTGTCCCTGTCAACGTTTTGATTCCCTTCAGCGGAGAAGGGTTCGATCCATGACGTCCGCGCTGTCAGGGGCTTCCAATTTGAGGTAAGAGACGAGGGGACTCACCATCTTGATTTCAGTTGATGATTCGCGGGGGTTGTGAGGTCGTCGTCAAAAATCAACTTTGAAGCGGATCTCGACAATTTTCGACAATTTCCAGTGCGGTCGCTTAATGTGCCCAAAAGGGCTAGCGAAAAATGTCACGTGAGCGAACTTCCACCGAGACCAACGGAAGCCGAAGGTTTCTTGTGGTGAGACCCACGAATTAGAACTAGGTAATAGGAAAGGCCCAAAAGCCCTGCAGCAATCTTCGGGTTTAGTTGATCGGAAGTTGCAATGTTAAAACCCCAGCAGATGAGGTCACGTATCCCCCAAACAGCTGCAAAATAGGGATCTTGCCACTTGAGATTTCCAAGTCGAGACAGCGTTAGAAATCACAAAAGAACAATTCAATTCAGTAAAAGCATCATGTTTGTTGATTTATTGGAGTTTACATCTGGCCAACAGAAAGAAAAGCCTTTGCGCCGTATCATCTTCCTAGCTCGTAAGGCCTGGAGTCATTTAAAATCCCCTCTCTTAATGTCATATCTTAGCAATCGATTGTGCATCTAGAACCATTCCCCGCCAACCCATCGATTAAGGAAGTCCAGGGAGGCTTCAGGTTGATCCATAGGTACCCTGAACATATCCGTTAGTATTATTTAAACTAAAAGGGAAGCAGTTCGGGAGAGTAAATTGTGCCCTGGGCAATATACGTACATGTGACCTGCACCAAAGATCTGGAGGAAGGTGAAGTTTCCGCTGTTCTTAATCTTTCCATACTTGTCACCGTTATCAAGCTTGATGTCCTTGATGCTGGCCTTGTTGAAGTCCTTCTGACCAGGCCACTCGAGAGCCTCAGTCCAGGCTTGGTTTCCGAGCCAGTTGCAGATGAAGTCAGCATCACCAGCATAGATCAAGACTGGGATCTGCTCGAGAATGCCTGGCACAAGGCGGTGGAACGGTTGCATCCAGTCACCTTGAAACAGGAAGTTTCTGTTGATATCAAAGTTGCAGCTGTCGTAGCTGCTGACTTCAACGCCTAGCTCTTGTTGGACTTCTTTCTTGTTCAAATATTCGCTGATATAACCAAGAGCCGAATAGCAGAGGTTGCTGGAATCCTCGCACTTGCCACGGATATCATAAACGTTCTGGAAGATATGTTAGCAACTTGAATAGGGGATGTGTAGATATAACGGACCTGGCCAGTTCTCTGGTATGGACCGATGAAAGCATTATTGCAATAAATACTAGCCGGAACACAGGACCAGACGCTTTCGCTATCGTAGCAGTTCTGGATCAGGCTTTGGCACCGAGGGAGAGCATTATCCATAGCTTGGCATTCGCCCTCGTCAAGAACAGCTGGGTATCCGCCCTTTCCGCATGCCATTGGTCTATAGTGCTCATATTGGGTATATCCATCAGTAAGACCGTTGCCGATCAAGACCGACTTTAAGTTGATGTTGCGCTTCTTGTGTGACAGAATCTCTGAAGTGAAAACAGGAATGTAGTGACCTGCATAAGATTCCCCGGCAATGTGGAAGTCCTGCTTCGCGTATTCTGGGAATTGCTTGAAAAAGAGAGTGAGAAGTGCGTAGACGTCCTTGCCAGCTGCGATGGTGTTGCTGACAGAGCTACCACTGTAAGAGTAGCCGACATTGACGGGTTGATCGAGGAAGATCACTGAAGCGTTTGCATTCCAGGAGTATGGGTTGTCGTGAAGCTTCAGCTTCGAATCGATCGATGATGGGCCAAGTTCAAGGAAGAGACCAGTGAGTGAAGAGCAGCCAGGCCCTCCATTGAGCCAGAGGATGACTGGGTCGTTCTTGGGGTCATTCCGTGATTCAAAGAACCCTGATCATGTCAGTTGCTGGCAAGAGGAAACGATAAGGCAAACGTGACTCACAGTAGAACAGGTGCTTGTCGTTCTCCTCGTCATCAAGATAACCACTGTATTGCTTGACGTTATCAACCCCAAGCTTTGAAGGATCAACCTTCTTGGCCCTCAGATTGTATGTCTCTAGCTTGCCATCAATCTCCCTTTCCTTCTCGCCCTTCTCGTTCTCGATCCAGACGCTCTGGACATCAGCACCCTTGACAATATAGTCCCATGTGCTGTCCGGCTTTCGGGTATGCGGTTTCGGTGGAGAGAAGAAGCTCGCCTTATCCATCGCTTCTGGGAACATCATGGCGACCTCATCCCAGAGAGCTTTCGCCTCTGCCGGGATGTTCCTCATCGACTCCGTCAGATGCTGCAACGACTCTGCCCATTTATCAGAGACAGGCTTGGCAGCCTCCTTCAATGGGGTCTGTCCCTTGAACGGATTGCTGAGAATGTGTTGTTGGTTCGTCATAGCCGCCGATGCGGCGCCCAACAGGACGGTTGAGGCGAGGAGCTTCATGATGACGATTGCTCGTAGGTAGGGAGGAGAAATGATACCAGATCAGATCACTAATCGAGGCGGTTGTGATCAAGGAGATAGAGGTGGATTGAAGAAAGGGAATCGATACCAGCACACCACAGCTTGGAGTTGTGGTGAAGGAAAGCAGGTGGAACGGGGCTGGGAGGTCTGCTCGTGCTGCTGGTGCTGGGTTTCATGCTCGGTTGGCAAGTCGACGTAATGAGCCCGGCGTGGCTTGTCTTGGCCGGGTGCCTGATGTGCCCCCACCCCCGATCGTCTGGGAGCGATCACGGTCACATGTGCCGTGCTTCTGACTCGTGGGGACCTTCAGGATTTAGTATTTCGGGTGAGCTGCACATGGCTCATGATTCGTCACTGTGAGCAATGTTGACAGAGTGAGTATTTGTACATCTTTTGCAAGATATAATATGGCAATGAAAGTGAGACAGACTGCTGTGCATCGGGCGTTCTCCCTGCACCTAAAATCTTGGGCTCAGGAACTAGTGTGACAACAAATGGTGGCCTCTATGAACGAACACTCTCTTGAATTTTTCAGAAAACCAATCTCAGAACCAACTTCAAGATGCCTATCAACCAGCCCTCAAATCAGATCAAACTGACCAATGTCTCCCTTGTGCGACTGAAGAAAGCCAAAAAGCGCTTTGAAATCGCATGCTATAAGAACAAGGTTTGCCCAGATGCGAAAAAGCTAGGTACAGCAGTGGCTGACCGGAACAGGTCCTCGAATGGCGCTCAGGAATCGAGACAGACCTTGACAACGTCCTACAGATCAACTCCGTCTTCCTAAATGTATCCAAAGGACAAACAGCGCCTTCCGCGGATCTGGCCAAAGCTTTCGGCGCAAAGACCTCTGTGAACGATATTATCCTCGAAATTTTGAACAAGGGAGAGTTACAAGTAGGAGAGAAAGAGAGACACGCACAGCTAGAGCGGGTACACAATGAGGTCGTTAGTATTGTTGCAAGCAAGCTGGTGGACCCGAAGACGAAGAGAGTTTATACTACGGGTATGATCGACAAAGCACTGGATATGCTGAGTTCCCAAGGGTCACAGGCTCAGCAAGAAAAGAGTGCCGGAAGTGGAGCTGGAACGCCTGCTACTGGTGAGGAAGGAGAAGCAAAACTGAAGACGAAAGAACATATCTGGACTGGGGTGGTTGCTACGAAGAGTGCAAAAAGTCAAGCACTTGAAGCGATGAAAGCTTTGATTGCTCATCAGCCTATTCCTGTGGCTAGAGCGAGGATGAGGTTACGCATTACATGTCCTACGAGCATCTTGAAGCAGGCTGCTAGAACTGCTGGTCCAAAGGCTGGAGTAGATGCAGAAGATGGCGAGGAAAAGGCAAAAGGCACTGTCAAGGACCGGATCTTGAGCTTCATAGAGCAGATAGAAACGCAGGATGTCGTAGGTTCTGAGTGGGAGGTCACAGGATTCGTTGAACCAGGTGCATTCAAGGGCTTAGGGGACTTCATTGGTGGAGAGACAAAAGGTCAAGGACGAGTAGAAGTGCTCGACATGGCGGTTACTCATGAGGATTAGAGTAGAAATGTCTTGGGTTCTCTGTAGTTAGCGAGCATAAAAGGCGTCACGGAGTCTAAAACTATCACATATCAAATGCTACCTGACCCCATAAATGGCACTGTTTTGCTGGATTTTGATGGATTTTTTTTCTCCAGGTGACCAGATGTAGTAAAGTACACCGAGTCGTTGCTTCATGCTTAAATGCAAGAGAGCCAAATGCAATGCATGAACCCATCGGAAAGCCGCACTCCATCCAGCCAATGTATCCCCAGCTCTACACACACTTAACCACCCTTCTTCTTGGACACCCCGACAGTCCGACCACGTCTTCCAGTCGTCTTTGAGTGTTGTCCACGAACACGGAGTCCCCAGTAGTGACGAAGACCACGATGAGCACGGATCTTCTTCAGGCGCTCGAGATCGTCACGAAGCTTGGAGTCGACGCCGTTGGCGAGAATTTGGGAGTCCTTGCCATCGACGATATCGCGTTGGCGATTGAGGAACCAGGAGGGGATCTTGTACTGAGTCGGGTTTTGGATGATGGTGACGATTCGCTCAAGTTCTTCGGAGGTGAGCTCACCGGCACTGGAGATCATTAGTCCTTGGTCTTCACGCAACACAGGGCCATCCATACCGCTTGTTAAGATCGACATCGGCCTTCTTGCAAACCAAGTTGCTGTATCGGCGGCCAACACCCTTTATCTTTGTCAATGCGTACATGACTTTTTGCTTTCCCTCAACGTTTGTATTGAGCAAACGGAGAATCTATTCCACTGTTAGACGTATTCGCTGTGATGCTGAGTCGGATGGGGGACGAACGTATTGGAAGTTTGACTTCTCGCCGCTGGGAAAAGGTCAGCACAGCATTCCTCCAGGATACTCCTCAATAGTGAGACTGAGGGCGAGAACATTCAACTTACGTGACGAGAGACATGATGGGCAACAATTCCGACGAATATGCTACTCAATCTTATCGTGGCTTTGCCGGATGGGGGTTTGAAGATCGCGAAATTCTGCTGAAGGAAAGTGCGAGGCGCTAAGGATCCGTGGTTCTTAGCGAGTCTCGCACGTGATGAGCAATATGTGCTCAACCCTTTTAAGACGTGCTCGACACGACTGCAACAACATTTTCAGCATGGACGAGTTCTCTTATAATATCACATAATCAAGGTTCAAGCCTATAATTGGCCACGTATTATCGACCTCCCTCCCTCTTCACGAGTCGAAATCAAGCTTAAGCACCCTACTCGCCCACGCCAAGTCTGGTCTGATCTCGAGCTCTGGAGCCTGCATTGTACCATGAGAGACAAAGACAATGCAAGTCAAATGTGCGCAGTTCTAGGCACGCAATGGGTTCACGAAGAATTGTTGAGAACGCTCGCAGTAGCAGACGGTCTGTAGACCTCACTTGATCAAATTGTGGCTAGAGTAGTTGGCACTCCCTTTTCCTCTTTCAGATCCAGACAACAAGCAGTGAGGCTTGTATCCAGCCTAGGTATACTGGTTCTTCTACGGTTTAAATCCATTTCTTCTAGATATCTCCACTTTCAGTATTGTCCTTTACCAGCCTCTCGTCATTCTTTGCAATGTTAAATTCTTGTACAATGTCTTCTCGGCTGCGAGATATCACTGGACCCGATTGAAATCTGGTCTACAATGTGCGTCCCACTATAGTTTTGGAGGCCCAACAGCACTGACATAGCAAGCTCGATATTCACCTCCAATCACTAATGCTCTAGCGTGCTTTGCGTTGTACAATTTTCAATTTTCCGTATGTCCCGATCTCGTGGGAAACCTGACCTATAATTAGGTTGTGCACTTTGCACGATTCTAGCCTCAATGCACGAAAGCCGTTTATCCTGCAGACTTAGATTCCAGGATTCTCCCACGCTCATCCCATACACCATACCCATCCCATATTAAAACGGCCATCAGATCCCGTCGATTAATTGGCGGGTAGCTTATCGTCCAGAAGTGTACAGCCGTAGTGCGTTACTGTCAACGTGATTTACCTGCCCTTTGGGGGACCGTTCGGAATGACTACAGCAGCTAAGTACCCTCGAACCCTAACTCTCATACTGTTGGTACCAGCAGTGCCTGCAGATCAGCAGCAGCTCTCTGTCTTAACATCAAGGCCTGTCGTGGAGCTCCCTGGATCCACCCCACTTTGAGCTTGCAAAAATGCAAACATAAACTGTCAAATACTTTGACACCCAACCACTTCTCATTCCTTCCCCTTCGTTGAAGATTACCGCGGTCTTGTCTCCCTCCTCACGAATGTGCGTGCATGTTACTTGCAGGTGCTTCTGCAGTGCTTTCGTAGTTCGTCATACCTCCTCAGATCTCATAAATGCGACCGGATATATGGGAATCCCGGTGCGATTCAGAGAGGACCCTACTGGCATCTGCGAGTTGGACCCCAATGTGAAGAGGTGTTCCGGATACGTGGATGTTACAGAGGATCAGCAGTAAGTATTTCATGAACGAATCTCTTTGGATTCTCCCACCGCATGAAGGCCCTAAGAAATACGACTGGAACCGAAGTTGGAGGGGGGGTGGAAATCTAGAAGTCCTCGTGGCTTCCTGTTCCTATTCTATTCCTTCTCCTTGAGACAAAGCTCAACTTGTTGACCTCTTCTAAGCATCTTCTTCTGGTTCTTTAAAACTCGGAACGTGGATCCAACCACCGCCTCCATTACAGTGTGGATCAACGGGGGTCGAATCCATACTCTTGGTCGAATGCATCAAATATGTTGTTTGTCGACCAGCCAACTCAGGTAATTCCTTCACCTCACATATGAGAATATTTCTAGCTTACGAGAAGGTGGGGTCTCCTACAGGATTCCGGTCAATGGCTACGTTTCTTCGTAAGTATCGTCCACTCGCGAAAAGCTATTATTGACATATTTTAGATAAGCAATTATTACTTTGCCAAACGCAATTTGCCCCGACTATAAACAAAGTTTGGGGACATCCGGGACGTACAGTTATGCTAATGAGAGCCTCACCGCAACCCATGACGCTGCACCTAATTTCTATCGAATACTTCAAGGATTTATGGGAGCCATGCCTCAGTATTCTAGAAGCGGATTCCATATCTCAAGTGAGAGTTATGGTGGGCATTACGGGCCTATTTTCAACGAGTATATTGAAGCTCAGAATGCGATGAAGATTCCCGGTGCTCGCCACATCATGTTAGAGACGGTCTTAATTGGGTATGATTGAACACGGAACCATTTTAGATTAAAGCTCATTTTAGACAGAAATGGCCGGTATGACCCTCCCCTTCAATACCAAGCGTATTACAATTACTCGTAAGTATTCCCAAACTACCCTCGAATACTTCATTTTGGGAAACAACACTAACTCAAAGAAAGTGTCTTTCCTGGAAACACACACGACTACTCTCCTTTTAATGCCAGCGTTCAAGCACAATTTTACAACAATAGTTACGGAGCAGGAAACTGCGTAGACCAGATCAAAAACTGTGCTGCAAGAGTGATAAACGAAATTTGCATGTCTGCAGTAAGTCTCCAGCAAAAACCCCGTTTTATCGACTAACATTGGCTACCTACGACTCCTTCTGCGCCAATCTCGTCGAATCTGTTTACGATAACTACTTCGGTCGTGACGAGTACGACATCCGTGAGCTCCGGATCCGTTCCCTTACGCATTTTATGTCTAGTATCTCAATACGCCAAAAGTACCAGCGGCCATTAGGGCATACCAGGGCTATTCCGAATCTTCAAATGCCGTTTTCCAAGTTTTCACCGCAACGGGCGACGACAATCGGGAGGTGGGGACGATTGAAGCACTCAGACAATTGATTAAGCAGAACGTCACTATCATGCTTTATGCTGGGGATGCTGATTATAAAGTTGCTTCTCCTTTCCGTTTTGTAGGTCTACAATGCTAATTTGGGACCAGCTGTAACTGGCTCGGCGGTCAGGCTCCTGGGTTCGATTGTGCTGGATTTGTCAATATTTCTACGACCGACAACGTTGTCCACGGGCAAGTGAAGCAAGCTGGGAAGATTTCGTTGGTCAGGATCTACGGTCTGGTCACGAGGTACCGTTCTACCAGCCCCTAGCAGCTCTCTCAATCTTTGAGCAGGCAATAAATGGCAAGGATGCCGCTAAGGGAGCCCTTACAGCATCGAGGGGCTACCTCACGGAGGGAGCAAAGGACAGCACGTACAGGGAAGGCAATTCGATGATACAGCTTTCTGTTTTACCGGCTATGCGACGTACAACCATACGACAGGTGCTCAGAATAAGACACATTGGAAGACGGAGCTGGTCAGAAGAAGGGAGGGGCAGGGGCCTTCTGAGCTCGAGCAAGAAATTCAAAGGTTGAGGACAAGAGTCGATGAGAATATGAAGGCAATTCCTACGCACTGATTATTAAGGAGAGATTTATTCCTAAACGGATGTGTTTGTAGCGGTCCATGTATTCAGTTGATGATCCGAAAACCATCGCACCCAGAGGATAAGGTATTCGGCCCGTGGAGCATCACATGGGTCAGAGGTTAAACTTCTGTTTCAACATCGGCGCAACTTTGAAAATCCAAACAGCGACATTTCCAAATGCCATGCATGCTTTCCAGAGACAACCTATTCTTGTGCAGTTTCATCGGGGGTCACGTGGGTATTCCACGTTTCAGCAGCACCAGCAAGAGGTGAGGTCTCAGTGTCTCACATTGGACCTCGGCTGGCGGCGTTGGCTTGTCGTCCACGACTCACGATGGTCGCTTGCGGTACCGTAAATTACCTAGCACAACGTGTGAGTGTGGAGGGGCTCCGGGATGTCTCTTGAAGGGGAAAGGCCCGACGTTTTGTTGAGGACCCCGCTACGGTGCAGATGGAAGCCAAGTTCCAACACTGAGCTGGATAATTGGGAGGAAGGATGTGGTTGATAATGATCAATTGATGGTGTGCGAGGAGTAATAAGTACAGCTACGGAGCACTGAGGCAGTCAGGTAGTGGGGCAGTCTCAGTCCAGCAGTGAGGCACTGAGGCACTGAGAACATCAACGAGCACGAGCTGCGGATTAGAAAACTCCTAGCCCCTGACCCCTAACCCTCTCTCACCGCCGCACGCTAATGCCAGGCACGGCACTGCTTAAGCGAGCGTCGACCTTGCCGGCGTGCCTCCACCACTCGTCATCTCAACACTTTTTTTTTTTGGCCAAGGGACGAGGGGCGGCGGCCACGGCCGCGAGAGCTCAGAGCTGGACCTCAGTGCCTCACACAGCTTTCTGCCCCCCCCCCAATTCGAAAACTGTTTCTGCCTTCCAACTTCCAAGAAACATTTAGTGCGTCTGAATTGCTGCACATGTCAACCTCGTTCCTCTTCTCTCTGAAGCTGCCTCGGTAGAGTTGCCATTCACTTGCTATCCTAGTATCCTGCGTCCTTGTTCTCTTAGTTGTGGGAACTTAGCCCGCCGTGCATGGGACAAACTAAAGCCCGAGTAGAAAAGGCCCGTTGATACCCTCTTTCCTCCTTCAACAGCTTCACTTACTCGCAGAAGCGGCCGGCCTTCGTCCTCAGCACCTTCATTCCCATTTTCGACGTAAACCTTGACGATTGAGACAGGATATCTCTCCCCGTCCGAAGTCGCGTGCCCCAGTTCCGCTTTGGGATCCTGCGGCAAACTTGGTACATCTCGTTTCGAACTTCTTCGACCATCGACCTCAACATCAGATTTGACCACCAGCTCAAGCGCTGAGCAAGATGTCTTCTGCCACCGTCCAATTCTCCTTGCCCGACTCCTCCATTTTTCAATTCCCACCTAGCAACGAACCGGAAACTCTACCGCCGCCGATTCCAGGCTCCACTCTGTCTGCCCCACCATTCTCGATATCTGCCTCCGTCTACAATGGAGCTCTCGACGCCAGGGTCCCTATCACGATTGCGTGTGTTTACGCGGCTACAGTGACGGCATTGAATGCATATAATCGAAAGTACGGGAATAAGCCATGGAAAATTAGCAAGACGAAGTCTTTCTTCTGGTTTGTGGTGGCTCATAATGTGTTCTTGGCCGTATATTCTGGGTGGACATTTGTGGGTATGCTGCGGGCTCTTCAAAAGTCGGTTTCAAACCCTATGGGGCCCGCAGGACTGCCAGGAACAGTGGACAGCTTGTGCAAAGTGCATGGGATTTCAGGGCTTGGAAATGCGGTCGCATATAATGGAACGGCCTCGCAATGGGTTTCTGAATCCCCCTCAGTTTTGTTGAGCAGTGCGGGAACCCCAGATCCTACCGATCTGGGACGATTATGGAATGAGGGTTTGGCTTTTTACGGCTGGTTCTTTTACCTGAGCAAGTTCTACGAGGTTCTCGATACCGCGATTATCATTGCCAAGGGGAAGAGAAGTTCGACGCTGCAGACATATCATCACGCTGGGGCAATGATGTGCATGTGGTCTGGAATTCGATATATGTCTCCACCTATCTGGATGTTTGTCTTCGTCAACTCGGGAATTCATGCACTGATGGTATTGTATCTCTCCAAATTTATGACTTGTTAAGCTAATTTGTTCCAGTACACCTACTACACCTTGACTGCATTTTCCGTCCCAATTCCCCAGTCTTTAAAGAGGAGCCTTACCACCATGCAAATCATCCAATTCCTCGTTGGAGCTTCCTATGCAGCTCTCCACTCTTTCGTCTCCTACACCATTCCAGTTCAAGTCCCGGATCTTACAGCTTCAGCACAATATACTGCCTCAGCTGCCGTCTCATCTGTTGCTGCCGTTGCCAGCTCAGCAGGTTTTGGTGAACTGGTGAAGAAATTTTTGTTCCGAGCAGCAGGTGAAGGCCTTGCCGAGAACGTCAACGGGGGGCACTCAATAGGACAAGGGGCAAAGGGCTCATCCGGTGCTATCCAATACCGTACTGAATACCAGACAGTCCAATGTATTGATACCAGCGGCCAAACCTTCGCCATCTGGTTCAACGTCTTCTACCTGACCCCTCTGACGGCATTGTTCGTTAGATTTTTCGTCAAAAGCTACCTCCGAAGAACCCAAAAAGGAGCAAAGGGTCACACAACGAAGCATGGAGCAGCTGAGAAGGCTGGCAAGGATGCCCTGAAGGGTATGGAGAGAGAAATCTACATGAACGGAAATACGAACGGCCACGCAAACGGAAAGGCAAACGGCCATGCTAACGGAAAGGCAAACGGCCATACTAACGGAAAGGCTAACGGAAAGCATTAGACAACAGTAGAGAAAGAATATGACTGATGAAGAGAGGTTGCGGAAGAGTGGATTGTCATTTTGTGGTGTTATTAGCGCAGCATCCAGGCGTTTACACGGCCTCGTCTTTTAGAAGGGTTTTGCAAAAGTCGAAAAGATACTGTACAATAGAGTGCTTACACATATAATGTACATTTTGAGCACATGGTATGGAATACGTGCCATTCGTAATCGCCCCTTGGTTCCTTGATCAACTGAGAAGATATTTTTTTTGGAATGCAAGGTCGGTGAGACATTCACCATTATCTGCAAAACGAATCTGCTGCCATGTTTCGGCATCAAATTTCTGATATTATTGACCAATCTTGCCTGCTTCTACAACGCTTCACGGATCATGCATGCGCCTAACCCCAATGCCAAGCATTCACAGCCTTCCATTCATCATGCGAACACTTGTTTCCACACGCATCTAAAAAAACCGAGTCTCAATCACGGGCTGAAAATTTCAGTTGCCTCAAGAGTGCCGCTCATATCAGAGAAATCCTACACTTACTCTCCTTTGCTTAGACCGATCGATATTCGTTTCGACATCCTCTCCCCGGGTGGATTATCTTCTCCGAACAAAGTCCAGATTGTTCAGACGAGCCCGGCACTCCAGCGTCCATTTGAGGAGCTCTCCTACACCTGGGGAGACCGAGGACGATTACGAAGAATTGATCCGTACGGAAAGCAGAAACAATTTCTCTACATCACACAGAACCTTGAGTCCGCCGTGTGACGCCTCGGGCAGAAGAGCAAGTTAAGGATCCCTACGGATCGATGCACTACTGTATGCTTCTATATCGATCGATACCAAAGGAAGTACCACAAGAACTTGAGGTCCGGACCTCTGTTTTCCCAAAGACGTCGACGTCGGACTTGACCAGCCCAAGGATGCACTTGGGCAGGATTAAATGCACGAAGCCCAAACAGTAACTGCATTATCAACCACATTCTGCCTTATCGGCGGCTTTTGGGGTTTCGTTTTGCATACACCGCTTTTTATCCGCCTTCGTGCCGCCTTACCTATTCTTTGTTTCGATTTATATACCCTTGCTTTAAAGTGCGCGAATTTTACCTTTCACCGGCCTTACCCCGAATCTTAAATGAAGCTATTCCCAACTATCTCTATTCCGTTAATGACTCTTAACCTTATTAACCGCAGAACGACACCGCTGACTAACGGCGTTGGAAGCGAAAAGGGGGGAAAGTCGTCTAAGGCCAAGGCACTAAGTTTACTATTATAATCTCAGACAACAATTGAGCTCACCAAAGTCCACTTCCGTTTTTGGACCTGAGCAGTTGATGCTTTAATCTGAGCGCGAGCCCTAAGTCCTGAGCACGCTACCAGCTGGATCACACCTAGGGGGATTCTGCTCGGAGTAGAGGTTGGAGCATGTTCAGAGTGGTTAAGGTTCGGCGAGAGAATGGGATATTCGGAGTCAGAGCCGAAGGATGCCCAAACGCCATCGACGTCAAGCACCCTTATATGCCTGTGGGCGCTGGCATTGCGCAGGTGTCAATAGCGTGTTGCGAATGCCGTGAAGTGTCATCAACCCTTGGTGGTGGGCTCAGCTAGGCTCCAGGGTGTCGCGGGGCCTATTAAAGAGGCGAAGCCTGGCTACAGTGGTATGCAAAAACTCCCTGTTTTAGCGCGTTTTTGACGAAAAGTGGTACCTTGAAAAAATGGTACTGAATTATATTCAACCACCAATTGCTCCACCAAACCACGCCCGAATTAGGTAAGAAGTAGATTAATTTACTCCCCTGAAGTAGCTCTTGCTAATGATATAATCAGATTACGATCCACCCCCTCCTTCCCTCACCCGAATTTGTAGCTATTGAGCCTGCACATCGAGCCGAATTCTTAGCAAACCCAACTTCTCCCCTGTCTACGAACCAATTCGCCCTTTTTTTATTAATATTAATAGGCAGATATTAGTAATTTGATATCTATAATATTAGAGGAGAAGGCTGAGCTAAAATAGCTAAAGGCAATGGAAAAATCGGGTACTAGTATGGGGATTTCTCCTTATTATAAAGGCTAAAGTCTCCCTTTGGTATACTATATGGAATTCAGAAGCTAATTAGTGTTTTATATTGAATATAGGTACTTAGTAGCACTGATTACTAATATGGTAGCCCTATTCGAAAGCCCCATTCGACAGCCCTATTCCAAAGCACTATTCCGGACATCCAAGCAGAAGACTCGATTCGACCAGATATTACCTTTAGTATATACCCTAAAGACGAAATTAGCTTCTACCAGGGTATAGGCAACTTACAAAAGCAGGATTATTAAGAGTTTATAAGTTCTGGGCTATTGGATAACGATTATAAGGCGATTAGAGGGTAGGGAGAATAATATTTAGAATCGAGATTAACGAGCTGCCCCCTTGATTTCCATATATCACTGGTTTAGGAAGGCGAGGAATAGACTAATCAGATTACAGGATTTTAGGCTCTTTTAAAGAGAGTTATTACTAGTATTGTGGTTATTGTTTTTAGTCGAGTTTGTCTATATTTGGAGTTTTTCCCTTATACTAAATATTTTTGTAACCACGCCGTAGGATTTTTTTATATTAGAATAATTAAAAGAGCTATTTCCCACGATTCTAAATTAGCTTTCGTTTTTTTAATAGCAGTTATGGTTATTAAGAACCGTAGTATTTTTTAATTAGTATTAATATCGGCTCTCTAGTAAAGTAATAAGTGATTTTGGAACCACCTTTTATAATATTAAAATCACCAGAACTTTAAGTAATATTAAGTATGGCGATTTTATTAATTTCATACTAATTCTATAGGGAAATTCCGATATCCTGAATTATAGAAATGCCCTCTAGCCTTTCTAGCCCCCGTCCAAACCTCCAAACCTCCAAATGGTATTAATTAGGTAATTTCCAAAGTTTGGATACTTCCCATAGACTTTCCTATAATTCCCTTGCATATTAGACTTAATATTGCGAAAGCCCCCCCTAATTGGGTTCAAAATTGGGTAATAGGGAAGTAACTAATATATCCAGATTCCCCCCCTCCCCACCCCCCTCCCACTTCTGGCACATATCAAGCACCCTCTGACTCCAGTATATACCACAGTTATCCATTATAATAATCGAAGTCTTCCCCAGCCATAAAAACACTACGGGAGTACCCTGTTTCCCATCCAAAATCGAAATTATCGTACCACTGCTCAAGGAGCTCCCGGTTCTGTACGGGTTGTGCGAGAAGATCGTAGATGGCCGCGATGCGCGCGGGCTTAGGTAAGGAGCTATAATCTGCTCTTATCGTTAGCAAGAGATACTTCAGGGGAGTAAATTGATCTACTTCTCATCTAATTTGGACGTGGTTTGGTAGAGCAATTGGTGATTGAAAATGATTTAGGTAACTTTTGGTACACCCATTTTTAAGTATACCGCTTTTCGTCAAAAACGCGCTAAAACAGGGAGTTTTTGCATACCACTGTAAGTAAACCCCTTGCCTCAAGCTTAGTCATTCTTGTTGAGGCACCCAGCATCAAGAGACTGGAACCAATTGGATACTTCTCTAGTGTATTCAGACCATGTTTTCAGCCTTGAAACTGAGCGAGGAGAGGAAGTTAACTCCCCTTGTCACAATGGCACCCGGTGCTTGCGTGGGGGCTGAGTTCGAGTGGCTTTGGTTTGAGCGCAACTCACTGGGCAGCCGCGTGAACACCACCTTCACCAGGTTTTGCCATCTCTACCCCAATGTTCTTCCTACTTGAATATCTTTTTCTGATCATTATGTGTCCCTATGCTCTGACTTCCAAGAAACAACTCCAAGCGGGCTCTGACAGCGCGCTCAGCCAGTGCAGGCCATCATGCCCCTCGACCCATTCACAGCCTTGTCTGTTGCAGCGGAAGTGGTTCAATTTGTCGATTTCAGCATCACGATTGTGTCGAAAGGCCACAAGCTCGCCATGTCTAGAACCAGTCAATTACAGGAACATGAACATATGGAAGCCGCAGCGAAGCGTCTTCGTGATGCTACGCGGCGTATTGACCTCCTACTCACTGCATCACCCGAGAGTGATGCTGACCGGGCCTTGAAAACTATCTGCAATGGCTGCAAGGACGTTTCTAACGAGCTCAGCAACGAATTGTCAAAGCTTAAAGTACCTGCAGGATGCAATTACCGTTACTGGAAAAGCTTCCGCCAGGGGCTCAAGAGTGTGTGGGGAAAATCAAAGCTCGAGGCTGTGAATGAGAGACTCGCGGAGCTCAGACAAGACCTCACGATTCATGTTTCAGTTATGCTGAGATTTGTAGCTCTAGAGCTGCTTTGAAAGGCTAGAACTTGATCGTGCTGACCATGGTTAAGTGGACGGATTGATGCCGCAAGTTTACACCAGGACCGACGTTTCTCCCTTCTGGAACAACATGTAAAACAGACGATGAAAGAGATGCTAGGGGTTGCCCAGACTGTGGGGGGTTATGCACACCATTTCAACACGTCCATCAACAGCTACCTATTCACACAGTCCGCTCTTGAAGACAAATCTCAAATACAACGACTCAGGGATGAGAAATGGCAGGCGACATCGTCAACTATAATGAGAAACTTACGATTTGCTTCCATCCATGCCCGCCTCGATGCAATAACCACTGCGCATAAGAAAACCTTTGAATGGATATTCGAAGAATGTTTCGGGGACCCATATGACGAGAAGACTGGTGAAGGCATTGGGACACCAGACAACGACTACACAAGGTGGCTGCAAAGTGGAACGGGAATGTACTGGATCCAAGGAAAAGCAGCTTTTGGGAAATCCACGTTGATGCATTTTATTGCTACGCATGAGAAGACTATGCGGAATCTTCGAATATGGTCTGGAAGTTCTTCTCTCGTTGTGCTCAGATTCTATTTCTGGAATAGCGGCGATCATGAGCAACGGTCTTTGACCGGTCTACTCCGGTCTTTGCTATTTGAAATCCTCGCCGGTCATGGAAGTGCTATTCATTACGTTTTCCCTTCCGAATGGAGCGAGTTCTATCAATACAATATTGAACCTCAACCATGGAGGCTGCCGAACCTACAGAAAGCTCTCACCGCTGCCATTCGATACCTGAGCTCCGATTTCAAGATTTGCTTCTTCATCGATGGTCTTGACGAATATGAGGGCGACCATGTCGAGTTAACAAGCCTCTTCAAGAAACTAGCTGATGATCATGATCACATCAAGTTCTGCGTATCAAGTCGACCATGGACCCAATTTGACGAATTTGCCTCAAACGCACCCCATTTGATGCTTCAAGACTTGACGAAGGATGACATCGAGGCATATGTTGTGGACAATCTGGGCAAGAACCAAAAGATGCTTCAATTATCCGACGAAGATCCAGATTCTGTCCATGAGCTTATAAATGAGATTGTTGAGAGGGCGTCGGGTGTATTTCTGTGGGTGGAGATCGTAGTAAAATCTCTGATGAATGGATTAAGAAACTCGGACGATATCTCGCGGCTCCAAAGACGACTTCAAGCAGTGCCAAAAGATCTCGAAAATCTGTACGAACATATGCTCAAAGGCATTGAGGATTTCTACAAGGAGGATGCCTCTATTGTCTTTGAGATATTCCGGATGGCGCGAATTGACCCAATTCCTGAACGATCGTTCAACATCCCTGCCTTGTACAGAGTACTAGAGGCAGATTTCAGAACCGCAACGAGTAAAAAGATCGAGCCGCGCTCCGAGGAGGAATACGCTCAAATCAAGCGGTTCAAAGCCTACCAGGGTCTTGAAATATGGCTCAGAAATTGCTGCAAAGGTCTCCTTGAGGTTGATGTCGTCCTGGAAGACGATCTGGAAGTGGTTAGGAACGAGCTCAGATTTCCGCCCATACGGTACATGCATCGTACTGTCAAGGATTACCTAGAAGAAATTCCTGTGCGCCAGCACCTATCGAGCTTCATCAAAGACCCAACAGTTGGTTCGAATCTTTCTTTCCTGGTATCAGACATCATAGAGCTCAAGGAAATGAGCCCGTCCCAAAGGGCCAGAGAACCCCAGGTTGATCGGAATCTCATGGATCGAGCTCTAAAGCTTGCACAATCGATGAACAGCTTAATGGGTGCCCAGAAAGCCGCTTTACTAGATGAACTAGATAGAGCCCTGTCGCACTGCTGGTCCAAGAACTATTCAGGTCGGCATCAAGGTGTCCAAGGCGCTGGAAATCATTGGTCAAACTCATATGCCCCAAGGGTTTCGTCTCAAAAATTGGAGCGAGACGTGGAATTTCCGACCAACTGGGGACACAATTTCTTGTCTCTGGCAGTTTATCTTGATCTCGACTGGTATGTTGACCGGAAACTCACTCAAGATCCGAGCATTCTCCAGCCAAACGAGACATTGCCGCTCCTCGCGCACGCCTTGAAATGGAAACTTTGGCATCTGAAAGATGATGAGATTTTCGAGCCCGATAGCTTAAAATCTCTTGAAGTATTGCTTCGGCACGGAGCAGATCCCAATCAACTATACGGTAAGTATAGCCTCTGGCAATATTTTATTCATTTTATCCACGTAGCATATCAGCAGGATGCTTGGCCAGGTTGGTGGTGCTGGGATGCTACCAAATTGATGTTGGAATACGGTGCAGGCCCAGATTCGAGATGCATTACAGAAGGCGGGGACTGGATAGCAGCCACATGCCCCCCTTCGCGGCCCACTCTTCTGGATCCTCACTTGTGCGACTGCAACACCCTCGCGGAAATAATCACGGAAATTTTCCACCCTCAAGATGCCACAACTCTCATCCAAATTTTACAGGGCCAGAAAAAATTGCCATCTTTACCGACCCAGAAGCATAGAAGATCGAGAAAGAGGACAAGGGCTGAGGCTTCTACGCCGCCTGCCAGTGATTCTTCTCCATTGGAGCTTTCAATTCGAGGCATATCCCTCCCCCTTGTCAACTCTTTTGGATTCAGAGGGCGAGAAGATGGTTTTGATACACCAATGAGCAGTCAACGGTTTGAGTTGAGACCCTGGACGGCTATAAACAAAGCGGGTAATCAAAAAAAGCTAGCACGATCTAAATCGTTGTCCAGTCCAACTCTGGAATGATAGCAGTGGAATATAATGCGATATTCAATACCACTTCCACAGCCCCAGTCCTATTCGATAGTTCAGAACCAAGCGCGTTGAGGCATTCCTCCCACAATGCCGCGTCGGCAAAAAGCCATAGTATAGGTTTATGAACGCGAAAGATAAAAGATATAAGATATCGGTGGTGGGCTTTTTTCGTGATGAGGATGCAGTGGGAGGTTTGTAGAGGTTTATAGAGGAAGGAATTCGCGAGGTAATAGTTTTGGCTCTGGTAGTGCTTAAAGAGGACTAGCCGGGGAGGAGTCTTAGCAGGCTAGAGGACCTGCCCGGGGTGCAACTTATCGCTACCGCTCCTCAGTATCGATAGACTCTGCATAAACCAAATGGATGACCGAGAGCGAGGTTTCCAGGTCAAGAGGATGGGCAATATCTTTAGTCGGGCAGCGAAATTTTTGTATCTGGCTGGGCGAGGCTAGCAGTGACAGCGACCAGACCATGGAATTCGTGGAGCAAGTTTCTCAACTTGGAAACCCCGATCAGCTTGTGAAAGACACTGGGTCAGTTGAGAAGTGGAAGCCGTTGTCTAGCCTCATGGGACGGCCATGGTTTCCGCGGCGTTGGGTTGTCCAGGAGGTTGCCTCTTCCAGAGAGGCTACCCTGTATTGCGGGACTAAGGAGGCCAGATGGTCAGACTTCTCGGACGCTGTCATGCTATTTGGCAACAGATTCGCCGAGATCGAGCATATATTCTCCCGCAACGGATCACGTCTTGCCGAAACACGAAGCCAGGAGTAGTCTAGGAAATGTTAATCAACTTTCGGCTCATGTCCTGGTCACAGCACTGAACTGTATCATCCGGAAATCCGCCGACGGTCAAGTAATTCAGAAACTCTTCACGATAGAAGCACTGCAATGCGGCCTGGTACCGCTCCAGGTCTCTAATCTTCGGGATACACTCTATGCTTTTTTGACTCTGGCAAAAGATGTCGAGCTAATGTCACGTTTGGTCGACTATGGAAGGAGCTAATTCCACGTCTGCAGAGATGTCGTTAACCATATTGCCAATTCTACCGGGACACTGGGCATTATCTGCAAGCCTTCGGCTGCCGTTTGTCCTTGCGTGCCTTCGTGCCTTCGTCAAGTTAAGCAGCATTCATTTACTGCTGGTTCTTTGGCTCGTCGAGCCAATGCTGATTGCTTGGTTGGACCATCGAGTAGGGCTTTTTATAGTGCAGGAGGGAGAACGCCTGTTGAGCAATTGTGGTGCGAAGAAGAGGGGAGGGTATTCCTTAAAGTTTATAGGTTTGTCTTGGACACTGTCTGGTCTATCGAAGAACGTTCCTAAAACGGCGTCATTCCAAAGAGCAGGCTGGAAGTTGCAACAAGTGTAGCAGAAGAGAGGGACGAAGGTGGAGGCTGTATAGATGACACTGGCAAAGCAATATCTATCTCTGACACCTTCTTGCGAACAATTGTGGCCGACAGAGATGGAGCAAGGCGCCCTCCACGAAGCTGGTATCGTCGAGCTTGCGAGGAGGCGTTTAATCTGAGCAATCTGGAGGGGCGCAGTGCATGGCGATTTGATACATAGGATCTGATCAAGTCCGCTTCTTCTGATGGCCACTCATCCGCCATTATAGCCTTTCTTCGAAGAGTCCAAGGTGTGACGTGGAACAAAAGATTGACAATCAGGGACGGGAAGTCAGTAGCACTTGTTCCTCACGATACAAGAGAAAACGATCACATCTGCATTCCCTGGGGATGCAGCATGCCCGTCATACTTCGGCAACACGAAGATAGACTCGATGAACTAATCGGAGAGTGAGATATCAATAGCGTTGAATGTGTAATGGATGGACAGGCAGCTGACCAAATCTCGAATGGCACGGACGACAAGGCGGAGTTCAAGATCGAATAATGAGAAGAGCATCACTGAATGTCTATCTTTATCCCTCTCAGCAGCAACCGCCTCCGCACCCTCTGGCACCCTCTCGTCAGCACCTAGAATATCCTGCCTATCCACTCCACTCTTCCCCCTCGTGCCCTCGGGAAGGTCGACATCAAGGCCACTCTCTCTGACAGGATCACTTTGATCTGCTCCAACACCACTTAACCCAGATCTCTCTTTCTTCCCCGTACCATGCAATTCCTGGCTCGTCAGTCCACTTCCAGGGTGTCCATACCCTGTAGGAACATCAGCACTTATCGCTCCGCCAACCGTGTCCTGCGCTGAGGTCCAGTTTTCCTTTGAGATATTGGGGTTGTTGGCTTGGCCCGGTACCTCATGTTGCGTGTTGGATTTGAAAGTTCTGTCTGATGGTGCGGTTCCCGCAGGTGGAGTTGCGGCGGTGAATTCTGGGCGAGATTGTTGCCGAGTTTTACGCCGGGGGCGTGCTGCGTTTGTTAAGTGATGGAGATAGGTGATGGGGGAGAACATAACGAACGCCTTTAGTTGTTAAGGGATCGGAAGGGGGAACGCGGGAATGGAATTCGCCCTGGTTGGAGAGAGATGTGGGGTTACCGTTTGCTGACATTTTGGGTTTGATAGAAGTGTGAAAATGGGAAATGGGATTTCGGAATATAAAGGAGAGGATTGAGGATTCAAATGGGAGAGAGACGTATAGGAATAATAAATGAAATGCAGTGGGGCAATGGAAGATTTGTTGTGCTCATACTGATTGAGACTGACATAATTCTGGTTACATCATAACTAAAAACATTGAAAGGTCTTTGTTGGGCACAGGTGCCACTGCAGGGGATAGAGGGCTGAAGGAGAATGATCGGCTGTAGAAGAAATAGAAACTTACTGAGATCTATCTGGCAACCTTGAGATACATGTTCATCTGATGTTCATCCAATGCCTTGAGTAGAGAGCAGCCTTGCGGCGGCGAAGACGAGGCTGATAAGGCTGACGAAACTCATTGAAATTGAACGACTGTCCAGAAAGAGTATATTCGTAGGGAAATAAGGTCCATTATGTCTAGTGGGATATCGTAAAATGAGTAGTTGTTTTCGTGACGGTATCGTGTCTCGGAATCGTGTTGCCGTCAATAATTCCCCCGGAGCCTGATCCAAATCCACCATCAGGACTCAATGCTCTCAGACTTAACCTTCCCCTTACCCGGGTCCATTGATCCATGAGACTTTGACTAGGTTGAACTCAGCAAATCAACAATTCGGCATCTCGCCTTCCGTTATCCTCGCCACACGTACCGGCACAAAATTGTAAATCCATCTCGCGATCAGAAAGCTCGAGACGGCCCAGACCCATAAAACTATTCCGAGCGAAACGGTGATGAAGAGCGTTGGCACGAGGAGGAGGAGAGCGACACCTATCCAAAAGAGGGAGAACAGGAGGGCGGTTATGAAGGAGAGGGCGAGTGTGCCAAGGGCGAAGGCAAGGAATAGAGCGACGGGTGTGGAAGAGAGCAGGAATTGGATCAGGACGAAAGTCTACGATAAATTAGCGTTTGGTCAACGAGGGATTTCAAAATGGGAAGAGAAGGTGAACATGGAAGCATACGAAAAGTATTGGCTGGTCCTGCGCAAATGCTACAGTTTTGTAGTAATACGCCTTGCGAGTATCTGGGCTGATGATAGTATCGATAAGGCTCTGAGCGTACGTGATGATGCCCGAGGCGCGCTGTTGAATTGCCATTGCTGTGAAAGCTGTAGAAGGTGTTTCGTAAAGCGATGGTGATTTGCTATCGCATCGCTTCTGTTGTGAATCTGGCTGGAGAGCTCCTGTCCTGGAATGCAAAGCAAGATTTAAGTTGAAGCTGTGCCTGTCAGCAGCAAACGGCAGTTGCGGGCGTTTGCATGCACGTGATAGAAGGGTTCACCCACCAACCGCCCAAACCTACTTCCCGCCCAAGCTAAAATTCAACTTTAATATTAATTTATTAATTATTAATATAATTTTATACTTTGTTAAGTTTTGGTTACCAAATACTCTCTTTAATCATAATTTTATTTTTTCAAGTAAAAGTTATTATTAATATTACTTATAAAACTAAGTTTTTATTTATATTTTAAGAATTTTGAAGCAATATAAAAGAATAATTAAAATAAGTCCTCTTACAAATTTTCCTATAATTATAAGAGACAGTATTAGTAAATAATAGAAATCAATTTTTATCAATTTTTATCAATTTTGGTTAATTATTGGTATTAGAAACGGTGAGAGAAAAATCGATTTTTTGCTTGGGCGGGAAGTGGGCTTGGGCGATTGGTGGGTGAACCCTTTTAAGGGTATTCATCAACGGAGCTTTCTTCAACCTCCTTTGTAATGTTTATCAAAATATGATCGGGCCAGGTCAGATGAAGGTTTGCATTCCTAGTTTATCTCATTATGTCGACAGCGGTGCCCGCTTATGGTTTTGTCCATTGAAACGTCAGAGGACCTCTGCAGCATCTCAATGTGTCCCAGCAACCACTGCAAATGCCGATAGCTGCTTCTGGGTTTGGATTGGACCTCCATATGTCCGCTGAGGTATGTTTGAGCCCACATCAAGCCTAGCTCACGGTGTTGGCTCCCCATAGTTCCCTACGGTCCTCCAATCCGGGACCATTGTTGGCCTCGAATGTAGCCGCGTATTGCAAGTCAAGAAGAGTAATGACAATGGAAGTATTGGGTTGAGATTGGAAATCTGGTTCCCCTCCCCAACACATGTTTGGAATAGCCAACAAGGTCCCGTCGGCAATGATTGACATGTCGAGATCTCCGTTGGAGATCAGGACTCGATTCGTTGCTCCAATGACTCGAGGAAGAACAGACTGGATTGGATCTGGCGAAGTATCACCCTCACCTTCTGGGCCTCGTTGCCGAAAAACACAGGTCCTTTGCATTCCAGCCACCCTATACCCAGTGGTGCGTTCGTTGTTTTCTTCATGTCCGTCCGATTGGAATATATTGGCTGGCCTGGATATAAATACTGAAGTCCTGTTGGATAGCCCAAGGAATCCGAGCGGAGGGGACATTGCGATGAAATTTCGGGTATATTGAAGCACGGATTCGGGGCAACAAAAGCAGCTGCGTACACCATGCCAAAAAGATCGCAACTTAAGTCCGTCCCCCATGATTGCCCGGTTGTGGAAAAGCGAGATTTTTCTTTCTGAAGTCTGCGTATCCACATGTTTTGTCCCGTGCCTGAAGTTGTGTCAAGAAGCTGGCATTGCGCTCTAAGACTTTCTTATCTTTGACAGCGAATGGAACTATTGGACCGTGGTTTTGCTCCCACACATAGCTTCCTATACACGGATCGTACATTAAAGCTCCTGTAGATTTTGTTAGGGCTCTCCTACTAGAGACGAAAGGCATATACCGGATACATTGAAATAGACTGGACGCTTCCGATCAATCATAGCAGATGAGAAGTGCGGTACATATCTCCCTGCATAACTTTCCCCGGTCAAGAATATCTTGAAGTTCTTGATCCCAAAAGTCTGCAGAAAGTTCAAGAAAAAGCTGTTGAAGTCTTTAACGGCATCGGTCTCATTCGTCGCTGTGACCTCCCCGATTGAGAATCCAGTTCCCACGGGTTGCTCGACCCATAGAACATTCGTCAAGTTTACCCAAGCGTAGGGATTGATTGTTGGAGCGTATTGACCATAGCCCCAAACAAAATCGCCATTTCCTTGAAAGAAGCTTTCAAGTGAGCTACATCCTACATCTCGTCTTAGAAAGACCCTATTACCTGGGCATCACAGCTCCCCTGGTCCGCCGTTCAACCAGGTCGTTATTTCGTCTACTGGTGCTCCCACTGTGGGTTGGAAGACAAAATACAAAGCTCTCGATGTGTTGCTCATGTCGATGGGCATCAAACCGCGTGCATCTCCCCCACATCGAATGGGACATCAGGTAGTGCATCTACTACGTACGCTACCTCTCAATCAGCACACTGCTCGCTCCTCGAAGATACAAACACTCTAACCTTCTGTTTTGCTCGTGTAGAACCGTAAATTATCATGGGTATGGGTTTTATTTTGCGGTTTGTCTGCGACGATATTTCTGGCTCTTAAATCCGGTCCAAATCACTTTCGATGAGCGAAATCACTGGTTCTTCCGGCAGATGCTGTGGTGATTAAAATAGAAACACCGAGAGCGACGAGAGCCCGGTAGAAAAATACTGAAAACATCTCCTTCGAGTTCAAACATTAATGGAGGAAAATCTGGAAACCCAAAAATGTGCAAAAAATATTCGGATTTATATTATACAACCTTTTAGTCGAATGGAAATTCCAAGTCTTTAAACGGTAACACTTTTGATGTGGCAACTTCGCTTGCGTGTTAGGGAACCTCTCTTTATCCTGCAGACTTAAACATGGAATGTTGATAAGAGTATAAGATCAGGCTGTTTCTCGGTAGGATAGCTTCAGGTATATTACACGGACAGAACGTGATCGGGAGAGGATTAAAGTTTTGTGGATAAAGTCCCAAGATTGCAAGAGAGGGGTGCTGACAGTGGCTTTTAAAGCCTGATCTATGTGGGGTTGAACTTCCTGAAACCACGGACAGAGCTCGTCCACCGTCGACAAACAGTAAAGAGTACCTTAGAGGATAATTTGAGTGTCAGAGATCAGGGATCTACGAGATCGCTCGAATCTAGATCCTTCATAAGGACACGTCTTCTCATTGGCTACCCCACCCTCGACACCTACAAAGGTCGTTTGTTCCACACCCAGTGAAGATCAACGCCGTGTAACATCAATTCAGGGCACATCTTAGATTCAGTGAAGTCTGACTGTACACGACAGCATCTCCACAATGGCAGACAAAGAACTCGTCCTCAGCAAAGTAAAACTTTACATCCACCACCCGGTCCCCGTAAGCCTTCTTCCCTTCACAAACCATCTTTGCTAACAAAATAAAAGAATCAACTCTTTGCCGACATCTTCCCCATCTTTCGGGACCCAGCAGTAACAGAAGCCATAATCTCTCACCTGGAATCTCACATAAGATCCACTCATGACCTCTCCAAAATCTCCAGCATAGTCTGTCTCGAAGCTCGCGGATTTTTCTTCACACCCATCCTCGCCTCCCGCCTTCAACTCCCCTGTGTCCCGGTCCGGAAACCGGGAAAGCTTCCCGGGGAGGTGATTACCACTACCTATCAAAAAGACTACGGGCCGGACAGATTCGAGATGAAGACTGATGCATTTGAAGGTATTGAGACGGCGGGGAAGAAAGTCATTTTAGTTGATGATTTGTTGGGGATGGGTGGCTCGATTATGGCTGCGAAGGAGTTGGTGGAGCAGTTGGGGATGGAGGTTGCGGAGGCGGTGTTTATTTTTGATGTTGATGTACCGGTGTATAATGTGGCGGTTGAGAAGAACTTGAAGGGATTGCAGAGGTATGCTATGGTTACGCTTACAAAGACAAACATGGGGGCTCCGATTGAGTGTTGATGCCTCGCTGAGGCATTACAGCGGTTTCTTGATACGGAAATACTATCATTGTGGCAAGTAGAGTGGGCTCATTTTCACATTCGTGATGTCCTAAACTACTGGAGCATAGAGTCTAAGCTCTCCCCAAGTACACCCTCAATCTTCACAATCCAGCGATGTGTTTCCTTCTCAACAACCTCATCATCGTCTTCTTGCAGTTCACTGATGAAAGGCAACATCTCAGGCAACATAGACAGCCACTCTTCACCGAGCCTATCAGTCAACTCCTGCTCGCACTTGACTGCCGCTAGTCGGACACTTGCAGTCTCAGACCTCATGTGCTTAAGAATTGCTCCATTTAATTCCTTGTGATGATCTGATGACTCTGCAGCAGCCGCAAGTTCAACGATTGCTGGCACGAGTTCCTCAGTCAATGGCAGCGCTGAAGCGTTTGTGAACTGTGCACACAGCACCGGTGCCACATTACTAAAATGCGATGGCGATTGCCAAAAGTCATCTTGATCGTGTTCAAAACACTTGACTAAAGTCCGAAGCACCCTCGACCATAACTCCCTCGAGATCTCATCTTTAGGATTCACGTTCTTCAAGGTATCCACCGCGTTGTCGAGAAGGTAGGTTGCATAGCTGGTGACGATCGACTTGAGATTGTCGAAGAACACGGCCATGAAGCCATATATGCTTTGTAACCGCAGATTTCTACCAACTTCATCCTTCTTGGGTAGTGAAGCCGACGCCCACTCAACCAGGTTGGACAAAATGGGCCGGAATGTCGCATCGTTGAACTTATAAATCATTTTGATGGCGACTTCGTTGACCTGAGTTTCAATCTCAGCAATGAAGTCGCTGTCCAAGCCTTCGTCCGCCACCACTGTCCACTGTCGCCGAAGGTCGAAGGCGTTCTGGAATATGTTTGCTAGGATGGGAGAGTACTTGGTCACTACGTTCTTTGGGTGTCTATCAATGGCTATACTGAGAATCTCGAGATATTCCTGGAGCGCCTATCGATAAATTAGCGGCTTGACTTGGAGCAATTTTAAAGATCACTTACCAATTGACCCATTCCAGCGGCTCGTTCCCAGTCTTTCTCCAAAGCTCCAAACATACTCTTGGCATCAATTTGCTTCGCCGCAAGCCTCATGCAGTCCATTCTACTCTCATCGGCTGAATCATCAAGGTCTGCCTCTGCGGACGCATTCGAAATTTCGAGAAGTTTGTCCAAGTACCCTCCCGACAACATATATGGTAGGTGATGGACCAGGGCACTGATAAATGCGTAGCCAGCATTGTGGAGCTTCTGGGATTCGTCATCCTCTTTCGTACTGGCTTCCATATATTCCAGAGCTTTAGGAATCGCACTAGGGAGGACTGAGACGATTCCCTCCCTCAAAATCTCAACCAGAGATGCAAGACAGAGGAGCCCCATGACGCGCAACCGATTATCTGACTGGCCAAGACAATGATTGCTCGCAATCGTTTCTGCCGCTGCGGCAACTGCTTCGAGATCCTTCTTCCCATATTTCTCGGATATCTTGTCAACACAGCCCACTGCAATGTGCTTGTACAGAACATCTTTCGACTCTCGAATGATTGCGGTGAGTTGGGGCAAGAATCCGAGCATTGCACTCCTCGAATTTGCGTCGGATGGACTTTCATGATCAATGCGGACCTCCAGAGACTTCAAGATCTTGCGACGTAAGGAATCACTCGGCCTGTCGAGCAAGCCCTCAACCGATTTGACAAAGTCACTGGTAGATAGTAAGCCAAGTAGACTTTCCAAAACATCACCGCAAGCCCCATGTAGGCGCTTCTGATCTCTCAGTGTATCCGCCAAGGCTAGAACATTTTCCAGGAGGGTTGAATAAAGATCTCGAATTCTCGCAGCGTCCATATCGTCCCGATCAAGTAATTTCCCGGTTTGACTAGCAAGCCGCTTCTGAGAAAGAAGATGCGGCAACAATGCTATTTCGTTTGCAGCGATCAGTTTGGGGTCAGAAATGCCCTCATCATTGGCGTTGAGTAGGGTAGTCGAGTACGTTGGTTTCGGTTTCAAGACATCTCCAACTAAGTCCAAATATTTTACAGCAGATTGGAGTTGGGTTTCCACACTGAACGAGCCAGCAATATCTGCTGCAAATGCTTTGATGCCTTCAGTTGGTCCGTACTTATCCACAAGCATTGCTAATAACGCGAACAAGAAGTCTTCTGGGCCAAGGGTTTGCACCAAAGAGGTGAACAGCCCCTTCCGGCGATGGGGTGGCACATGCTCGTACGCAGCAACGAAGCTCAGAAGCAATTCTGCTGCACCAGTGACAGGATTTCCCTTCTCTTTCCGGAGTGACGAGATTAGGGGAGGAATGACTTCGCGAATTGTTTGACTAATAACGTGTGCAGAATACTCGTCGTTGTGTCGGAGCACTGAGCTTCCCATGAAGGTAAATATCGGCATGACGCTGTGAAGAACCAATTCCGGTACAATATCGGCCAAAGAGGCAATAAGTAGTAGCGCGGCATTTTGAACCTGTGGACTCGCCGTCTTCTGGACACAATCGACAAGCAGATCTGCTCGAATTGCAGAGCGCTCGAGCTTCAAACTCGGGTCAGACTTGTAAGCCTTGATAATAGCGAGAAGACTGTTGAGGACCAACCCCTGAAGATAGGCCAACTCTGACGCTACCTGGGCTTTGAAATGTTGAAGTTCAGCTAGGACATTGAAAAGACCTTTGAGGAGCTCAGGATGTTTGCCAGGATCGGAACTGTCGATAAGCTGCAGGACGAAGGTGACCTTCTGCATAGCAGCCGTGAGCTGTTTCGAGTCTTGGAGCGGGGTTCTAGCTATTTCTCCGTGGCTTGTCCTTCGCCTTTTAGTAGCAGGAGGCTTGTCTGCTAACTCGGCTGTTGTTGGAAGCTGTTCTAGGAACGCTAATAGTATTTCCGTTGAAAGTGACGTTGTTTGAAGGAGCTGAGCTGAGCCCTGCGAGATTGATTTACGGATTTCGTCCGGATTGTTTGACGGAAACTGAGCTGAGTCCATCAACATCTGGGCAGTGCTGATGCGGAGTTCACCCTTCAAGGATGTCCAGATCGCACGCAGCCTTTTGAAAACAGCATCAATGATAGCTGATCTGCCGACCACCACATCGCCGCTAATGATACTAGCCAGGTACTGAAAACCCTCGTTATCACTCGAAGTGATGATCATAAGTGCTTGATCGTCAATCTCCACAGCATCAAGTTGTTCCTCAATGCAAAGCTTCGAGACTTCTGCTGGACCAATCGATGCCCATTGCTGGAGTATAGGGAGCAGCACTTTCGTTCTCGATATACTTGCTACGCTACGAAGTTGATTTAGTGAAGCAAGTAGTCTCATCTTCAGTGAGAACAACGGAGTATGGATAGCATGGCTTGACAAGAAAGCAATAATTGAGGCTCGGCTGGTTTGTGGTACTCGCTGGTCCTGCTTTTTCGGGCTCTCAGAGGTACGAGGGCCGTTTAGGGACCTCTGAAAGACAGATTCGATGTGTTTCCGGTCGAGCACGCATTCTTCCAGAGCTGGAATGACCACTTCGCTGAGCAGTCGAGCCACAATATCCCCAGAGAGCCACTTTAAGTCACGAGTATCGTCTCCGGGTCCATAAAAGTCATCGAAGGCCCACTTTTGTAATTGCTTTAACTTCTTCTTGGACTCTGTGTTGGTGGGAAAGAATTTGTTCAGTGCAACAAGAAGTTCTGCCGCGGCACGACGAACTTTCGAAGCAGGATCACCAAGTGCACCAATTGCATAAGGCAAGAGCGCCTGGAGATCTACGGAATCCACCTTGCTGGCTGACAAGCAACGAGTCGCCATCTGGAGCGCTGAGGCTCGAGCCACGACTGGGTGGGGACCACACCACGTCCTCATGTAAAAACTGAGGTATAGAGTATCTTCCAGGGCAGAATCTCGTCGTAGGATTGGTATCTTGTCAAAAGAATCAAGATCAGACGGATTGGATGTAGCCACCAAAAATGCACGACACAGATCTGGGTAGATATGTGACGAATCGTGAGATAGGAAGGACAATTCAGTGGTGGTTCTTTTGGGAAGAGTTTGAAGAAGACTAGAGAAGTCCAGTGTTGTAGTCATCTCAACATTGGAGTCTTCCATATCGACATCTTCAGCGTGCGATGCTGGAGCCTCAATTCGCTGGAGTGATGTGTTGAGCTTCAGTTCTAGTTCGTCGATATCCACCTCAGTAGTTTCAAGTGCTCCACGGACCACAGAGCCAACATGATCAGGGAGCTGTGTGAGTGCAACGAGTGAGGATGCAAGATGAGGTCCTAATGTTGGATTCGAGTCTTCGTCGATTTGGTGAGCGACCAAAACCAATGCCTTCACAATAACGCAGCATTGAGGATCACTCAATAACTGACTGCCAATGACCCGCTCAACAATTTGAAGACCACTAATATCACCATTCTTCCGTAATCGTTCCACAAGTGCTAGGCAGAGACCATTGGCAAGCCTATCCACACGTCGTTGTTTGGAAAGCTCTATGAGAAGATCTGATAAGTTCTCAACCTTAAGCAGTTCTTTTGCAAGTCGTTTTGTGATCTGTTTTGCTCCTCGATGCTGTGCCAGTACAGATAGGCAGACGAGTCCAGGAATTGTGGTTTCACCTGTCCATCCCAGTACAACCGCTTCCATCATAGCAGTTAACAGCTTGTCGTCAAGCCCACCCTTTGACGCCATTACCGAGAGTAGCATATAGCAGCCAAGGCGTAGATCAGGGACTTTCTTCATCGCAAGACCTTCATTCAAAGTTGGCAATAGTCTCAAAACAACGTCTTGTTCATTTTGCTGCTGGACAGCTTTCCTCCCGGACCGAGCTTTGTCCAGCATGCCCCCAGTGGCCTCCGTCATTACTCCTGCCCAAAATGCAATAAGAGCTGGGTAATTCTGCCGCGACTGACATATTCGAAGAATATACGTGTTTAAAGCTGAGGCGAACGAGGGATTGGTAGTTGCGGTGTGAACAATTGCATGTCTGGGAGGTGGAGTATGGGATCGTATGTACGGATGAAGAAATTTGTATTCCTGTGGAAGATTCGAGGGTAAAATTGACAGAAGAGTTGTAAATACTGGAAGCGTGTGGTACGGGAGGAAGGTCATGATCAGAAAGGAGGTATTGCGTTCATGGACCCTGGAACAAAAGTTAACAATCTTCCTCGGATGTTTTTATCTTCTCATCTCACCTGAACCTCCTAATCAACCATTCCACTGCTTTTACTGCTGGACTTAATCTTAGCCGCCCACCAACCAGGCCTAGGAAAATCTCGAGTCTCTTGTCCAGCTCCGAGTTCTCCGTAGCTGTCATTTGAGTGCGGTCCTCATCTTTACTTTGCTCGCTGAAGATGTCTCTTTGGAAGTCCGAGAACCTCCCGTCCAAAAGGCACAGTTCTTGGAACCCTTCGTGGCATAATGTGTATATTGTATCGAAACTTTGCGATGCTGCCACTCGGGGCTCGAATATGAGAGACTTGGAGTGCGCCGCCTTTTGGGCTTTGAGATTCAAAGACTTTTCCGAATTGGCAGATATCACCGACAGCTGGGCTGCCAAAGAGGTCGTCATGGTGTATTATCGGTCGGACAATTGCTCAAAATGTCATAATTTGAGGTTGTATCTGTGAAGGTCACACAGCTCTTATCGCGAAATGCAAGATTGAACTTTTTTCTTCAAAAGTTTCTCCACAGACAAGGCTGTAGTTTTGTGGTCCGTGCGTCCACCAATCATCAGACTGTATCGTTCCGAACGTCCCCTTCCTCTCAAATTCAACCACTTCCGCACAAAATCTGAGCTAAGTGGAAATGATATAGCAAGAGCCTGGTCTGGGTTCGTCACTATGTCTGAGCCTAAGACCAATGTTCCGAGATTTGCTTCTTTCAAGCCCAAGCCTACAACAGCGGTTCCGGAAGAGGCCAAGGCTGACAAGGCCACGCAAAGGAAGCACCACCGCAAAGATGAGAAGTGTGACAAAGATCACAGGCGACGACATCATGAGAAACATCGATCTGGAAGCCGGGAGAGGTTTCCACTTCACGAGACAAAGATAGAAACCCCCCTGTATCGGCCAAAGGACGAATTCGTGGGCGATTACGTGGTGGACAGGAAGGGTGATGAGAAGAATCTCGTCTACGGGAGCATCCACCGATATAGTGTACCTCCGTTTCATCGATTTGGAGCAGGCCATGTTCTTGGGGCACCCCCAGACACGAAGGTTGATCGAGATTATGGAGATGAGAAGGGGATTGTTCTCAGCAATTGGCGAGAAGGCAAGTCTGGCTTCAGGGAGAAATATGTTTTCTCAAAAATAGAGAGAGAGAGACCCCGACTCTTGAAAATACGTCCCCAAGTCGATCGTGAAGGGCAGAGGAGCGTTGAAGCGGATTTCGTTCCTCTGCAGGGTCCGAGAGGCAAGAAGCGCAAGAGGAGCGGAGATGGCGATGGAGATAGTTCTGATTCTGGCCGCGACGAGAAAGACTATCGGTCGATATACGGCAAGGCCAAAGCAAAACATCAGCCGTCTGACGAGGAGCTTGAGTATGCAACTGAAAGTGACTCTTCAGGCTCAGACGCCAGGCGGACGATGAAGGTCGACTCTTCTACCCGCCAGAAAAACATGGAGCTGTCAAGGAAAGTCGAGGAATCCCCACACGACGTGGAAGCTTGGATCTCGCTGATTGACCACCAAGATGCGCTGCTAAGAGGGCATGACGACAGCCACAGGGTCACCAATGCCGAGCTTCGAAGCACTGCAGACATCAAAATCTCGATGTACGAAAAGGCTTTGGGCAAGGCCAGATCTTTGAAAGACCGGGAGAGGCTTTTGCTGGGCTTGATGAAAGAAGGGGAAAAGATCTGGGAAGTAAAATATCAAGCAGAACGTTGGGAGCAGATCTCGAATGACAATATTGACAGTCTCCTTTTGTGGACAAGCTATCTCAATTTTAAGCAAACGACATTCTCGTCATTTCGGCATGAAGCTATCAAAGAAGTGTTTCTGAGAAGGGTCAATGCTCTCACCAAAGAGGTTCTTGTTCCGGGGACAGGAGATACCGGTTCGCTGTATCAACAACTCATCTATTTACTCCTTCGCTTCACGCTATTCCTGCGTGAGTCCGGATACTCAGAGCTAGCTGTGTCGATTTGGCAAGGTCTTCTTGAGATGAACTTTTTCCCTCTCAACTTACCGCTTTCCCATGCCGAAGCTGTGAAGAAATTCGGTACCTTTTGGGAAAGTGAGGTGCCTCGAATTGGCGAGGATGGTGCTCTGGGCTGGCGTCACTTTGTGGAAAACAAGGATGTGTCGGAAGCCCCCGATGCTTTGGTTGATGAAGCAGATGATGTGGTGGACAACACAGATCTGTTCAAAACCTGGGCAGCAGCAGAACGATTGAGGATGATGGGCTCTCGTACTCCGGCTAGGGCTATGGACGAGGTGGCAGAGGATGATCCGTTCCGTGTGATTTTATTCTCGGATATCGAGAGCTTTCTCATACACCTACCCCCTCAGTCACAAGGTTTGCGGAGTTTACTCCTCGATGGATTTCTACTTTTTTGTCGCTTGCCGGCAGTCGTCGACTTGGAGGATGCGAAAAAGTGGCCTGGAGATGCTTTCGTCAACGGCTACTTGTTGGAGAATGACATAAACTGGATTAGAGACGCATATCTTCCCGCAACCCGAGAACAGAGTGAGGATTCTGATTTGGTGGTATCTTTGTACGTCCCAATTTCGAATATTTCGATATCATCAGAAGAGCTCTTTGGGTCAAGCGTTTGGCTAGGAAGGCAGCCTTGGAAAGTCAAATATACTGGAGATGACAATGGTCCCGTATTTTACAGATGGGTGAGAAATACCCTGAAACAGCTCACGGAGAGCTATTTTACAGAAGACCTCGCCGAATACTTCCTCGCATTTGAGTTTCTGAACGAACCAGCTTCGATCAAGAAGATATCGAAGAGTCTTCTGAAGCAACATCCCACATGCCTTCGATTATACAACTCATATGCACTGATCGAGTGGTCTCGAGGCAATAAGGATGTTGCCCGAGGCGTATTTACTGCGGCTTTGAATCTACGCAGATCACTGCCCGAGACCGAATGGGATAGAGATTCAATCGTGCTCTGGAGAAGTTGGATTTGGGCATGCCTCACTGAGCAGGACAACAACGCCGCGATTCAACATCTGCTATCTATTGCAGATGGCACTCCGAATGCAGATGCTACCCTATCACCTGCAGCATTGCTCAGAGCAAAACAGCATATGGTCTCACATCGGGATTATCTTCTGTCCTCGGGGACTTCGAGATCTTCTGCAGCATATGCAGAATGTGAGTGCTGCCAGTTTCACTGACATTCGCCCATAAATCCCTTCGTCTACTCAGATACAGGCTCAATACTAACCTCACCAGGTCTAATGCTTCTCGATTACTTGACCACGAGTTCAGACAAGGAGACAAAGTCTACGGCTCAAGGAGACATCAGCTCCGCCCTTGGTACTTGTACCTCTTTCTCTCACATCTTCATCTCTCGGGATCTCACCCATTCCACCTCCCACGAGCGCTTCCTCCAATCCGCAGCACGTCTTCTCATCCACCATGCTCGCATCGGCCCCTTCCGCCCTGCTCTCATCCGAGAACACCTGAATCGCTTCCTGAATCTCTTTCCCCAAAATACCATGTTTCTCTCACTCTACACCTGGAACGAATCTCGACTCCGAATCGACAATCGTGTCCGAAATATCCTGCTATCTACAATCCTCACACCAGAAAACGACACTTTGACATCCCGCCTTTTCGCCATCCAATACGAAATCAAGCATGGAACGATTCACTCTGTTCGTTCAGCATTCGAGCACGCCCTGTCATCCTCACCATCCAAGTCTTCCGCAGGATTATGGAGATTTTATTTCATTTACTGTCTCGAGACATCACAGTTCCGCGCCCAGGCGAAGGATATCTGGTATCGAGCAATCAGAGCCTGTCCGTGGGCAAAAGAGCTCTATTTAATCGGCTTCGAGAGAATGAGCAATATATTACCCTTCTCAGAGCTCAAGAACATATGGAGGATTATGGTGGAGAAGGACTTGAGGGTCCACATTGATCTAGAAGAGAGGTTCGAGGATATAGGGAAACTGGAGAAGACTGCACGTGAGCAGCGCCGTCTGGGGCACAGGTAGGCGCCGCCAAGGTCTCGGAAAGTATAATGAAGAATGAGAGAGTGTTTTGAAACTCAAACGCAGAGAGCAGCCTCACCGTTTCACTAGGTTGAGGCATAAACTTTCGCAATTTATCACAGGTGATCTCTTTCCAGAGTATCTGTTTCGATTTACATAATCTCCCCTCATTATATAGATAATTTGAATGTTTTCCTTCCTGTATGCATGATTTTTAGAGCTAGGGCTCAAACTTCTCATGCAGCACCGTTCCGAGACATCCCATTACATGCCAACATCAGTGTGAAGAATTAGACACAAGTTCATCTTACAAATCCAAATCTTTTTAGTGTGCACTACCAACCAACCCCCTTCAATCCCCCCAAAAAATATATACCAAAAACTCTCACTCCAACTGCCCTAATCCCCACATTATCTCTCAGCTCTTCTCATCACCTTCAACTTCTCATACTCAGAAGTTAGAACCAACATTTAAGTGCTCGCGTCGAAGGGAACAGCAGTAGAAGCCTGTCCCGCCGCAGCAGTATCAAGCTTAATATTATTCGCAAGCTTCGTCTGCTCAGCCGCCAAATCACTGCCACTTCCGCCCTGGGCAACGTCGACCTGGATACCGAGAACCTCAGCCGTAAGCTTGAGGACCTTGTTCTTTATCTTGCCGTTCTGTTTGCACGTATCAGTCTTTGTATTCATGTTTATGCGATTGTGATTAAAGGAAGGGGAAGTTTACCTGGAGAGCTGTAGCGGCATCACCACTGGCTGCTGCGATGGCTGGGTTGAAGGCTTGGACCTCTGCATTCTCGGCTGCATCGTGGGTGCCCTTGATGATTTTAAGATCGGCTGCTGAGACACCGGCGAGGTTGTTCATGTCGATGTTGGCGAAGAGAGCATTCGCTTCGGTCTAGAAGACCGAGACTCAGCATTTTCCTACAGTCTCGGAGTGTTATTTTTACCTCGGCAGTTCCTGCAGTTCCACTAGAAATTTGGATATTATTGTAAGTCGAGGCAGTGAGAACGCTGGCCGCTGCCTTCTTCTTGAGCATAGGAGAGGAAAATACAAGGCCGAGGAGGGAGAGGGAAAGGATGGTGGATGAGAAACGCATGTTTGCTGTTTATTTCTTGGGTTGAAAAAAGATAGAAGATAGATATCCGGATATATAAACAATAGAATGTATGTATAGCAGCACAGCTGCAAAAGAATGTGAGTTTGGAAGAGTAGAACGAAAAGACCTGAACACAAGGAAGGACTGAAGCGAGCACGGCTGAAGAACAGAAAACGTCTACTGAGAGAAACGGAATCGTCTTATATATGAAGTGTCCCTTGACGGCAAGAAACGGCGATGTCAAGCTCACCAAGCTTCCTTGGACGGAAACCTAGGGACATGGGGAGTTGGCGGCATGATGGTTTCGATTGGTCTCCCCGTCTCATCTTGCCTCTCCTGTCACTGACTCGCTTCACCTCTTCTCTTTTTGCAGGCCCAGCCTCGCACTCACTACAGCAAAGGTGTCTGCCAAGACCTTCATGATCCCATTAGCGGTCTGTGAAACTAGTTGTGAAGGTCCGTTCGTCGCAATTACGCATCGCTTCCTGGTATAGCGGTAGATCATACTTTAACACTCGGTGGGAGATCATCAGACGCGCATCTGAACATCTCAAACATCTAATCAGATCTCGGTAAAAGTGCAGCTAGCGTGGGTTTCTCAATCCCATATCTGATTGTGATTGGTGGAAAGAGTGGGAAGTGGAAAAGGGGAGAGGCGGTTTCACGAAGCGAGTTGTCAGGTCGAAACACGGCGGTGGACAGGTTTCAGGTTATCAGATGGATTTTTGAGCTCCGCAGTAAACACCAGCCAGATTCTGAGGATCTGTTCTTATGACTGTCTCATTTACTTGGTACCGGGTTGGTTCAAGCCGACGCTGGAAAGTTAAAGTTGTAAGGAATGGAACAAAGGGATGAAAGCAGTGAGGGGACCAAAGGGGGTTGGCTAGCGATTTTACGATCACGTGGAAAAGGGGAGGGTTTGGGGATCTCTTTTACGTGTAATTCTTCTTCTCAGGCTACATTATTCATCTGAAGGGTATCCCCTGAAAACATCGAGGACCCGGCCACCGATCAAAACCCTCCGAACGCCATGCTTTTGATGTAATGAAATATCGCTCATCGTCTCATCAATCTGCTATCTATCCTAAAACTCAAGCCCCTATGATCTATTCGTAAAGTTGCATCCCATCATCATCCTCACCGATTACTTCCTCGATATCCGACTCGTCAATCTCCATGTCGTCTTCACTGCTCGTATCCGTATCGGTATGGTTGGGGTGGATCTTGATCCTGCCATTGTCCAAGTACACTCTGGCAGTCTCTCCATCCTTGATGTTGCCCCTGAGGATCATCACAGCAAGCCTGTTCAAGAGTTCCGTCTCGATCAATCTCGCAAGGGGCCTAGCACCGTAGCTAGGATTGTAACCAGCAGTGCCGAGCCAGTTCTTAACATCCGGAGTGCAGTCAATCTTGACATTTCTGCCATTGCTCTCTAGACGCTTCTGGATCTCACTCAAGCGAACTTCGACGATCTTTCTGATTTCGGCCCTTGACAACCGGTTGAAGATGATGGTTTCGCTGATACGATTCAGGAATTCTGGTAAGAAATAGTCTTCCAACGCCTTCTTGACCATAGCTTTTGTCGTGTCATCGATCTTGCCGTTGGCTGTTGTTGCGCGTTGAAGGTACTCAGCTCCGATGTTAGAGGTCATGACAACGATGCAGTTGCGAGCATCGATAACACGTCCTTGGCCATCGGTGATACGCCCATCATCCATGAGCTGGAGAAGGATAGTGAGTACTTCCTTTGCAGCCTTTTCGACTTCATCGAAGAGGAGAATCGAGAACGGCTTACGGCGAAGGGCTTCCGTAAGTTGTCCACCAGCATCGTGTCCAACGTAACCCGGTGGTGCACCAATCATGCGACTGACTGTATGGCGTTCTTGATATTCAGACATGTCAAGCCGAATCATGGCCTTTGGATCATCAAAGAGGAATTCAGCCAACGCTTTCGTGAGCAGGGTCTTGCCAGTACCCGATGGTCCACAGAAGAGGAAGCTGGGAGGTTGGTTGGGATTGCTGAGTCCAGATCGTTGGAGACGAATCTTGTCGGAGACTGCCTTGACAGCTTCCTTTTGGCCTACTACAATCTTGCCGAGAACTCTCTCCATATGCAGGAGTTTGTCCTTCTCTGTGGTCTTCAGTCTCGTGACAGGGATACCAGTAGCCCGAGCAACAATTTCGTTGATTTGATCTGGACCGACAACGTCGGTAATAAGGGATCCACCAGAATCTGGGTTGTGCTCAGAGCTCAGAGCAGCATCGGCAGCGGCCTTTTGCTTCTCTAGACTCTTGATGAATACCTCCTGCTCAGGAATGGCATAGTACTGCAAGTCAGCAGCTCGTGCATCGTCACCCATACGGGTAGCCTCATCCTTCTTGACCCTCAATGCGTCAAGCTTGACTTTGGCCTCTTGAATTGCTTTGCCTCGAGCTCGCTCACTCTCATATTTCTCGCGAAGTGGTCTCAGCTCTTCTTCCACGTTTTGGGCATCCTGCTTGGCTTGCGCGAGACGTGCTTTGGAAGCGTCATCTTTCTCTCTGGTCAATGCATGAATCTCAATCTTCAATTGCTGAAGCCTGCGGTTCAAGTTGTCCAGAGCTTCGGGAAGGGATTCTCGTTCGGTCTTCACTGCAGCTGCAGCTTCATCGATAAGATCAACGGCTGAGTCAGGGAGGCGTCGCTGAGTGAGGTAGCGGGCAGCTAATGTAGCTGCAGTGACGATAGCTCCGTCAGATATGGTGATGCCGTGGTAGACTTCATATTTCTCCTTGAGGCCACGGAGAATCGAAATTGTCTCTGGAACCGTGGGTTCCTTAACGAGGACTTGCTGGAATCGTCGTTCGAAGGCGGCATCCTTCTCGATGTATTTCCGGTACTCGGCAAGGGTGGTAGCACCGATGCAGTGAAGTTGACCTCTAGCCAACATGGGCTTGAGCAGATTGGCAGCATCCATGCCACCTTCACCGCTTGATCCAGCGCCCATGAGGAGATGCATCTCATCGACAAATAGGACGATGAACTCCTTCGATTCTGCAATTTCCTTCAAGAGACCCTTCATTCTCTCTTCGAATTCTCCTCTGTACTTGCTACCTGCAACAAGAGAGCCGACATCGAGGGAAAGCAATTTGCAGGCTGCGAGGTTGTCCGGTACATCATTGTTGACGATACGTTGTGCTAGACCCTCGACGACTGTTGTCTTTCCCACACCTGGCTCTCCGATCAAGACTGGGTTGTTCTTGGTACGTCTTGACAGGATGCGGACAACTCTTCTGATTTCCTCCTCTCTGCCAATAACAGGATCCACCTTGCCCTCTCTTGCCATTGCAGTCATATCGATCGTGAATTTCTTCAGATTCTCGAATTCTTCCTCGGCATCGGCTGTCTTGGTGTCTACCCGGCGTGTGCCCCGAATCTGCTGAACAGCATCTTGTAGAACCTTGACATTGAGAATATTGCCATCCTTCAAGCAGGTCTGAATAGTAGTATCCTCAGACAAGGCAATGATCAAATGATCAACTGCAATGAAAGAGTCCTTTTGTGTCTTTTGGAGTTCGTGTGCTTGTCTCAAGACCTTCGTGAACGAGGGTGCCATGGCGATTTGCTCGGGCGGTGGTGTTTGACTTGGTAATCGTACGATGGCCTTGTTCAGGGCTCTTTGGAAACCTTGCGCGTCGCCATGGGCTCGTTCGACCACCTGACGAAAAAGGGATTGTGATGAGGCACCATGAGATGCGTTCATGGTCTGTTGTTGGTCCTTCGATTCGTCTGGTGGAGGGTCGAGCAGACTCGATGCCAAGTGTATTGGGAGTAATTGCGGGTGGGCATTGGCTTCTGCGATGCCCATCGCATCGGAAAGGGCCTTGCTGGCCCTATCCGTAAAGTTCATATTAGAAGTCGACATGTTTTCGATGTGATCAAAGTGCGATCAATTGTATGTGTCTGGTTGTGCTTATTCGTGAAATCGTAATTCGTGAAGTAAGGAGGGGTTGTGGAATTCCCGGAATTCAGCCCTGCCAAGTTTTTTGTGATCACTGACGTTCGTGATGAATTGCGAGTGTGAGTACGACGAGCAATGAAAGTGGAAGTCAAGCCTCCGTCCAAGATTATATGCAAAGCGATGATCAAGCAGAAGTGACGACAGTGGTCTGGTGCTGTCTCGATCCTACCAGGCCCATGTCGTTTATTCTCGCAGGATCCAGCATATTCGATGGCGGGGTGAGAAGCAAGGATCTGATTGGCCAGGAAAGTTGGTTTGGCGGCCATATTTAGCACGTGATCGCCTGATCACCCTAACGAGATTTGGATTTCGAGATTGAGAGCATAATGATTTGATTGCGCTGGTGACTGCAGCCAACACGAAATGAAATGAGTGCCCGAACGACCACAGAAGTAGTACGGCAAGCTACCAAATCAGTAAGGAAGGCACGCGGTGCCTCAAGAACGGCACTGCCGAAGCCGCAATCGAACAGACCTGAACATGGCCGACAAATATTCGTCTACAACCACCTCCAGAAGAACCACGTCGTGTACTCCCTCACCAGAGCGCTAAATGTACCATCTCCCCCAATTTTATTGACTAAAGCTATGTGCTGACCCAATTGCAAGAACAACGCCTCCCTGGCCCAACTCCCCTTCAACGGCAAGAAGACCGTCCCTGCCGCCCTCCGTAAAGACCTATGGCACCCCTTCGCTCAGATCTCCTTCCCTCCCGGCCACGGGGAAATCGGCCTCTCCGTCTTCCAGAAACTGCGCGAGTACCGAAGACGACATGAATTAGAATGGGGTGATGAGATCAGGTTTCACGAGAAAAAACCTGACGAGAAACTAAAATTCCGAAGTATCAAGCTCAGAGGGAGGCAGATTTGTGATCAGAAGGCAAATAGCGTTGCTGATATCGCAGCCGTGTTGGGACGGTTGGAGTTGCAGGAGGGAGCGGAGGAGGTGAAGAAGGGGGGCATTGGGCTGAAAGGTGAGGGAACTGGGGAGAAGGTTGAGGTGCTTTGGAATGATTTGAATGATGCTGAGTTTGCGGAGACGTGGAGTGAGAACATTGAGCATGGGGTGTGGAGACATCATAAACACACTGTGGATGTTGATATGGATATAGTCCCGGTTGCAGAGGACGAAGGGGAACGGCAGTCGATCTGAGCCAGAAAATGGTTCGACGCTGGTCTTGTAAAATATGTACACAAGGTCTGCATGAAGGGCGTAATCTAGATGTACAACAAAACACAAAACGTATCTTCAGCAATTTCCTAATCATTATTCGTTACTTTTACGCAGACTGTTTGAAGCGCATCGTAAAGTCCGTCTCCCCATCCCCAATTTTCCGCGCCTCAAACCTTGATAGCGAACGACTTCAAGTACTCATAGTCCGCAATGTTTGTATTGACGCATTCCCTGATGATTTTGGCGCCCTCTTCTCCATACTTTTCACGCCATTCTCGATCCTCACTCTCAACAGTCTTCGATTTCTTTTTCTTGTAAGGTGATATTAGCCAAGATCCAAGTCCCTTTCGAAGGACAGAACACCGCTGGAGCTTACATGTACAGAATCTCTCGGCTTAAGAGAAGTGCTATTGATAGCATCATTATGGAAACCATTCCACTTCTCAAAAGCATCCTTCGCCCTCTGGTGGTCTTCTTCAGCGTCCCAATTCAACATCTGTGGATCGTACTTAATGCCGACCTCCTTGCAATATGCCGAAACAATGCCTTCAGGATCATCCAATAGGTCATCAGCATCGATGACGGTGATACTGACTTCACCATCTTTCAATTCGCCATGTTGACCAGCACGGGTCGGGCCGACTTGTTTGTTCTCGACGAGGAAATCGAAAACACGGCGGAGCTCATCGAACCCAGCCTCAGATTGCATGAAGTCGTAAAAGCCGGTGACTTTGTCTAGGGGGGGAACGGTGCAACGGTAATAGGACGGAATGCTATGACGAGGATGGCGGATCAGGAACGTGAAGTGGAATTGCTTCAGGATCTCAGCTGGCACCACAGTCGGATTTCTGGTTTCGGCTTCAGTTTCATAGGGGAAGGGTGCCTTGTGGTGGCCGTTGACGAATCTATTGGTTCCGTTTGTTCCGTTTGTTCCATTTGTTCCGTTTGTTCCATTTGTTCCGTTCATTTCACCATTCATCCCATTCGTTCCAACTCCCTTCTTGACAGTCTTTCCACCAAGTGAAGGCGCGATAGTTGCGAGCTGTCCGTTGGGTGGTACGAGGTAATAGGTCATATCTTTAATGAAGAGGCGTTTTCCCTATTTGAGATAAGTTTCCTATCAATCACAACATTTTTGATATTTTCAATCGTCAAGCGACGAAGGACAATAAAACAATAACTCTCCGTGGTAGACCACTGGTGTTTGGACGGTTAGGGCGTTAATCAGGGGAGCGTTGAGGCGTATGAGTACCTCAAGAGTGGGGCTCAGATATGCCCAAGACAGGACTTCCCCAAAACAAAATCAAAGCACTTGCTTTTAAGGAAAGAAAAACTGACGGCAGCTTGCACTCTCAAGGTCTAGAGATCAAAAATGGACAAAAGAGAGTCGAACCTCTTTACTCTCCTGTTCAATTCTCTCGAGTATGGTCTTGAATGTGCTATTGGCAAAGCCACTCTCCTCGCGAGCTTGCTCGTCATTCTCATATCTTGTGCTCATTCTCTCTGGTCCAAAGTAGAAGGCATCTCCGAAGGGCTCGTGGACGCAAGCCAAAATATCTCGACGGGTCATGAAGACCTATCTTACAACGTTAGCCATTGTTCAGGCCAATTGGAGAATTGTGCAAGACTCGCCCTCTCGAAGGCTGTGCTGCATGCTCTTGGATGCGTAGCCACAAAGATTGGCTTAGTAGACATAGTTTCTGGGGTTCGAAATGTAACCTTGGTAATAGACTTGGAGCAATCTATATTTCAAGTAGAGCCGGGAGTCATCCAAGGGAATTAATTGATCGTATTCCAGGTCAATTGATGAGTTGGCAGGTTTTATCCAGCCGACAAGTAGGAGTCCAGAAGGGAGAAAGGGAGACTGTCCTTAGTTAAGGTAGAAGAGAAGATGTAAAGGAAGCAGTAGTAGCTTCCTGATGGGACGCTAAAGCTAAATACCTCGTGCGGCAAGAACCATCGATCAATTGAATAGGCAGGTTTGCCCCCATAGTTGTTCAGTAGACGTGGTTCTTATGAAAATCCTGCCCCATTTGAACTCCACGGATCAAGGATCATTTGTCGAGTTTTCTGCAGACTGCAGTAACACCAATCCGCTGGCCGTTGCTGTCCTACTTGTGGGTAAAGGTTAGTTCTGGCGACGGCAGGAGGAAAACCAGTCGAGCCAGCCCCCAGCACTACTGTAAATGGCACCAGGGTGGCGGCTGGGATGGGGGAATGCGCAGAGGGCTGTCGTCATACTTCTGACGACGTGGGATGGCCGGATGGACGTAAATATAGGGTTTGTGAATGAATGTCGTACAATTATCTAAAGTGTGGAGGTACAACGATTAGATCCCTCTCGTGGATAGGCACTTTGGAAGCCACGCGCAATGTCGTGATCGAGGGCGCGGGATGCAGGTCATCTCGCGTTGGGCCAGGCGCTGCAGTATGCGCAGCGCAGACAGATTGAAGGTGCTGACGATCCGGAGAGCGTTAGCGTCGGCTTACTACAAGTAGCCTTCAGACTTGGACTTGGCAGGACAGTACGGGATGTTGAAAGTTGAATGCTGGAGTGGCTTTGCTAACCGGACGGGGAATTGGGATGTGGACCTGCGCACCCCTACAAACATAAGGTTTCCGATATGTATCTGATGGCATTTTTGGCAGGGCGGGACAGGGCCGGCCATCTTCTGACAGGGTCAGGTAAACTGCACAGTCTGCACAGTCTGCACAGTGCACTGTTCAAAAGCCTGACTGACGCCTTCTCGCCTCCTAGCCTCCCCTTCCTCGCCTCCCCTCCCTCGCCTCCTCGCCTTCTCGCTTCTCCTTCCTCCCCAGCGCTGGTGCATCCACAATTCCCATTGCCATGGACCTGGCAAATACAGAGCACGGTTCGCGGAGCCAGTCCATCGTTCGGCCCGCCCGTTCCAGCTCAAATGCCGACCCTCCCCCGCCCGGAATAGTCACGTGGATGCCCCTCGCACTTTCAATGCCCGACGTCGGCTCCGTAGCTCGGGCTTCTTGTTCTTATTCCCATGATTACTCAGGAAGGGCGTCGTTGCCGCGTCGTGCCCCGCTCTTCATCGTCTTGCCTGGTCAATCATTGGCTTCATACATCCTCCACCTCCACCTTCCATCTCCACCCTCAGTCGCTCACTTGCCACTTGCTACTTGCTCCTTGCTACTTGCTCCTTGCTCACCTGCTCACCTGCTCACCTTTTCTCCTTCCCTTCTCCATACGCAGTACACCCAGTTATATCTGGACGCGCCCCCCTCGCTGTTTCCAGAAGCCTGCTCTTGTCCGAGCCAGGTCTGTAGCCAGCAGCATCTTCAGGCTCAATTTCTCTTGAGATTCTCCGTAAAGGGCACCGGCCCGTAGGAGTTCGATAACCCCTCCCGTCCCCTGCGCGTTTACTTTCTTTGTTAAAAGACGGAGTTACGCAAGCACTAAGGGATCCAAGCGTCAAACCCAAAGACTACAAGGACGTCGACGCCACTACTAGCTGGCTGGAGGGGGTGACTAACAAACCCTCAATCCTCTCTTTTTTTCTTCTTCGGATTTTAGGACTTCTTTCGGTCGTTTCTGCGCCGCCATCTAGAGACGCTACCCACTTTCTAGCCTGGTACCCCAGAAAGAGGCGCCGTTCCTTCATTTTGAATCGGAAATGCTGTCCGCGACAAGCTTCAGTCACTGACGAAACTTCATATTTGCGCCCAACGCGTGCACTTGTTCCTCTCATTTTAACACCGGGACAGAACGTCATGGCTGGCGCAATGTTCGGTCACGGTCACGGTCACGGTCACGTCCACGGTCTTGGCCAGGGCTCAATGTCTCAGGCAATGGGTCCCTTGTCGACAAGCCCCGATCATTCCTCACCCGAGTCCTTCGAAGTTGACGATGACAGCAACCCGGCGCAAACGGCGCATTGGCAGATGCATGGGCAGACTTCGCCAAATTCAACATCTCAGCCGCCACGCACTCCAGCGCCTCTCCAGAAGCGCCGGAGAGTTACTCGTGCCTGTGACGAATGCGTATGCACCCCCGATGCGGCCCCCTCCCCCAAACTTTTGGAAGTTGAAAACGCTAATTGGTTCTACAGAGACGTAAGAAGATCAAGTGTGATGGCAAGATTCCCTGTACGCACTGTACAGTCTACAGCTATGGTACGGATTTTGTTTGTCAATATTCCACTAAAGAAGAGCAAGAGCCTAAACAGCCAAAATCCAAAAAACCCAAACTCAATCCTATATCCAACTCACAACACTCACAAGAATCAGATTGCACCTATGACCAGCCTTCCAACAGGAGAAGGAACCCTGCACCGCAATATATCGAAGCCTTGGAGAGTCGCGTTCAACGAGCGGAAACACTTCTTCGGGCGGTCTTTCCGGGTGTTGATCTGAATGACCCCAACATTGATACTCTTATCCACCAACAGTTGGGGAAAATAAAAACGGAGGCTCTGGAAAACAGTTCAACCGACAAATCTGGAGATCCGAATGTACAGGATGCACAATTACGTTCCATGATAGAGTCCACTGGTCAGTTAGACCTCGATGAGGCTGGGTATTGGGACTTCCATGGTGGCTCTTCCGGGACAGTTTTCATTAAGCGCATGAGAGAGCAATTCGGCGGCCTGCTAGGCAATGACCACAGCGCTCCGTTGTTTCCAAGAATACCTCGACCGCCACTGGTGACTTCAATGTTCGACTCTCCTAGATCATCAACAGACAGTCCCTACGACGCTGGCCTTCCAAACACTATGGATCTTCCATCTCGAGAAACAGCGAAAGTATTATGCAACGACTCGCTGGAACGTGCATGCTCTCTTCTACGCTTTGTTCATCAGCCAACTTTCTATGAAATGGTTGATAAGATATTCGATACCCCCCCAGAAAACTTTGGTGACAGCGAAAACAGATTTCTACCTCTTCTTTATGTTGTACTTGCTCTAGGTTGTATGTTTCATACCGAACCTGGAGAAGATCCGAATGGGCCTGTACAAAATACATACAAAGCTGGGATCGATCAAGGGTAAGCTCCCCACTCCCCCTTTTAGCATTTCTCCTTGCCCAGTTGTGATCAGTCTCGGGCCAACGATCTATTTCTAAGCACACAGTGTGTTTCGAAGATATCTATAGATTTCTCAAGCAACCATCGGCTCCGGTCCTTTACCAACCTTGGATTTCTATAGCTAACTCTTTGCTAGAGTTAAGTACTTTAGAGCTGCTCGACAAATGATGGATATCACCGACTGTCGCGATCTCACGTCGTTGCAAGCTATTGTGTTTATGATTCTCTTTCTCCAAGCATCCGCAAATTTGAGCACTTGCTATTCGCACATTGGCATTGCCTTACGTAGCGCTCTAAGGATGGGCTTGCATCGCAACCTCGCCGGCAACTTCAATCCAATCGAACGTGAAACCAGGAGACGTGTATTCTGGATCATCCGTAAGATGGACACATACGTTTCCGCTTTGTTGGGATTTCCTATTATGCTGAGTTATGATGATATCGACCAAGAATTGCCAATTGAGGTTGATGATGAGTACATTACCAAGGATGCTGTTCTTCCGATGCCACCAGGGAAAACATCTTTGCTGTATGCCGCCTCAAACGCACATACTCGACTTATGGCTACTTTGTCTAAAGTCATCAAGTACATATATCCTACAAAAGGTCTTGAACAGTCTGTGCAAGGAGCTTCAAAATCATCATATGTCATTAGTCATGCAAAAATTAGAGAAATCGAAAAGGACCTTGCGGATTGGCTTGATAAGCTATCCCCGGATTTGAGACCTGGAGGAGATGGTACACCAGAAGTCCTTCGGTAAGCTTGCCTACCCCGAAAACATATCGGAATTCTCGGGCAAACCCCCACTGACCCCGTCTACAGCGTGCAGCAGCTCCTTCGATTGTCCTATGCTCACGTGCAAATGATGTTGTACCGACCTTTCTTGCACTACGTGTCCAGTAAGCAATGTGTCGGCAAGACGATTGACGAGAGATCGTATGCTTGTGCTGCGGCCTGCGTCAGCGTATCACGAAACATCATCCACATTACGACTGAGATGAAGAGACGAGGTCTCTTGGTTGGAGCGTTCTGGTTCACAATGTAAGACAGCCCCTTGGTCATCCCTCATTCTTTTAACCCTCTGGCAATATTCTTTGGGTTCCCGAAATTAAGACTTTACCAACTTGCAGGTACACCACGTTTTTCAGCATCATATCGTTGGTTTACTTTGTGCTGGAGAACTTGGATAAACCTGGATCGGAAGAAATTCTTGCGGACGTAATCGACGGGAAAGCTGCCCTCAATGGCCTGGCAATGAGAAGTCAAGCTGCGGATAGATGCTCAACAGCATTGAAAGTAGGCACTCTTCCCAGCCTTGTATACCAGAAGCTGACTTCCTTGAAAAGAGCCTCTTCGATCAATTGCCTGCCAGACTGAAGGAGGGCCGCCGGGCGACAGCAGTTGTTCAACCTCAAAAAAAGCGAGCTGCCCCATCGCCCGGCAAGTCTCGCGATACGCAGAACTCACCCGAGGTGGCACAGCGGACTCCAGGATCTGCTCCAGTGATTGGAATGCTTCCAAGGGCGACAACATTTCCTGTGCCTGCACCTATCCAGACAGGAAATGTGCAGAGAGCTTCCATGGACGGAAATCGTTTCCAGACCAATACCTTGTCAAATCCGAACCTCAGGCAAAGTTTCCACGAGCTTATGTCGCCTGCAGATTTGTCCTCTACCGGCACCCCCGACTCTACTACTGCTGCCAATAGCTTGCAACAATCACCATTTCCACAGCAACCATTTCACATAAACACAGCCATTCCCGATCTGAATGCTATGATGTTCCCATCTGCGGATCCATTTGCATATCCCAATCAGCCGTTGATGGAGTTTGACAATGTGAAGCAAGAGAATGTCGGCATGAGGAATGGGCCTCAAGGACAGCGGATGTACCTCTCCAATGGTGCCAATGGACCTGGTCTCTATGACGATCTGGAAGGCCAACTATTTGGTCCTCTTCCACCGTATCTTATGCAAGGCCAACCAAATTACGACTTGCAGGGTCAAATGGATCCAAGCAGCTCCATGATGGGCGGTTTGAATCCACAAGAAATGATGTATCAGCCGGGTGTTACAGCCAACGGAGAAATGACCGGGAACTTCGATGGAATATTCTCGGGGGATGGTGATGAATGGGGCAGCATGCTAACTTCTGATCAAAGATATAGATAGGTGAGTGATTATGGGCTATGGCGTTGTATGATGATGAACAAAATAATCTACGGATAGAATTGGGCGGATGGAGAACATGTGCTGGGCGTTGGTTGGATTACTGTGGAGTATAATAAGTAATAGACCAATTGTTTTGAGGTGAAATGTTCTTGAACAAGGTGGATATCATGGAAGTTCCACTCCAAGTCCCCCAAAACGGAGATAGTAGTCTCAAACAATTCAAAGGCATATTTCAGTTGGACCCCAGTGAATTGACACATTGTTTCTCTATTGCAGATCAAGATTTGGCCACCATTAATTAAGACTGGTTTCCTTATTCATAATAGGTTAGAGTTTCTTCTTCGATTTTGTACAGCACTTCTACCTCGAAAATTAGTCCGTGCAGACTGGAGGGCGGAGCACGTGAGAGGCGGCTGAGTCCTGGAGTACCTACCCGCGCGGGCAGCCGAAGTGAAGGCCGCAACCCTCCCCTCCTTTCAACAAACCTCACAAGATAGGAAAGAGACAGGCTTCTTGCAAGATGTCTCAACCACAGGGTGCTCCAGCTTCTCCTACACAGAGCCGGGGCAAAAAGAGCCTTCTTGTGTCTGGTGAGTCGCAAGCAGCAATCGGCCGGAGGAAGCTCGCTCACCTCAATAGATCCACCCAAGTTTGACCTGGAGTCATATCTTGCAAACTACAAAGGTAGACTCATTTTTGTTTTGTAGATGCCTGATTAACTATGATAGCCAAATGCTGACGTCCTGGCAGGACGAACCCGTCTCGAACGCCTCATACTCATCGGCACATGCTCCTCCTACCTTGGAGTTGAAGCTCTCAAGCTGGCTGTGAAAGAAGCTAAGAAGGGCAAAGACATCAAGCGGTATCTCGAAGCTCAGAACCACCTCGAAACGGTCGGCCCGCAAGAGCGCGAAGCTGCACGAGACAAGGTATGGATGGACATGACTGAGAAACAGAATCAGGCAGAGACGCAACGTCTAGAAGCTGAATTGAAGGGGTACAAGAACAATCTCATCAAAGAGAGCATTCGGGTATGTAGCAGTACAGCTTTGGGAGTTCTTTGGGGTGCTGACTACACATAGATGGGCAATGAAGATCTTGGCAACCACTACCAAGCTATCGGCGACCTCCCAAGAGCTTTCGATTCGTTTAGCCGTATGAGACAGGACGTTAGTATGGCCAAGCACATCATAGATATCAGCAAGCATCTCATCGAAGTTGCTGTCGAACAGAAAAACTGGGTTGCCGTCTCTTCAAACGTACAGAAGATCAAGGGGGTTATGGTTCCGGCAGATGAGGACAGAACCCTTCAGCCATACCTTTGCGCTACAGATGGATTGGCACTTATGGACTCTGGAGAATACTACAATGCTGCTCTACGATTTCTGCAGACCGAGGCTGGGATGGGCACGACCTGTAACAGCATTATCAGCCCCAACGATATTGCGGTCTATGGTGGCCTCTGTGCTTTGGCAACAATGGAACGAAACGAGCTGCACACCCAAGTGCTCGAGAATACCAACTTCCGTACATATCTCGAACTCGAGCCTCATATTCGACGAGCCATCACCTTCTTCGTAAACAGCAGATACTCAGCCTGTCTGGGCATCCTCGAAGCATACCGCACTGACTATTGGCTGGATATCCACCTGCAGAAACATATCGATGATCTCTATCACCTAGTTCGGAGCAAGAGTATTGTCCAATACTTCATCCCATTTTCTTGCGTAACTCTCGATAGCTTGAATGCTGCTTTCATGCCACCAGGCAAGACCATCGACAAGGAGCTCGCCATGATGATCCAGCGCAAAGATCTTGAGGCGAGAATTGATACCCAGAACCGAGTAAGTACTTCTAAAGTTCCAAACTTGCTTGTAAAAGCCAATTTGACCAGAACAGCTCCTTACTTCTGTCCCCTCCGCACCCCGCTCCGCCCTCCAAGCCAACACCCTCGAAACTGCGAAGGAGTATGAGCGTGAAGCCCACCGCCGAATCCAACATATGAATATAGTCGCCGCCGACTTGGAGATCAAGGGCGGAAAGCGAATGGGATTGGCACCAATCGATGATATGTTCGATGATGGACGACAATTACGCTCTAGAAACTCAGGCGCCAACGTATATCCCGGAGGCTTTTAATGAGTACATGAGCAATGAATGATATTGGGAGACATGGAGTATGAACGGCGGACACAAATCGATGCATATGCGGAGTTGAGGAATAAAATGGGACATGGGGTTTAGAGGCAGCGTTGCTCGTTTGACCTGGGCAAATGGAGCATTTACTTCCTTTTACGAAATCGGTGACACACGGAGCAAATAGCCTTGCAGCCTGACGAACAATCCTTGAGGAATCTGAACTCAAACCAGGTGACGCTGTAGTGGCGAATTCTCCAACATGCTACTTCATACCTCCAAGCCACGAGGCTGAACCATCCAAGAGGGCAAGACAAGTGTCTGAGCTGGACGTTCCAAAAAGCTTGTCTCAGCCTTGCCTCCCAATTGCGATCCCTGCATCGCCACAGGCGCATCCTCCCTTCGTTCTCGTGACGTCGCCTACAGTAGTTTCTCAATGTTCACTAAGCCCCGTTGAGGCTGCGAAGAATTGGATTCGAACGCCACATTTCGAATGAGGCTATGGTGACACAGAGTGTTGAGACATTGGCCCGTAAGTTGGGCCAATTGTAGGGTGTGGGAGAAGAATGGAACGAGAATGGAAGGTGCGAAAACGTGGGGCTGAGGCTGAGGGAGGTGTTTATATGTGGCTGGGTTTCTCGTGGGTGATATTTTCAATGTGCTCCGGGTTTACTGGAGGCGGATGGAATAAACTCTGGATAATTGATGCTGTACGTGCTTAGCACTGGCGAGCTCCAGAAGAAGCAACTAACTTTTTTGACCAGTGGCTATGATAATCCTCAAATTTCTTCTGGGACTTGTCCTTGCCCTCTGTCTACAGACAGCAGGGGCATACGACCAAATCATCTGCTGCGAGCTCGCTAAGAGTAAAGGAGCATTCATCGACGATGTCCCTCCTCCCGAGAACCAAACATGTGGCCAAAATTACCTGAAAGGCCAACCAGCGGCTCCAAGTCTCTGGGCACCTTACAAGTTCTGCAGCTCCCAATGTCCCGGCATGCAGCTGTCGAAAGCCGGCGAACCTACCCAATACACGTCAGTACTAATCAACTTCATCTTGCCGTCCGTTATCTTCAGTATGACGATCCCCCGCCGGAAAAAGATCGAGTTCAACTACCTGTTCGAATTTGAACGGCCGAGGCGTGCTACTCGCTACCCCAAAGTTAATGATTATCTGCAGCTCTTATTTTCGTTGATCTGTTTCTTAGTTCTTCTGATCCCTGTTACTATCGACACCGTTCTTTGGATTACGGTGATTGTTATTGGAGCGGGGAATATGTTGGTAGGCGGGTTGTACGAGGCTCACCTGGATTATCGAATCATGAAGTATACCAAGGATATGGCTCACGGAGCAGACGAGGATAAGCTGAGGATCAAGAGGGAGTTGCTTGTTACTGTCGCTTCGGGGAATTTGATGCTGGAGAAGGGCAATCCACAGAAGAGTATTCCGGCCAGTCTCACGATTCCAGGAGAGCATGCTCCGAAAAATGGATATGAGAAAGCCAGATCACGACTCCTGAATCTGCTGGGAGCACAGTCGAGATTTGGTGAGCTAGTTGGAAGTCCTGTGTTGTTTTACCTGGGCACTTTCCTGTACACAACCCTGGACCTTCGGAACTCTCTTTCGGATGAAGATACTGCTATCTCCCTTGGCTTTGGAATCGAGGTAACCAACCTATTTCTTTGTCCCATGCCTCGAACTCCCTATTTTATAGGCCGGGAGCATGTCTCATGCATCTAGCTCGCTCCCAAATTTCCACCTACCAAAGAAATACCCTGCTAATTCGTTGTAGTGGATGATTATTGTCCATGTTGCTATCGTCAGTGGGTGTCTCCTAGCAAGCAATAATCCCAGTACTTCGGCCGGCATTGTGGGGTCTGGCCATGAGGAGCTGGAACATGAGCACCGAAAGCTCCAGCGCCGTGCCACGTTCGTCGGCCAGAATCACGGGCTTGAATCTCCAGGATGGACTTGGGAACGCTTCGCTCACTCCGTTTTGGGTTGGAGCGATGCGTATGAGACCGAATTCCAGCCTATATCACTCTGGGAGCGTGGCAGCAATAAGATGAAATGGATCAAGAAATCGGAAGCATAGAAGCAGGACCCGGCTTTTAGAAGACTTATGGAAGTCACGCCGCTGGGGTGGTTTTTCAAGATCTTTCTACCTGTACTGGCCCTTGTCGTTCTTCCTCCTGGAAGTGGGGGCGTTGTTGCGTATTGGACCCCACCACGAGGAGTTGGATGCCGAAGCCTAAGTTTCCTGCTCTATGCTCTCTGCCAAACTGTGATCACTGGCATTGCTGTGATGCGCTGCGCCAATGAAGACAATGAGTGGCAGCCTTCCTTACAGGAATGGTCTTCTGGGTGGCGTTTCAAAGCTCTCTCGGCTCCTTTCTGGCTCCTCTCTCTGTTATCCGCTATTGGAGGCACCTTTTTGCAGATAGTGGGAGTGTTCAGGAACTGCTTTTGCAAAACAACGATGGATCACTGGTTGAAAGGTCTCGCTAAGAGGAATCCTCGTATCAATTTGGCAACTGATACTGATGATGCGAGGACCTCGAGTAATGCTTGGATAGTGATGGGAGCTCTCGCAACTGTTTTCATAGCCGTCACCTGTTATGGTGGTTGGTGGTATCAAAGGATGATTAGACACAAATTTATTGAGGCCGTGAAGGGGATGTGGATCCTTGGTAGCTTTTTGACTACCCCAGGAAGTGGCCGGGGTCCTTCTGGCGGAGCAGTTACGGGGTCTGATGAACGTGATTCGATAATGGACCCGCTGCTCCCTGGAGAGGCTTCTCCAATGTGGTGGGAAGACGGTTTCTCGCCATTTGAGTCAAGACAATTCGAACTCGGAAGACATTCTTTTATCCGAGGCTCGTCTCCTGAACCTTCGGGAATGACTACGTCAATCCACACACCGTCGATCACGGTCTCGTATGACGAGGGAGGGGAGGATATTGGATTATTGCCTTTCGATCATAGCGCAAACTCGAGACGACCCAGACCGAGAACCAATAGTTAGGCCTCGATAATTTCAAATGGAAAGTCCTTTCTTCAACTCGATGTCCAAGACTGCGAGAAAATTGAGAGTTTCTCTTGATTAACGGGGGACCGCTGCCTTTCACAGCGAAAGGCCAGAATACTAAAGTCTTCACAAAACTCTACATGTATGGTTTTGAGACTTTGCGGAAGCTCGCCTTTTAGAAAGTACAGGACGGGTTCCGTGATTGCATTGTCGCAATGCTTAGTCGTGAGGTGTTCCAATGCAGGTGGAAATACCGACACAAAGTTGCGGAATTGGTCCTCTGTGTATTCTTGCGGAAGGTGGACCCTAAAGAGAGCTGTCTGAAAGTTAATATGTGGCTTGGAAATTACACTGTAATAAAGCAATGGAGACCAGTTACCGAGTAATTTAACAAAAAATCTTTTTCCCTACGTAAATCTAAGAGTTATCCTGTTATATGCTTGATAAGGGGGACTTGCTCAGCACCTGTTCGTGGTGTCCCCTACGAACCCGCAGCTCATGCCCTGCGTCCCTGGTATTACACTGCCTCCAGGGGACAGAGGAGAGTCTGCGAAGCCGAGATTGAGCGGGTGGTTGCTGGAGGTGGCCCTTTGGGGGTCCTCCTTGGAGGAAAAGGTATGGAGAATTACTCTGGGCACCTGGGAACGATCTGAGGAGAGCTCACAGGAGCTCGTGGCCGCTGATGGAGGTCTGCGGACCTCTTTAGAGGCAGAGGAACTCCATACTACCACTATACGACGTCGAATACCTCCCCCTCGCCATCGACTCCTTCACCGCCATTCCGAATTCGAATCGATAACGACACCCCCCCCTCGCAGTCGGTACATATATTTGCTGGGCAAGAAGAAGGCTCAAGGTCCAACAAAGCGGCAGTTCTCTATAGCTTAATCGATGGCTGTTGCCCACGGCGCTGGCGACCATACAGACACCCAGAAATCGAGAGCAGTCATCTTCTTGTCACTCCCCCCAGTTTTGGCTTTTTGCCACGGCATACACAACGGACGGATAGGTAGTTTTGGGACACTATACAAAGTCCCACGGGCTAAAAAGAGGGAGCACGAGGTGTACGCTACGCTTCTACTTTCTCTATATATACTAGACACTGTGGAGGCTGGTGTATTGCTAGCCATGGGGTCGGCGTACCTAAACCTGCATTAATTGAGATACCTCATATCCTCCGATAACTACATGAAGGGCAGAGCGATATTAGGGTGTGGACTGCGGGCACTCTTGAGTACGGTGGCTGGGGAACACCTCTATGGCCTTGGTTTAGGGTAGACTGCGGAGCTTTTGTCAGTTGTAACTACCCGGGCGTATAACTCTCCTTCTAAAAAATACAAAAACAACGTTCAACCGCAGTTATATGCTTGATAAAATTTGATCCCGCCGTCGTGGAGACAACTCATCAATGTGAGATTTAGAAGACAAGTATCATGTGCAAGGATTTATGACACGCTCGTTGACACCCATACCAGAGACCAGTCACTTCATGGGGATCAGTCGCTCAGGACAGGGACTGGTCTCCATGAAGGGACTAGTCTTTCCTGAACGACGTCCCTCATCGATATGCTTTTCTGGCTTCAGGGTAAAAGTGCTCAGTAGTTCCGAAGTTTAATTAGCGGTAGCCCTGAGAATTCATACCATTTTGGCAGTCATGCGGGGACTCCACCAAGGCTATATTGTATTGAGAGTATTATTTTCCTCCTTTTACGTCAACAAAAAATGTACATCTGAGACCCTGTCTACTTCCTTGTATCGCCAGAGCCTCATCTTCATATCTCCCGAGGCTGTTGCAAATGTTCTGCCTGTGGGGTCTGCTGCTATGCCGATGACACTATTCTTGTGGCCTTTCAATATCATGCTGCATTTCCCCGTGTTCGGGTCCCATAAGCGAACAAACCTATCTTTAGATCCGGAGAGTATCCGTCGATCGTCACACGTTGCCGTGGCATGCAAAGCAAAGTCCTAAACAAGTGTAAGCAGATTTATCTTGTTCGGTGATGAAGTTGCTCACCGAATGCCCTAGAAGCGTTTTGTAAGGACCAATGCTCTGTTCAGCAGAGAGAGGGTACTCATATGGCTCATCGTTGGCCCTGCAAAGTTTCGTGATGTCCCATATCATAATAGCATTATCAAGACCTGCTGTGACAATTTGCGTGCCCCTTTCCATGAAGCTCAATCCGTACACTGAGTCGGTGTGGCCTTTGAGAGAAGCAATGAGTTGACTAGTGTTGACATCCCAAATATAGGCACATTTGTCGAGGCTAGTAGCAGCTACGAGTCTGGAATCAGGTGATATTCCAACACACGACAGCCCATGTTCAGTTCTGAACGTGTTGAGACAGTAACCCATGGGAAAGGCCCACATTTTGATTGTCTTGTCGCCACTGCAGGAAGCGACAAGGGAATTGTCGTTGCTAACATCAACGGAGTAGGGATCGCTCTCGTGCCCAAGGAGTTGTTGCGTTACGGCGCAAAACCCTTCATCGTTGATCGATCGTATTTCAATGGCGTATTTTGCTTCCCAGCAGCTTACAAGGTGTCTGCCATCCGGACTGAAACGCACACCTCGACAGTAATTTCCCTTGCCAGACTGGGAATTTGGAGACTCTGATATGCAGAGGATTTTACCACTAGCCACATCAAAAATTTGGCAGGCATTATTGCAGCCCGTTGCCAAGTATCTTCCGTCCTTAGAGAAGCTAACACAAGTAACTACAGACGTGTGCTGGAAGGTGTAATGTAATTCTACATCAACACGAATAGAAGAAGTGGGGTCAAAAAGGGCAAGCCAGTCATCTTCGACCCCTAATCTTCTCTGCCAAGCAATAATATCGGCACCACCTGGAGTGTTTGTATTGAGATTAAACGACCTTTTCTCTCCAGACATGCCGCATATCGTCATGATGTCATGGGAGAGTACACTTTTGGAATGGTCATCTTTCATTGTCCTTTCATCACTGTACCAAATTGAGCTTGCCATTGGACTTTTGCCATTGAGTTCGCTACGTGCAAGGCTGCTGTCTTTTCCCATATCAGGAATGACAAATTGTGGGGTTGTAGCTTCTCGTTCTTCGACAGGCGTGGCGTGATTTTTTGAGCGATGCCGCATGAGCTCGCCCGCGCTGGAGAATCCTATGACTGAATAATGACAGGCCTCCAATGGACATCGAAATGCTCGTTGATGCTTCTTTTCGTGGGCTTCTTTCGTCGCTGGTGATGGGAATCCCTCGTGAAAAGCAAAGCATTGTATCCTGGAACACTTGAACCAGCCTCCAGGGTCACCGTAAAATGTAGAAAGTTCGACTCTTTTGGGATCATTCGATTGTAATTCGACCACAATCTTCTCGAAAATCGAGCGGCGTCTATCGAGTTGTTCTCGAAAATAAGATAAGTCTTGCTTGGCAGATGTGTTCTCGCTTTTCGTGAGTGCCTCCCATGCCATTTGAAGATCTGTTATCTGGCTGATCGTGCGGTTGGCTTTTTCCGACTCGCATGCCGTTGAGGCCGTGTTCGTGATTTCGCGAACTCCTTCTTGGCCCCGGGAATGAAAGTTCTTAAAGTTGTCGACTAGAAGTGACAATCGTTTGACAGCTTCCAAATCATTACGAGTCTCTGCGTCAAAACTGGTCCGAAGGTACTCAAGCCAATATGCAGTTGCGAAATCTTGAAAAGAGTAATATCCTTGCCAAGCATAACTGGATATCTCTTCATCGGTCAGATGTCCTTCAAAGCAGTGAAAGCACAAGTATTGCAGACATGTGCTTGCAATTTCCAGATCAGTAGTGCGAATATTAACGCGAGGCTCCATTTTAGGTCGAGATTGATCGAGAAGATAACTGTCATGTGTGAGTGGCTAATATGACAAATGCGGTCGTTTTCCGAATGACTCACGATCTTGCTGTGTGGTGCACTAGCTCTATTGCCCCACTCGACGATATCTCCACGAGAGACCCGCAGAGGTCTTTGATATCAACACCTCTTAGACGGCGACCTGGAAAATCAACAATCTTGTTGTGAAGATCAATTGCGAATATTGATTGAACCTCGTGCCATTTCAGAGGTCGCTTGCAGCGCACAATCCAGGCTAGAATTCGCTCAGCTGCTAGACGTTGTTGAGCACCATTTGAGTGTATTTTACTGATGATTCGATCGTATCTATAGATTCATATTGTCAGTAAAGCCAATGAAAAGTCAAATTATCTTACATGTCATATAGCTCAGTAGGGAACTGGCGAGGGTTAATTTCTTGCTCAAGCTGCTCGAGCGTCACTTGGCTTTTCAGGTGTTTCAACACTAGATGAGCGAAAAGGAACATCCCTAAGCAATGAATCGCGTTAGTAAGCGGTGCAAGCTGCCATCCCTGAGGGGTAACCAACCTTTGGACCTGTCAGTGACCAATTCGATAATATTTCTTTCAATCGACGTTGGGAGTTCGAGCTTGGCCTTGATTTTATTAGACTTCCTGCTGGCATAAGCTCGGATTGCTTCTTGGTGTTGAGAGGCATTGTTCAGTGACATCGTTGGCCTCTTGGCAAGAAATTTGCGTATATCCCCATCATCCTGACTCACTACGAGAAGTCGGATTCGTCCGGGACACTCTTCGGCTTCTAGGATGTCCATTAACCAAGACAGAATTTTCTTCTTTTCTTTTTTTTCGCATTCATCTAAGCCATCTATGACAATCCAAACTGGATCAGAGCCCTCCAAGGCATACCCGACAAGTTTTTTAAGAAACTCTAGGGTCTCTAAAGTAAGTTCGCTACTCGCAGAAACTTCTCCATGGATGTGTGATATAATGTCTGGATTGATTTGGATTAGCTGAGCAAGGAAGGCTTTTAGAACTGCCCTTAGCGAATTTTGATTTCGATCTTCGTACTTGCAGTAGAAGAAAATGAGAGGCTTGAGAGGCCCTGTTTCTGCAATCATTCGGGAGATGAGCACTGATTTTCCTGCTTCTAGTATCAATTCTGCTGCTTTGAATTTGTCTTCAATGAACTAGGTCTATCTAACCTGCACCAGGGATGCCTTTCAGCCAAAGAACGTCAGCGTCCAGGTCTTTAGAGTCAAGCCAAGCCGCCATCTTGCCATCTTTCAGTAACCAGAGTCCAAATTGTGGTTCCTTGGTCCAGTTCTTGGAGATATTTTCTTGATCGAGATTAAAGTTTGCGGGAGAAATCTTTTCGACGACGGATATTGCCTGCTTTTCTCGTTCCAGCTTTTCTGCGTTCAGGAATTGCTTTTCTTGTGCTTCTCTCTGCACTTGGTTCCGCTCAACTTCGATCAAAGATGCCTCCCGCTCAATGTCTAGCTTATGCTGTTGGAGATTCTGAATAAGCCGATTGAAATGTGCATTGAAATTCTTCCATGCTGAGTGGAATAAATGCTTCCAGGCTATCAATGGTGTAAGAAGCGACACAACATGTTGATATCCACTCACATTTGCGTTTGAAAACGACCAATGCTCGCCGGTGAAACTCCAAAATATCTTGGTAGATTAATCCTAGGACTCGTTGCATTGCTGGATTCTGCGTAAAGAGCTTGTCGTATTGAAGCAATTGAGGTATTGTCTCTCCGATTTGTTCGTAGGCGTCTAACAAAAGGCTCAAGGACTCGGTCCAGTTTTTAGCGACCTATTCAAGAGTATCAGAGACCTAAATGAACAGCATCGCCACTGTGAGGCTCTTACTTGCAGTAAGAATTTCACCGGGCCCTGAAGAATAATTTGTAAGCCAACAAATAATTAATAGTCTCAACCGACAATACGATCGTGAACTTACCCAGACAAATGCAATAAACAAAGAGGCGTTTAAAAACACTTCAATTACGCTGCCATACTGTTCCATACCTTCTAGGAATGATTCTATACGTTTCATATTCTGCATTCTGCGCTCCGAGGCATGCTTTTTCTGTATCTCTAGAACGACATTGTGGACCTCGTCCAATGAAGTGAGTTCAAAATCCTCCTTCTCGCGATCACTCAAACCGATCTTGAATCGGTCCAAAGAACTGTAGAATATAGTGATAGGGAAGGTTTGGCTCGACATTGTAACTGATGCAAAAGTGCTTGTTCTTCCTGTGCCAAGATAGATGGGAATAATCGTGATACCATTATTGTGCAAGATCCTGCCCGCGCTTGTAGGAAAATCTCGACTATTTCTTGGTGCCTGAAAGTGCGCCTCGCCGGGGCTAACTCGTAGGCTGGCTTGAAGTGTGTTTGCTTTTGAGGGCTGCGTTGGATCGATCATATAGGCTGGGGGCTGTGCATTACGGAAAGCCGTAAGGATCAAGTGATCAAGCGATTTTCGAATCCGGTTTTCGACTTTCAATGTCTGATTTGTGGCACGTGCGCACCCTACCAAAAATCGCAAACACCACATATTACGCCTATATACTATACCCTCTCCCTGTGCCTCTATTACTACTTTAAATATTTACTTTCTTTAATTCTTCTCTCTCTCTCTTTCTCTCTCTCTATATATATATGGATAAGAGAGGGGGCTTATGGGGGGAAAGGGGGAGGAAGCGAGGGGACTAACCAAGAATTTATGTCGCTAAATTTTTAGTACCTATAGCCTGTAACTTAGCGATCGTAGCCCTAAAATTTAGCGATAAGTAGCCTATAATTATAGGGCTTCCTTTTCCTTGCGAGTCGCATGCCTCGAAGCTCGCTTTTCGCTTTTCGTTTTTCACTTTTCGCTTTTCACTTTTCACTTTTCACTTTTCACCTGCTCACTTGCCCTCCCATCCCACCCCCCACCCCCCATCTACCCCTCACCTCTTACCCATCTCTTATATATATATATATATATAAATAAAAATTAAAGAGAGAGTAATATTTTAATTAATAATAATGGATAGAGGCACAGGGAGAGGGGGCGTAGTATGTGGGCGATTTTTGGTGGGGTGCGCACGTGCCACAAATCAGACATTGAAAGTCGAAAACCGGATTCGAAAATCGCTTGATCACTTGATCCTTATGGCTTTCCGTAGTGCATGCATTAACCAGGGGTCTTTCGTCGAACCAATTCATTGTGCGACAGACTGGGAAAAGACATTTCGAACACTACATCCAATCCTAAGAATGTTTTTATAAGTTTTTGTATTCTTTCTCAATCTCCTGAAAGTTTGCAATGAACGATGAGTGGCAGCCCCTCTGAGCCAGCACGACACCTGAAGCGCACCAAGCAAAACGAGGCTGAAGATTCCAAGGTCTTAAAGATTGCCCGGCTGGCACCAGATTATGAGCGTCTTGTCGACTCCAGCGCAAGGTATGCCTAACTGTGCTCTATCTGGAATCTCCAAGAAATGACTTCCCACAGTATTGAGATCCAGGAGGCTCGGGTCCCAAAGCGGGCTACTTCGCCTGAGAATACTTCAGACCTTCTATTTTTGACCGAAGGTTTTAAACGCTATTTTCTCATGAATTCACAAATGAGGCTCACAAACACTGCCAGGTGAATCCTCGTACGCATCTGAACAAACGGCACGTGATATTACAAAATCACGGGATTCGCTCCAGTCTCTGGATGAGGTTAAGACCGGTACTTCTTTGTTGAAGGCGGCTAGCATCAACACAGGACCGAGTGTTACTGAAAATGCTGAACTCTCACCTGAGATATGCTTAGGCATGGTACAGATTAAGCACCCATTCTGTTCCGAACTTTCATGCATTGTTAATTGGTCTAGATATTCGGGGCCAAGGCTGCGTATGTTGACGGAGCCTCACTTGATGAGACCTGTTTCAAAAATGTGCTCATTGGAGACCCCCAATATATCAGACTAAAGCTGCTATTGAAGAATAACTGTCACTTCTTGTGCTTTGATTTTTCCGACGTCGGTATTGCAGTGCTCGACACTCGGACTTCAGCCGTCCTTCAAAGGATTGAGACTATCTGTCCAACGCAGCTTTACGTATTTAAAGATGAGTCTCCAGCACCCAGTATTGACCAACAAGGAGATCAGAGTTTTTCTCGACAGCACATACTCCATCTTGTCATTGATATATACAGTCCTAGGAGGTTCGCAGAAGCCATCGGGAAGGAACTTTCAAAGGTTTATTTCTATCTCCAGCACCCATATCGACCCGACAAGTCTAGACTATATGAGAATCCTCACGAGTTTAAGTCCAAGAGGCAGGCACCTGGATACATACCTGGAAAGCCGGAACTCTTGTCACAGCAATCATTACCATATATTCAGACACCCACGGCGGACCTCCCAAAGGAAGAACGACAAGCTTCGCTCGTCGAGCAACTTCTACAAACACAGGTGCAAAACCAAACAATTCAGCAAAGTGACCCTGATTCCCGCATAACGACGAATTTACTCCTCCATCAGAAACAAGCGCTGTATTTCATTCTGCAGCGAGAAAGAGGTATCATTAATAGCGGCTTATCTCTGTGGAAAACCGAGGGTACGGAACACCGGCCGTACTATCGACACTCTATCCACGACTTTAGAACGGTGAAACTCCCAGAGGACAATCGTGGAGGACTTCTTGCGGACGAGATGGGGTTGGGCAAGACATTATCTCTGATCTCAGCAATTGTAACGTCACTTGACGATGCAAAAACTTATTCATGTCTACACCAGCAAAAGAATAGAGTAAACGCTGCTCGAAAAAGTCGTGCCACCTTGGTCATTGCGCCGTCTACAGGTCTGAAGAGTCCCCCATCAGAGCTGTCGCATATCTGACCATCTATTTCAGTCCTGCTCGACGGATGGTTGACAGAAATAAAAAGGTACGGTCCTTGGAAACTCACAAATCTGTCTAATACAGAATTAGCCATGTTTTTGAAGGAACGCTAAATGTGTACCTGTATCACGGCCAAGGAAGGCAGTCAGACGTGGAACATCTCCTTGACTATGACATTGTTCTGACGACATATGCGACAATTTCAGCCGAGCACAGCAAAGCATCGCCACCTCTTCAGCAACTGGAATGGTTTCGTATAGTTTTAGATGAGGGTATGTTTGCGGGGTGTTCTTAAGATACAACTACTAACAAGCACGAAGCTCACTTTATTCGAAATTCCTCTACCAAACAGTTCCAAGCAGTTTGTAGACTCAAAGCGCAGCGCCGCTGGTGCTTGTCCGGCACCCCGGTGCAGAATTCCCTCGAAGATCTGGGATCACTTATGCAATTCCTTCGAGTTCCTTTTCTGGACAGGAAAGCCGACTTTAAGAGACATATCATTTCTCCTCTTTTAACGGGAAAGTCGGAATCAACCTTGAATCTTCGTCTGCTTCTGGATGCTATTTGCTTGCGGAGAATGATGTCGATACTGAACCTTCCCAAGACTCGTTACCAAACGCAGCGCGTAACACAATCGCCAGAGGAGAGAAATCTGTATGATGAGATTCTGCAGAAATCGCGAGAGGAGATTGAGCTTGCCGTATCTAGCAAGAACTCAGGGACGGCTTACAGTAGTATCTTGAGAGCGATTCTTCGCACAAGAATGCTTTGTGATCATGGCACTTTTCTCAAAGCAGCTAGCAAGAGCAGGCTAGTCTCTCCGTCGATCGATAATGGAGACATTCTTTCTGAGTTGCAGGAAGGTGACAGGGGTATTTCTCTCAAGCTTCTTCGTCTATCTCAACATAATCCAGGGACTCACTGAAACTACAGGATTAGACCAACTTTCACCACACTTAACCTCGAACAGAGATGATCCGTGGCAAATGGATATTGATACACCTCACCGCCCAAGTCATGATCTTTTGCTCCCGAGCTCCGAAACGCTCCAACGTGGACATTCAACAAAACTCCTGGCACTTGTGAAAAATCTCAGAAGTGAAGGACTGGAAGTCAAGAGGTGCACCGACTCGTCTAGATGCAAGTACACCTCTAACAGATTAATAGCATTGTCTTCTCCTGTTGGAAAACAACACTTGATCTCGTAGAGCCCCTGCTTCGGTCAAACAATCTGACATTCATACGCATCGATGGCAATGTCTCCGGATCTGGACGAGCTTCTCTAGTGAACAAATTTCAAACTGATCCCAGAATCAAGATCATACTTATGACGACAGGCACGGGCGCCGTTGGGTATGAATTTCTCTCCAATTTCAATGCATGCGCTGACAAAGCGAACAGTCTCAACCTTACCATCGCCACCCAAGTACACATACTAGAGCCACAATGGAACCCATCCATAGAATCCCAGGCTATTGGACGCACGCTTCGGCTAACGCAAAAAGATGTCGTGACGGTAACACGATATATTACCGAAAATACGATTGAAGAGGTACGTACATCAAGGAAGAAATTTTGATTTCAAAACTGAAATGGTACAGCAAGTTCAAGATAGGCAGAGCAAAAAGTTGGAGTTGGCAGAGCTCACATTAAATCAAGATATGGGGTCAGAAGATCAGATGTCGCAGCGGCTACAAGTAAGTCTACCTCCAGCATCCTGAACTTGACAGTCAGCTGATTAACTTAGAACCTTCGATCCCTCTTGCGCGTGTAAAATCGGTCCTAAGAATTCGTTAAGGCTAAAATAGTGACACTGGGTGTAAGATTAGCGAACTCAGGTTGAGTGTTTAACTGAAAGCATGTTTTACAGATGAATTCGGTGATCGCTTTGCTGAGTTAGAAGGAACAAAGTCCACTTATGACCCAGAAATGCAATGCTTCACCTCGTTGTGAGTTCACGAAAGTACAGGTATCTTCTAAAATCCTGTCCAAACTTATCGAAGACCCGAATCTTTTATTTCTTTCACAGTGTGCCTCATTACGCTCTTTGTATCCACAGCCTGCGCAGCTCCTGTTGGCAGGGAAAGGCATGCACGTGTCGACATCTCTCGATGACTGCTCCTGAAGCTTCCAGATGCAGAGCTTGATACAAGTCAAATTATTTTCATGAATAACTAGAGAATAGTCTAAAAAGTGGCTGAACCCTCGCGCAGAATATTCCGAGAGCAGGAATATTCCACGCAAGTTCTCAGTCGCATCCCATAATATTCCCACCAGCAAAATGTGCTACCTAAAGCGTCAGCTGCATCTCAGAGTATTCTGTCAGTAAAATATTCTACCCGATATATTAGCTGATATGAGTTCAAACAACATATAACTGTCACTAATTCTACGCGTTAAAACTATGATCTACCTGCCTCTTTCCTGAGTAAGTACATAAAAATGTCTTGCCGAATGGCTTTCCCTAGTGATGGTGCCGAATCTCTAGATCGCTCCCGTGAAACAGCGCGCCTAGGCCGCTGGGCGTGGCCCTGGTCAGGCTAGAGAACCTTTCATACCAAGCAGTAACAGAAGGAAAGCTGGTCGGATCAAACCGCCTTGCGCTCCTACCTTAACTGGAGCCTTCGCTTCGGTCTTAATTGCTCGCGAGACTGACGCTCAATAAATGGGAAGGTCCTGTCTTAATCGATGGTGCGTTGGCCTTTTCCCCATAGATGCCAGCGCGTTTGTCCTCTACTTTCCGACACTTCCTTAACGCTATGAGCTCAATAGAACTGGGCCCTCTTATTCTTCTCCCGTTCCATATATTTCTGAAGCAAGTTGTCTCCGGCCTATTTACTTTCTACTCAACCCCGAAGGTCTGTACGCCATGTCCAAATAGGATTTCCTTCTTTCCGCTCGCACAGAGCGTAGATTACAGGTCATTTCGGGGGCTCCGATCCACAGGATTTGGCGGCAGTACAGAGGATATTGACAAACTCAATTTTCCGAGTCCTCCCGCCAACCGCCATCGGATGACTGCAGTTTAGGTACGCGTCCACAGTATTCTTAGTAAAGTCTTGCAAGCAAGTATATTAATATGACGACAGGCTTGTGCCCCAGTAGCCGCAAAAAGCTGTCCACCGTGAACTCTGCCTTTCTTGTCGCTCTTTCTGAAATATTTGAATTTGTGTCCCGTAATCATCCCCCCTCCTTCAGTAAAGTCCGGGTTTCCTTCATTCCATCTAGTGAGTATGTGTCTTTATCCAAAGATTTGTTGTCACTCAGATGTCTATGGAGACTGTTTGACGCTGAACGGGCTGATGCGGCGGTTAGACTTTCTGATCAGGGGCACGCTAACGACTAGCTATCCTATGTCCAAGGCACCATAGAGTCAGCCCAGAGTATGCGTCCAGACTGTACTTCTGAAAGCTTTTAGCGGTAATTTCCCAGTACTTAAACTGAGGATGGAAATCTACCCGATTCAACCACACAGTGCCTTACCGGCCCTGCGGCCGACATGGAATATATCGAAAAAACTAAAGATATTCTCCTGACGGACTCGTACGTGTGGATTCTCAGCCTTCAAGATTTCATCGACTAAAGAGACGGGAAGGAAACCGGCTACTGTGGATCAAAGGCGATATGGGCAAGGGGAAGACGATGCTTCTAATTGGCGTTATCAGGGAGTCCATAAAGTCACTTCCCGATTCCAGCCTCCAGTCCTACAACCTTTTTTCTTTTGTTAGGCGATCGATACAAATTTGGATAACGCCACTGCGTTACTGAGAGGCCTGATTTACCAAACGTTTGTTTAGTGACCCTCTCTTCCCTTGCACGTCCGCAGACAGTACGACAAGGCAGGACTAAAGCTATTCGAAGGCAGCAATGCATTCGTCTCTCTGTCCGGTATCCTCACCTATATGCTGCGGGATCCGGGCCTAAATCACACTTACTTAATAGTGGATGCTCTTAACAAATGACAGACTGGACTAGAGCAACTTCTCAACCTCATCGTCCGCATTTTATCCGACTCAAATGGCTTATATTTAGTTGGTACAGACTTGATACAGAAGAGCGATTGCGCCTTAAAAAGGGCAAGTTAGAGCTCGATCTTGAAGAGAATGTGCAGAATCAAGTCTTGCACGCCGTTGACTCCTACATTGACCATAAAGTTATGGAACTGGCCCGACTGAAAAACTACGACGCCAAGCTTTAAGCTAATATGCAGGGCTATTTCCAGAATAACTCGTATGGCACGCTCATATGGATGGCTTTGGTTTGCAAACAGCTAGCAGACCCAAAGGCCCGACGCTGCAAAACACTTTTTTACTCTCAAGTAGGGGGATCTCCTCTAGGTCGATGTCCTGAAATAGCCTGACGTACTCAAGAAGACCCGAGAAATGGATAACCATCCGAGTTATTATTCGAAGAAGTTAATTTCTTTGAGGTTTGGTACCATAGAGATAACGATCGACGTAAGAGCATCCTAGCTCCCACACCCAATAATATAATACCACTTCTTGTAATATTTATCTTTATGTCCCAACAAGTAAAAGACCAAGAAATAGAACAGATCAAGGCTACCTTCTCCAAGCGGTTTCATCTCAATTATAACCCTATTAGGAGAGGGCCCGATCCATTTCTTGACATGTCGACCGACGTGCGGTTTTATCAGCAGGGTTCGAAGGAACAATAGCATTACAATCCCTGTCCATTCATCTTGAACAACGGTAGAATAGAGGTATGGCTCTGTAATCTTGTGGAAGTAATGAGAGACCAGAGAGAGAGCTGCGAGAGTATTTGGATGTTCCACGCTGCCAATGATGTGGAGAAGCAACTCCTCAGGAAAGCCCCGCCGAAACCGGAGTGCCATGATGGGCTGGTCGCTTAGATTTGCGCCCTATGGTTTTCAGTCAAGAATGGTGCGGGGTTGCATTACAGGTGGAGAAGTGTAGACTCGAGAAAGGTAGAATTGAGCGTTTGAGAGGTTTTGGACAATTAAAGGCTCAGGGGTAAGTTTTGTATTTGGTCACGTGCTGAGGGCCTCGGTTGCCATGTTTTCGCACACTATCCCAGTCAACAGCACCAACTTTTCATTAATCTTCTCTGATTGGTATCAAGATACGGGGTATAAGCGACTGTGTAAAACAGGAAACTGTAGGAGCGAATACAGTGGGGTTATGTAATCCTAACTTGAATGAAATCCCTTGGACGATATGTTTCCATTCCACCAAGACCTCAGAACGAACTATCAGATTATCAACCATTAAATAAAGCACCAGAGCAAGAAAAGTGGCGACCTCCAGATTTTGCCTTTACCCAAAATCCCTCCCGTCACAAGCAAGACCATGCCAATCAATTGCTCAACCAAGGAAGACTTTCGTGAGAAAGCCAAATCCCTCCACGATCACGGCACTTACACTTAACCAAAACGAAACTGTCTGCGATTCGTCAGTACATTATCTTCCCCTCCATGGCCAAATCACTCACCTGTATCTCACACTGTACATAAAACCTAATGATCTCCGGGAAAGCCGCACTCAACTGAGCCGCGGTTGGACTGCAGACATATCCCCAAAGCACGTTTGGATTCGCAGCTGGACCCCAATTCTTTGAGATTTGGAACGAGCTACTGGTACCAAGCCAGAGCGCAAAGTTGACGCCTCGGGATGCATAGTCCCACACCGCAGTTGAAGTGTCAATGAGTACAAGATCGCGGACTGTATTATGGACCTTCCAGTACAAGACGAGAGCGTTGAGAGCTACGGTGATAGCTCCGGTCGCAATCATCAGATAGGTTGGCCACAGCTGCATGAAGGTTGGGTAGATGCGGGTACCGTCGTGGGTTACGTTCTCGTTTTGGCGGAACACGACATAAGCATGAGCCATGACTGTTAGGATTATGATGGAGAGGATCAAACTGGTTGTTCGTTGGGCGATGTCGAGGATGCGTTTCTTGTGCTCGAGGGCTTTCTTCTTCGTGGCCGCTTCCTCTTCCTGCTGTCAATCTGTTAGTTTGTGGGAGATCCTTCGTGAAAAGACTTATCCTTTCTTCGTCAGTTTGATGCTGCTCAGGGAACTCGTCCTTCAAGGGAGTTGAGCCCGCAGATGACAACGTCTTTTCATCTGGGACAGGCGATTGAGGGGGTTTGGAACCCAGCAAAGGATCGTGCTGTCTTGATCCCAATGTGGAAGCCGAGGGTGGTTCCTCGTACTCGACGACGTGGTAGTTAGCCTTCTCGTTGACGGGGACAGGCGACGCTTTCGACACAGGTCCTTTGGCATCGCCTAAGTGGACGATAGTCATCGGCTCTGCCATGGCTATTCTTGAACACTGTAATATCTTGAGAAGGGAGAGGAACTCTTAAGAGCTTGACTTCGAGGCAAAATTGAGGACGCTAGAAGGAACCTAATCTTTGGGAATCGGGTCCTCACTATATAATAATGCGGCCAACTGCAGCCGGAGATGGAGAAGCAGCAAAGCCGCACTTCAGTCTGCAAGCCATCATCTTTTCTGCATCCACAATTGGCTCGCAACGAGTGCATCTTGCCCTCACCGACAAGCACAGAAATCTGCAGCAGTGCATCCTCAACCAAAATGACATTCGCAAGCCAGCCACTATCATTGCATCCTCGCCCCAAATCGACCGCTCTCTTGAGAGTTTCTCAATCATGAAGATTGAGTAACCCAAACGGAACACCCAAGTGACAAGCCCATTGTTCTCACCGAGCAGCTGGGCATCCACACTACAACAGAAAAACATGCATATCCACCACTCCCATTCGCCGCATTCTCCAGCCCACTCGGGCACACTGAAAGCTCCAGGAGCAGGCAGCTCGAAGCACTTAGCAAATGACCAGCCGCAATCACCGCCTCAAGCTGCAGACTCGGCTGTTCAGCCACACGTGCCCACCCCTCGACAATCTTTCCTTGATACAGCCTCAAGCCACAACACCTCGGGGGAGCTGAATCTGGATTGTGGCAGCGGGTCTGCCTCTGGGGCGGGACAACCCGTGGGATCGGAGTTGCGGTCTGAGAGGGGGTAGGCTCAGCATGGACTTGAGCCTTGGCGGGGTGCGTTGGCGGGGTGGTCTAGATTTGCAGGGAGCGAGCGTCGGTGGTTGATTGGGTTACCTCAGCTTCAAGCGGGAGAGATGTGTGTCTTGGCGACTCTCATTCGGTGGCATCTTTGATTCTGATCGGGAATTTCCCATGTCACATCCACAATCCTCAACCCACCTAGAGCTGAAAAGTTGACAATGCCGGTACTCGTAAGGCTAACCAATCCCTGGCAGTGACACCCACCGGTGTTCTGAATGCCGTCAACTTCGCGAGTAGCCAGCTCGTGACGAGCAATCAGGCACTTGGCGCTCCACTGCAGTGCTTCGCAAGAGCTCTGGCTATGATGGGAATTGCCATGCTTCTTTGTGGGCCAAACTGGCATAATGAACTGGGGGAATGTTACAAGTGGACTGTAATACTCACTCACATGTGATAGTTCGTGGTTGTGGCCGGAAGGAAAACACAACTGTACCATATTTCCATGAAAAATATTGGCGGTTCACTCTATCAAGATTTCAAGAGCATTATTGAGGCTTCTTATCCAAGAATGTTAAGAGGCTCTAGTTTCAGCTTCACACCTAGGGCGGAATTAATGGGCGGATGTAAGACTAACAGACAGACTTAACCTCGCTGCTAAGATGGCCTAATTGTACGTCATTTGTTTTTAACATTCATTTAAATTCGCTCAAGTAACTTTGATATAATCTTCATGTCAGAACATCTCGCTCCTCAATCTTCACAAGGTTGCCTCTAATCACCTTGGAAGAAGAACATTATGTCTCACGCGAGGCAGAATCGAGTCACTCTTGCCGGCTTCTCGCTAGAGTTGGTCACCAAGCTCGAGTCACTGGACGACAATAGGCCATGTTCTTTACAGCCTTGATTATCCGCTCTCGACCAATGAGAAGGAAAGCAATTCATCGATGAGATTCAAGGAAGCAAGTTGATGAGTGAGGGAAGTCTGGAGGTGTTTGCCTGCCGCAATACGGAAAATGTTCTGAAGATAAAAGCAGCTCCATGAATCTGTTGATAGAATCTAGAGAATATACAAAATAGAAGAAGTAGCATCAAATTTGTATGTTGAGGCTGGTGGAGAAGGGTGCCGAAGATAATTCTCAATGACATCCGAGGGAGCGTATACTGCATTCAAAGTTATCTCTATTGAACCAGGGCGGGCTTCGGATTCAAACATTGAACTGGCACTGAACAGCATCGGTGCTCTTTGGCTGCGCCAGACGGCAAGAGGTCTCAAGTCCTCCTTCCTCCTTCACATTTCCCACAACCAAGCCATCCAATTCATATCAACTTTTTATCCAAGCTTTCAAAAAATTGCCTGATCGGACTTCAACTTCGGATATTGGTTTCCATTTTCACAAGGCATCCCCTATCCTCTCAGCTTCTTTCACCCTGACCACTCTTCTGTCCGCAACACCAAGCCTTCCGCTCAGAGCGCACCCAAGATAGCTTCAACCCAACCGCCAACCGTATCGACAGCGTTATTGGAAAGGCTATAACTACCCGGCTCGCTTCTGTTTTGCGTTTGCTCCTACACCACTCCTCTTCTTCAGCTAGGAACCTCCCTCTTCAACTTCGTAATAGTCTCATCTTTATCGAGATTATTACTCAAGCCTGAGGGAACGACATTTGATTTACAGTGAGATTTTCAATCTCTGTGTGCCTCTCATACCTCATCCTGATCTTTCCACTGTGCTCTCGGAGCTGCCCACCGTACGACTACTCCCATTCTCTAGGACTGCGCAATCACTTTCTTCAATCTCCACAGCATTGGGGTCTCTCACCTTGGTATCGTGATTTCGTCTATACCCTCGCCACCCTTCACCTTCTTGATCTGTTGGTGTTCGACATTCACTGGGCTAATCATCGATTGGCTTTCCCTTCCGCCAACTCCTATTCAGAGAACCGGTTAAGTTATCTTTGTTTGGCTTATTTTCTCATCCTAACGTCACATCCTCAGGACGGTGCTGATTGAAAATCATCTTTCAGATGGATAACGCAAAAACCACCCGCAAGCGTCCAGTTGAGGAGGTGGGTACTGGCCCAACAAGCTCAACCTCAGCCAAACGGCGCATGACCGCACGACCTATAATCAAGAAAACTGCTGCAGCTTCTGTGAATAAGGAGGCGGAAGGTAAGAATAAACCCACAAAATCATTTCGCGATAATTTGCGCGTGAGCTTGAGCTTGGTTTTGATACTTTCTGCAGGTCATCCCACAAGTCGAGGACCTCCCAAAGGTCTGGCAACCCCACCTTCAGAGCCTGAGATCATCGATCTTTGTATCGAGGTGGCCATTAAGCCTGCCGGCCGTCCAAAGGGTGGCTTTCCCCGCTTCAACGACGGTGATGTAATCATCGATCTGGGTTTGTTAGGTGGTAACTTGTCGTATCAGCTTCACTCGGCCACACTGAGCCGATGCTCCCCATGGTTCGATGAGACATCGCTTCACACTATCAAAGAGGTCAATGATAGGTTTGCCGCGAATTACACCAAGAGATTAGGGATACGGGCTAGATATGAGCTGAGCTACAATTCGGACTTGAACATCTTCGTTCTCGCTAGAACAGTAAGTTTGGTTTTAAACCATTTGTACAATATCTGAAATCGGATGAAGTTATGTAACGTTTGCTATGCTGGGAAGTGCTGACCTCTATTGTAGACCTTAACGGAGGTTAAAAAGCCCAAGGAGTCTTTGTCGATAAAGACCACAACAGTTCCTGCCGACAGCCCAGCTCAAAGCAAGGTCTCTGAAAATGTCGCAGGCAGTTTCCAACAAACAGCCTGTAACACTTCTGCCAATGTTCTATCGAATTCTCAGCAAACGAACTCGAACAGCGACCTAGCACAGGCTGCACCAACTGACTCACCCGCCACTTCTAAAGTCCTGGACATCACATCTGCCAAAGTCTTGAACGATCACATAATGCCCTTGTCTGTGCCAGGACAACCAACGATAAAGATCGAGGAGCCCCAAATCAAGCAAGAAGAAGATATTTCAAGCTCAGCGGTCATCGGCAATGACAATGCTATTCTTAGGCGGGGAGTCTCCATCCCTGAAAAGGAGAATCAAGCTGCGCCCAAGGAGGTCCCAATCACTGATTGTACCAAGGAGAACTGGGTCACTAACAATCGCAATCAAGTCACCACACAGGAGAACTATGCTGTAGCCACAGAGACTCCAGTGGAAACGAAGGATGGTGTTATCACTAATAATTGGGACAGCGAACCCGCCGAGGAGAACCCTGCTATCAACGAAGACGAGCAGGCCAGGCCACCAAGTGTTGAGCTCTTGGCCGCCTATAAGTGCTTGTTCCGCACCTACTATGGGCAAACTCCCGCCATTGACACCAAGAACATCAATGTAGCGCTCCGACAAATGGAAGCCGTTATTAGAGTTGCTGAGCTATATGGCTCCATTCCCGTTGTTCGACCCCACTTGGGCAACTGCTTACTGCAGTTCGGTCGAGATGTCCACGAAGCCATTCTGAAAGATCCTCCTCGCTGGCTCCAGCTCTCTCTCTACCTCGAGAATGGGCCTATTTTCAAGGAGGCTGCTGTTCATATAATCGGCAACCTTGGCTACTGGCCCTGGTCTACCGTGCAGGTGAAAGACTTGCCAGACGATCTAATCACTCTCCTCCAAAAGAAAGTTGATAATTTGAAGAGGCTCATCGGAGATGTCGAGAGAACTCTCTTCATGATCTCCATAAACGTGGAGGGAGATGAGGCGCTGCTTGCTCCTACTAATAAGAAGACAATCAATACTTGGTGTGTGGAACAATTATGGAAGCAATGGTTCACGCGCTCCGTTAGCCAAGACGAAGCCCCAAAATCCACCGGAAGAGCTGACGGTGCAAAGTACCGGGCAATTGCTAAAGGCGATGATGTCTACCTTCCGTTGGAAACGGTCATGAATCATATCAAGGCGTTCCGCGAGCCGACTCGTCTGACAGAGGTTGACAAGAAGGGGATCGAGGAAGACTTGAAAATGATAAAAGCTTTTGCGCAGAAGCAAGTACAATTGCTTTGTGTCAATAAGAGCATGTTGTCCATCGAAGAGACAGGCATCAAGCACCTTACTTGCGCGAGCGTTGACGACTTTGACATTTCCTGGGTCAACCAAGGCGGTTCTCGAGTTGAAGATTAATGGAATTTCGGTGGCGGCACTGGCTGGAACTGGAAGCTTTGCTTCTGCTCGATCATCTTGGCTGGCGCCTCCCAACCACATCATTGTTTAACTTCCTTTCCGTCCAATTGTTGCGTGAATTTCGGATTCGATGGGTTTACGGCATTAGCATGGGCGGATCTCGTTGCTTTCCTAGGAGGTAATTAATTCCAAATATTCATAGAGTAAGGGGGAGGGAACCGAGTTGTGGTAAAGCACTTGATGCTTGCAACATAGCAACCTGCTTCTCTCATCCTTAGGACCATAGGATAAAGCAAATCAATGGAAATGTTTCTTCTCATGGAGCCTGATTGTTCCAGATGTTTGAACTCGAATCTGCTTTGTCGATATGGAAGCCAGGTGCAAATATGGTTTCGCGATGAATTGGGGACAATGGCGAAACGAACATCAGGTGGTCCATTAAGCATCAGCAACTCAGGAAATTGAGGTTGAAGAAAGCGCCACCCATGTGCAATTGTGACCCAGACGCCTTGCTAAATCACGTATCCAACCATCCATATTTTGTCCCTCACGACTTCTTGAGACCCGGTCCAAACACTTCTCCTTCCTTTGTTAATTGCTCCCTTTCTAGTTTTCTCTTCTTCACAATCTTTTCATCATTGCCCTCTTCCCCTTCGCGCTTCGCCCTCTGCAGCCCAACCAAATCCATCTTCTCTGGATTCCGGCACTTCTTAAGCTTCTTCATTAAGGCCCCGAGCTCCTTCTTTTCTGTTGCTGAAGGCTCTGAGCTAGAGTCGATCTCCTTCAACATCACCGCACATTTCTCCACCGTGGCCAAAACCTTCTGTTGCGGCGCTCCAGCAGAAGCGGGGAATTTAAGCTTAATGTACCACTCTGTCAAGTCTCTATCCGCATTTATCAAGGCGGCTACCATAATCTGGCTTGGCGTGAAATGAAAGTAGGCATCCGTGAGCAAAGCACTGGTCTTCAGGCAGTCCCTTGCCTTGCCATGTGCATTCCTAACCCTTTTCTCCATATTCTGCGGACTGGGCCCGGTCACAGCTTCCCCATTAGGCAATGCAGGTATATCACCCTTCGATAACGCCTGTAAATCCATTATCGCCCCTTCCAGAGCTCGAAACGGATGCCGTACATCGAATGTAAACCTCAGCCCCTGCGTAAGCAAGAATTCGGAAGCAAGCACATCTTCCGGCTTCGTTCCCCCAATAGCATCTGCGAATTTCGTGAGGCGGAAATAGTGGTTCTCTGTCTTCGTGGCGAAGAAAAGGGCGGTTTTCAGGATATCGGTGGGGTGGTAGGTCATGAGCGAGTTCGTGATGTAGAAGCGCTTGATGTACTGTATCGCCGTAGCCTGTGCTCTTCAATATCAACTTCATCTCTTCCTCTCTGACTAGCAAGCTCCATACCTTGACGTCAGTAGGCACCTTTAAATGATCCCCCAGCGACAGCGTCTGCCTGCAATAGAAAGCAACGAGTTTGAGCTCCTCGTCCACGGTCAGGCAGTCTACCTCCCCTTCTGGGATCGCGCTGGCAGATCGTCCATTCTCAGCTTCGCTTGTGTCCGCGGAGGAGAGGGCGCGCGCTTCTCGTACTCGCCGGACGGCTTCGCGGACACGATCTGCTGCTAGGCGGTTCGTTCTTGAGCGGAGGGCGAGCAGGGAGTCTGGTGTAAAGGACCAGAGGCGGTATTGGGTTGATGTGCAGTACCTTTCGTCTTCTGACATCTTGTCGATTTGGTTATGGGGTGTTTCGTGTTCGAGAAATCATTTTTGGGCAGTGGAGGTTGGAAGTCTAAAGGAACTAAATATCTTAAGGTCTGCTGTCGGTTCCAAAGGGAGCCTGATACTTGAGGTGTCGACCTCGGCTTACAAGAAGCGAGCCCCTTTTTATCAATGCAAAGGGAAGCCAGAAGCACTTAGTCTTTAATAATACATTATAGCTTTTGATATTTCAATTAGCTACACAACATGTTTACGCATTCATGGACCATCAGAGGTGGCCATTCTCAGTCAATCCGCCACTTTATTACATAATTTGGAGGCAAATCGGGGGTCCGCGTCGACTTGAAAGCTATGGGAAGATCAATAGTTTTCAACGGATCAGACAGAATGGGTTTGAGGTGGGCAGTGATTTCTGCAGGAATTGGCACATGAGCAAGCGTCCGTAGAATTTTTTCCTTCGCCCACATCTCAAGGGAGCAATGTTTATCGAGGGACAGTCCCAAAGAGCCAGAGCCAGGACTGCCTTCAAGGTGAATTCGAGTCATTACCACCGCTGTAAAGAGATTTATAAGGCATCCGGACCTTTAACAATAGCTTTTCGAGACTTCTGTGAGGTGGGCCGCCAAGCATAGCTCTTTGGAGGAGCCGGGTATCAAATACAAGGACGTAAGGGAAGTCTTGGATCGACCATGCTTGCTCAGTCACCTTTTCAGGCTTACAATATCTCCACAGAAGCAGTGTCTTACTAGGATGGTGTTTCGAGGCTCCTGACAAGAGGGGTCTGGATGGCTGGTGCGGAAAGTTTCCTGGAGGAGCAAATGGACAGAGCCCGCATGGATCATGCGTGAATTTCCCAACTGGAATGGGCTCTTGAACTCGGTTCATTCGCGCATTTGGAGTTGGTAATTAAAGGTGGAAACCAGAGATCCGGATCGGAGGTCGGAAACGACAAGAAAGGGTCTGAGATCGCGGGTATCTATGATTGAGATACCAAATTCTCGGGATCCAGGCGTGTCAATGCTTATGAACATTGGATCTTGGTACTTACTCGAGTTGGTGGTGATCTCTTCCTTCTCGGCAATTCAGATTTCCACGCTTTCGTTGGTATTCTCTTTGCGATGTTTCCGAGGGAGATTGACTTCTGAGATGAAATAACCTTCACTCATTGTGGTATCTTATCGGGCAAGAGACCCAGGCAATACCGCAATACCTTGATTGATCCTGGGGTCGCCGTAAAAGCCATTTTAAGAAAAGTATCCTGATACCATTGTTCCGAGGATGTGATGTAGCTTTTAGTTGAAAGGAAAGCGTGAGCAAGAAGTTGGTGAGCGATGGAAGGGATTATGGAGGACTACATAGCTAAACAAGCAGTAGTCTTACGATTGAGGAAGTTGTGTAGGCTTGAAAAAAAGCTCTATTGCGAATCAGACTGGTCTGCCATAAAGAAGTTAGCTGTAACAGAGCATGTTGCGATCCTGACTGGGTCAACTAGTGTGCTATGTTTAGTGAGGACAGCTAGGACGGACTTACATTGCTAAGGCACCCGCCGCCTTCTGTTTGAAGTCTCAATCACACATCCTTAATTATGGAGTTAAGCGTTCCTAACGTTGTGTGGATATATTGGTAGGTTGTTGCAAAGTAATCTGTTGCATTCTTTCGGTCTTCTCTAGTGAAGCGCGAATATGACATACGGAGCGCAGGTAGACTCCGATGGACGTGAAAAGTGACGATAACTAAGCCACCGCATATAGTCATCCACAAAGCTTTTTCCAACAAAATCGCAGTGTAGAATTTCGCGAAAGATTCCATTGCATGGATGGAAATATCCATGGATGGATACTCGGATCAATCCCTCTGAATTATGTCTTATCTAGGACGCAAGATCAAAGGTGTATATGTATCTCCGTCGAGAAACCAGACAATATCTCCTTCACGACCCCTTGCGGAAACCACAGAAAGTCTTCCTTCATCCAATGCAGCAAATATTCTTCCGTAGAGAAATTGAGGACAAGCGGTTTCCTCGTCCGAACTGGTTGTGGAAAGAAGGAGCAGGTTAAATAAAAGCTCCTGGAGATCGTCACTGTAACGGCCTATAGGCGAATTTATAAAGTACAAAGCTCCCAAACGGTACATTTTTTGAAGGAGCCCATCTCAATGGCGAACATTATCGCGCGGTTCCCAACTAAGACGTTGCAACAGCTCTTCAATTCAAAGAGAAGATTGTACTTTCGAAAGAGGACCTATGATATGCTTCCAGTTTCCATAGAGTAGATAGTACGGGGTAAGCTCGTAGGGCTCTATTTCTACATCCGATTTCTTGCGTTTGGCTACGGCATGTTTCATACCAAACGTTGCCATTCTATGATCAGCCAGAAGAGAGACAGCCCGCAGTTTTCCCAGAAGCGGCCAGAATAGGCCATGATATCCGGGGGAATCCAGACCGGAACGTTTGCCAACAGAGGCGAATAGTCTGAAGAGGATAACATATGAGATCAAGTAACTTCGAAGCATTTAAGCGCCCTCATGTCAGTGAGACACTCACGAAACCGACGGTAGGGTGTGGGAGGCTTTCAGCATCCAATTTGGAGCACAGGAAGGAATACTCGCAGGGTTCCCAAGGTCAGTCTCCCAAGCTGCAATCTCGCAGAAAGAGAGAATTGACAAGTCCCCCTGCATACTGATCACGTACTTTGCAATATCTGTGTAGATCCTGGCGTGACTGCTGTTGGCTACCTCGACCAAATATTTCTGGTTGATATTTCCTTCTGCCCTTCCCAGAATTCCGATATTTGCAAAGAGCTTGTCCCTCGAGCCAGACACACCAAGACCACGCCTCGCATCCAAAGTGCCGACTAGAGATCCAACAAAACTCCGCCCATCATAGTCCTTTCCCGGATGAAAGATTTTCCGTGCTCTGTCCATTAAAAGTATCACCTTCCAGGGCTCCTCCTGACTGTTGGCTCTTACGCTTTCAACGAGTGCCTTCAGCATTTGGTGCCACTGGACGCGCTTGGTTCCGCACTGAACCCAAGGGTCCTGAGACATAACGAACTTCTGAAATATCTAAGCGCGTGTAAACCGTGGGCGACTGAATATTGATAAAAGGGCTCGGGAGTTGTCTTCACTTGCGTTGAAGGTCCACAAACGGATCTGTTGCAGCAATTATTCCGTTTCCTGAGTTTCGTCGCCCAAGTAAATGATTGTATGCTCCGCCTGGGAGTAGAACTTTCCCATCTGACTCACTTGCAGACTCTTTTTCTCTGCATTACTTTGATTGATACAAACCCCACCAACCCCTACCTTCCTCGTTCTTAAGGGACCCCTAATGTGACGCAAGGCTGACTCCAGGTTGACTGTAAGTTCGATGTCGCAACGGCCAACGGAGATTGGGGTAGTAATTCGTGGATCTCCCCACACGTATGACAACACGTTGTAATGTTAACTCAACGACATCGCCCTCACACTCAGGCAATGTTGTATGGATCCACAAGCATTGCACTCTCGCGTCGATATCTTTTTTCAGGCTGAAGAATGGTGAGTCGAATGGCATCTGGCTCAACCAGAGGCCAGTATTGATATGTCAGTCTGTCGCCCATTGTACCTGCTGAGTATGTTGCTGACTCTTGATTAACGCCTTAAAAAAGATCGGAAACACCAATGAACAACTTTAAGCCACGAGAAGGCTTCACATGTGCAGAGAGAGCTTCGCAAGGCTCTGATGCCAAGTTCAGCTTCAGCACTCGCTGATTGAAAATGTTACTCTCCCTTCTTCTGGACGAGAACTACACATTTGAAGTAACCGAATGTGTGACAATATTGACATTCTGCTCATAAGGGACTCCACGATTATGGCTATTCCTGATATTTTGATCATCGAAACTTTCATGATCGAGCATGTTTGAAAGTGGATAAGCCAATCCCTGTTCTCGTAAAAGCGGCAAGATTTCCCGACCGCTGAAGACCCTTGAACATGGGCCGAGTTCAAAGCAGCTCGATGTCCGTGGCTTGCTCACGACAAGAAACAAAATGATTGTACGCGCCCAGCGCTTCTACCGAGTGCACAGGCATCTGCCTCTGATAGCCAGACGAACAATTACTGAAGAAACGCCAAAGATCGTTCCGAATGAAGGCATCATTCCTTCGGCGGGGGTTCCAGCCACCGAAGCCCAGGAGACGCAACATGTCGCTGAGATGAGAGAGAAGCTTGTGTTGCGTAAGAAAGCTATAGAAAGCCTCAAAGCTGCTGTCCAGAAACCGTTCTCGGAAATTCAGGATCAGCTATCAGAAGCTCAGGTTCCAGCTCATGAAGTTCAGCGACCATTGCCAGAAGTTCATTGGGCTTTGGTCGATGGTTATGAAGTTGGTGGGCATCTGGAGCATGGGAAAGGGCCGCTGAATAGACATGATCAGAAAGGCTTGCCAACGTGGGGTGACTGGGGAATTTGTGTCAAGATCATTGGAATCGGTGGACGTACAGCGTCTACTGTTCTAACTTTGTGAGTCTTTTCATTCCTTCTGAAATTTCACTGCAGCTGACATGATATAGGCCAAATCTTTGGTTGAGGTGAGCTTCTGAGCTTGATCAATTGTATGCCGTCATGTGCCTAATAGGTTTTGCAGAGACAATTGCCGCTGTGTAACGTGTGTTAACCAAGATACCATGCAGCGAGCTCTCGATACATTCTCCGTATGTTTCCAGACATTCCTGATGACTACTTACTCTGACCTCTTGATCAGATACCGACAGACATCCTGCCACAAGAAGTGATTACACTGAAGGAAGGAATTCAAGTCAAGTGTAGGCCACCTTTAAAACAGTGTCGGGAACTTAATTTGACGAAAAACCAGGGTCTAATGATGGCCATATGAGTCTCTATCCGTGGGATTGGATTTTAAGACATAGAAAAAAGGCTGGAATCCCTATTTCGAAAGAAGAGAAACAGATGCAGGTGGATCCGTGAGTTAATACCTGACATTATTGACACGCACTACTGACAGATGAAGCTATAAATACTGGGGAACTGAGATTGAGTCAAATCCACCTTCTGTACATTATGATGAGATCATGGCCGATGAGAAAGGTGTTGGGGCATGGACAGCAAAAATTGTGAGATAACGATTTGGTATTCAAGCGATCAGCCATTAACACTTTAAGCGCGAATACGGATTCTGTTATGTCGATGAATGTCCCATCTCTCCAGAGAAAACTCAAGAGCTTCTCGAGCGTATCGCTTTCATTCGACAGACTCATTACGGTGGCTTCTATGACTTCACATCAGACCTCACCATGAAAGACACGGCATACACAACACTCGCTCTCCCTGCTCACACGGACACAACCTACTTCACCGACCCAGCCGGCCTCCAAATGTTCCACCTCCTCTCCCATACTGACGGAGAAGGCGGCGCATCCCTCCTAGTCGACGGCTTCAACGCTGCCCGTACCCTTCTCAAAGAATCTAGGTCAGCATACGAAATCCTCGCCAAGACCCCAATTCCCTGGCATGCCAGCGGAAACGAGGGAATCACCATCACTCCCGCAAAGAAATTCCCTGTATTCAGCTTTCAAGATCTTCAAGAAGACAGACTGCCAAAACTTCTGCAGGTAAGGTGGAATAATGATGATAGGGGCGTGGTGGGGTTGAGAGAGGACTATGGGATGGGTGCTGAAAAGTGGTATCGAGCAGCGAGAAAGTGGAATGAGATTTTGAAGAGGCCGGCGATGGAGTACTGGGCTCAGTTGATGCCTGGGAGACCTCTGAGTACGCTGCCCACCTCGTGGAATTTCGATTACTGATTTTGTGGGTAGTTTTTGATAATTGGCGCGTGCTTCATGGAAGATCTGCCTTTAGAGGGAAGAGAAGAATGTGTGGTGGATACAGTGAGTATCTCCTATATTGAGGACTGGGGATGAACACTAAACACTCAAAGTTAATCACGACGATTATGTGTCGAGGTGGCGGAATACAAACTTCACCAGAGATGAGGTCTTAAGCCAGATCCTATGATCTGAGAGTCAGAGGGAAGATTTGGTATGCAATGGAGTGGAAAATAAAAATGTGTACAAATGCACATAAGTAGCAAGGTCCCCCGCCTCCTTCTACACATTGCACGGATCGAGGGCTCGAGTCTTGACGTGTCAAGTGGGACCAAGAAATTGGTTGACACTTCGTAAGAACTAGAACTAAAAAGTGACACTTTTTCCGGTCCTGGCAGACTCCCTCGCAGCCTCGATAATCTTCAAAACATCACAAGCGTCACTTGCCTTGACAGGCACAGCACTCTCACCACCATCTTCAATTGCCTTCATAAATCCGTCATAGAGTGTAGCATATGTCTTTGGCTCGACATTCTTGAAGACACTCGACTTCGGCTTGCCCCCTTCAAGAACAACCAAAGTCCCTGAGTTAGCTTCACTCTCAATCCCAAAACCCTTGTCGCCTGGTTTTAATCCAGCTTTTAGCTGATCTTCCTGAACATCAAGATGAAACTTCTTGAAGCTTCCCTTCGCCCCACGGACCCAATACCGCAATTGCTCGGTCTCGACACATATCACACCCGCCTTCGCTGTGACCAGTGGCCCATTTGTTCCGTACCCAAGCAGGACAGTAAGACTGTCCGGCTCTGCCTCGCCATCATTTCTCTGGTTCGAAAACACAGCCGTAACGCTCTTCGGCATGCCGAACAGCACATAGACTTGATCAATCAAGTGTGTGCCCAAATCATACAACACGCCTCCTGCCTGATCCATACTCAGGTTGCCCTTCCAGTTCTCTGGCCTCACAGCCTTGTATCTATCGAAGTGTGTCTCGAATTCCACCACTCTGCCCAAAGTATCATCCGCCATCAACTTCCGTACAGTCAAAAAATCTGTATCCCATCTACGGTTCTGGTATACACAAATCAGCTTTCCCGTCTTCTCGGAGATGTCAATGAGCTGCTGTGCCTCTGCGGAGGTGGGTACGAATGGCTTTTCGACCAGAACGTGCTTGCCAGCTTCGAGAGCGGATTTCGTGAAGGTAAAATGGGTGTCGGGTGTGGTGGTGATGACTATGATGTCGATTGAGGGGTCTGCAAACATTTCGGTGGCGGAATGGTAGATTTTGGCAGTGGGATGGTCTTTGGACGCATCGTCGGTGGGTTTGGGGGTTCGCTGGACGATGGAGTGAAGTTTGAAGGTCGGCGTTACTTGGATCAGAGGGATGTGGAATACTTTGGCGGACATTCTAGGACGTCATCAGCTTCTTTCACGTTGATTGCGAACTGTTGAGACCGACCCATATCCTATCACGCCGACGTTGTAAGTTTTGACTACCATTATGGAAGGTTTACAGTTGTTCTTATTGAGGATTGAGGACGATAATGATTTTGGGAGTAAGAAGTGAGGAAAGGCGGAAGAAGTTAAAGAAAATTTTTAAACCCACGCCTTGTTGAATACAAGTATCAACAGTACCTACCTTGATCAGCGAATCTCAATTGTCCTGTATGACGATGGTGGGACATCAGGGTGGGATGTTGCTGGGGTTGTTTTCCCAATCAAACGTCTTCTTTTTCGGGCGGGTCGGACTTGACGCTTACGGCCTTCCGGACTCGTCGGCAATTCCTCGCTTTGCTGGGTCCGACTTGCACCAGCAAGTCTGACCCAGCAACTCCGACATTTGCTATAATATTAATTTTTAAAACAATCACACAAAATATTGCAATTAAAAATTGGATTATTATAGCCCTCAATCAAGTCTATAATCGCCTAATAGAGCTTTTTATATTATGAGAAAGTAGTAGTGCGAACAATTAATAATGCAGTTTAAAGTAGTAATGTCGGCTGTGCTCCCAAAGAAAACAGTTCGCAGCACCTCAATTAATCGCATATTTATCGATACTAAAACATATATTACTATTAGAATTAAGTGTCTACATATCTCCCTGCTCCATTTGAGTATTAATAGCTTCTATCTTTCTCCTCGACGTTCGACGCGTAGCTTTCGGCATGGTAGTATTCGGTGGTTGACTAGTGGTTGACAGCTGAATCAATGTTCCGCGATTCTTCGTGTTTTTAGGCTTCGGGGTTAAGCGAGTTCCCCTTGAAGAGAATTATTAAATTCACGTTTTAATTCATAGCACAACACTACGCAGTTGTAACAAAAAAAATTCTATTGTGTAAATATGTAATCTATTGTATCCTGTAATTATATTAAAGAATTGTTCTTATTAGATGAGTGGTTATTTATTAATCTAATATATAGACTAAAAAATCGATGTCGGAGTTGCTGGGATATTGTGACGGCGGGATCAATGCAATGGTCGAAGGCTCAAAGTTCAAAGAATCTCATGTATTGGAAAATACTAAGCTATGGAACAAAGTAGGGAGGATGCCTCGACCTTTAGTATTGTTCCGTCCAAGCAATTCCGGCTTAGCTTCGTTTTGTGCCTGTTTCCGATATCCTGTCCTTGGCAGATCATGCCCTTACGCCAGCCGTCACAGATATCGGAATTGGTGACACCAGTGCACCACCTGCACTGGCCCGAACCGGGTGCGGAAATGCCTGCGAGTAGACGCTGCCATACTCTCGACAACAATAATATTGTATAATGTATATAATGAAATAAGAGCAAGAATCTCCGAGACTCAAGAATTTTTCCTCGTCTGAATTTCTCCTTGCCTGTCTTTTTGATCAGCCAATCAAGTGGGATGTCGGGAAGTAGTCATGTGCTTTGGTGTCTCGCTTAGGTCGCGTCTGCGCTTTCTCTGGACGCGTAGATCTCAAAAAACAACACCCTCCACTCCATCTTCATCGGAAAGGAAGGATGTTCAAACCATTCAAGCCCCCACTCCGCAAGAGTGTTGCAAAGTCAGCTTCGGTTACTCCAATTGATCTCACCGAATCGGAAGACGAACCCGTACACCGTCCGTACAAGAAACGAAAGTTACTGATACATATCGTCGAAGACAGCTCGCCTCCAACGAAAGCCCCTCCAGCATCATCTGCTGTGCTCGCACCAAGAAAGCCGTTGCTTGTTGTCAAGAATTCTAATGAATTGAAGTCTACCCAAGATGCTCCTGCGGAAGGCCCTGAAGGGTATTATATGGTTCTATGGTACGTGGTCAATGCTCCTCTGTTGGCAAGTCTTCTAATTGTGCTGCACAGGCGAAAATTTACAGCGAAAAAACATAAGACTTGGGATGGAGATGGAGTGCTTTCAGTATATGGTGGCTATGCCCATCTCCAAGACGTGTCGGGTCGAGAAATAGGCAGATGCATGTACAAAGAGCCTCTGCTTCCAGGCAGTACCCTGAGCATGGGAGGCAAGGAAATCGAAGTCGACTCTGTCCTTAGCAAGGAGGACTTTCTAGCTGGACGGCCGTTTCTCAAGACCTCCGTAAAGCGCACACCAAGCACTGGCAGCAACTGTAGCCAAGTCACGAAGCCGCCGAAAGCACTAATCAGTCTCCCCAAAGGCAAAATGCCACTCCCTGGCTCGAAGAAAGGAGAGGCATCCGATATGGAGATTCCTGCCAAGAGTTTCTACGCGCACAAAAGTGCTGCCACGAAGGCGCATTTCAAGAACCCTCTTCTGGCCACCACCATAATGCCACCGAAGAAGACCGGCGGACCTACGCCACGACATGACCCCAATGCCGAGGGGGCTTTGGTTATGAAGAGACCTAGGGACTGTCCTAGCGGCAAGGAAATTGTCGATATTGTTCTAGACCCATTTCTGGGCCAACATCTCAGAGAGCACCAGCGAGAAGGTGTTAAGTTCATGTACGAGTGTGTCATGGGAATGCGAGATTTCAACGGGCAAGGTGCTATTTTAGCCGACGAGATGGGTTTAGGCAAGACTTTGCAGACCATCGCTTTATTGTGGACCCTCTTGAAGCAGAACCCAATCCATGGAACCGAGGGTGTCATCAAGAAAGCATTGATCGTTTGTCCTGTCACATTGATCACCAATTGGAAGAAAGAATTCCGGAAATGGCTAGGCAATGAGAGGCTTGGTGTTTTCGTTGCGGATGGTCAGAAGATCAAGCTCGCTGATTTCACGCACGGAAAAAGCTATAGTGTCATGATTATTGGGTACGAGAAGCTCAGATCTGTGCAGGACGAGCTCAAGAAAGGAGCTGGAATCGATATTGTCGTCGCAGACGAGGGGCATCGACTCAAGACGGCGCAAAACAAATCAGCGCAGGCTATCCGATCACTAAATACCCCTATGCGAATCATCCTATCCGGAACACCAATGCAGAATGACCTGTCTGAGTTCTACGAGATGGTAGACTTTGTCAATCCTGGCCTCCTCGGTACTGCAAATACTTTCAAGAAGGAGTTCGAGGGCCCGATATTGAAGAGCCGACAGCCGGAGGCTTCGAAGAAGGATATCGAGAAAGGGACCGCCAGGGGAGAAGAACTTTCATCCTTAACGAAGACTTTTATCTTACGACGGACCGCCGAGATTCTATCGAAATATCTACCACCGAAGACTGAATACGTGCTCTTCTGCCAACCAACACAAGCCCAGGTACAAGTCTACCAACATGTTCTTGCTTCACCCTTCTTTGGCAAGGTTCTGGGTCTAGGTGGCTCAGAAGCTTCACTTCAGCTCATCACTCTGCTCAAGAAAGTTTGCAATGCTCCGAGGTTGTTGATGAAAAGGGACGAGAATGCACCAAGCAATTCGAATGTCGCTGAGTTGCTAGAAGCTATCCCATCAGAGATCCTTCAGCAAGTATCAGTGAAATCTAGCACTAAATTCAGGGTGCTCGATCAGATGTTGAAGTGTCTTGCTAAGACAACTGAGAAAATTGTACTTGTTTCGAATTACACTTCGACACTGGATCTCCTTGGCCAACACCTGGCATCTTTATCACTTCCATTTCTCCGTCTTGATGGTAGCACTCCCGCTGCTAAGCTTCAAGACCTTGTTGATACTTTCAATCGAACGCCTGCATCCAAAAGCTTTGCTTTCTTGCTTTCTGCAAAGTCAGGTGGTGCTGGCATCAACCTCATCGGTGCTTCACGGCTGATTCTCTTTGATGTGGACTGGAACCCGGCTACAGACTTGCAAGCGATGGCTCGTATCCACCGAGATGGTCAGAAGAAGCCTGTGAAGATCTACAGGTTCTTGATGGCTGGAGGTATGGACGAGAAGATTTATCAGCGACAGGTGACTAAGATGGGACTTGCTGACAGTGTCGTCGACGGAAAGAAGAATGAAGCGAGCTTCACCGCTCAAGAATTACGAGACTTGTTCACGCTCAAAGAGAGCATAGCTTGTCAGACTCATGAACTCCTTGGGTGCGACTGCAAGGGCCTAGGTACTGATCCACGCCCCCTGTCTAGTATACCAGACCCTGTCGAAGTCGACGAAGGTGATGATGGTTTAGAGGATAGTGACGATGATATGTTGTTTCCTCCTATTCACGAAGTGGTTGCCGCAACGAAGGCCAACGTGGAAGCACTGAACAAGAAACTCGCTGCGGAGGCAAAGGAGAACAGATGCAAGAAAGCAAAGGGCAAGATGCAAGCTCTGATGCTTTACCGACACATCAATACAAACATTTTTAAGGGAGAGACTGAGGATGTATTCGGCTACGAACACGATGAGGTGACAAATGTGAAGAGAGCACTGGATGATGATGTGTTGGTCAAGGTGTTACAAGACCAGAATTGCAAGATTGGCTTTGTCTTCGCTAAGAGGGATAGAGGTTAGATCATGGGATGTAGTACTGCATGGCAATGGCGCTTAAGAGAGGGTATATGATGGCTATCTGATAGAAAGAGGCGCATAGACTTACATGGCTTAAATATAGAGATTGTGTACAGCGCTCTTGCTCTGGCAATAACACGACAAAACTCTCAGTCGCAGGCGTTACCGTGGGGCAAGGATTCAGTCTATTGCGATGTGGAATTCAGACCCTGGACACATATCCTTCGTCCAGCTGAAAAAAATACAATCGAGAAGAAATTCTATAGCCTTCTAAGTCCAGATATGTTGTCCCATTTCTCCTGTATGAAAATATGCGCTGTGGTTGGCCACTAAGGAGGCGGTGCGGCAGTTATACTTAAAGCGGCTAGGTCGTGCTTACCCCTGTAAAGATTTGGAGAGTCCAAGCCAGATTGCCATTCCGAGGAGCCACAGTAGCCTCGCACAACTGTCGCCATTTCTTTCTTTAACATCCTCCCTCTTCTAGAAGACTTTTGCAGCAGTTCAGTTCCTGCCTTTGCCATCGGAGTTACATTTCTTGACTTAGTCAGGATTCCCGGGCCAACTCCACCACTTGCGCGCAAGAAACCCGCTGGACTTGGTCTTGAAGACCAAATAAACCTTCAAGATGTCTGGAACAGACTACTCATACGATGAGCAGGTACGTTCCCATTCTATGGCAAGTCCAGTGCAGTACTAATGTTTTAAAGGGACAATTCTTCCCCTTCTTCGTTCTCACTGTCGTGGGAATAGTCACAATCCCGTTGACTTACTCTGTCCTCAAACCCAGCTCAGACCCCGGTGTTACCGCTCCGCGAATAAAGACAGATTTCCAACCAGAGCATGCAGACCTGATCGATGCCCAACGAAAGGCACAGAAGAGACGAGAGCGTAAGCTGAAGCGCGGAGTCGCAGTGGTGGCGGGGTGGGCGATTATGGCTTTGATGGCCTATTTGATCATAGTCACTGCGCGTACGGTACCAAAGATATGGAATCCGTATGATATCCTAGGGCTTTCAGACGTAAGTTCCTAGGTTCTGTGCATACGGGATGTAATCTGACGTCAAAACAGTCTGCCACCGAGAAGGAAATCAAATCGCACTACAAGCGCCTCTCCCTTAAATTCCATCCGGATAAGATTAGACCAGACCCAGCAAAGAATCAAACCCTCGAATCCTTAAACGATTACTTTGTCGAACTCACCAAGGCGTACAAGGCGCTTACAGACGAGGAAATTCGGAACAACTACCAACAATATGGACATCCAGACGGCAAACAGAGCTTCAGCATTGGGATTGCTCTCCCAAAGTTCATTGTCACAGATGGGAACGGAAAATATGTTATTCTGGTCTATGCTGCCCTGTTGGGCGTGCTTTTGCCCTATTTAGTTGGCTCTTGGTGGTACGGCACGCAAAGAATGTCGAAAGAGAAGGTTTTGATCGAGAGTGCCAATAATTTGTTCCGGGAATACAGTGAGGATATCACGGAGGGAGGGATTATCAGCGCTTTAAGCACTGGCGTGGAATTTCAACAGACTCTGAAGGGTGATAAGGCAGAGTCGGGTCTTGAGAGGGTGGAGTCGCGAGTTCTTGCAGAGGGCGAACCTTTTACCTATGTTGGTGGACTGACTGCTAAGGATCGGACAAAGCTGGAGGATCTGGAAGGCGGCGTTAGACGAAAGGCTCTCGGTCTTCTCTGGGGATACTTGGGCCGCGTGGAACTTGACGACACCGCGCTCAACCAAGCAAAGATTGAAGTAGCGCCCATCGCTCGCGCTCTCAATGCCTCCTTCAACGCTATCGCTCTTGCTTTCGGCTCAACTGGCCCCATTCTAGCTTCGTTCCTGACAGCTCAGAATCTCATCCAAGCTATCCCACCAGGAGCGTCACCACTCCTGCAGCTGCCTTACATCACACCTGCTATTGCAAGAGCAATCGAAGGCGATGCCAAGACACACCTCACTTTGCAACAATACATGCAACTTCCGGAAGCTTATCGACGAAAATTGTCTGTTGGAAAGGGCCTCCTGACCGAATCACAATACAAGACAGCTATTGATCTGGCAAAGCAGCTGCCCCGACTTCAAGTTGAGAAAGCTTTCTTTAAGGTGATTGGCGAGAAATACATCACACCTGGTTCGCTGGTTTCATTCGTCGTGAAGGGTCGATTCGTTCCGCCTGGAAGTCAGAACGTTCCGGAGGTCAATGAACTAGACTTGGAGGATGTTGACCCCGAGGAAGATGATCTCGACGCCATCCTCGGCAGGCAGAAGAAGACTAGCAAGGGCGAAAAGCTAAAGGAGGACAAGCCAGTCCAACCACCTCTCGCATACGCCCCATATTACGCGCGCAACTACTCACCCCGCTGGAACGTTTTCCTCACAGACAGCAAGCAGGGCAAAATGGCTGTCCCGCCTTTCACCTTCATTGCGTTTGACAAGCCGATTTTCGACGAGAGCGGAAAGCCGACTTTCAACATGCAAACATTAAAGGCGCAATTCCAAGCTCCGCCACAAGCAGGTCATTACACTTTCGTGATGCACCTGATCTGTGACTCGTACGTTGGATTTGACACCAAGATGGAGGTAACGCTTGTTGTGGATGAAGCAGCTAAAGCTGCGGAAATCGAAGCTGAGGACGATATCAGTGAGCCAGACGAGGGTAGGTCTAAACCAACACACTTCACACGTTCGAATGCTAACAGCACAACAGACTCGTTAGCTGGCCAAATGAATGCACTCAAAACCGGCGGCCTCACAGGTCCACCCCCCAAGAAAAAGAAGAGGCCAGTTACGGAAGAGTCAAGTGATGAGGAGAGTGGTACGGAGGGCGAGGAAGCCGAGGATACCAGTGAAACCGATACGGACACTGATGAAGAATAAATATCTTGGAATTGACATTTTCTGGCCATTGCATTTCGATCGGGGCGTGTAAAAATATCGGCGTAGCATTGGGGCTGGCGTTCACATACATTCTGCACTGTGGTTCGTTTGAAACTCGCAGCGGGTGTGGCGGTTTGTTTTGGTTTGGAGAATAGGATTAGCGGACAGCGAACGGATTCAGAATGCGGAATCCGAGCCAATATACAGACGAAAAACACTCTGAAAGTACCAAGATACTGGGGATATTGGGTTGCAGGGAATTTTTGCACATGTGAACCTTCATTGCACGCAGTATACACAAATACCCCCCCTATCCTTTTATGCAAAGCAGCAGGCCAGGTCCTCCAAACTCCCAATCCTGACATAACAATACAAGTCCTTCGAAAGTCCGAAGGATGAATTAGCAAATCCGAATCCCGCACACATCAACATTCCGCCCTTCAACACGTGCTCGTCGTCCGAAGTAATCTTTCGCCACGTCCTCGATAAAGGCATGGTCTGTTGAAGACCATTGATCGAGGCCCATCCTCGCCACATCTGAACTAGAAACATACACCGCCGGTCCCGTCTCATCAGCGGGGCCATCGTCCTGCACTCGATGCAGAGCTTCATGCTCGTCTTCTCGCTCATCGTCTGAGTCCGTAGCATCCACGATATCACTCAAAGTAGCCAGAATTTGGGTGGTCAAGCGGTGGAAGTAAGCTATTATTGCCATTTCTTGATTAGCTTTCATGTCCCCTGCTAACCCAGTTTTCCCTTTGATGCCAACGGAGACGGTGGATTGGGAGCGCGGACGAGGTGTGATGGGCGTAGAGGGGGACAGTGCGAGGCCGGAGAGGAGAGCGGAATCAGATTCGGATTCTTCTTCTGAGTGGAGCACTTGCTCGCCGGCCGAGGCCCACCACATGAAGCCTGAGTAGGCGAGGGCGGCCCATGATATGGGTTCTATGATGTCGTCTGTATCAGGGAGGTCAAGCATGGGGTCGTCTCGGGGGAGTGAGAGGCTGGAGGAAGACGCTCGGATAGTCTCCGATTCGGAGAAGGAACCCGAGGAGCTTCGGCGACGTGTGGTGCTGGGACTAGATGGGGTGGAGATGTGGCGTGAAAGACTCCATCTGAGAGCTTTGTAACGCCGAAGATCTCGCTGTGTGGCTTTCATCTCAACACCTTGGGGCGATTCGACTTTCGGCCAGATTTTTTCGTGGGCATCTTCCGAGTAGGGAGGGGGCATAGTTATCAGAACATCATAGAGAGCACTTTTCATGGCAAGGATGCTATCTGTTGTGCAGGCTATCCAACCATTGCCTGGTTCGTCCCTTAGGTCTGATTGTTCAGAGCCGGGTATTGCAGCAGCAGCTCTGGAGGCACGGAGGTCTTCTTCCAGGAGTGGGATGTCGTGGACCCCAATGGAGAAGAGCGGCCGGAGTCTTTGGGGCGGAGCAGTGGATGCGAGGAGGTCGGTAACTGCGAGGGGTATGTTTGAAAGTACAGAAAGGTCATATACTGTGAAATCCGTCAGTGAAGTCTGGGGAACGAAACGTAGTGGTACAGACCAAAATTACATGTCTCCTCGACTGGAGCATGAGCTGTGATCAGAATCCTTTTGCGTAGTAAAGCAGCTCGGTGTATAGGAAATATCAATGGCCCAAAGGCCTCCAGCAAATGTGGTAAACTCCATGCGGGATGGTGAGGAGATAGATGGTGTCCAGAGGGGAGCAAAGCAGTACCATCTGATGCTGAGCGATTTCTCCCGTGGCCCTTTGCTTTCAGTGGTGTTGTCCTTATGGCTTGAAACTTCGTACTCGACGGCGAATCTAGTAACGAATCCGTTTCTGCGAGAGCAGGTGGACCGCGAGCCTTATGTTCCCCCCAATATTCCTCCAATGCTTTCGTCTTAGCAGTGTCGACAATGAGCTCACTACCATCGAGTGAGCAAGGGCAAGCTGTCAAAACAGTACAACCTACTTTGCCATTGCTTTCAAATTTTCTGCATGCTTCCAACTTCTCCCCAGTCTGCCATAGCTCAATCGAACCATTACGCCCACTGCGATCATGCGAGCATTTCTCGATTCCTCCGCTGCCGGAGCATTGATGAATGCGCTGAGACCAGCATGATCATCGTGGACGAAATATATCAGGTCCTCTTTGACAGTATGCAGTCCCGATGGCAAGCTCTTGTATTCTACCACCCCTTCCAGCTCAATCCCAGGCAACGATCGTTTCCATCCAATTGTGTAACCGGCTTTGATGTCGAAATAGATCAGGAAGAGGGCCGAGATGGGAGGGAGATCATTCGCAGAAGCATTGGGCATTTCGAGATTCAGCGGCTCTTGGCCTCGTCGGACGGCGGCCATGGTGTAGGATGCTGGGTCGCATGTTAAGAGGAAATAGGGCTGAAAGGCTGCGACTACTTTGGAGTGATGTTGCTGATCCGAGTCGATAGGCCTAAGCCGCACTCGGCTTGCATTTCTCGGCAGGTTCTGGGCAGGGATTGACCTGGGGAATGTGTTAGCGAAGCTTGTCAAAGAAAATGGGCTATCAACTCGTCCGTTCGTCAACTATTACCTAGTACAATCCCAAAAGTAGGTACGGGTAAAGAGCGTATAGCTGGCCCATTTTGATGACTTGCCTAATCTTCACAGTTGATTTGTGAGTGAGGATGCTGATTCTCAGGGGTACTGTACCTCGCTTAATCCTAGTGCGGCTTAACAACGACGGGAGGCAGCAGCCTCTTCTCACATCAACTCCTCTCGATATCAACGGCATATCAAGCAAAGATCCTGCAAAGATCAATGAAAGGAGATATCGCCTTTTAATTTTGTTGATTTTTCGATATTCTTCTCACCGTGAAGATGGCGGAGGGCGCCTCCGGAATCTCCGCATTCGAGGATACCTCTGAAGATTCGGATTCCAGCGAAACTTCAGCTCCTGTATGCTAGAAACATTGTGTCTAAGTTATGGCTAGCACTGATTTTCATTAACCAGTCCACTCAGGTCTCGGAGCAACTAGAACATCCAGTAAGTAGTGCAGAGCCAGGTCATCCTGAAAACTGACATCATATCAGGGCCCAGAGGATGTGGCGCCACCTCCTTGCAACGGCACTCTAGAGGGCGACTTTTCTCTTCTTGAAGTCGGACCAGAGCAGTTGTCAACATTCTTCTTGTTCCCAAGCTTGCCGATGGAACTTCGAGCCAAAATTTGGGAGGCTTCACTGCCAGGACCTCAGCTAGTGGAAACCCGCTTCCTTAACATGCCATGTCACTTGCCAACGCCGAAGCTACCAACTCCTCTACTACACGTTACCCAAGAATCACGGGAGACTGCTTTGAAGAGTTATAGGTAAGTCTCAATTCCTCGGAGTATTAATCCCTCTTGAAGAAATATCTCCAACAGCTCTTGGGGCATTCGACCCGCAATGTCCAACAGCTCCCGGGAATATTCTACTCCCCAAAGCACCTAAAGAAGTATGCTGACTCCAATTCATTGGAAAGGCCGTTATATCCCCTGTCATCACCTTTGCCACTCATCTACATTGACCCAAGTGTTGACATACTGTTCATTAATGAACACATACAACGATTAGATGAAGTACTCTCCGAAATGGATCCTGATGTCCTTCGCTCTCTCCATCACATCGCTTTGGAATCGATGATGATGTTTGTTTTTTCGACCATTGTGAGCAGATTCTTTCCTTGTCTGCTCAGGTTGAGTAGTCTCGAGAGAATTACTATCACGTTGCCCCCCACTGAACCTGAGCAAGAGGGCGGATATGCTGTCTTATTCGATCTTCTAAAAATACCCATGGCAGAATGGCCAGATTCGGTTCAGCGTCGAGATGACCATCTGTTCACTCGAAGAGGCCTTGAGCATTGCAGAGACAGAGGGACTCTTGATGATCCCCGATGGCTTAGGACTGGGTTCAAGAACATTACACAAGCTGTCGAAGAGCGCTTCCGCGCCAATCCAGGTCGAAGGCTTCCACAAGTTGACCTGAAAGGAGTGAGACGCAGGTAAGGAGTGGCGGAAAGACATGGATTATTCTGCAGTGGTCCAGACTGCCATTGGTATCCTTGTGAGGGCGGATACAATGGGGTCCAGATGGATGACATACTTTTCCACAAACACTTGCCCAGCCAATCGAGAGTCTTCGAAAGCCGTGCAGGTCCCGGTCGAAGGATTGGCGAGGTCTCCTCTTGACTCGAAAAACGTTTGGAAATTCCTGGTTCGTTGTGGACGGCTCGGTTCTGATGGGCATTCAGCTACCGATAGCCGTCCGGCGAAGGCTCACTGCTTACTTCCCAACCCACGGCAGGAATAATATGAATCCCGCTTCCGCTAGCTTAGGCTGCTTGTCAACATTTGAACCGATATCCACTCAAGGTTCAAAATTCTTTTTGCCCACGTCATCTACACAGCTCCGCTGCCTTCTCAGAGGTGTCCAGCGTGTACCACAGTCTCCGTCACAATCGTGACTCAACGCCTCAAGCTCAAGATGGCTGCGCTCAACCCTCTTGCAGCTGAATTCGAACCAAAGACAGAGGAATCGCTCGGACAAGGTATTGGCAAGAGCGCCATGGAGCGGCTTGACGAGACAGATGCACGCGTCCCTGAGCTGAAGCTTCTGACCGAGTTCCACCCCTTCCCTCGCATGCCTATCGAGCTTAGACTCAAGACCTGGAAGTTTCACATGCCTGATGCGCGCATCGTAGAGCTCAAGTATTGCAAAAAGATCTTCCATCCTATCTCTCCGACCCCGGCTCCAGCCTCGTTGCACGTTTGTCGTGAGGTAAGCGTTTCCCAACCCTTTAAAACACCTTCCCATTGGCGAAAGCGTCTAGGCATAACAGTCCGGTGCAGGATCGAAGACTAACCTTAGCTTTTAGTCCCGTACAGAAGCCCTCGAGCATTACGTGCTCCTGCACAATCCTCACTATTTGACTCCCCGCATCTTCATCAATCCCCAAATCGATACTCTCTACTTCTCTGAGAAGCGCGGAGGCGAATTCAACGAGGTTTTCACGGTGGATGAGTGTACTTACTTCGACTACTTCAAGACAATGACCAAGAGTATCCACACCTCTGTCTTGACCAACCTGCGCCGAATCGCCCTCATCGATGAATCCTACCTTCTGAATTTGGAATGGGACGACGAGCGTGAAGATGTCTTCAACTTGACTAAATTCACCAATCTCGAAATTGCCGTTATGGCTATCGATTTTGGTAAGAATATTGTCGGTCCAGTAAAGTTGGTTGAGGTCACCTGGGGTGAATGTCCAATTCGTAGGTGTTGGGGGAGAAACCCTTTCCTATTTTCGACTGTTTCATGAACTTCTCCTGATACAATTCCCTCCCCCGAAACAAGCCTAATCGAGAAATTGCTGACTCCACCGTCACCCAGATACCGAACTCGGACGCCCTCACCCTGACTACGACGATGATGAAGTTCTGCACAGTTGCAACCTTTGCGGCTGCCCCTTCATCAAGGAGGTGCTTCTCGAGTTGAATATGGACCACATCTACTTCGAGCAATTGAAGGAAGGTCTCCGCGGTATGTTCACCAATTTTGGGAAGAAACTTCCGAGCTGGAAGGTTCCGAAGGCCAAGACTATGGTATTAGCCGAGAAGAAGAGGGATGTCAAGAAGGGCTCGTTTGAGTTTCATTTCAAGAAGCCGAAGCTCATACCTGGAGGCAAACCACGTATTCCAGAGTGGGCCAACATCAGTGGGGGAGGAGAGCGAGTCATTCGGATGGAGTGTCCCAGACCTCGTTCCGGCTCTTTCTAGACAACCGATCAGTCAAAGGCTTCTATTCCTAGGCACCTGATTTGTCAAGAATGTCTCTTTCCAGGCAATTGGTTCGTTAAAATAAAAAAAAGGCGTTTGTATCGGGGATAGTACTAGGGGAAGATGAGCCTAGTTTCAGGCGAGAGAGAAACAGTCTTTGTGTACTTTGGCGTGACTAGTAGTCTTCAAGAAAACTCTCCTGTGTATCTCGAGCTCTCTTATGCTGTGCGGGATCTGGAATTGTGGCTAGGGAGGGATTGTACTGTACAAAGTATCACAATAATTTGCATTAGCAAAGCTGGTTATGCGACTAAATCTTGGGCGTGCAGGTGAGGCGAAAGGTGAAACCGATGGTTCTGTGCTGACAAGTTTCAGCAAGTGATGAATGAAAAAGGCAAGGCTGAGACCAAAAGTTCCGAGATCGGACGGTGCTGTGGAGCTTTGAAAGTGAAGGGAGAGCAACACCAAGCTCGCTTAATCGTGCCTTGTTGACCTCCCTACTCCGCCAACTTTCCAAACTCCAAACGCCAACAGCTCCTTCTCCCACAATTAATCAGTGCACCACATCACTTTGACTCCTTGCGAAGTTAACGAACACGGCGATATCAACTGCCAACCCCACTCCTCAGCTCGCGACAGACGTTAGGCATTGGTTCGCGAGAAAGGCGAAGGGCTTTGTGAGTTCACCTTTGCTCCATCTTCAACTTATTGATCAACAACTGAGGTATGAACGTCATCAACTATCCCAAAGTTGTTGAGGTCTCTGGGACATGGGATAAAGTGCACCAAATCGAGCCAAGTCACGATCCAAAGACCCTTACCAAGTTCACGCTCTTCCCAAAGGTGCCAGCAGAGCTGCGAGTCAAGATCTGGAGGTTTGCGCATCCTGGACCGAAAATCTTGGGCTTGGAGTACGAGGAGAGGGTTAGCCATACTGTGTGCAGACAACCCCCCCCAGAAATCTTGCACGCTTGCCGAGGATCGAGGGTTGAACACTTGAAGTCTGGCATCTTCTTCGCCTTTGTTTTCAACCTGGTTCAACTGCCGTCGAAACCCCTTGAAAGATCTCCAATCATCTACTTCGATCCGGGACAAGACAACCTCTAGCTCTCAGGCATGAGAGGAGCCTGGACGAAAATCCTCCTTTCCCAGCTCACTCCCCCTTGCATTTCCGGAGGTCTTGACAGTGCTGCCCGCGCTTCCATTGAGCGGCTAGCGTTCAGTCACAAAGTTATATTTGACTTCATCTCATGTTTCAAGTTATACCTGATGTTCTACTTCCCCGACCTTGAGACGATTACGTTCGTGATGGGCCCCAAAGTTTGCCGAGATAGTTGTCGACTGGGCTTATTCGACGTTGACGAGGAGTCCGTGGCCTCGTTTCTCCAGGTTTATGGTGGATCATTCTGGACGAACTATACGCAGAATTCTCGATCGGCCTAGTTGGAACGCTTCTGAAGTTTCTATATATCTTCCTATGTATTATGAGCTGTATCAACTTCGAGAGCAGCTTCAGTCCTGTACGGAGCAAAAGTGGAACTGGGCGGAAAAGCATAAGGAGTTGAAGAAGCCCGAGCTTCAGCTTCAATTGTTGATGCACAATGGCCCGTGGTATTCGGAATGCATCCATCACATCTCTGCTCCTGAACCAATGGAGCCGATATGGTAGTCAGACTGTGGAGATACTTTATAATCAAGTACCAACAAGAAAAAACAGAAGATAGGAGATCATTGAGCAGCGTCATGGTACATGTGAGATTCTGAACGGAAGTTAAGATCGGGGTGGGTAGGACAATCAACGAGGTCTGGGTTTCGGGAAGAGGGCTTACTAAAAGAGTATTTTCTCGCGCGAAGTCATCAAGCAATAATACAATATTCACAATTACATCAAGCAAATTATAACAGAACCGAAAGTTTGGTACCAAGTGATTATATTTATCAACTACCAGAAGAGGGTTCATCAATCAAGCACACTTCACAACCCCTTTGAGACTCTTCCTCCACTCTCCATGGAATTGCTCCCTTCTGTCTATCATCTTCCACCTGCCTAGACAGCGAGCTCAAACGAATCCAGCCGCGAGCACACAACTGCCTTCTCTTCTTCTCTTCTACTTTTTTCTTCTTCTTTTCGTCCTAGTCTCTTCTTTTCTGGTCTCTCCTTTTAGAGAGTGCATCCACCAGAGACCAGGGCTGAGTTCATGAGGACCAATCATCCGTCGCTGCTCCTCTCGCCTGGCGAATTGCCAGCGGTCCACAGAGTTGTCCTCAGCGAAGCGGAGATCTGTTACAAGTCGTCGATCAGGATCCAGGTTTCTGGTTCGGAGAGAGGGGTGAGGGTCCCAGGGGTGTTGTGCGGTGTGGTGATGACTGTCCAGTCTCCAGTGTTGGGAAGAATGGTATTGGCTGAGCGAAGTGTACGGGAAAGTGTCGAATCGAGATTTGAAATTGGGGTGTTATCAACGAGATGCGGTAGCAAAGAACCTGTGAACGCCGGAGTGGGCGGTAATGACTGTGGGATATCGATATCGGTGTCGGTGTGTGTTTGGATTGTGAGGGGGCGATGTTGAATCGTTGGTGTGGGGGGAGTCGAAAAAGATAGCAGACGAGCAATATCGGCGTCGTTGCTCAGATCCGAGAACGACAGGTAAAGGGGTAGAGAACGCCAAGTTGAACGCCGTGAACGTCTTGGTTTGCCTTGCCGAATGCTGAACATTGGGCCAGAACTCTCGACGGGGACACCGCAAACGATTGTATTTGACTCGGAATCGACTGCGATGTCCTCGCCAACATAAAGAATTCCCATGCGGCGTAACTCCTGGCAAGGACGTAAGCCTTCCATCAAACGCCACTACTCCGAACACCAATGTGAAGAAGGGAGGAGAGGAAGAGATGATGATTGTCAGGGGTCTATATAGTCGATGTCTCCGAACAGTCCCAAGACCACGTTCAGCATCGATGGACATAAACTCACGTCATCGTCAACTTCTCCACCGAACAGCCTCTGCTGCTCCTGCTCTAGCTGCATCTTGTCCATCTCTGCCAGTGTGCGCTCTTCAGCCTCTCTTGCCTTCCATCGCTGCCAGCTTTGGTCGAAGTTCTGACGGAGCAGGGGAGAAGGCCGGGTTATGTCCGAGGGAAGAGGGACACTTGTGTCGCGCGCGTATTCGAGGCCTTCGGCGCAATCGAATTGGACGTTTGACTTGCGAGTGATGGTCCGACGAGTCCGAGAGCCAGGACGCTCACGGCGTCTGTTCTGACGGTGATGGGGAGTCGTAGTAAAGCCGTTCACAGGGCCCATAGCGGTTGCTATGAAGTGGTATGCGAGGTGTAAAGGGTTCTTATCCAAAAGGATAGAGGAAAGTAGGAGGTCTGCGGTAAGGAAGGAAGAGAAGAAGGTCAAGGGAAGGACACGGCATTTATATCGTGATTCGTAGAGTCATTCTTCCCCTGATGGTGCAAGATCACGACGGATGACTCGATTTGGATAGACATGGAATTGTCATGTGCTTGCGATGGCAAACAACATTATTGGTGGGACGAGGCGGAGAGGAGGCCAGAATCTCCATGAGTCACAGCCCAACGGTTCGCTTGAACAGCGTGGCAGTGCTCCTCCGGGGTCGCTCCTTGGCGTACCGAGGCAGATTTACAAGCAAACAAGAGATGTGAAACGGGAAAGACTTAACCGCAGTTTAGAGAGCGGAATTCGGTCTTGTTTGTGAGGTGAGATGAAGTTGTGAAGTAGCCGTGAGGAACGCCTCGGTGAAATTGTATGGCGAGTTTTGAGGCTGTGCATTGTGGCGAATTTGGAACTTCAATTGTACAAAAGCTCACCAGACGCACCAGACGGCGGCATAGAGAACAATCATTCGTCAGCCGAGGCAAACACTGCCTTCAAGCCCAGCTTTCATTGAGACCATGTTTGAAAACAAATTGGTCCGAGGAAAATGTCAAGAAGTCTCTCGAGATGCACAGACTCTTGATCACGTGATCGTCACCTTGCCCAGCCCCCTGAATTTTTGCACTCTCAATATCACTCAGAATATCTCAAGTCTTGCAGATTTTTGGAATTCGTCAATGAGATGTTATCAAGGATGACTCTAAATGTTTCAAGCCTTTTATTCTCGCCGTTGCAGCCTACCGCTGCCTTGATAAAGCATCAATGTTGACCTTCCGGTTAGGGGCAATCGAGGAGTCACGACCGAGATGGATTAGGCTTCACCGGGTTTGTCTTCATGCGAGACAAAGAAACACATTTTCAAATTCATCCATTCTGCCCTGAAACTGACAAAGTGACACATACTTCCCCTCTTTCAAGTCTACAACCAAACACAGTTGGAGGCAGCATGTGGAGGCGGTAGAGTACCTCAACAAACATGGAGTCCCTGTAATATCTGTATATGTTGGAAATAGTCTGACATTGACAGGCATGACTCTGAGGAACGCACTGCACCGTAAGCTTGAGTAAGAAAATTCCCCCGAGCTAGGATTTTGTATTCAGAGCTGTACAAAGTTATCCTTGCATTGGTTCTTTATCTCCTAACTTCCGTCTGGCGGGTTTTAAGGCGAGTCAGATCATTCTGTGTACGTGGCCCTTCTCGCATGCATTCAGTCTCTGCTCCATCCACCCTATTCTTTCTCATTTCTCAGCAGCACTTTGATCTCAACTTTCGGTGCCTTCCACCCTACCATCTCTGATAATGCTTCTAGTCTCGACTCTGTCCAATCCAACAGCCCTTGAAGCACCACTCCCCACCTAGGAGATATGCAACCAATGAAGCACTCGGTCTCAAAATCCATTGGTCCTGTAGTACGAAATCTTCTCGGACCCGTCGGATCTTTCTTTTCGAGTGCCGGGTTAATGAGGTCAAGAAACGTTAGCGGGGCGGCGGCGTTAACAAGGTGGGTTGGTATTGCGAGTGTAATCGTCTCGAGGTGTGGAAAGACGAAGAGAATACCACAGTTGAGAATGGATCCCGCCAAGAAGAAGTCTGCAAAACCCTTTGCATTGAAGGACAGATGTTTGACAGGGGCAAGGAAGCTGAGATCATCAAGTTCCGTCCGGAATGTCTCAAAGAACTGCTCGTCCCTCCACAAGGCTTCTCGTTGTGAGATACCATCCAAATAGAAGGTGTCGATCTCGGTATCGACATAGACAATCGGCTCTGGTCCAGGTGGACACCACCATTGCGGATCAAAGAAAGGCTTGTACTTCTTCAGGGCGATTTCGCGAGACTCTCGGCAAGTGTGGAGCATTGCTGGAGGACGCTGGGCAGAGATGACATGATTGATCTTCGAATTGTGTTTCAAATAGATAATCCGAGGTCCTGGAAGCGCGCTTCTCCAGATTTTGAGTCTTATCTCAGTTGGTAGGAGCCGGAAGAGTGCGCATTCGATAGCTGGTGTCGATTTGTCCAAGGTGGCACGAAGGTTGAGGATTTCCCATTCTGGAGAGAGTATACGGTCTGTTTGTGTAATCTTCAGCAATTAGCTAATGACTTCATGTCTCTCAAAGGTGGACTCACAGATCCCTTCACCTTTCTCGCGAACCATTGGTCAAAGTCCGTGGCTAGCTCAGGACCACTGTTATACGATGTCGCCATAGTTGACGACTTCATGACTAGACGCATAGGCTCACGCGACAAGATAATACCCTGTACTGATGGATAGTAGGTAAAGGAGTCCTTTGGTCGTTGATAGAAATTTGGAAGAGGGATGGAAGTCGATAAGGTGGTGACAATTACCCGAGATCGGAGCCTTCCTTTCTTCCACTTTAGCGTATGGAACAAAACACCGAAGAGATCAAAAGTTTCAAAAAGCTTCTATTAATCATTATCATTAACGAAGTTTATGCCATGATCTGCTATAAGCCGAAAATGCATTGCCTCATTATGTAGAAAGACTTTCGCCCCTCAATCATGCAGCAAACCCATCAAACTCCCGAAAATGCACGCAGAAAAACCAAAAATGCTTTTACTGCCCAGTCTTTTCTGGCCAACTTCCAATTCACCCAACCTAGGAAAATATTACATCGAAAGCTGTCCAGAAAGTCAGTCCCAAGCAAGTTGATTTCGAGTGAAAGTGATTAGTCTGAGATCCGATTGATAGTGGCATTCATGCTGGGCAGTTTGCAAGAGGTGCCTGCTGCGTCATCACAAGTCAGGGTGACATTAGCATCGGAGAAGTACACAACCATATTGAATGGTGGTGGGTAATGACTGTGGTCCAACATTAGTAGTGCGGATTGGTAGATGTAAAGCACTTACACAGGGTCGGAGAACTCATGAGCGAAACGGAGGCCGAAGCTAGTGAGACTGGTGATGGTTGTAAATTGCCATTCGAAGAATCCCTCGTCGGCAGTGGGGTCGCACAAAATGTAGGACATTGGAGCGGTGTTGCTGCCGTTAGTCGTGGTGATCCAGGAGGAGCCGCAGGTAGTGTTGGTACCGTTGGAGTTTGGGTCGGTGAATTTGACTAGGGAGGTGTTAGCTGGTGCTTGTAGAGTGGACGAGGAAAGCTTACACGAGAGAGTGTGGTTGAAGGTTGAGTTGCCAGGAAGAGCAGAAGTGAGAAGGATCATGTTTGAGATCTGTTCATCGAATTAGCACTGTGTAATGGAACCCCCAAGGAGCTAGGAGCCACAGAGCTGTTTTGCTTGCCAAGACAGATGTTCAAAAGCCATGATAGCTCCCAAATGAGCTCCATGGCTCTCTCCTCAAGGGGCAATAGATAAAGGCATGATATAAGAATAAGCCTACCTGGAAGTCTGCAAAGATGACGCGATCGCTCAAGCCCGTGTTTTGTGCAACATTGGTAACAGGAGCCTTGGGCAAGGCACTGGAGGCCATGGCGAAGCCAAGCAAGATGCCGACAACTTGAAGGAGATACATGATGTCTTGTTTGGTTGGGTTTGGTGAGGGATTTTTGTTTTGCGAAGAGGCTGCAAGGGAATTGCCAAGGTGCTGCAAGGGGGTTGAGGTTGTGATGTTGAAGACAGGATTGGTTGGGAATTAAACAGAAGTGACGAAATTCTAGGGCTTGTGCGGAGTGAAAGAAAGTTTTGCTCGACAAAGACCGACTTCGGACAGAAACAGGCGAAGTGAGTCTGGTAAATAATTGACTGAGGACTCTGGAAGAGCCAAGCGATCAACTTTAACTGCAAGCAACCGTGCCACTTATTTTCCGAAGTGAATGGCGGCTGAAAGAGGGTGTCCACTCATCCGAAGCTTGGAGCATAAGCAAACTTCCCTTCAAGGCGAAAGTGGTGGACACCATCCAATCAAGTACTCGAGAGTGAGGCACAGCGATGGTTTGGATATCCATGATGGCCATGGGCCATGGGTACCGAGATGTTCTGCGTCTGCCGGCAACTCGGTGATTTGTTCCTGAAGATCAAGCCCGTCATGCCTGTTTGCGCCAGGGGTAGCCAATAAAGACAACGATCGGCCTCGCTGGCGATGGGCAAGCGAACAGAGGTCATGAACCTGAAACACCGAGGTCGTCTATTTTGAGTCTTTGACTTGGAGACTTGGAGTCCGCCAAGCGAGGACGCGGTGCTGGCTTGCCAAGACCGACGCCGACCCCTGAAGGAAAAGAAAGGGGTTGTCTTCGGAAAAAGGAGAGCAGAGGGCAAGCCAGCCGTTTATCTCGGGCCTCTCGACTTCCGGTCCGAGGCCAGGTGCTTCCCCAGAATCCCCACGTCGGACGAGTACGAGAAGGATCAATAAAAATAAAATAAACTCTGCATCTGCATCTGCATCTGCAGCTGAGGCTGTGTCTCTCGCCAAGTATTTGCGGAGCTTCCTTCCCGCACAACTAACGAATAACTTTATCCAAGATTTCCCATGATCGGATTCGTAGGGGAGCAGCCACTTCTCACTTCCCACTTCCTCTCTCGTGGAACGGGTACTTGCAGCCTTGCAGGTCTCGAGCACACCGTTGCAAGGCGATGGCGCTGCCACATTTTTGGGTCTCTCCATGTCCCTGACTGGATGGATTGCCCAAAACCGCTGTGCATCCCCCGATGGATCCTGCCACACACACAATCGTGAAGCTCTGATCGAGGGCCGAGGGGCTTGGGCTCACGAACGACAATGCAAACGGAGAGATTGATTTCGATTCTCAAAGTGATGATCGTCAAAAGTCACGGGAGGCCCACGTTTTCTCAGCATGGACACGACTGGCTGCATACCCGAAAAACTATTTATAGACATTCCTTTCTGGGGCGTCATCATATGAAGCAGAAGGCGCTGGTGCTGGTAGTGGGGTCAAGAGATAGCCTCGAGAGTCGAGGTTGGGGAAAGGGGTAATGAATACAGGAGTCGAAGTGTTTGAGCCCCTTTCACGCAACAACAACAACGGCTTCTGCTTCTCCAGTCCTGGGACTTTGATGCAGGATCTGCTCGACACTCTCATGCCTCTCACCAAACGCACGACGATACTTTGCCTGTCACTGGGCGCCACTGGCTCTGCTGGTGCTTGTTTCGGGAAGCTGAAGGCTTTGGAGAGGCCCGCTAGAGCACCCCCCAATGAATGAATAGGTCCACTGCTGCCTCTAAAATCTATCTTACCGGTCAGCCCCGAAGATAAGACGGCTTGCAGACATCTGCGCAAAACTGTGGTTGAGGCAATTAAAGCAGCTCCTTGTGAAAAGTCCCAAAAGGTGCTGGTCGACGCTTAATAACTTTTGATACTCGTGATCAAGTGAAGGCTGGTTCATGGGGAAAGGATGACTGTGTCAACAGCTCCCGAAGAAGTAAAACGTTGCGTGCAGAACTCAGAACTCCTTCCCCTTCGTCTGTCTGAGCCTGTCAACTCCAGCCGCAACCCTCCCGCTCTTGGACGAATCCGAGGTTGATGATGAGCAACTCAGCCCCCCTCGCTCCCGCCGTGCTGTCCCAAAGTTCCACCCCTCCTCCCGTCTCGCAATTCTTGGCCATCACATCAACGAATTGAGAGCAAAAGCTATTATTATCTGCGTCGAAAACAAACACAGGAGCAATTCTGCAGTATCGTCATCTCTAGCCACATTGCTGAAGGAACTGTTTCGAAACTTCAAGCGGACCGGGTCTCCCCTCCAACACAGCCTGTCATCTGGGCTCGCAGCTTTAGCTCTCAGACTGCTGGCCACCTCGCGCCGAGCCCCACCACCGCTGGCTGTGCAGAGCTTCAAGCACCGCTCCCCTGATCCCTATTGAGCTCCGCGCACTATTGCGCTTCTTTTCTCAATGCCCTTTGGAATAAACAGGCATAGCAATCGTTCAAAGCAGGCGTTGAACGATACAGCCGCGCAGGGAACGGGCACTCCATCGAGCGGTTCTGCGAGTGAACTTACTGAGACCTCCCCAGTATTCGCGGACGAAGCCAGGACAACGCCCCAAGCCTTCAACCAACAACGCGCCGAGGGCCAACCTTTCGCTCCATCCCACATTGGACCGGATTCTGATAAACAACAGAACTCTGGGGATCCGCCAGCACGATCGCAGTCGACACGGTACGCCAGCGCCTATCAACCCCAAGGCTATCAGGGCGGCCACGGCGGTAAGTCCCAACTTCTCGGCGTATTGATCCCTCTTGGAGCAATGTCCAACAGCTCTTGGGACATTCTACTAGCAATGTCCAACAGCTGCTGGAACGTTGTACTATCGAGAACACCTGAGGGCAGCATGCTGACTTCGGTTTCTTGGGATAGGTTCCGCTGATGATTTGACCCTCGACTCGAGAAAGCATCCACAGCAGGGAGGAGCACAAGTATTGCAGCCTACTGCCCAACCACCTATACATAAGAAGAGCAAAAATATATTTGATCGTATGAGATCGGGGTCGAGTCGGTCGTCAGAACAGAAGCCTCCCCCGCAGGCCCCCTCCTACAACAACACGGCGGGACTCGCTCGCAGACTGTCGAAACGCCAGGAGAATCCTCCCGTTATTCGCACAGTGCAGCAGAGGAACTCCACAGAGCAACAGAGGCTCGACTGGTCCGCTGGACAAGACTCGAGGTCACACCTACCTTCACCGCAAGAACGCAGCGAGGACGAGAGTCAGCTCGATCCATACCTCATCCGAGAAGCAGGATCAGGGACTCCATATATCGCCCTCAACGAAGGAGGCTTGCAATCCATTCGACCCGTGCAAGAAGACACAGAGTTGCCGTTGCAGGGAGCAGACGAAGATCATCGTCAACAATTCGAGGCTCATCAACAGTTCTTGCGCGAACAGGCGCAGCAATATCACTCCGAGTCGGACTCGCAGCCTTATTATCAACAGAATCCGAGTCAACCACAAGTGAATATTGATCCATCTCCTCTGATAAGCGATCCCTATCGACAAAACCCCGAGACCGTGTCGCAGCTTTCCTACGACTCACCGACAGAGCAGGAACTGCGACCAGTCTCCGTGCAGTCAAACGGACAGTCGCCCACCGCCTACACGCCCACGGCTCAACGACAGGAGTTTCCAAGCCGCACCACATCAATTCAAGCTCCAGCTCACGCTCCACGACCTATCTCTCAATACGGTGCAATGGCCCCACCTCCTAGTGGGACGCAGCAAGGCCACAGGCCTAGAGATTCAAAGCAGCCATTGCCAGGCAATGGGCAGGGGCAAGGGCAACCAGAATCACGAGAGGGTCCCCCACCTGGTTATACCAGAGGACAATTCCCAGCGAACGCTCAGCCCCCAACTCCAGGGCTGACCCCATCAACATCGGCGGTTGGAGCCCAAGGGCCAAATTATAGAGGGGGACCACCACAAAGGGACCAGTATGGTCCACAGGGTGGTGGAGATCAAGGGCGGAGTACACCACCGCCAGCCCCAGCAGATCGTGATGTCAATGATGCATATAAAGAGCTATGTAAGTTAGAGTACCAAGATTCGTCTCGCAGGTACTGATTCTTCTCAGTGACGAAGTATAAGAAGGTCAAAGGCTTGTATTTTGACAAGACGGCGCAAGTCGAACAGCTACAGAATACACTGGCGAACCAGAGACTCTCACAATCTCGGACCTCACTCGATGACAGCGAATATATGACAAGATTTCAGCGCTTGGACGGTGCCACAACAAATCTTGCATTCAATATACGGAAAGATTGGCGGTCGATCCCACCTTGGCTAGTTCAATATGTCAATCAAGACGCTTTGAAAATAGGCAAGCAAGAAATGACCGCTGTGGGCCGGGCCGCCATTACCAAATTTCTCGTGGAGGAGGTTTTCAACCGGACTTTCCACCCAGGATTGGGTACAGAATTGAGCTTGAGCTTGAAGACTGTTGAGCAAAACATTCGTCGTTTCTCTCCGGCTCTGAACAACCAGGAGGAGTCGGATGCTCTGACCGCCAAGGTTGTGCAATGGAGGCTGGCAACCTTGGAAGGTCTCAAAGATGTCCTAAATTCACCAACAGCCGAAGAAAACAAAGAGCAATTCAAGCGGCTAGCCACCACAAACCTGACGGCTAGCTTGATTACCTACTTGCAAGAGCCAGTACCAGCTGGGATTGAAGATAGCGCGCACATGATCGTGGAATTAGCAGTCAGCATCGCAGCCAACTTGCCATTGGAAAGCAGAGATATTTCCATTGTGTATCCAATGCCAGGAGATATGCTGCAGCCTATGATCATGAAAGTCGAGACCGCTATTCCAGCCTTGGAGAATCCAGGTGTCGACAGCGATGCGGACGCTGCCAGCACTGGGAGCGGGGACAAAGACGATGCCTCGAAGGATGAGAAGTCTTCAGATGGGAAGAGCAGGAAGGAGAAGACCAAGAGCGGAATGTTGTCTGCCATGATGGGCGGAAGTTCCACCTCGACTGCCAGCAAGAAGAGTACTAGTTCTCAGGGCGGAGCAGAGACTAGTGAAGGGAAGAAGGCGTCTGCTGAAGATGGGGCTCAGAGGGTCCGCCTTGCTGGCTTTGTGGGCGTAGAGGTCAGGGGACGACAGGTGTTGGTCAAGTCTCCTGTTTGGACTGTGAGCTAGATTTTCTCTTCAACGGAGTAGAGAGCGGTTTGAAGGAGTGGATTGAAAAGCTGGGAATTGGAAATTGGAATTATTGAGTGATGGATGATAGTTGATGTGGATACGAGGTTATGAAATTCATATGATACCATTCTGTTGGTGATCAGATCAGAAGATATATTGAGATTACACATATTATTATGTTACCCCGTGTCTAAGCTTCGCAAGACCTGTCTTGCTTCAGTCTCTCTCCCTGTCACTTGAACTTCGCCACTTCGAGAGTGAGGTGTGCCTCGATCTCCGAGAGGTAGAGAGAGAGAGAGAGAGCTCTTTTCCTCCAGACTACCCCGGGTCGGCCAGGGAATCAAATGAAACCAGAGAACATCATGCAAAGCAGCACAGAAATAGTATCGTGAATCCATCAATTATGTGCACCTCATCCATCTCCAAATGAATGACTTTTCCACCTATATATCTCTCTCACACTCTCTGCCATGCTAACAATGCTTAATCTGGTATGAACTAAGAATCTAACATCTTCTATTCAACCTTCCAAACATCTCAAACAAAATAAAACAATGAACTCCGTCGCCATGATTGATGTGTGTAAATGCCGCTTCGCTCGCTCAATCGCTCATACGCTCAATATAGGACTTTTGCGTGCCACATTCCAGAAAAAACATAACATCCAGTCGTTTCTGCTCGCTCCGTTCGCACAGCAATGATTGCATTCCACACTTCAGGGAAAATGAACGTCTCATCCCCACCCAAGATTCTCCAACGTGCTTCGAGCATCACCTGCACTCATTCCACTGACTCCCAACGCTCTAACCTGCGTACCCTTTCTCAACCGCTGCAGCCCAACAGCAACCTTCCAGCTTTCCTCCTCGGTGATTACAAACACATACTTCTTCCCTTCTTGATCCCTGATGCTAGCCCTCAAGACGTGCAGTCTCGCCGTCTTCAATTCTCCAGTCTGGAAGGACACACCATGTTTGTCAGTTCTCACATTATCCCTAGAAGGCGACGACGAGCCAACAGAAGAACCATACGCGGAATCAGAGACAACAGAAGCGCGCGTAGAAGCGGAACTAGAACTATACGATGAAGACGCGGAAGACGCAGCACGAAGACGACAATCATTCTTGCAGAGTTGGAGCATGTCGGCCAGCAAGGCGTCGGTCTCCTCGGGGCTGGCAGGCTTCTCCTTATCCAATCCCCAGAGACGGCGGCCACCTCCCTTGAGAGGGGAGCCGTTGGAAGCAACGCGCGCAGAAGCAGAATGGCCAGCGGGACCCTGGCGGAAGGAGGGACACCATACCTCTACGAGTTTCATTGTCCATGCTTTGACGTCCCACTCTCGCTGTGGGACGCCGCGGACGTCATCATCGATGAAGAGACCTTCGGTTGTGATTCGGAGGATGAGCCCGTCCGTTACGGAGCCAACTCCGGAGACCAATTGTGATGTCGGTGTTTTCAGGAAGGCGTTGTTGAATGCATAGACGGCCTTTATAACAATCTTATCGGGATCTTTGGTGCTGTACGGACCTCGATGCGAAGGGGGAGGTGTGGTTTGAGATGTGGTATGTGAGGCCGCGTATGAGGATTCGGAGAATATCGAGGAGGGAGCTTTCTTGTGCGTCGGCTTCAGTTTGTCGTACGGTCGGTAGGAGTAGGACTCCTCTTCAGTCCCTACATAAGTCGTTGCTGATGGAGCGGGGGGGGGTCTCTTAGTAGGAGAGGGTTGAGTTGAACGAGTGGTTGCAGGAGATGGAGGCCGGCCTCTTGGCCAGGGGTTTGTCTTCTCGCCAACCGCAGAATACGCGTACGTACTTCCCCTTGGCTGTGAGTCTGCCTCTAGCTTTCTCTTTGCCTCGTCTTCCTTTCTCTTTGCCTCGTCTTCCTTTCTCTTTGCCTCATCTTCCTTTCTCTTTGCCTCATCTTCCTTTCTCTTCTTTGCCTCGTCCTCCCTTCTCTTCTTTGCTTCATCCTCCCTTCTCTTCTTTGCTTCATCCTCCCTTCTCTTCTTTACCTCATCCTCCTTTCTCTTCTTTTCTCGAGCCTCGTCCTCTTTCCGCTTAGCCTCGTCTTCCTTTTGCTTCATTTCTCGAGCTTCTCGTTCGCGAGCCTCCTTTTCTCTGGCTTCTTTGAGTCGTTTTTCGAGGTCTTCCTTTCGTTTCCTCTCGGTTTCTGCCTTTTTTCGTTCTTCCTCTTTTCGTTTGGTTTCTTCTCGGGCTCTTTCCCATGCGCCCCTTGCTCCGCTATTGGCATTCGAACTGGCGCCTGTTGCACCAGGTGGGGGTGGATTTGCTCGTTGCCAGGAGGGTTTTGGTCCTGCGGTAGAGCCACCGCCGGATGTCGAAGGTTGTGGTCCAGCCCCAGGTGCAGAGCCGTTCGCATACCCGTTGGATTGTGAGTTTGTGTGTCCATCTGCGTGCCCGTTTGGTGGTGGGCCAGCGCTGTAGTTTTGGGCGCCTCCCCCTGGTCCGGGGCCGCCGTCTGACTGTATTCGTCCCAATGCCCAAGCACCAACTCCAATTGCCACAATCAGCATCAACATGCCCACCCCCCCGGATCCCTTTACACTATTCCACCATGCTTGAGCTGCAGGTGCCAATGCAGAGCCGATCACAACGAGTATAAGAGCTGAGGCAAAGCCTGCAGCGAAGCTATTGACGTTGGGTTTCAGCGAAGGCAGGTATAAGAAGCCCGAGCCGGAAGAATGTGGAGGTATTATAAAGATATCGTATTTCCCTGGGGGTAGGCCTGAGCCTTTTGGTTGCTCTCCGTGTGGAGGCGGAGGTGGAGGATTCATCGTTGCTCTGTGGTGCTACACCAGCTCGGGACGTTGTGTACCAGCTTCAACGGTCGTTATGTACAAGACGAAGGCGTCAATTCTCCGCTTCGGTACTCGAATAAGATTAGGGGTATCGCAGAAGATCGTGAGGAGGTCATAAGGTCGTGAAGGAACTGCCATGGGATTAGCTGCTGAGTTTTGCAACCGGCGAACGAGAGTAAACAACGCACCTCGAAGCAGACAACGGACAAGAAGAACTGACAGGCTCGCAGGCCGGAACACAACTCCAGACGCCTCTATGATACAAAAGATGGCGGGCAACAAAGGTGTATCGGAATCCGGAGGTCGTGGTCGAAGTTGTGGTCGTCGTCGTTTGGCAGGTCGAGAGGTGTTTACTCTGAAAAAAAGGCCGCTCGCTTCCACGGCCCCGGCCGAGCTAATCTACCTGCAGCGCGATAAAGCAAGCAGCCCTCCACTCGAGTCGAGTCTCTCTATTGGAGGCGTTTCAAACTACCCGACGAACAAAATTACTCGTTCTTCAGCCAGCAGGGAGCCCGGAAGGGTGGAAATGGTACGAAGAACAATCTCCCGAAGACGAGGAGATCACACACAGCTCACGCTCTCCACAGAAGGTCCGAGAGTGCCGTTTTTCTTTTGTGCGCTGCGCGCTGCGCCCGCGCCTGGCCACTCACAGCAGCTGTCTACCAGCTCGACTCGTCCTCCCAGTGGCAAAACAAATGTTTACACCCAGCGCCCAATACCTCAGCAAAGGCACAATGTGGCCGCGTTGAGAGGTCACGACATTGCAGGAGCTCCACTCTGCACAGCGAATTATGGAGTTTGTGTCACCGTTCCAGCCAGCGTTGCATCCGCGCCTGCAGACGGACGGCTCTCGAAATGGAAGCACCCAAAGCCTTCCAAGTCACACGGCAGACAGGGGAGCACAATGTGCAAGGGGACGGCCCGCCTCTAGGAGCAGAGGGATGGTGCCTCCGGCGCCGGATTGGCTCCCCCGGCGCGTCAGGGTTGGGCTCGCAAAGTCGTGTCGTTGCTGGGCAACGGGATGCCATGACGTGTATATTGTAGGGAGAACGAAAGGGAACAGTATGGCAGTTCAAGGGGCTGAAGGAGCGGGGATGAAGTCATGGTTTGCTGTCGATACTTGCTGCAGATCATTACAGTACTCTACATTATCGTTCAACGGTTTGGGGATACCCAAGTGCCGATCGAAGCTGTGGACTTGGTGAACTCTATCTTTGCTGTTGATTGGACCAGGAGTATTTGGAACATCTTGCCCTCGTGTCCTGTCAATGCCCGAGAGCATACGGTTCATTGTATTCTGTCAATGGTCGAGAACCAGTCAGTTGATTGTGCTTGTTAACCTCCGAGTTTCCTTAAGTCTTGCTACATTCACAGTATATTAATATTCGAGGGCTGACCAGTATAATGTTCTTATAGTGATGGGACATTCGTTCGTAAAATCCATCGATTTCATTTATGCAAGCATTATGGTATTCTCGCGCAACGCCTTAATGTCCATCTATGGAGTCCATGGCAATGTTCCAGGCAACGCCAGAATTATGCAGAGCCATATGGTAGAAGCAATGGGCAACTCCTATGCTGTAGTATTCTTACACATCGATGCAGGTCCAAATATCTCCCTGGACGTCTGCAGAGTTATGTGGAAAATGAAATGAAATCCACTCCAATTTTTGTGTCGTCCCAGCGAAGCCTAGGAAAAGCTTCAATTCCAATCAGTATGCACCGAACCTCTATGCTTGTAATTCCACCCGTCGTTGAACGTCCAACCTGGCGGCCGACATTCTAATTCCCTCGATCCATCAGATGCCTGAACCGTGTTGCTTGAAAACCCAAACAAGGTCACCCTCCAAATGACGCAATGCAGTATCAAAGACCGCCTTGATGTCTTGGGTCAATGCTTGTTGCTCCGGACGCGCGAGATTAACGAGTTTCTCGGTGTCCAAAACCTCCCTGAATCCAGTAGCGATGAAACTGCAATGCTCCTTCAAGGGGTCAGGTTGAGGACCAGATCCTTGAGACGCCATTGCTTCCAAAGCAGTAGCCTGCAGAGCAGCTGCTGGTTCAACAACTACAGCCTGCTTGGGCTGTTGGATCTCGTGCATGGCTACAATGGGGGCCTGACCAGTGCCCATATCGGCAATAGGAGCAACAGCAGTGGTCTTCGCGCCAACTTCAGTGCTCATACTAGCAACAGGAGCAACGGTCGTGGTCTTTGGTTCGGCTTCCTCCATGCTGAGACCGTTGTGGATAGAGACATCCTGGGCCTTGGACTTCGTAACTTCGCCGGTTTCAGCAGTCTTTCTGGCCGTGCTCTTGAGAGGGGGAATGGGGTTCTTGATATTGGGTTTCCGAACAGGGCCAAGGCTAGTCGCCCGTACTTTTGGGCCGCCAGCATCAACAACAATGGTGTTACCTTCAAGTCCTGGAAGGTTCTCCTTCAAAATACCAGGGGAGAGACCGGCAAGAGCTTCCTTCGATGCGTCAACGGTACGAGTTGGAGAAATCGTAGGCTTCGGAGTAATGGTATTGGTGATTTTCTCGTTTGCATCTGTGGAAGGAGAAAGTGGTGGAAAGGTTCCGAACAGCTTCTCGTTCTCAGCTTTATTCTCTTGCATGAGCTTGTTCAGCTCGGCCATTGCAACGTCTTCGTCGTCGCCTGAGAGATTCTTCGACAAAGTCAGTTGATCTTCGGCAGTGAAGAGCGATGGTTAAAGACTTACCTTCGAGGTGTCAAGTGGCTTAAGTATCTCATCTTCGTCGTTGGAGAACAGTCCCTGCAGCAGTATTAGTAAATCTTGGACAATGAGCAATGATAGTCGAAGAACCTACACGGAGTGGTATGACCGGCTCACCGACTAGGTCATTATTGACAGTTTCGTGCTTTAACAGAGTCAGTTTATGCAGACCCTGATAGGGAATAAGTCAGGATCTTACACCTTGAGTCTCAACAGGATTGCCTGCCAAGTTCTCCTCCTTTCTATTCTTCTTCTCAGGTGGACCGCGCTCTTCCTTTCCGTTCTCCTGCACCATCTTAGGAGGCAGCGGACGTTTCTTTGATGCTGGAATAGGGGAAACCTCGCCATCAAGAAAGCCAAAGACGCTCTTGTGGACTGACGATTTTGAAGTTCCACTGTCATCGACAATTGTCATCTTGATGGCAAGACCTCGTGTATGTGGCTTCACGGTTTGATCAATATCGACTTTCTTGGAAGTAGGAGAGCTGCCGAAGGTAAATGGAGGCGGAATGGTCTTTCTAGGAATGACTAGGTCGTTAGGAGTCTTGAAGGTAGTTAGCAGAAGATCTCAATGATAGGTAAATAACGTGCCTTCGGAGTTCCCACCGTCTTCTTGACAGGCTCAGTTGCCCTACGTCTCAACTTCAACTTCGTCTCAGTATTTTCCCTTTCTGCAGAGCTACCATTACTGCCACCCTGCACTGCCTTGGTTGCTGCTTCTTGTGCCAACAAGTCCTTCGCAATCTTGGCAGTGTGACCGAAGGACAACCTGATTGGGGCTCCAGTTTCATTCTTGCACTCACTTAGGAAGAGACCTTGTGCAGCCGCTAGTGTCGTACGCCGGGAAATGGTTCTGATGTTGTAGATCGCATTGTTGCCCAAGTCCTTGGCGGGCTTTATGACTGCAGGGATGATACTATCGAAGTCCGTGATGTTCCAGGTCTTCAAGATTCCTGCGATAGCTGAGTCTCTGGACTTCTGCGTACTCTCATTGCGCTCGCCGAGCTAGAATACAGTCAGCGCCAGGTATTTCTGATAGTGAGCAAAGATTCAATGTTTGCAAGGAGGCGGAAATAATCAAAATCGAGTGTGTCAATTTTCGATGATTGTTCTCCGGGAAACACAAACAAGCGAAATCGAGACTGTTGATTTCGAATGTTTCAAGTGTTCCCGAGAAAGCAGGAACATTCAGAATCAAGGTCTTCAATTTCTGGAGGTTCAAGTACCCAAGAAAAGACGATCGTTTAGGAGAATACTTGCATACCTGCTTGTAGCCACCCTTGGCAGGAGCGTCCCCTTCTGCCATTTCGTTTGCTGTGATCGGACGAAATTGGAGGTGAGGCTTTGCCCTTTGCGCTGATGTAGATGTTAGCCAAAGGTGACCGTCTGAAAATTCCGCGGAAAATGGATAAACGCTTCAAAGGCCGGCGGAAAGCAAAAGATATTGTGCATTTCAGGGGGGGAAACAAGTGACCGTTGTGCACATGGGCGGAAAGGAAGGTAATGTGTGAGGCAAACGTCCCATAGACAGGAGGTTAAGGGAGTGGTTGTGCAGAAGATGGGCGGAAAACAAGGAGCAACTGTCCCATAGATGCGCGGAAAGCAGGTTGGAAAGAGAAGATATGACTGCTTACTTTCGTCCGAGGTCTTGTGGGATGTTGGCTAAAGGCGATGTTCTACTAAATTTGTCAGATTTGTAGAATGTTCGATAGTCGAGTGGTCGATTGAGAAATGCAGAGACTGACCCCAGCTCTGAAGGGCAGGTATGATGGTAGAATCGTTCCTTCCTCGTGGGAAGGCGTGTTGGCAGGTTGCGGAAGAGGCGCAGGTGGGCAAGATCGACGATGTTAGAGTCCGAAGAATCTATGGAGAGTCACAGATCTTTAGTAAAGTTAGCTTGGATCATTCTCAAAAGTGAATTGCTTAGCGAAACGCTAGCCTCATCTGGACTGTGCACGAAAGGGGGAGGCCCGCGTAACAACTTCGGCGATTGGGCATTAAGGGGGGCGATTGCGCAATAACTTCGGGTAATTGATGCATTTAGGGGTACTGGTTACTTACCGCTTTTTTGTCAATGTCTGGGAGACTCTGTGAGATCAAAAGAAGAGGGGTGGTTGAGGGAAACCATGGGAAGGTGATAAGGCTAAATAAAGGGTGAAAGGGGAGCATGCAACTCACCTTCTCCAGGAACCGTCAAACCTGACTCGAGACTGAAGGCGAAGTGAACAAGAACAGAGGATACTTGCGCAACACTTGGCTTATTGTATGGAGCCAGAGTCGAACAATCAGGAGGAAGCATGGATCGGCTGTGTTGGTGCAGAAGGGAGATAAAAGCTGATGTCACTTGAGTTGGGAAGATGGGAAGTTGGGGCGCAAGGAAAAGCCTTGATGTTTAGAAGGCGAAAGGTTCGAGCTGAAGGCCAGCAGTGCACAACCGGTTGCTCTTCCCTACTATTGCTCAAGTCATCTTCAAACCTTCGAATGTCCCAAAGCAACCTTGATAGACTGAGAGGCAGAAGAACTGTTTCAAAATTGAGCGTTAATCCTTCCAGATCCTAGGGTTGACCTGAAGTTTTGTGTCACCCAAGTTTTCAAATTCCTGCGAAGACTACAGAAGTGCATTGAGCAGTGTAGTGGTTTTTGGGAGAAAGATTTTAGCTCCATACCCCCACAGATGTGGCGTGAGTACCTGAGGACTGATTGCCATTAATTCCAAGAATAAAAAAATAAGTAACTTTGTTTAAGTATCGTGTTCAAGGATACTGCTGCTTTGACCCTAATGAGCACCGATGTGGATAGAATCGCTCTTACACCTGAGAAGAACCACGAAATCTAGGCTAGCGCTATCGAAACAGCTGTTGCAGTCTATCTCTTGGAGAGGGAGTTTGGCTGGACTTGCGTTGCACCCGTTGTCCTTGCCTTATGTAAGTGACCACAAAATGTTTTGAGGGAATTCAATAACCAACATTCAGGTATAGTGTGCACAATGGGCAACTCATGGGTCGCAAAAGTTATCCCAAGTCGATTGAAAGTATGGAACCAATCTATACAAAAAAGAGTCTCAATGACATGGAGGTATGAAAGTCGTAAAAATGTTGAATTTCAGCAGCACCATCCTCGAGACGGTGCAAGCTACTCGAATCGCAGAATTGAAATCATCTGCTGCTTTCCGAACATTTATTGCAATCATGAACACCATGTGTGAGTCTTTCTGGGCTAGTTCCCTCATTAAATGCTGACATCTTAAAGCGACGATCCCGAAGAATTTATCATCACCTTTTGCATTTACGATCTTCGTCTTTTCATCAAGATATAACACCGAACAAGGGTTCTCTGCAAGTCAAGCTTTTACAGCCTTGGCAATTATTGAGCTATTGACAACACCCTTGAGCACTGTTTTTGACCTCGGTGCCTTCCTTCACTGCCGCTATAGGGTACTTTGAGAGAATCCAATCTTACCTTCTCACCGATAGCTGGCACGACGACCGACTGGTCATAACAGCCGCAGTACTGGAATTCTATGCTCAGATGCAATCGACACATCAGCAGATCCCGGTCAGGTTGAAAAAGAAAATAATCCAGAAAATAATCTGCCAGTTCCTGGCGAGGATTTGGCAGATATTCTTTGGTATTTGAACAAGCACCTTTCGCCTACTCCTCCGAATTGGAGCCCACCTTAAAACACCTGAATGTAAAACTCGAGACTGGTACCTTCACAACTATAGTTGGCCAAGTCGGAGGTGAGAAGACAAGTTTCCTGAAAGCGATTCTGGGGGAAATGATGATAAAATCCGGCAAACTGCACATACAAGGCTCAGATATTATCTTTTGCCAGCAGGTGCCATGGTCACCCAACATTACCTTTCGAGAGATTGTCGTTGGGCAGGCACCCTACGATGAAGTATGGTACACCACAGTTATTCAGGCTTGTGTTTTGGAAGGAGATATTGAGTTGCTTCCTGATCGGGATAGAAATATCATTGGAAGCCGAGGGATCACACTCAACGGGGGACAAAAGCAACGACTTGCTCTTGCCAAAGCCGTATACGCGAGAAAAAAGATTATACTGCTTGACGATGTTCTCAGCGCACTTGATATCAAGACAGCAAATCTGGTTTTAAATCGCTTACTGGGTGAGGAGGGAGTATTGAGAAAGTTGCAGATCACTGTGGTTGGGGTATCCCATGCTGGTAACTTCTTATGTTTGCCAACTTGATTCTTCACTAAGCTAACTTTTCCAAGTCTACTATCTTGCTTCAGCAGACAACATCATTGTCTTTGAGAAGGGAGTGGTAACCCAGCAAGGACCATTTACCAAGCTAAATAAAGTGCAAGGTTCTGTCCACGATTTGATGCTCGAACCACAAGAGGAGAAGGGCAATTCAGATAGTGGAGAAGTCTCACAACCCCAGCACCCAATTCAACGAAAATTGGCACAAGTTGATAATATAGGAAAAGACAAAGCTAAAAGGATTGGAGATCTTTCCGTCTATGCATTTTACTTCAGATCAATTGGTTTCACTAGAGGCTTGGTGTTCCTTCTGACTGCTTTGCTCTTGGTATTCTCCCAGCGATTCTCCCTTAAGTATCGTCTTTCATGCTTCAAGAAAACCACCTACTGAAAGCCCCACTAGATATTTGGCTTCAGTTTTGGACTGAAGCCGATGGTGCTCGTACTGGCATGTTTCTCGGTGTGTATTTCTTGCTTGCTGTTGCAGCGAGCCTCACATATGCATCTTCATTTTGGTATGGCCACCCTGAAAAGTGCTCAGAATTACTCTAGAACTATGTAACTAATTTATGGGTGGATGGTGATTATCATGCTTCCCGAATAGGAGGCAAAGCTCCATCGACAGGTTTTATACACAGTCCTACAGTAAGAGCGTTTGAAACTGCCGATTTCAATCCCGTTGAAGTGTAGCTGACACTTTTGCAGCGCCCCACTGTCGTTCTTTACTACCGTTGATTCTGGCACAATCTTAAATATGCGAGCTCCTCCATGATAACAATAAGAACCGCGCATATTGACTCGTGCGCCAAAGATTCAGTCAAGCATCGGTCTCGTTAGCGGAGCGAGAACTCGGTAAATAGCTTCAAGAATTCCCGATTAAGCACGTAAATATATATCCATAACCACCACACCTAAAATTAAGATTTTTAATTCATTTAAAAGCCCCAGATTTGCCCTTTCTAATAATAAAAGAATTATTTAATTATATTGAGGTTTGATCATTTTCTATTTATTATAAATCACTTAATGTCCTTAGGTAATTTTAAGCGCAACTACCCCTTAAACTACGGTTGCATTATGGCGCAACCGCAATTGCACCACACCCACCGCGGTGCAGTATATCTTCCATTAAACTAGACTATAGCTATATTAGACCGCACCACTGCGGTGGCACCGCAGTGGCACTGGACTGAGGTCACACTATTCCCTACCCTGGTCCTTTATTACAAGGCAAATCAAAATACGACATTTAAGTCAAGAGAATCGCTAGAAAGGGGCTTTGGAACCTCCGGCGACAGTAACAAAGTAATAAGGAGGGGCCTGGGTAGCACAAATAGTGTGATGGGGATATAAAACAAGTAGTAATATATATAGATAATGGGCTTCCACAGCGTGGGATCACAGCGTACGAGTGAGACGTGAAATTAGTGAGTGAAGGTTGGTTGATTTCTAAAACAGAGGAGGAAAGAGGGGTAATATATAAGCGGGTTGCGGACTGCGGACGTTGAAGATCCACAGAAGAAATAGGCAGAAGTGAACCGTGTACCAGGTCGACGAATTACCAGGTCAAATTCACGTTACATAGGAACACAAGAGGTTTCTAGAATTACGATAAATTCCAGAAGAGAAGCGTGAAGCTCGTAGAAGCTTGGGAGCGAGGCTAAATACCGTATTCCTTAGCGCCATAATTAAGCGAAACGTGTGCCTGAGGCTTAAGAAAATTTCCCTCACAACGTTCGGACGTCACATGACAGAGCCACGTGACTAATGGTGATAAAATCCTCACCACAATAGGAGTGTAGGGAGGAAAGGGACCTTTATATTAAGGAAGTGGGAGGCCCTAGACTAAGCTATATTAGAGGACGGTGTCCGCAGACGTACATAAAAGAGATTAAACGCATGGAGTACGGGTAATCACATTTGGGCCGGTCCGCCGGCCGTAAGTCTGTCACAGCACAGTTATTTAAAGGAGCAAAACAGGAGGGACAAGTATTGAACTTCCACCGGAGTCCTTTTCGAGGACTTTACTCTGAGGAATAGGACTTGCTTAGAAGCCTGTATATACTACGTCTATATAGCGCTTCTGGCAGCTAAATGACCATGGAACACAACCCCCCCCCTTCCTACCCTCCGCCAGCTGCATCTCCACCTGTTCTCGACTCCGCTTCAGGCACTTAGTCAAAGACCCCAGGGCAAATCAGAAATAGCGCAGCAGACTCGCATCGTAACCCGGGAACACCGAACACTCTCTCATCCAATTTCAAACACCATAATCCTCACATCCCATTTGCTGAACTCTTTCAGCCATCATGCCTTCTCCCTTTCCTCCCCCGTCGCTTACTCTTGCTCCAACCATTTCCGCTAAGTTCTCTTACTCGCATCTTCTTATTTTCATGAGCAGACATCAGTTCTCTGGCTCCTGGCAATGAGATCTTCCTCATAAACACTTCACCAAATACTACACTCACCGAACACGCTTCCTCGTGATATAGAGCATTAGCCCTTCCAGGTAAACTCCGCAAATCCGTACACCGGTGATGGGAAACTCTCATTAGTTCACAGTTAAAGACTGGTTGGTCTTCTGCTTGGCTGAACCGTACTTCCCGCCACCACTCATGATAGCCCGGAACACAACAAGCGTTGGGGTCAGCTCCATGCTCCAGAAGCAGCTTACAGCCCCGTAACCAGGGAAGCAGATTGACGAAATTGCTCTCTTGCGTTTCTTCCATGGTGTTCAGGATATGAAGGAACGAGACTGTGCACCCCCAAATAGACAAGCCTCTATATGATGCATTGGGGTTACAACCAAGGCATAGGAGATGTTCGATTACGTTGAAGTCGGGGACTGGCGCTCTCTCGACTGTATCTCTAACACACCAAAGCTCCAAGCCAAGAGCGTACGCAAGGAGCGAGTGACTTGGTGTGTGACGCGAAAGTGCCGAGGTTGATAATCTGGTATCGGCATACCACCTGAGTAGACTCCACATGACCTTGGGAAAGATATCAAAGGCGTCTCCCTGCCATTTTCGACGGCAGTATTCATTCTCATGCCGCCACGGATCATTGTTGATTGATCGTACCAGCATTTCTCCAATCCAATAAGCACCAAGTGATCTGCCAAGCTCTTCGAGTAAGAGAATTTGCGGTTTCAAGTTCAATGGAGCCAGCGTGCTAACTCTTGTGAGTGCTTTTATGCCACCGTCGTAAATAGATCTGAAAGTCAACATTCTTTCTGTGGTCTTCAGTTCCAAGACATCCGCTACTAGGAGCGCGGTCTTGGCATTGAAATCAATGTGTTTGGTATGCTGAAGCAAATCATTCCAAATGACCTCCTGCTCCAAATAGTCCCTTACTGTGCGGTGCAAGTAAGAAACCCGTGAAAGAGTGTATTCACTTCCATCCTCGAATCTTTCACCCTCCGCGGGGGAACTTCGAGAACAATCTTCAATATCAAGACTGTTCGATATCTGCTCGGCCCCGTGAATCATCTCATTCTCCTTGACAGAAAGAGAATATTTACTTCCATCCTCGAATCTTTCAACCCCCGCGGGGGAACTTTGAGAACAATTTTCAATATAAGAACTGTTCGATAGATGCTCGGCCTCGTGAATCATCTCATTCTCCTCGACAAAAGCAGTTGTAGTTGGCAAATTCGAGCGGTCTTCGTGATAAACCATTCGTTGGAGTTGTGCTGTTCCCACGGGATATATGATTGTTCCAGAGTCCACCCAAATATTGGACCACACTTTGGCTACTAGAGGTAAATGTGTTGTTGAAGATAGGATCCTGTCATGCCGGGGGATGTCTTCCTCGTAGTGGAGAATCTCCAGTAACCCCTTCGACCGGCTGTTGAGCCGCACTGTCATCCTTTCTATCCCCATCTTGGTCTTTTTTCCCTCCTCTTCAGAATAGGTTGTCTTAATTGGCAACTCCAAGGATTGCCGGTATCCATCAGGTCGAAGTGTACGCTCTAAAGTGGGGACATCTAAGCAGTGCCCACTTTGACGGAAGATTTGAAACATTTTCGATGCTTCCTCTCTATCCAGAGGATCGATGCTCTTGAGCATGTGGCCGTAAAGATCTCCGAGATCTGAAGGAAGACTTTCTAGACGACGTCGTAGATGAGAAATATCGTCTCCGCTACGCAGACCATTGACCAGGGATTTGACAACCAAGGCGACCCAGAGGAAGACTCCAACTGCCTTTTCAACTATTTCTTCGATGAGTCCACTAGCACCTTGTGAATCCATCAGAAGGAACCGTTTCATAGGTTTACTCTTTCCAAGTTTGTCGCGAATAAAGAGCACAATGTCATCGCGGGTCAGGTCTTGCAATTGTAAACGAGGAACTCCTTCATAAATGTCATGAAAGTCAGGCCACGGCCTGCTAGAGACGCAGAACTTAGCATAAGGCGAGATTTCCGACAGATCTAGAAAGAACTGTGATATATCCGCTGGGTCCCCATCATACTCGTCCAGGCCATCAACAAAGAAGCAGAACCTTAGACTTGGATCTGCGAGTTTGACCAGCTTTTCGAAAGACGTTTCTAGCTCGACGAGGGACCACTCCTCAACAGAAATCTCCAGATCGTGAGCTGCTAAAACAGATATTTTCTCCCACTGTGATGCAAACACTTCTGGAATCAAATCTTGTCGAGTTTTTAGTACTTCGTATAATAAAGAGCGTAGTAGACCTGATTGTGATCGTTGGTCCGGAACACCACTATTCCAGAAGAAAAAGGCGGCGACAAGCAGTCGTCCGCCTCTAGCCCATTTACCAAGATACTTTAAGGTCCGAGGATTGTTCCAAATGAAATTCATCAGTGTTGACTTCCCAGAAGCCGCCTTCCCTTGAATCCAATAGGTTCCAGCACCGACCGATAGCCACTTTGCAAAGTTACCCCATGGTTTGTGATGACGTTGTGGGTCTTCGAAGATCCACAAGAAAGTCCGTTCATGAGCTCGAGCGAGTTTATGGTAACGGTCGTTCATCATAGGAAATCTGAGGCTGTCGAGAAGAGCCAACTGTACTCGATTTTTCCGTTTCTCGCCTTCCATATATATAAAACTTGCACGAGTCTTTGCGTGCTCTTGTTTCTGTGATGTCGTGAATGCCTCGATGTGCTTTTGAAGCTCTTCACTGTGCGCCAGCCCTGTATGGAGGATGGATTGTATGATACGTTGGATGTCGTTGTGGAGCTTAGAGAATCGACTATCCTGAGTAATAGAAATTTCTTCAATTTTCCCCCTATATTGAATTAGACTTAGGATCTATTGAATTAAAGGGTGGAGGGGCGATTGGGTATGTGTACTTGCCTCAACAGAGCTAAGACATGGGTATCAAGTTCCTCCCTCAAGACTGAAAGCCTTCTCGCCATCTCGTCAACTCCACTTTTTGACCATACGGATTTGAGGGCATGTCGAAAGCTCTTCCATTTCCGGTGTTCTTGTCCTTTAGGAACTTTGAGATCTCGCAGATGCTTCAATAATTCAGCAGATATAGCGGCACATTCTGTGTAGATCTGTTGTAGCGACAACTTGCGCTGCTTCTCCTCTTCTACCTGTTGAAGGTATTCCTTTCGCGCCTGCCATTGTCGTTCCTGTTTCAGGCTCAGCTCATCTGCATCCTCTGACTCTGCTGCCGCCCATGGGACCGGGGCTTGCACCTCAGGTCAAGGCGCAGAGGCAATTTGGAACGAATTATACAAATTGTGTGCCAAAGCCTGGAGACGCTTTGTCACCGTCTCGGTCCATTCGTTCTCAGATAGAGCTCCGCTAGGCGATGTGTAAAGCTCTTTGCCCTTTGAGACGATTTTGCCAGCGAAGTCCGCGAATTGGACGACAGACGCGGCAACGGATAAGGCTGAGAGAGGATCGAGCGGCATCGTCCAGCGAATCCAAGACACATATCATCAGTCCATATTCGTAGCGTACAAGTATTTCAGTATTCAGAGCTGCGCATGAGTTTGAGAGAGATAGGGGGGGCTCGTCGAGGCTTGAGGTTGCAGCTCCAGCCTCACGACTGTTATTGTGGCTCGGGAAGCCTCACGAGATGCCTAACCATATCAGCTGAGCCCTCCTTGTATCTCAACAGACTTGAGAACCTCCGTACTCCGTACGAAGTACACAGATTGGCTAGCGGTCCTTGATAGGGTGCACGGGCCGCCGACGGCTGCATCGCACCATTGGCAGGCTTTCACCCGATCCCCCGGAATGACCGCAAGCCTTAACAAACCCCTATGCGCGCTCGCAAGCTCGGGAAACCAACCCTAACCCCTAACTCCTTACAGTAATATAAGCTTAACTTAGTATATGCTTAGAAACACAGCTCACCTCATTAAGGTGGGAAAAAGGGCAAAATTTGGCCCCCGATGCGCGCATCCATTTTCGCGGCGCTTGACGGTAATATAGCTAACGCACGTGGTTTATTTATGCTTGAAACCGAATCAGTCTGAATCGGAGTACTACAATTCGGTCTACTTCGGTACAATGGAATTTGGAGCACATTGACTTTTACCGCTTCAAACCCACGCAGTTTGAATTACAGTATTGCAATTGAGACTATTTTGGCCCGAAGCATGAATAAATGGAATGGGTGAGTGTCTGCAATTGCATGTTTGGTAATATGAGAAGTGATCTCTGCTGGTATAGCAGTCGTGTTGCCATGGAAGGTAGAGAAGCTTTGGTCCCCTCTACAATAACAAATTGGGCGAGATGTCTCATCCAGCTATTTCTTCACGAATGGACTTGGTTTCCGGCGGTCTCATATCGGTCATGCATATTCATATGCTGGAACTGGTCTTTGAGTCTTGCTTTCCCTTTGATTATTGATAGGATGACAGTCGCGCTGCTGCGCAACTAAACGCATTCTAGGAAATTGCGCTCTACGACCATAAGGTTATCACCAAAGCCCTTCTCCCTGGCCCCTTCCGCTCAAGCGGAGAGTTCAGCCATCCATGGCACCCAGATATCTAGTGTCTTAATCAATTAAAGTTCACAAGACCAATCTGCACGATGAGTCGAAACATCGGTTCAGGCTCACTAATCGCAAATACGTACTGCGATTAGAGTAAGTATCGAATTCGCTTCGTGGTATATCTGCTTGCACGTCTGCAGTATCCCTGATTCCGTTGTTCTGTATTGCCGAAATTGACGAGCAGGACCAACTTTTGATCTGTGTTTCCAATTGCCCACGAAGGATTTTCCGTCCAGTCATATCGGCTTACAAGAAGTAGGTCGTAAATTAACAGTCGGATCTCGACTCGCAAGGTCAAGAGGGCGACTTTGTTGTTTCCATTGGCTTCGTCAAGAGGAGGCTTAGAAGCAATGAGACAATTGTGATCGCGTGGCTTGGGTGATTTACTGCGGTTGAGGTCATTTCCCCAATTCCCCGCCAAGGGGGTTTAAGCGAAGCGAGGGCATCCACGTGCCCATCCTGAGAGCAAAATCTATAGAGAAAATTGAAAGAGTGATCAGTTTTATATGCATTTACACTCAATCATCTGCTGTATTCCAGAGACTGATCTCATCAATTGTGAACCCTCATATCCCTCTTCGTGGCTTGCGTCGGGTTCCCTCCGGACGTCACATTGCCATAAACAACTCCATCCTCACTCGCCTGATTCTGCCAGGTACTTTGCAACCCCCAAACCGCAACACTGACCGTAACGTGTTCATTCAATCCTCCAGCTCTCACCTCCATCGTATCCAGCTCCCCAAGCGGAAAGAACGTCATCGTCGCGCTATTCCTCCCACCATCCAAGAACACCTCAAGAATACTCCGGTCCATCACGCCTTCCAGCATAAACATCCCATTCGCATTAATCGGATTTCCCACACTAAACTTATCCGTAAAGAAAGGATTAGTTTCTCCGAAACCCAGTACTTTTGCGCGGGAAAGCCAGAACGGGTTATCGCCGCCGAAGTAAAAGCCTCCGGAGACTGATTCTCGCGTGGAAGAGGAGGAGAAGGTGAAGTTTAGGGTCCCTTTGGAGTAAGTGTTGTTGGGGATGCTGGAGACGTTCACTTGGAAGTAGATGGCGCGGCTGGGGAGGGTGGAGTAGTCGAGCAGGATGGAGCCGTTGCCGAGGCTGGAGTTGATGGCGAGGGGGGAGGAGTAGATGGGTGAGAGGTCGTAGGGTGCGGAGACTATGTCCCAACCTGTGCGGGTTACGTTTGCGAGGTGGGTGCGGCGGGGGGCGCTCATTGAGCTGCGCCAGCCTTCGCTTTCTCCTGTCGGGACTTGTTGACTGCCAGCCGGTGAGTACATATGTTTCTAAGAGGTACGGAGATTTCTTACGAGTATTCCCAGTTCGAAGCCCAAGCTATAAAGACTTGCTCTTCAGTTTCCGGGAGGCCGTAGAAGAACTGCCCAGCATAGTTGTCTTTTCCGAAATCAGCAATACGGGCTGCCCCATCGACAGGCGTGAAGTGCGTTCCGTTGAAATCTCCCGGGAAGTACTGGGTGATCGAACCTCCTAGTGGCGCACCCGGATTGATTGAGATGGCAAGAACCCACATCGCCTCGTCCGAACCTTCAACAGGCATTTGGACCAAGTTCGGACACTCGTATTGCAGGCCAAGCAAGCCGTGATGTGAGAAATTGGAGGCGTGGGTCCAATTCTTGAGATCTGGAGAGGTAAAGATGCCGACTACGAACTCTTGGGCGTAAGCGAGTACCATGGCCCAGCTATCGCCATATCTGATCACTTTGGGGTCTCGGAACTGGTTGGAGCTGGGATCCAAGGCGAGAACTGGATTATCTGCATATTTGACAAAAGTATAGCCACCATCATAAGAGTAGGCAATCTCTTGGACTTGCTCATATTCAGTGTTCAGAGTGTAGATTGCAACGACACCGTTTGTCTGGTTCGGAAAGAAGCCAGATGTGTTGTTGACATCGATCACAGCGCTACCGCTGAAAATTTGGCTGTCTTCGGTAGCGTAGATTGCAATTTCTTGATTCTCCCAGGTGTAGAGATCTTGAGAAGTAGCGTGACCCCACTTCAACGAATTAGTGACCTGCTTGTTTGGAGGGAAGGGAGCCAGGAGGGAGCCCGGAGCGTGTCTCATTCTCCCGACCAGTGAAATAGGGAGCCCGGGGCATGGGACAAAGAAATAGGTTGATTACGTGCTGATTTCCGGCAACGGTCGCAGTTGGATTGTCTGTTGCTCCCGTTAGAAGGGAATCTGACCTCGCAAACCAATACTTGCATTGATAATAGAGATGCCAAGTTCCATTGTCATCCCGAAAACAACCATTGGGATCGTTCATAAAGTTTCTCGGGGGAGAGAAGTGAACTTGGGGACGCCAAGCCCCGTTGTAAAGTCCTGGCACAGGAGCTTCGGTAGGAACTCCTATATCATATACAGAGGTTGAAGTTGGCATGGAAGAATTCTGTGCAACCGCAATAGCGGCAAAAAGTAGGGTGCAGAACATCATGATTGCTATTATTACAGATCTTCTCTGAGAATTTCAACGTTCAGCCTCTTCAACATGGGATAGAAGCCTTGTTTATAATAGTTTCGTCAACAGGCTACTTCATCTTGGAAGACCAAGATCGTTTTTCCCGCCATGCCACGTTTGCCCGAGAATCAACGCGCATTTGCGGGGCACATTCCCTCAAAGCCAGTAAGGAGGCTAGAATGCGACATATGGACATGGAAAGTTTGATGTAGATTTCTTAATGATATGCAACTCTTCGATCTTGGAGCGAGAAATATGGCGACGGGTTCCGTCATGACCCACTTGTCACGAGATTTACTGCACCGGGAGATCAAACATCATTCGGATGACATAGCTGGATGATTTGGACTGCTTTGACGCGGAGGCATCGCCGGCTCGATCTGAGAAGCAAGCCATGCGATCTCGAACGGCGTCTAGAATTTCAACTATGAAACTGGCCTCGGGATACACCTGATATCCGATTTTGCGAAAACTGAAAAGATGCTCGCGATGTTGTTGTGAAATGTCATTAAGGCTTCAATTGTCTGCCGTAGCAGTCTTCCCGTGTTTGACGCGCTCGAGACCTCTCATCCAATCCAGCTCGGTACTCGAGATCCTTGACTGAAGAGCAGCGAATCGGGTGGTCCCCTTTCGCGTCTCAACTCCCGCTCTCCTTCATAACAAAAAGCAAAGCGACAAGAACGGATGAAACGTTATCCTCCGCTTTAGGTAATTGTTTTGATGTGGTCTGGCATAGACCTTGGGCCTGAGATGGACAGTCGCGATGGATGGGTTTGAGGAGCGCGACGTGTGGTCTCCATTCGGGTCGGAGGACTTGTAGGTAGTCGACAGCGTTAATCTCTTTCTCATCTTGAGTGTATACCGTTGTGACACTTCATCTTTCACTTCCCTTCCCTTCCCTTCCAGTTCAGTTCAGTTCAGAATTGTGTGCAGGAGAAGACTCGAAAGCGAAGCGTTGGGGAACGGAAGGCTGGCTATCGCCAATTTCTGGGGTTCCCGATTCCGTTAGCGCCCGTGAGCCTCTTTTATCGACAATCATCCCTTTCGAATTATTGAGCTTCCGCATAACAACAACAACATCAACGACGAGCACAGAACCGAGGGCAAGAGACTGCTGTACGCAGTGGAGGGATATTGCTGGTAATTCTGGGAGTAATGCGATCGTAAGGAAGGCTGGAAGTTAACCGTCGTCGGATTGTCGGACATTCAGAAGCGATAGCAGGTGGCAGGGCAACAAAAGTCAACAATTCAATCAATCTACGACAACGATTGCGACAAACGTAACTCTTGCTTTGCTTGCAACTGTCGGAAATCTGGAAGTGCTGGATCGGAGGGTTTCGAGCTTTCGACCTCTGGCAGACCTCCCAAGGACCTGAGAACGAGCTGAACGACACAAATCTTCACCTTTCCAACCCCCTCTGTTTGGCAGCCCTCCGCCATCATGGGTGCCACCGACGATATCTACAGCTCTAGCATATCTCACGCGCATATTGCAAAAGCTGCAGTTGCCTTGAATACAACTCATGTAGCCACGCCACCCCGCAACACAACCCCTCCTCCCCAAGCGGAGAAGAGGAAATCCGACAGGAAAGCGACAGACGAAGGTGCACGAAGCGATAGAGCAACCGTGGCCTCTGTTTCAGATCCAATAGATCCAAATGTGTTAAGCAAAGCTTTGCTGAAGGAATTTGAAGATGCTGGGAGACATAGGGACATTACGCCTGGGGGAAGCCCAAGCAGGAAGCGACAAAGAGTATATGGAGACAGGTGAGCACAACTTTTGTTCCCTATATGAATGACGTGTTGGATGTGGTCAATTTGCTGGGGGAAGGGAGCGGACTGCCAGTACTTCTGACATTTAGAGCCGAGAGCTCCCCGAGCACTTGCGTCAAGCAGCACCTCCATTTCAATCTCCTATGACGAAAGTGAAGCTGCCGCCCAAGAACAATTGCTGACTATCTCAGATTCATCCCCAATCGAGAAGGACAAGATTTGCAAGCCAGCTTTAGCTTACTTCACGACGAAGGCTCGCCTGCTACTCCATCGAAACAAAAGAAACGAACTCCTCATGGCGAGCTTCATTTCCAGAAGAGTAAGCAAAAGGATTATATTTTACTATGAGATTTGCCACTGATCAAATTTACAGCCGAAGAAGCGAACCGGACCTTCTCAACATTGCTTCGCTCTGAGATTTTTGATACGACCATTCCCCAACCAACACCTCCTAATCTCTCACCTGACACGACACTACTGCCCTCATCACACTCAACCACGATTAACGACCCGACAAGATCGCATACTCCGCCTAATAATTCCTCAAACCCTTCACTACCGACCTCATTAACACCATCGACTCCTCACAAGAACCTCTTTACATATATGTCCCCGAGACATCACACGAATATTCAAGGCCACCCCACACCATCAAGAACACCGCAGAGTAGGCATGGACCGAATCTCAATGCGAGATCTGAGATATACAGTCTGTCCCCCGTTAGATTTGGAAGCCAGCAAATGTTGTTGAGTCCTCGGAAGCCGCCTCGAGCAGTCAGCAAAGTACCTTACAAAGTCCTTGATGCACCTGACCTTGCCGATGATTTCTACCTGAATCTTGTGGATTGGGGGAGTAGTAATGTTCTTGGCGTGGGACTTGGAAGTTGTGTGTATATGTGGAATTCACAATCAGGACGAGTCAACAAACTGTGTGAACTTCCAGATGACACTGTCACCAGTGTTTCGTGGATCCAACGAGGCTCTCACATCGCCATCGGCACTGGTAAAGGCCTCGTTCAAATCTGGGATGCAGAACGAATACGACGTCTTCGTACTATGACAGGTCATACAGCACGAGTCGGCTCCCTTGCCTGGAATGACCACATCCTGACCTCCGGCTCTCGGGATCGACTAATTTACCACCGTGACGTCCGAGCACCAGACCAATGGCTCCGAAAGCTAGTTGGCCACAAGCAAGAAGTGTGTGGGCTCCGATGGAACTGTGAAGACGGCCAACTCGCATCAGGAGGCAACGACAATAAGCTCATGGTCTGGGACAAGTTGAACGAGACCCCCTTATTTAAGTTCAGCGACCACACTGCGGCCGTGAAAGCCATCGCCTGGTCACCACATCAGAGAGGTCTTCTAGCTTCAGGAGGAGGAACCGCAGATAGGAGAATTATCTTCCACAACACACTCAACGGTACCACCATCAACGAAATCGATACCGGGTCGCAAGTCTGCAACCTCGCCTGGTCCAAGAACTCCAATGAGATCGTTTCTACTCATGGTTATAGCCAGAACCAAATCGTAGTCTGGAAATACCCCTCCATGACGCAAGTCGCGAGTCTCACAGGCCACACTTACAGAGTCCTATATTTGGCCATGAGTCCAGACGGGAGAGTCGTGGTAACTGGAGCCGGGGATGAAACCTTGAGATTTTGGAATGTTTTTGGGAGAAAACCCGGACAGAGAGAGGAAGGTGATGCGGGTGGCGGAGGGAAACTGGGGGATTGGGGCGTTATTAGATGATCCTACTCGCCTCTCCTCACTTCAACACATAGCATTTGCACATTACAGAACTCGGCGTCAAGGAGAAGAAACAGGTGCATTACAGGCGTTACTTGGCTTGCGAGCGGAATATCATGGCATGGGAGCGGGGCGGCAATTCAATTAACGAGCGAGCGGAATCGAATGTTATGGTCTGAAAGGGTATGGGTGGCGATTTTGGCTGGCGTGATGGGATATATACCGGGATGAAGGAGGTGCATAGAAGGTGATATTCTCCGCTAGCTGCTGTTTGTGTATTAAAACGAACTTGCTTGACTTAGCTACCTTCTCCATGGATGGGTGGGAAGGGAGTTGATAGCTAGGGATTATAATCTCAACTATTTAGAGATGTGACTATCACTTCCACTTCCTGTTCATGATGTGCAGAGTTGATAGAAAGGATTATGAGCAGACAAGTGAGATCTTGAATCGTATATATTAAGCGTAGATGAAAGCAAACCGTCCTAACGCCTGGTATATCCGCTGCTCCGCTGCCCCTGTGCCAATTTGCCTTTGCCCGCACCTTGTGCTGAACGAATGAACGAGAGTGAGAAAGAAACTCAAACAACTCTCCTCTACTAGGAAGAGAAACGAAGAACGCGGGTTCTGTAAAACGTCGCCGCTCCAACCTCTGTAGCCAATTTAATGCAACTCATTCCATGCTAATCAACTCCATGCTAGACGAAATCAGGCAGGCAATTCTCCAATCTTCCTCTCCTTCGCTACATCCTTTGCTCCACCGTCTATCCCAGTACTAAGTCCGCTCTCACTGAGGAGTGGGATCTTATCTACGCTTGTGCTTCGGCTGTGATTCTCTTTCGCCTCTTCTGATTCCAATACGACACCTGACTCTAACCCGCCGTCGATTTTGGGCGTCATGAGAGGACTGGTCATCATATCGGGACTGGTCTGCCACTTCTGGACCTCGCGCTTCATAGCCTCAAGCTCGTTCTGGAACCGCTTGCCAAAGACATCAATGTAATACGTTGCGCCATTGTAGACGGACCAGCAGAAGACAGCGAGCAGGAAGGTCGCAGACGCATAGCGGTACCAGAACCAGATGGGACAGGGGAGTATGGTTAAGACCGCGTATGTGTATTGGATCAGCATGAATGCTGGTTCTTGAAGGGATTCGGGGAGTGAGAGGACGAATTTCCCGATCCAGGCTTTGGAGTAGGATTTTCGGAGCCATGTGAATGAGGTGGGCCTTCCTGCTGCGATCTTCTCGCGGCGTCGGACAGTGATCATGAAGTGGTAGGATAGTTGCCAGATTGCGTAGGGAATGGTAGACCATAGCGTCATCGCCAGGAGGGAGTAGTGTGTTTTTGAACCCGGGGGCGAGTTCTTGATGGTCCAGATGGCGGGGAATCGCTGCTGCTGGAGCTCTTCGGGGATGAGGTGGACAAGGCAGTGGAGGCTGACGCAGGGCATTATATGAATGAACAGACTGGTTACCTTGTCGAAACTGTGGAAAACCATCGAGTTTCTCCACATGGCGATGGCAATGGCGTTGTTTCCGAAGGCGAGGCAGTATGTGCTGATGAAGAGTCGCTTCGAATTGGGAAAGAACCATATAGTGCACATGCACAAGAAGTTGACAAAATAACAGAGATCAGCCAGGAAGTAGTGGTAACCCCGCCGATGGTATGTGTACCAACGAATGGGCATGAAGTACAGCAGCTGTAAGGTGTACCAGATATGGAAGTACTCCGGGTATCCTCCGATCAAGTATCCGCTGATGAGCACATTCAAGACTCCACAAATGAAGGATATCTTTTCCCGAGCGGTGACTGTCTTAGTATCGTTCCAACGTCTGCCGATTCTGTCGACGCTCTCCCGCATTCGTTTCCTGTATCTCTCGAGTTGCTCATCCGCCGGCGGAACGCGTCTCCGCCATTCCTCAACGACTCTTTCTTTCGCGTGTGACCCTCTGGTCTTCAGGACATCTCGTTGTCTTCGTACCTTCTCTGTCTGCGCAGAAAGGCTCCTCTGCAGCTTTTCCAGCTGTTGAGGAAGCGCGAAGTTGTCTAATAAATCGAAGACCGTGAGCCTGTCTAGCGGTGGAAATGCTTCCCAATCCTCCTGGTAGGAGCTGCTCCCCGAAAATGATGGATTTCTCGATAATCGTGGACTGCCCGGACTCGAGGGAGTGAGAACGGGTGTTTTGGTGACGTCCGGAGGCGTCGTGCCGGTAGAGGACGTTCCCGTCGTGGTTCGAGATATTTCAGGCGACAAATTGGTAGGGTCAAGCGCATGCTCCTGCCTCGCGCCTGGTATAGGTATGGGTTCTGACATTTCGAATATCGTGCGGTTGTGGGCCTTGGAAGAAGATACTCCAAAGGACACTTTCCGTAGTAAACTGCCTCCTCGCAGAACTAAACCGTCAGCCATGATCGTGTTGAACGATGTCCTCTTGACACATAAAAAGTGGCAAGAGAGATGTAAGGTATATATGAATGAAAGACACGGGCTACTCACTGAGGCTTGGGTAAGAGGCGGCTTAAATCGTGGAGCAGCAGCTTGTTCTTGTGATCAGAAGGGCATCTGCGCGCAGACAAATCTTGCAGTGACTCGACCCCACATGAGCCGAATTACTCAGACTGATAAGAGGCGAAAGGGCTGGAAACCGTTTTGAAGATGCTGAGTAGATCTGGGGTGCTGCGGATCCTTGAATGGTAAGTGGTCGATGGAGGGAGGGAGAAAATGCGTGGTTGAATTGATAGGCTGGGAGTCGTCTAATAGAGTCCTTTAGCTGGTGATCGAGCAAGACACAACGCGAAACATGATGGATTCTTATGGCTAAAATACGGGCTGGGAGGCGTGAGACCAGGCACACTCACGAAGTGAGTAGAGTAAGACAGTATCACGAGTTCGCACGGGAGCACGGGGGTGGGCAGATGCGTAGAAGAGAAGAAGAAAGAAAGAGGCAAGGCGAATTTGTGTCGACTTCATGGCCAGGCTGCCTTCGTCATATTGCAGCGAGGTAGCCTCGCTGGCTGACCCCTGAAGCGCTACACTATCAAGGCACACTAACCTTAAAATATTGCGTCACGTGAAAATCGCCCTTTGACCCAACGCGACACTCGCGTTTGCGCCGAAGTATCAACTTCACCTTCGATCCCAACCCAACCACGCTCCTTTTCCTCAGCCTGAAACCCACTCATCTAATGACACTGTTGATCCCATAAACGCCATCAACTTGCCATTTCATAGCGACCCTCAGTTCAAGAGCTCCTCGGCGCGTGCGCCACCCCCATCCAAGCACAACGCGTCCAAGTCAAGATGGGGAAACTTATTCGTCTTGAACTCTTCAGTAAGTTGGTCGCCCAGCTTATCTCTATTCTAGATCTGATGATTCTCTAGATTTCAAGTCCTACAAGGGTCATCACACGCTCCTTTTCGGCGATTCCTACTTTACTTCGATTATCGGTCCCAATGGTTCCGGCAAGTCCAATTCGTGAGTACATCATGGTAATGGACGCATACATTCACTGACGGCGCAAATAGTATGGACGCGATTTCCTTCGTCCTGGGTATCAAGTCGTCCCATCTACGTTCCTCCCATCTCAAAGACCTTGTCTATCGTGGAAGAGTCTTGAAGACGTCAAAAATCAACGACGATGGATCCGCGGCCGCGCCCACTACGAATGGTCATGCAAATGGTGATGGTGAGGGTTCAGACGAGGAAACACAATCTCAGCGGCCTGGACGCAATGATCCGAAGAGCGCCTGGGTTATGGCTGTCTACGAGGACGATGCAGGTGATGAGCAGAAATGGAAGCGTACGATCACGAACCAGGGCGCCAGTGAATACCGTATCAACGATCGCGTAGTCACAGCGGCACAGTATAACGAGGCTTTGGAGTCCGAGAACATCCTCATCAAGGCCCGCAACTTCCTGGTCTTCCAAGGAGACGTTGAAGCAATCGCTTCACAATCGCCAAAAGATCTCACTCGGCTCATCGAGCAAATATCTGGCAGCTTGGAATACAAGGCAGAATATGAGAAACTTCAGGAGGAAGCAGAGCAGGCAGCCGAGAATCAGAATTACAACCTTCACCGCCGTCGAGGCATCAATTCGGAGATCAAGCAATACCAGGAACAGAAGAAGGAAGCCGAAGCATTTCAGGCCAAAGCAGACCAACGAGACGATGCAATTGTTACCCATATCCTTTGGAAATTGTACCACTTCCAGCGCGTGATGGAAGAGTCTACTGCGAGTATCCAAGAGCATCAGGAGAACTTGAAGGAGTACAGACGAGGGGTGGAGAAGTACGAAAAGACTCTCGAAGAGGCCCGTCAAGCGCAGTCAAGAGTCGGCAAGGACGTTGCCAAAGTCGAGCGAAGCATCAAGAAGGCCGAGAAGGAAGTCGAGAGCAAAGAGAATAACTTGGTTCCCATCGACGAGAAGGTCGACCTTACCAACCAGGAAATTGAGAAGCTCCGTAGGAAAATCGAAACCGTAATCAAGGAGCGAGATGGCCAAAACGCTGATCTTCAAGGCACCAAGAAGCAACTATCCACCGTTGAGAAAGCACAGAAGCAGTTCGAGAGTCAGTGGCAAGAGACACTGAAGAAACAAGGCAAGCAACTCAGTGAGGCTGATTTCAAGGAGTACAACACACTCAGATCTCAAGTCGTTGCTAAAACATCTGACAATCAATCCAAACTGGACAATCTCAGCCGCCAGATGAAGACTGACGAAGTTACGGTCAATAGCTTGAAAAGCAAAGTGGATGCCCATCAAGCTGCTGTCGAGAAGCTCGAGACCGAATTTGGTTCCATCAACGAGCGAAAGGAAGCTACCGAGCACTCCGTGAAAGACATTTCCAAGGACATCGATGCAAAGAAGAAGGAATTCAACCACATTCAGTCCGAACGAGTTCGTATCAACCAAATACATACGGAGAAGGAAGAGAAATTACAAGCTCTTTTGCGAACTCTGGTTGATGCCGATGCTGGTCGGAGACAGAACGACAAGGAGAAGAGGACGAAGGAAACGATTGTCGCGCTGAAGCGGTTATATCCTGGCGTTCGTGGCCGTGTTGGTGATCTCTGTAAGCCCAAGCAGAAGAAGTTTGATGAGGCTGTCATCACTGCTCTTGGTCGAGACTTTGACTCTGTTATTGTTGACACCGAGAAAACCGGGACTGAATGCGTTCAATACTTGAAGGACAACCGGTCCAGTCCAATGACCTTCATTCCTCTCGATAATATCAAAGTCACGGCCCCTGACGCGAATCTGAAAAGCCTACCAAAGGCGCGATTGACTATCGATACCATCGACTTTGATTCTTCACTAGAACGAGCTATGGCGTATGCTTGTGGAAGCTCGATTGTATGCGATGATCTGGCAACCGCCAAGCATATCTGCTACGATAAAAAAATACAGGTCAAAGCCGTCACTCTAGAGGGTTTCGTCATTCATAAAGCCGGATTGATGACAGGTGGCCGTGGGCCCGAGAATAAAGGTACCAAACGCAAGTTTGAGGATCACGACATCGATCAACTCAGGAACCAGGCCGAAAAGTACCGCGAAGAGATTGCAGCCCTGCCCAAAGTCAATCGGAAAGGTTCCGACGAGGAAGCATTGCAAGTTGACCTCGCCGGGTTAGAACAGCGCCTGATTTATGCCAAAAGTGAGCTGGCTGCATTCAAGCAGAATCTTGCTAGCAAAAAGAAGGAGCTCGAGCATGAGAAGAAACAATTGAAAGAGATGCAGCCTCGACATCATGAGAAGCAGTCCAATCTCGAGAGCATATCCCAAAGAGTTCAGGAATTTCAAACTGCAGTCTCTAAGGTGCAGGACAAGATTTTCTCTGATTTCTGCAAACGATTGGGCTACTCAGATATTCGGGCTTACGAAGCACAACAAGGCAGTCTAGAGCAGGAGGCTGCAGAGAAGCGCAATGCGTTTGAAGTACAGAAACAGAGACTGGGAAAACAGGCCGAATGGGAGACCAGCAAGCTCAAGGATACCGAGTCGCGTGTGCAGAAATTCCAAGACCGTGTCCAGGCCCTCGAGCTGGACATTGCAAATTACACGAAAGATAAGACAGTTTTGGAGAACGCTATCGATATCGACAGAGCAAAAATTACCGAGCTGGAAGATGAAGTGCACTCGTTGAAGGAAAAGCTTGCCAGCAAGAACGAAAAGGTAAATCAAGCAAAGAACGAACTTCAAAAGCGCAGCAAAGAAATCGACATTCGGACGAAGGCTATCACTCAACTGGAGACGGACGTCCAGCGGACTGGTGCGGGCAGATATGCTCTCCTCCGACGATGCAAGCTCGAACAGATTGCTATACCTCTGACGCCTCAATCGAGAAAGCTCGACACTCTTCCGGTTGACGACAATGTCTTGCAAACAGACCCCGATGCAATGGACGTGGACGATGGCGATGAGCCTCCTCAGGAACTGACGAAGGATTATGGTATTGAGGTGGATTTCGAAGATCTTGGTGATGAGCTCAAGCAGGCAAGTAACCCTACACTGCTCTCACCTCGTATGCTAATCTTTTCAGCCTGATGAGGAAGAGGTCGAGGAGCAACTCTTGCAACGAATTACTGACTTGAATTCCGAACTCGAGAAGCTCAATCCGAATATGCGCGCAATTGATCGACTGGACGGCGTCGAAGCTCGTCTCAAATCCACTGAAAAGGACTTCGAGGACGCCAGAAAAGCAGCCAAGGAATCCAAGGATGCATTCAACAAAGTGAAGGAGAAGCGATTTGACCTCTTCAATAAAGCTTTCTCACACATCTCCGAACAAATATCTCACGTCTACAAAGACCTCACTCGCTCCTCGGCATTCCCTCTGGGTGGCCAAGCCTACCTGGATATCGAAGACAACGATGCTCCCTACCTCTCCGGCATCAAATACCACGCCATGCCCCCCCTGAAGCGTTTCCGTGACATGGAGCATCTCTCTGGTGGAGAGAAGACCATGGCAGCGCTGGCCCTCTTATTCGCTGTGCATTCGTACCAGCCGTCTCCGTTCTTTGTGCTTGACGAGGTTGATGCTGCTCTTGATAATGCCAACGTGGAGAAGATCAAGAACTACATTCGTGAGCATGCTGGCCCGGGTATGCAGTTCATCGTTATTTCTCTGAAGACGGGTCTATTCCAGGGAAGTGAGAGTTTGGTGGGTGTGTTCAGAGATCAGGAGGCCAATAGCTCGAAGACGTTGACGCTTGATGTGAGTCTTGACCTTCCCTACAATTTTGAAACTCAACTAATGTATCCCAGTTGCGCAAGTACGTCTAAGCAGGAAGCAGTGCATGGTGGGTATCGGTGCCAAGAGGTAGAGGGCTGTACATTGCTTACTGGAGGTCGAAGGGAGTGCTTCGACAACCCAATAACGAGACATAATTGATGGACTGTAATGATTATGAATTTGGTGGCTAGATATTCAATGATTACGAAAGATTACTAGGAGCTGCGAAAATACGATTTGGCTTCCTGCCTGAGAACTTCTTAGTCCGTCAACTGTAGTCAAGACTACCTTTGGTGAGTTTTGTGGTCTGTGAATCTGCATGGCGGTGGTTCCAAGTGGATTTGCAAGCAACTATTTCCAAGTGGAAGTTGATCTCTGACTGGGGATCTCTCTTTGGGGGAACCTTCCGGATGCCTACAAGCCTCCCCGCCACGGATTTCAGAAAAAGAAATCCCTTCATACCAAAAATAGGCGGATTCGGTTGCAAAACTTTTCAGGGAGCGAAAGCAGCCTCTTTGGTATCCAGACTAAGACACAGTAACTCAGTGGTCAAAAAAAGAAATACTCAGCCGTCGCCTCAGAGTGTGTCATACCAAGGTTTCCCATACTGAAGCCGCCGTCCTCCTGAATCCTTGAAACGAGGACATGATAAGAGGCAACAGCACCCCCAATTCTATCTTCTCAATTTCTCGTTTCTTCCCTTTTCTGTCTCTCATAATTTATCAGTCATCTCCCTTAGCAAGAACTGTTATGATTCTCTGGGCTCTTCCTACAATTTTATCAGCCTTCTACTTCATCAGCCTCGTTAGTTCAACCGCCTGCACAGTCTGCTACTCCCCAGGCTTTAGCAACCTACGACCATGTGTAGCCGGCTGTATCGGCTGTGCAGGCGCTTTCACAATCGAGGTCGGAGTCGGCATTGGTGCGGTCACAATGCACCGAACGAATGCAAGTGCCGGACAGATCTCTTCACTTTCGCAACATCTGCTATCAGTGTAGGTGCTTCGCAACACTGTGCCAGTGTAATAGGAGGCTGGGAGGGTGGTTATTCTAACGCGGCAAGTGTATATCAGAGTTACTGCCAGGATGCGGGGTTTACTGCTGAACCAGCACATGCCGCAACGACGACTTTCGATCCGAATGTGCCAACCGTAACGCAGGCCACTTGTGTGACGCAGACTTCGGCTTCGCCCTCTCCTGAGTCAGCGAGTTTTGGGAGTTAGTGGCTGTTCTCGACTTGGATGATTTGGGTTCTGTGACTCTTTTGTTTCGGTTGCGAGGTGGGTTACTTGCTACTCATGGGTCCTGGCTGGGCCATGTCGCAGTCGCAAAGGCTACTTACCTAGAGAGTTGACTGCTAACGAGCATTATCTTGATAGCAACCGTGTATCCAAGTACGGCAACCAAGAGTCAAGTCACTGTAGAAACTACTTCTATGATCCAGGTCGGTGACGGCAGTGCAGTGAGTCGAGGAACTGATGTCGGTGGAGGCTCGAGTATGAGTGATAGAATAGCATTGAGAGTCGGCATTGATTTTGAGGTTCTGGCTACTATTGCGGCAATCATAACGTGTTTGAGGAGGAAATAGAAACCAGAAACCAGTGCTTGTGATGAACAATTTCAGGCAAGACAAACAGATGAGTAGGTTACTGATTTCAAGCATCGAAATCTTCCCAAACGAGAAAGTAGTTGAACTTAGTAAACAAATTTCGAAGACCAGTGTATTTTTCTTTCCCCAAGAGGCAGCAGAGATGTGATATGACTGTGCCTGAGCATTACAAGTCATGCATGGACCTCGCGAGTAGTAAGGCCAGCCTGAAAGCAGGTGGTTTAAGTGAACATCAATCATCAACGGACTTGGTCAATTTTCTACCGTCAAACCAAGGTCAACCCGCCGAGGAAGATCGTGTACTGTAATATAAGCGAGTACACATCAAAGGCTCAAATCGAGCTGCAAAAGGGGTAATGCCTTGTTGGTGATTGCTGATTAGTCTGAACAAGCGACGAAACGACTACTAAAAGAGATACCCTAGGCATTTCCTGAGCTGCATCTCTCAATAATGTAACTTTGTCTTCTTCTTTCGCACTGCACAATACGTTCGGACCTCAGGGAGAACACTTGCCATGGTTAATTGGATCATTAAAGCAGCGTTGGACCACCCCCGCAACAGCGGTTGAGTGAACGAGCCTTGCTCCGCAACTGCGTTGTCTGCCTTCAATTTTGACACGGACGACAGGAAGAACCCGCCTCACCACCCCCCGTCCGACTTTCGGTGTCTGGTTCCTTTCGACAACTGTAGATATTGGGAAGACCGATATCCTTGCTCGTACGTTGCTAGAGAACCGGCTGCAGCTGACCCCACCGGAACGCCCACGTGCCGCTGATTCAACCCCAGCCTCAGCCTTGCGATGGACCCTCTCACTGCTCTCGGCCTGGCAAGCAATATCGTCCAGTTTGTTGATTTCACAAGCAAACTTATATCGACCACTCAGAAGTTATACGTTTCATCGTCTGGTGCGAAGGATGAGCACCTAGAGCTGGAAATTCTTGCTCGAAATATCCAAGACCTGGCTGAACACGCCAAATCTAGACTCGGCGGCGTTTCTGAACCCGCCATACTTTCGATAGAGGACGGCACACTCCTTGATCTAAGTGATCAGTGTATCGAGGTGTCAAACCAGCTCTTGTATTTGCTTGAGAGTGTCAAAGTAAAAGGTCAGCGTAGAGGCTGGGACAGTTTCCATCAAGTAGGTGTTAGGAGTTTGAGCTTCATCTTGGCAGTCAAATGGTTTCCTTCAAATCAATGCCTGGACTATGGCAGTATTTTTGGACCCGCTGCTGACTTATCGGTTGCTCAAAGGCTCTGAGAAGTGAATGGAAAAAAGAGGATATCAAAGCGCTTCAACAAAGACTGGATCGAATTAGCAATCACCTGAATACTCGCTCCTTACTCAACAAACAAGACGACGTGACCACCAAAATTAAGCTGCTTACTGTGCAGAATCGACGCCTGGAAGCCAGCAGGACCAGGGAAATCAAAGATCTAGGGGACGGCTTCGACGGAATCTTCAATGAGATCAAAAAAGAAGGCTCTAGAAACAGAGCGGCGTTAAGACAGCTTTCTCTTGCAGCAGAAAAAGGCCTGGGATATGCTTCTGAGCAGGCTCTTCTAGAATTCATCCGCTTCGATACCATCGAGGATCGACAAATTGCGGTTCGAGAAGCTCATCACGAGACGTTCTCATGGATTTTCCGCAGTTCAGCATCAGAGGGCTGTCAGAGTGATGAGAATTTTGCTGATTGGCTGGCATCGGAATCAAATATTTTTTGGAGTAAGCTCTTTGAGAATACATCCTCCAAAATCCTCTCCGAAAACTCAAAACTGACATTCAAACAGTTTCGGGTAAACCAGGATCGGGAAAGTCAACTCTGATGAAGTATATTTGTGAGCACGAGGACACACGAGAGATCTTGGAACGCTGGGCGAAAGCAAAGGGACAACAACTTTGTATTGCAAATTTCTTCTTTTGGAACTCAGGTATGGATACTCTCGAGCCGTTCTGTTTTGTTTTATTTTGAATGTCTCTCCTGATTCTTGACATCTATGCCCTGCCCCAATTATGTGTACCTTCAATCTCTTCTTCTTCCTCTCCAAGCCCATCATGAATTCCAGCGCATGTACTTCTTGGCTGGGGATTACTGACTCAAGGTTGTCCAGGTAGACAGACTTTGCAAAGGTCTCAGGAGGGGCTTCTTCGTTCAATATTATACCAGATTCTGCGTCAATGTCCGGATCTCATTCCCTTCGCAACACCTAGCCTCAGCCATGGGGAAGGTTCAAGCCTTCAATTTGACGAGACTTTGACGACGACAAAGCTCCTAGGCGCATTCCAAGGCATTTCGACCCACATAGCCACGGCCAAGGTCAAATTCTGCTTCTTCATTGATGGGCTGGACGAGTACGAAGGAAAGCCAGGCGACATAATCCGGTTGATTGAGCTTCTTAAATCGACGCTGCAAGTCAAAATTTGTGTGTCTAGCCGGCCTTGGAATGAGTTCGAGAAAGATTTCGGTCAAGATAAGTCCAAGAAGCTCTACATGCAGGACTTGACAAGAGGAGATATCGAGTTATATGTCCGAGACATACTCGAGAATGACGTTGGTTTCCAAGAGTTGAAGCAGAGGGACAGTCATTGTCTTGATCTTATTCAGAACGTTGTTGATGCAGCAAAAGGCGTATTTTTATGGGTCTTTCTCGTTGTCCGATCACTTCTAGAAGGTCTCACCAATGCGGACAGGATTGTTGACTTGCAACGAAGACTTCGACTTCTGCCTACCGACCTCAACGAATACTTTGAGCGCATACTCTTCACAGTCGATAACTTCTACAGAAAACAGACCGCCCAGATGTTTCGAGTTACTTTGGCGGCATATGATCCACTGCCATCTCTCTGCTACTGGTTCATCGATCAAGAAGATTCTTCTCTTATGGAGAAGCTAGAGGTGGGGCCTTTGAGCAAGGAGATCACCAGTGACCGCTTGAAACAAATTCAGAAAAGGCTCAACGCATGCGGCAAAGGTCTTCTGGAGGCCCAAACCATAAGTCCTGAGTACCTTAAGGTGGACTTCCTCCATCGAACGGTCCGTGACTTCCTTCTCCTTCCTGAAATGCAGCAAATGTTAGACAAATGGGCTGGCGAAGGATTCGATGCAAATGTTGCCATTTGTGAAGCCACTGTATGCTTGGTCAAAACCACACCACAAGACTATGACCATTTAAGGCCCACTGGCCCAATATCTGACCTCTTGGACACCTTTTTCTATCATATAGAGGTGCTAGAGGAGGATACCAAATATCCTATCACGATAGAAGTTCGACTTCTTGACGAGCTTGATAAAGCGCTTAAACAATATTCAGAGGCGTTCGATTCAGATATGTTCCATTTAACGTGTTCAGCCCTGTCCGGTAGGTGGAGGTATGAACCCTATTCGGATGGCGATCTTTCGGTGTTGGATGCAGCTGTTCAGATTGGGCTTCGCCGTTATGTCTTGGTAAAGTTAGAACGTCACTCTTTATCGACTTCGAGACAAGCCAACCTACTCCTTACTGCGCTACGTAGAAATAGAGCCCCTGCAACGCAAATGGTCTCGCTCCTCCTTCAGAGAGGTTTCGATCCGAATTTGCCCTTCGATCAAGAGATCGGGCATATGAATCCTACAGTCTGGACATTTTTCTTGGGGAAGCAGTGGGAAAACCAAACCCCTGACAACTTTTTTCATGTCACCAAAGACTTGTTGATGCATGGCGCGGATGCCAACGCGAGTTTAATTATTGGTGGGAAGGTTATTACGGCGGCTGAGCGTGTCAAATTGCTTTTATCAGCAGATGAAGCCAGAGAACTGGAACCTTTTCTGAACCCGAGACCGAAAGCAGTGCAAAAAACCAGGGGTCATGAGAGCAGACGGAAGCGCTTTATCAAGTCCGTGTTTGGGCGGAGGGAGAGAAAATGAAAGGATGCAATGGCAATCGGCGATGTGAAAGGCGCTATCCTGGGGGTCATCACATTGTACCGCCACTGCTCAAGAGACACGGCAGAGCCCGTCACTGTCCGACAGTCCGATGAATATGAAAGCTGATACGGTGGCCATGCTGACCATGCTCGAAGTCCAGCGATTGAGGGAGGTGATGTTCTACCCAAATCAAGCACGGATACCCAAGGAGCTACCGGGAAAGTATCACAACAGCCTCGAAATGCAGCCTCCCCGACAGCGAATCAAGCGAAGCATGATAGGATAGACAGATAGGATGGAACTCCAATTGAGCCACCAAGACTGCAGATGACCAGCCGAGGGGATGCTCGCAGTAAGCACGGTTCAGGGACAGCACGCTTGGAAATTCCAGCCAGGCATTGTAAGAAGTATTAACGTCGGTGCCTAGCAGAAGAGGCAAGAGGAAGGCACCAATCGTCTAAGACAAGGGTGGCAGTGGTATGTCAACGGATACGAGTTCTACAAGGCGAAGATGGAACCATAGAGAAGAGAGCGAGCACGATTTACCCAACACGGAGCAACATACGGCGTAGGAAATTTAAAGCTCACACTTTCAGCTGAATCACACAGCTTCGATGTTCCAAGGTATCCCAGAACATTCAAATCGCTCTATCTTCAATCAGAAATAACCTGAAAAGTAGAGTAGTCGTCGTTCATTGCGGAGGAATCTTCCCTTGATGGATGTCAAGAGCTAGGCTGAAAAGGCTGAAAAGGCTGAAAAAGCCGAGGAGACATCCAAAATGCTCTGATATCACGATTTATGATGACTGAGTAAGGCCGGGTGATATTTCTATTATATGTTACGATTAAGTGAGCTCTCGTGTATATACCTGCAAAAGAAATGAAGTCGTTGTCGAACAGTCTAATCTGAGGCTCCGAGCACCGATCCATCTATGTAAGATTACGTCCCGGACACCAAACAATTATTATCAACAAGAAAAGGCTACCCCCATCCAAGATCGGCCCGCTTAATAATTCTCATACTTCATCGCGCCAAACAGCCCCAGCGCGATAGGAAGGAAAGCATGCCCCGAAAGCTGCGCCGCCAACGGGAGAATGATGGTCCAGTTTGTGATCCTGTATCCATGCGGCCCAAACACACCCAAATAAATCACCACGGCCGTCAACCCAAAGAAGGAGAGATACATCCACTTGAAATCTTTGAAGATGCGCTTCATGCTCATGACGAAACCAACCTTCTCATTCTCTTTTGTCGTTGCTGTCCATTGCCGATTCACGCCAATGAAGTGGCAGATGAGGACCTTGAGAAGATGGAACGAGATCCCGGAGAAGAAGAAGGCGAGGAGGGGCGTCCAGGTTAGGGTTTGCAAGAGGGAGGTCTTGAGACTTTGGCTGGCGAGGCGGAAGCGGATTACACAATATGCGAGTGGTGCGATGACATAGAAAATACTTAGTATAACAACGAGCGCCTTCCATGATGCGACGAAGAACTGATCCAGGGTGTCGGGCCAGAGGCCGAAGAGGAAGTAGTTGAGTATTGCAAGGGGAAGTGCCATTGCGAGCGCGTAGTACGTGAAAGTGTAGGAGATCAGCGAGAGCTTGCTGGCTGGTTTGACGCGACTGAAAAGGTAGCCAACGTATAAGCTGGTAAAGGGTCCTTTGTACCAGTATCTGATTGGGTTGAAGATCAGTTCGTTTGTGCCGTAGGCATATTTTTGCCAGCGTGCAACCTCATCGAAAACGGTGACGGAGACGCCTTCTTTGAACTCGTCGCCGTGGTAGCTGGCCATGCGGATCTCGAAGCCGGCGATTTGGAGACGCATTGAGAGGTGTAAATCTTCGGAGACATGCGATTCGGACCAGAATTTTTTGGTGTTATCTTCTTCGAAGGCGACGCTTTGCAACGCTTTCCATCGCATGAAAGCATTATGACCAACGAAACATGGGCAGTCGCCACTGCTGACGTTAAATGCTGATGTGGTATAGACGAGGTCGGTGAGGTAAGAGATTCCAGCCTCGAAGATATTGTTCCCCACCTTCAGCACACTACTTGTGTGCTGAACGATAGCGATGTCAGGGCACTCCAACATCTCCAGAGCTCCCATGTATAGGCATGTCTCCGGCACGCGAGTGTCCGAATCCACAATCAATATGATTTCTCCAAGACGGATGTTTCCAGCGGCCCATGTCCGCCCTTGGTCTTTCTGAAGAATTGTATGCAAAGCTTGGTCGTAGAAATCGTCCTCGACTTCGAAGGGATTGTCGCCGTTCTGTTCTTGTGGCGTCATGAAAGGGTCCGCTGGTCTCCCCTTTTCTTGTTCAGATATGAGTCTCAGAATCTCATCTTCGACACGAAGTGAGAAGTCAAGACAATAATTCATGTTGCTTGCCTTCTTGAATCGGCCCCGTCGTTTGAAGCCGTTCGCGCCGTTAGGTGGACGGGAACACCACCCTATCTCATTGTCCGTGTAATATCGTTTTCTGGCCCTACCAAAGGTCAGTATTGCTTGCCTAAAGCCCATTCTCAGAGCATAACTTACTCGGCTGTCGCATGATCAAGTAATTGCATGCCGTCGTCGCTGATGAAGATCGAAGCTGTTCCGCCAACGCTCTCATAGTGCTTGACGGCTGCCCTAACACTGGTGACTGTTGGTATGATGACACTACAAAGATTAGTACATTCATTTTATTCGTGATCAAGGGTCAACTTACCCTTCCAAGCCTTCTAAATAGACAGGGATCTGAACAGTAACGTGAGGAAGCTCAACATCCCCGAACCTTTTGGGGTTTGGTGCATTTGCACTGTAGTACCGAGAGTTCCCCTTATTATCCAGTACCGGCCCAAACATTTGAAACATGCTGCTCACAAAAAGGAGTCCGGAACAGAAAGCAAAGCCTGCAAAGATGGGCAACAAGAGGAGATACGCGATTCGAACGTAATTTCCATCAGTTCTGATCTCCGTTATAATCTACCAAATCTCGATCAGCCTTGCTTACTTAAGAAGTTCCTTTTTCTCAGGCTCACTTTGGAAACAATAAGTCCTTGGATGGCAAGAAGTATTATCAGAGTAAGTCCAGTAATCAAAGAGTATGTGAGAATCATGGGTCGTTTTGCATGTCCGACTACTTTGGCCTCTGGATCTTCCCACTCAAGGTCTTCAGAAACCTTTTCCGAGAATTTGGCTTCTGTGGATAAACTTGCTCTCGATGAACGGTTGAAGGTTGGAGATCCTAAGTTGAAGGTTGACGATCCTAATCTTGGGTACGAAGGACGGTCGCCAGGTTCTGGCCGCAGTAGAGATACCGTAGAGTTCGCATAGGAACGCATCCGTGGAGTACTGAAAGTGGAACCCCAGATCTACACAACCTTAGCAATGTCCTTGGAGTCGAAACCACAGGGCTCAGTCTCACCGACTCCATCAGCATATGTTCAACCTCGGAACCGTGTACACTGGCGGCTTCCACCGAGTTTGCCCAGAGCAACACGACCCTTTCCTCTCTCACGAGAACTGCTAGACATTGCTTGATCTCGAAGATACGCTCTTTGACATATTCTAGAGAAGCAACAACTGGGATTCTCGCACCGTACGGCTGCATGATAACCTCGTCCTGAAATGGTGAGAGATGGTCGAAGACATTTGATGTGATTTTTGATGCCATCGAGAAAGCGACGGGTGTATCGATGCATCGAATCGCGGCTATCATCCTCTGGCTGATTGATGCAGGTTTGAATGTGTAACCCTCGCCTGGCCTCCGGAAGGCTACTGAGAGAGTAGTCGTGTTGGAGCACTCTGATTGTTCGAGCCATCTTGAAGCCTCGCAGTATTGGTGTAGGACATGCACATCCTGACCATATCAGTCAGTCATGAGTTGACGTGAAACGAAAACATGAGGACTTTACCGGCACAATCTCACTTGAATCTTGCTCCATCGCTACAGAATCTATAGGAGATCATTAAAAGTTCAAAGAAATCATAAAGAAGCCATGAAATGAATGTGAGGTGCAATTGTCTCTGCCGGCTCAAAGTTTATTCAGTCTACTCAGAAGAATGAGAGAAGTGAGGACTGCGTTTGACAACAAAAACTCCCGCGGCTCCATTACCCGAACTAGGTCGAAGCTCAGAGCTGCAACTTAGATGTTTGCCTGTATTGCCAATCTTTCGGGACCGCCGTGGCCGATAGTGGCGGAACGTCTTTTCTGCCCCTGGACCTCCATGGCCAATTCCGAATGTGTTCCTGCATGAGGGAGGTCTAATTCCTCTTTGAGAGGGCCGGGGGCGCTTTGCGAGTGCAGTAAACAACAACTTAAGATTGCTGCAATTGGGCATGCGGTCGATTTGCGGGCAAATAGAAGAGAAATCCCCGAGCCGCACAGAACGAAATGGGGAACAATTGGCAATCGTGATCCACCCAGGAGGAGAGCATTGGAGAGGTGTTGGACATTGCATGTGGCGTTGACTTCTACATGGGATGAATAGTACGGTACTACGGTAGATCTCATTCAAGGATGTACCGTGTGGCCATGGGGTGAGGTGTGGTGAGGTGGAAGAAAATTAGCGAAAAGATGGTGGCTGGTAGATAGATAGACCCGGTGTGGAAATAGATACGCCACACGCCGCGAAGCCCCTTTTCCTTCCGTGCGCCCCTTGCCCCTGCTCCTGTTCCTGCTCCTTGCATCCTTGCGCTCGGGTGCTGCGATTCGCTTCCCTTGGCTCCTAAGCGAGGAACGAGATGAGACTTTCGCCCGTTATCACTGCTTTTTCCCTCCACAGCCTCTGACAGCTTCACCTACGCCGGCACGTATGAGGATCACGCCGATCCCGCCGCCGCCGCCACCTGTACGACCACTGGTATCAGTGGAATGTCTCTGGCTGATGAGTCGATGACGACGAGTGACAAGGCTACCAACGCCACAAACTGGCAATCTAAAGTTGCATTCCGTCTCTGTCCAAGATCTGCCCTACCGGCATCTCCCCCTGTGCTACGCTGGCACGGAACTTGCACGGAGTATTCTTGGGACTTGGCCCCTGCAGCTGTCAGTTGGTAGATCGTTCGGGATACCCCATTTTTGCTTGTTTGGACGTCGCTCCTACTCTGCTCAATTTTCACTTAGGGACATAGGACCCACATATATCCTCAGCTCTCTAGTCAAGTGCAGTGCTCGTGCGGAGTGGGGGCAAGCAACCCACTCGGTCTGCAAGTTTCATCTTCAGCCGCTCACTGGCCGATGTTCGATACGCCACCAATACCAAGGCAGACCAAGGCTCAAAGAGTCAAAATCACAGCATTGTTAGTCTAGAGCTCCAGATCTCCACACGCGTGCATGGTAGATTGTGCATGGTAAGGAGGGTACATAAGTGCCAAGCGGCCTGTGCCGACCCTGCTGCACCGGACCTATGCAAATGGCATGCTACTCGACTTTCAATCCACGCTTAGAATAGTTTTATGATGGGTTGATTGAATCTGAATTGCATGATAGTAGCAAGAATCCACTTCTATCCAAAGCAGACAGCTCAGCTACGCCACAGCATTCGAGAGTGCACAAGCCTCGGTCAACGAAATCACCGCTCTGCGAGTTGCTTCCCCTGGTGAAGCCTGTGACTTGAGAATCGAGTCATTCGAGTTCCCCGCTGTTGCCCATTGTTCCGCCCAGTTCTCGTTCAATCTCAACTTGGAGCTTTCCAGAGCTTTCCGTTGCAATTATGAGACTACCAAAGCAGAATCAAGTGTACCTTGCGCAGTCAACTGGAATACCTTCAACGAGCGACAGGAATTCAAGCCAAGATATCTCAGGTTCGTTCCTATATTGTGCACGTGAAAACGCTTTTGTCACTGACCATTGCTTCAGGAGCCACGTCCTTTGAGTCCCTTCACATCACCAGTAAGAATATTCTATCTTGCCCCGAGCCACATCACATATTAAATTCGAGAACCAGAATCCAAGAGCCACAAGTTCACAAGTACCCGGCTCTTGGGAAGCTATGAGAAGCCCTGGCTTCAAGATGGGTCATACAAAGCTCGAGAGAAAATGGAAAGGGGAATTTTGTTGCTCTGTACCTGCATAGGTGTTGCTATTGCAATCATAATATGTGGGACGCAATGGAGCTCCGTGGTTGTTGTTGACGTTTGTTCCCTCTGAGCGTATTCCAATGACCTACTAATTACTGTTAATGTGCAGTACTGCCTCATCCTTGATGATAACTTCAAAATCTTCAATGAATCCGCCTGGAGCAGAGAAGTCAATACTGGAGGCTTTGGATATGGCTCGTTCGACTGGACCACCGATGACCCGAAGAACTCGTACGTATCGGACGATGGGCTTCACATTACTCCCACCTTGACGCTGGGTTCTACGAATATTACTGCAGATCAACTTGAAAACGGTTACTTACTGAACACAACTGCGGATGGAACCTGCACATCGCCACTTCTGGGATCGTGCGTCAAACTCAGCAATTCTAAGAACGGCACAATCATAAATCCAGTCCGCTCCGCACGTTTGACAACAGCTGGAAAGGTGGCAATCAAGTACGGCAAGGTAGAAATCGTTGCAAAGATGCCCGCGGGAGATTGGCTTCTGCCCATGCTATGGTAAACAAACCGCAATGCACCATCCTCTTCTGATGCCCATGCTGACCACACTTCAAGGATGTATCCCGAGAAGGAAACCTACGGTGTCTGGCCTCGCAGTGGAGAGATCGACATCGCCCAAATCCGAGGAAACGACCCGAAACACTACTCGGGCGGCCGCGACACCGTGACTTCAGCACTGCATTGGGGCGTGCGGCAAAACCTCGATCAAAGCGATCGAACAACAGGAGAATTCGTTCGGCGTCGCTATGACCTAGCGCAAGGATTTCATACCTATGGTCTTGAATGGACTGAGACAAAGCTTTATACTTGGATCGACGACGAGAACTACAAGATTGAGCAGACGGGGTGGGGTAAGGCGTATGGCGGGGACATGTACCAGCGCAGTTTGGGCGGGCTGGATGTCTCGAATATGTCTGCTGAAGGGACTTTGTAAGTCTCCTCCTTCCTCTACCTTTCCCCTTCGAAAGAAAAACTGATAAGTTTCCAGGCCCATCAACATTTGGTCGTCGACGGGAGCGTACAATACTCCTTTCGACCAACCCTTCCACCTTATAATGAACGTTGCGGTCGGCTCCTCTAATGGGTTCTTCAAGTACATCTACTCCCCTCTCCACTCGCAATCTAGAAATTAACAATTTCCTAGGGATGGAAAGGGTGGCAAGCCGTGGGTCGACAATTCCACGACCGCGATGCGCGATTTCTGGGTTGCGAACTCGACGTGGTTGCCGAGTTGGGGCGAGGACGCTGACACGCATTCGATGACCGTGAAGTCGGTGAAGATATGGCAACAGGGGAAGTGTGGGAAGTAATGCAAACACGTTTCGGAGGATTCTGAAGGAATAATGGAAGGGCACTGTATTTATTTGATGGAGATAGAATATATAGGTAGTGGAGGTTTGGAGTTGGAATGCTTCAAGTAATAAATATAATGCACTGTACATAGAATACATTTAGTGGTTTTTGCCTTTCAGAATCTTGACTGTTCTTGGCTGTGCGTGGACATTGGAAGTTGATTCCAAACTAAGAGTCAAGTGTTCTGATCGCTGTGACTGCATTAACTCACTGGCAATCCTTCTCTGCGCTTCACTTTCAGCTTTAGGCTACCTGGTCTCAAAGATTGGCCGAGTCACGTGCGCCGATGTTAGGTTTCATTGCGAGCTGAACCTCCCAGTACCTTCACCCAGCAGAGCTGGAAAAAAGAAAACTGAAGCACAACATCACTTCTTGCAAGGAGCTGTAGGGCATCAATAAACATTATTTATTATACCTCTCTATCTTTAGAACGCCGAGCGGCGAGCCTTCTATCTACAATCTTCCGAACTCCAAGGACAACCCTCAGTCTAACTATATACATGAACACACCAAGAAAATGCTATCTACTAACATGCTTTACTGTTCATTTGCGAGATGAAACGAGAAGAAAGAAAGGATTAAAAGGACGATTCTCTCCTAAAACAACCCCAGCACGACCGGCAGCAAAAAGTGACACGCCAGCTGATTCCCCACTGGCAACACAATCGTGAAATCATTGATCTTCCAGCCCACCGGTGCATACACGCCTAGATATACCATCATCGCAGTAAGGGAGAAGACGATGATGTACATGTATTTGAAGTCTTTGATGATCTTGTCCATGCCGATGAAGAAGCCGGTTTCTTCGAGCTCCTTGCCGGTGGATGCCCATTCCATGTTTATGCTGAAGAAATGGCAGACGATTGCTTTGGTGAGGTGGATGGAGAGGCCGCCGAAGAAGACCACTTGGTTATTGTTAGTCGGAGAGGGATGAGGAAGGGAGAAGGGGCACGTACTGAAGAATGGCATCCATTTGATAGTGACCCACATCCCTTTGAAGAAGTTCGTTTTGCCGAGGCGCCAGAGGAGGAAGTTGTAAGCGATCGGTGACTGTTTCTAAGTTAGAGCCGTTGTCCAAGAGAAGTATAGTCAATTGAAAGAGAGACGTACGACTAAGTTAAAGATGACGAGCAATGAGATCATCATTTTGAAGGAGGTGAGGTAGTAATGATCGAGATTCAGCATGACCCAGCCTGTCAGGAAATAATTAAGAACAGTGAAAGGTAGTGCTGCAGCCATGGCATAGTATGTGAAGACGTATCCGAGAATCGTGACTTTCGAGGTGCTTTTGACGTTGCTGGATATCAACTTCCATAATAAAGGTGTAAGAGGACCTTTGAATGGCCATTTCCAGATGGGATGAAATAGGAGCTCGTTGCATCCATAAGTATACTTCTCCCAGCGAGCCAGCTCGTCAAAGACGGTTAGAGATACACCCTCTTGGAAACCCCCGTTGTGGTATGAAGCAAGACGGATAATGAAACCGGCGATTTGAAGGCGCAGAGCTTGATCGAAATCTTCTGACACATGCGAGTCTGACCAGTATTTGACTAGAGAATAATTAGCCAAGTTCATCCAGGGAATTTAATTTGTCACAGGTGTTCTTACCCTTTCCGTCTTCCTCAAAAGCAACGCTCTGGATGGCCTTCCATCGGAGAAAAGCATTGTGTCCCACGAACTTGGAATATTAGTTTCGTATATGAATGACGGCAGGCAGTACTCACACAAGCAAGATCGCCACTCCCAACAGCGTATGAAATTGATTGATAAATCATGTTGGTAAGGTACGTTACTACTCATGTTAGACTTGAACCATGACCCAGAAGGAGAGTACGTACTACCATTCTCAAAGAGATTATGAGCGACCTGCATGACGCCACTAGCGTGCTGAATGATGGCAACATCAGGACTCTCGAACATTTCCAGGGCACCATATTGAAGGCAGTCGACGGGCTAAGACTTTGTCAGTGCTGAAGATCTCGAATTTGTAGAACACTCACCACTTTGGTATCGCAATCAAGGAGGAGGATAAATTCTCCCAGTCGTATGTTGCCTTCAGCCCATGTTTTGCCTTGATCAGCAGCAAGAATCGCCTCCATCGCGATCGCGTAAAGCTCGTTCTCTTTCTCGATGGTAATGTCTGGATTATCTCGCTCGTGCTCGGCGATTAAGCGTAAGAGCTCATCTTCGACTCTGATCGAAAAATCAAGGCAATAGTTCATGTTACTCGCTTTCTTGAATTTTCCTTTGCGCTGGAATCCATCCTTGTTGTGGGGTGGTCGAGAACACCAGCCGACGCCATTTGCTGCGTAGAACTTTTTACGAGCCCTATTGAACATGCATGAGTTGGGACAATTGAGGATTGCAGAGGCTGAAAGACTTACTCTGCCAATTCCGGAGACACCACTTGCATTCCATCTTCATTAATGAAAATGGAAGCTGTACCTCCGATGCTTTCATAGTGTTTGATTGCTTCCTTGACACTCTCGACGGTTGGAGCAATCACACTGCATGTCTAGAGTCAGCTCGTTGGTATTTATAATGTGCATTGATAGACTTACCCAGTCAAACCCTCCTTGTAGACAGGTATCTGGATGGTGATATGCGGATATTCAAACCTTGGGTAGCGAGCTGGGTCTGGAGCTATCGCGCTTTGGTATCGCGTGTTTTCGTTTACACTTTTTACAGGGCCAAAGAATTGAAAGAGGCAGGCCACTAAAGTCGTGAAGAAGAACAGCGCAAGTGTGGTTGATATTGGGATCATGAGGAGGTAAGCCAGACGAGCATAGCTTCCATCAATGCCAATTTCGCCAATGAGCTGGTCATATTAGGGACCGGACTTTTAAAGCATTTGAGAGAACGTACCGTAGATACACCACCCATTTGAACTATCACGAGCGTCATTAAACCAATTGCGACCATGAGCGAGTGTGTCAGAATCACTGTAATGATCAGTAAATGGAAATGTGTATAGAGCTGAGGGGGCTTGGCCATACTTGGTCTGGGTTTTAATGTGGATGTAATAGTCGAAGATTCGAGATCTGAGAAATCGTAGGCTTCCTTCAATTTTTCTGTGGTAGTGCTGAAATGTACTGCAGTTGGTGTAGCGACCTCGACAGTAGACTTCTCCGCAATTGAGGTCCCTTCGGATGTGCCCCAGGATGAACGACTGGTCTGACGTTTGAACTCCGGGTTTTGCTGGACAGCAAGAGATGAATTTTGATTTGTGATCTAGAAGAATTAGCTGGTCTCTGCAGAAGGTGTATATCAAGACTCACAGCTTGACATAGCAGCTCGTCGAGACTCGCCCCACACATCAAGATATCCTCCACAGAATTGGACCACACTAGAACAAGTTGTGGTCTTCTGAGTAGATACGCAGTTCCAGTAAGACCATGCATAGAAACCAAGGAGATAAGATCCTCGAATGTATCGACAATGGGAAGTGCAGTCCCTCGAGACTTTACAATAAGTTCCTTCTGGCTTGGAGTTATCTGGCGAAAAATTGCGGACGTGACGACTGAAGTCATAGTGAAGGCAATTGCAGCGTCCATACACTGAAAAGCTTTAAGTACTATTGGATCAATGGTCTTCGGTTCGCGAGCATATTGTCTGTCTGCAATCTTTATCATCACTCCGACTGCTGACGGATCTGAACACTCGCGCAGATTCATCCATCCCGACTTTTCGCACTGCTTCTGTATGTATTGAGCCATCTACATATCTAGTCAGTCATTATCTTCCTCGAGGGAAAATTGAGCGATTCACCAGAAGGTATGGCTCCATATCGTAAGACATTTCAGGCTCCATGATGTTTAGAGGTTTGAGGAGCCGCCCAGAATAATAAAAAAGTAACGAGAGGCACGCAGAGCAAAAGCCCAGCAAAAAGGTAACTTGAATGGAACGAAAAGAGTGTTGTCGGCGGTCCTGCTCAGGCAAGCAGCAAGAAACGTAGAACGATCAAGGACGAGAATGGGCTGCACACTTCAGAACTCTTGCGGCTGCACATGCGGGAGACAAAAGATCCTCCCGAGTCTCGCCCCGAGTGGCTCAGTGAAAATAATGTGCTCTTCCGGGGGGGCTCATGTGGGGGTCGAGCTCGAGATTCGGCCGAGTCACCAAGTCAATCCCTTCAACGCTAGGCCGTGGTATTGCACAATAACTCAATAGAGTTAATACTCTGTGCAGTACCGCCACACTGGATAAGGCGAGCTGGAGCTTTGCTGATTTGGAGCTTACCGATCTGGGAAGCCAAAATATTGCAAGTACTCCGTAGACGACATATGAGCAGGGGCTAGAAGAGGTGCCAAGCGGGGGGCACGACGGAGCAGAGCAGCCATGCGCTTGCAGCGTCCACCAAGAAGAGACTGAAGGCTGCAACAGCGCGGGACAACGAACGGCGGCCATCCACGGTGGCACTGAGACAGGCAGGCGCTATGGAAATCCAGATCATCAGATACTGATACCATGCTGGTAAGTTCAGGGGGTCGGGGCACCACTTGTGTGCGGCGCTGGGGCGCTGCGGCTCATGTTGTGTTGTAACTTGTGTTTTGTTGTGATGTGACGCGATGCGGATGTGATGCGATGTGATGGCGTTGAGGATCGTCGCTGTTGGCCAGTGCATGAGCCATAAGGTGGACCGAAAGCACCGCAACACCGCAGACAGCGGGAACAACCGGGGTCGTGACGGCAGATTCCAGACAGCCGGATGGAATCGGGCAGCGAGCCGAAAGTGCGTCCTGCCAATCCTCATTCCTTCCTTGAACCGTCCCGTCTCAGCATACTCGGTACTCCGTAAGCATCTTGCAAAGACGTCCGTCCGACAGCCGCGGCCGCAACCGCTACAGTAAAGAAAACACGCAAACACACGCCCCTTTCTTATGATGTCTCAGTTCTGGCCCTTCGCCTTTGGCTGTTCCCTTGCCCCTGTTAGCCTTTGGTACCTGCATCAAAAGTATTTGTGTGAGTGGGCCCGGACTCCCGGGACGCGCCCCTGGGTTTGGTCTTCTCAATCCCAAATGACACGAGTCGTGGCAGCAGCAGCAAACATGGGCGACTTTCAGAAGCCATGGCCCCTCCCTCTTGCGTTTGTCTACTGTATTCTAGGCGCCAAGAACTGATAGTCCAAAGTCATGCCGTTCGAGATTGTGCAGTAAATGTGCATAAGATTAGGATGCTCCGGCAATACAGGCAAAGTGCAGCGCGGGGGGCGAGTCTTGATTCGTGGATGTACGAACCGCCGATAGCCAACCATCCCAGTGGACTGGGACAATAGAATTCAAGTCCCATTCTCAACCTCTGGACCACGCAGGGCTTTGTTTGCGGGTTTTCGGCTGGAGTTTTCGCAAGCCCCCCGAGGTCCATCGATTCTCAGCCTTTCCAAAACAACCTCCTCACTTCTAGAGCTTGGTCTGTCCGAGAGCCTTGTGTTCGAGTGCCCGACTTACTTTTTGCCGATCCGTGTGCTGTTCTCCAAAATATCAGCAGGAATGTCATATCCTCCCAGTGTCTTCGAGATTGATGCAATTCACTCAGTTCCGGCATCACCGTCCGGAAAGTGCAGCTCTCGTGGTAACTATTCAACCTACGCATCTCACGATGTCTTTGGATTGCTGATGGCTGTCTTTTTAGGATCACAACAACAAATAAAACAAAGACGGTTGAAGAGCGCCAGACTGGTGGGAGAGTACATCACCCATCCACCCTTTTTCACCCAACGTTAATAACTAACTTGAGAAGATATGAGAAGCCATGGATCGAGGGCTCACCATATAAGAATCGAGAGCGTTGGGACAAGATCATTCTTTGGGGATGCATCACACTTGGCTTTGGAGTCGGCATTGCATTGTGTACCTTAACATATTTCAAGATTCCGCGGCATGAGGCAAGTGTGACTGTGCCTTTCAATTTGTTATTTTTGCTGACCGACTTAATAGTATTGTCTTGTCATGGCTGATGAGTTCAAGAATTTGGATAATTGGTCCCACGAAGTCCAGATTGGGGGTTTTGGGTAAGGTTCTAGGGCCTCGTGAACGACACGTGCTGACCTTGAAATAGAGCAAACTCGTTCGAATGGGCAACGGACGACCCTCGTAACAGTTATATCGCTGATGATGGACTGCATCTGAAGGCAACTTTGACGCTCGATACAAGTGATATCACGCCCGACCAACTTCTCAATGGCTATACCCTCAACCTCACTGCCGCTGGCACTTGCACTTCCAATGATACAAAATCAACCGATTGCGTTAGAACTAGCAACGCCACTACCTCTACAATTATCAACCCTGTTCGTTCTGCTCGTATTACGACTAAAGGAAAGAAGACCATCAGGTACGGCCGTGTGGAAGTGGTTGCAAAAATCCCGCCCGGGCAATGGCTATGGCCAGCTATCTGGTACGTCTATCTTTTTTGCTTTTCCTGATACATCATTTTCAACAAACTAACTTCTCTTCTCCTCGCCAAGGATGATGCCGCAAGACTCTGTCTATGGTGCTTGGCCACGAAGCGGCGAGATTGACCTTATGGAAGCCCGCGGCAACGACCCCGCGCATTACCTCCTTGGCTCTGACACAATTTATTCCACGATACATTGGGGTCTCGATTACTTTACAGATCAGTCCAAACAGACAGCTAGTTGGTATACAAGGCAACGAGGAAGTTATGCTAGTGGCTTCCACACGTATGTGTTTTGGAAAGCTTTGTGAGTTAATGCTAACTCAAAGATCGTCAGGTATGGGATGGAATGGACTCCAGAATATCTTTACATCTATATCGACAATAAGCTACTACAAAGTCTTTCTGTGAAGTTCGGCCCAAAGACCATGTGGGAACGAAGTGGTCTCAAAGCACCGGGTCATCCGTAAGCACAACATCATCTTGTTCAAAGCTTCTTGACAATTCTGACATGCAACAGACCCAAAGACCCCTGGTCTTACACGAAGAGCGTCAGCACACCCTTCGACCAAGATTTCTACCTCATCTTGAACGTCGCCGTTGGAACGACTGGTGGATTTTTCGCGTATGCTCCCTCGTGGCTTTCATTATTTCAAAGAAACTAATTGGCCATCTAGAGATTCGGTCGGAGGCAAACCATGGGTGGATCGAGGTTCCCCAGCGGCCATGATGGATTTCTGGAAGGCCAACGCTACTTGGTACCCCACTTGGGATCCGGACGGAATGATAGTAAGCAAAATCTCAAGCTTCCCCTCTAAATCTCCCGCGAATCGTGGGACATTCGAGTTCTTCCTGCTGCCCTCCCGAATGTCTCGGGTGTGACGGCTCGTTGAACTTCCCGATAGACTGGTACTGACAAAAACAACAGGTCAAGTCAGCCAAAATGTGGCAATTAGGTGCATGCTCATCTCCAGAGATCTGATTAGGAGGCAAATGTGTATTGATTACATAGTTGATTTTCTTTTCTTCAAGCCAGTACATAGACATCGCGATTGACGTTCGGCGTATCAAAAGGGCTGTTTTGGGAGTCAAATTTGTAATTATTCGATGAGGAAAAGTTTTGCACATCTCTTGGCAGACAAGCATATCTTTTCCAAAATTGCTTTTTCATCACAATTCCCTATCGCTGCATCTTGCGGGCAGCAATCTTTCAATCTTGGTTATCTCCACTCGGTTCCTGATCTGCGGGTCAAAATTAGACTCTCAACTTTCATGGCACGCGCCTCCGGTTAGTCGTGATACACCGAAATCTGGCCGAAAATCAAACCCCCATTACTTTCTTTAACACCCAGCACGCTTAGGTTCCCTTAAAAAATAGAATGAATTAATGCGCAGTCCACGGGATTGCCCTCGATAAAATTGTAAAAACTTGATGGAAGTTAATATTAAAAACATTGATTTTCGGCCCGGATTTCGGTGTATCACAACTAACCGGAGGCGCGTGCATGGGAAGATCTCATCCTGAACCCTGTCAGTAGGCGAATATCTCTAGCCGTTTACGTCTGACGCACCCCTGAAAGCTTCATGCCGTGGCGTCTACGCTCAAGGCACGTAAAATCTCATTGATGCACACCCTTCGGCAGCGGTAGGGCTGCAGTGGGGCTGCTTGAAGGCGCTAATGGCTTTTAGCCTTCTTACAGGGGCACAAGCTTTATCTCATCAACAACTTCACTTCACCCCCCAGTCTGTGGCTTATGTAGTGAGTTCCAAGCTGTCCCGCCCTCATGGACAATCTTCCTCGTCTAATACTGCCACTTGAAAATGCGTGACAGGGCTTGAAGCTCCGATGGCAATATTTTCCTGCGGATCCAGGGTCTTCGACTACCAGGATTGAGCGGCTGAGCTTGAGCTAATGAAAAAATGCTCGATAATCAGATTCCCCTGATCGGACCACATGCACATGGCTGCCCGGCGGCAGGCTTGCTAGTTGGGATGAACTTACAGTAAAAACTCGCTATAAGGATACTCAATATAAGGATATCCTCAACATAAGGATGCTACCTTAGGATCCCAATAAAAATTAGCCCCGAGCTAAGGATATCCTTACTATCCGTTCCGCTGCGGCCAGCCTTGGGTTTTTCGGACCGGAATAACTGTTTTTCCGGAGGAACACCAAAATCACGCTTCATTATTTACATGTAAATAAACCATTTAATTGATCAATTGCACCACAACCACAATGCCAGAAGATACTGTCTTCGATTCTACCGATAAAGGGACCCTCCGGCCCAACGAAAATCCACTGCGCAATCAAGGGGACTCATTCAAGCCTATGCAATTACCTGATTGGGACTAGGAAATCAACCTACCAAATAACGTCTCTCCTGATAATCCAATTACTTTATTCACTTTATATTATATACCAGAAATCGTCAATTTGATAGTTAAGAAGACAAATAGCTATCTGCGAGAGCCTCAGGACGATTCGTGCCCTCGTACAAGAGCAAAGGAGTGGTATCCAACCTCTCGCGGCGAGATTTATATCTATTTTGCAATTCGTATTTATATGACCTTATATATAGATAATGAGATCGCAAACTATTAGAATACAAGGGATTTTGTCCTATCGCACCCAATTACAAGCTATATAAGCAGGGACAGGTTCCAGGAGCTTCATATACGTGTGCGATTCCATGGAAATCAGGAACAAGGCCCATACGAGAAGGTAACCCCCATTTTCCTGTTTATTTTACTCGACTAGCTAATAATTACCGAGCAGGTAAAACCTTAAGTACATACATCCAAGGGGTTAATTTAAGGTTTGGAAGCCTGGACGTGACTTGGCAGTAGAATAGTAAACGCTGAATATTGACAGGTCGATCAAAGGAGAACTACTGTTCCAAATAAGCTATACTAATGGTAAAGGTTTGGGGGCGAGCAGCCCAGAGAGGGTTCTTACTCGTATGAATGCTCATATCCTGGTCAAAAAATGGGTGCTAGTACGTACTCCAAAGCAGTGGTGGAATGATTGAAGGCCGGAAATGAAGAAAATACTGTCACGTGCTGCGCCACGCGAAAGGTTGAACTAGCCTACACTATATAGGCTCTTGGTACCGAAACGATACGAATTGACTGCGGCTCTAGCAATAGCTAAGTAGCCCTTCTTACAATATCAATTAAGACGAAGTATCAGGTACTATAATATACAGTGAATACAGTAACTAGGATTATCAGAAAAACGTCATTTCGGTAGGGTTACTGATTTACTAAGTCCCTATCAGCTAATTACATAGCTTCAATGAGTCCGCCATTGATGGGCACGCAGTCGATTTCGTTGGAGCAGCGCCCGGTATAAAGCTAGGGCCTTTACCAGCACCAATGCGAAGACAGTTCCAGGGCTTACTAGGCATATGTTAGGCCTCAGCCCGCTGCAATCTGGGATCAATGCGATAATAGCTTAGTTACCGCCCATGTAGGGCAACAATGAAGCGTCATTACGATATATCTCACACAAAACAGACTTATTACCGTGCCGAAAAACCCACAGCGCTGCCAGCAGCGACGGAACGTCGATAGCAACCGTAAGATATCCCTGAGCTCGGGCCTATCGATACGCTTGATTACAGCTCTTAAGTGGATTCCTCGAAGGTAAGCATACATTATGTTGAGCATTCCATCCTCCAGAATTGCCCCAGTATCTCGCTCATATGCGGAGTTTTTACGTGTACGGATTCATCCCAACTAGCAAGCCTCCGCCGGGCAGCCATGTGCATGTGGATTTTTTTCCGATCAGAGGAATCTGATTATCGAACTGCATTTTTTCATTACTCAAGCTCACCGCGTCAATCCTGGTAGTCCCGAAGACCCTGGATCCGCAGGAAAATATGCATCGGAGCTGTCAAGCCTGTCACGCACTTTTCAGTGGCAGTATTAGACGAAGGAAGATTGTCATGAGGGCCGGGACAGGCTTGGAACTCACTACATATCAGCCACAGACTGGGGGGTGAAGTGAAGTTGTTGATGAGATAAAGCATTGGCCCCCCTGTAAGCCAAGCTAAAAGCCATGTACGGCCTTCAGCAGGCCCCACTGCA